TGTCGTCGTGTCGATTAGATCTACCGTCACACAGCGATACCAATATCTTTTTTTTTATACAAAATGTAATATATTTTTCTTTCTTATCAGGCATATACATAGTCAGTTACTTATATCAAGTTCGTGTTTCGTAAGTAATCCGTGAAGAAAAAGGTTTTTAAAAAACAATGGACGACCTTTTCTTTAAAAAAAAAAACATTTTGCTTATAATGCATAAAAACAACCATTTTATATATGTCAAAATAGTCCATTGACCTTTGTAGAAATTCTTTGCCATCCTACATCCCAAAGCTATAAAGATCGAATTTTGTCGTTTCACTATTATAATTAAAAGAAAGAATTTCATCAAAAGTCCGTATAATTTATTCTGACAGTGACAGCTTCTATGAATTGGCAATACATAACGTAGCGTAGTCGTAGTTGTAAAGACTTTGACTTTTGTTCCCAACTACGGTTATGCTTATGAATTATACTATATTAATATACAGCATTATGATTCAAATGAAAGTATTTTAGCACTGAACCATCCAGGCCCACTTGTATAAAATTATATCATGTTAGAATGTGGGTTATACAGTACCACTAGTTTCCAGTAAGAAAAAGCGTAAGTGATGTTAGGAAATAAGGCACTGACATTAATGGAAGAACAACGACTCCACATTAACCTATAATCAAAACTTCCAGATCTATATGCTTAATCAATGCGGAGTATAATTTAAAGTTGAAGTTATTTCAAGTCAGATTTTGGGTTGGGATCCAAGACACACGGTTCGTTAATCCGGAACATTTGACTGATGGTTTGTGATAGGTCTTGAAATTGATAATCTCAGCTACCAAATTGCTTAGTGTGAACGAATTATATATTATTTATTATTATATGTAGTTTATGTGTGTAACTACCGAAAAAAGGTCAACTAAATTTGGAAGGATGCACGAGTAGTCGTAAAAGATGCCTACTAAAATTAAAGTTTGGAGGAAATGACGAATGGGATGATGATTCACAGTTTATATTTATAGTTTTTACGGAATTTACAGAAACTTACAAGATTATACTAGTCATCAGTTATATTTCCTTTATCACCAGTTTTCCGTTAAAATCCAATAAATTGTACAACTGACTTAGCTAGGGATATATGGACCAGATTTTGTTTTTTCCTTTTTTTCTTTATTGCTTTTGTTTATCGCTTGCTAAGAACTTTCATTACGTTTCGACCATTTTTGTCGGTAAACTTATATATATAAGTTTGTCTTATTTTTGAAATGTTGTCAAATGTCTATATATCTCAATCTCTATTATTAAAGTCATCATAAAAAATTACAAAATATCGGTTAGTTTTGTATATCACTTATAAAAATCTGTGTTTAGGTCTTTACTATACCAAAAAGGGTTACATTGCTAAGTGACAGTGTGACACATATGGATTGGAGGGCCATAATTTGTTAAAAGAACATGCAATGACAAAACCGTAAACTAGTGTTACTGTTTTCACGTGTGATTTGAAAGAAAAAAATAGCGTAATAGTATCTTATATAATTAATGATACATATGGAAAATCGATTCTATTTTTAAAAACACACGCGATAAACGAATTAATTTACTTACAATTTACCATTTAGTGGTTTGTAAAATAAGCCCCAACGTTAGTGCATATCATCTTCAAAAATAATTAGATTAAAGATGTTTTACTGTAGGGTAATTCTTTCTTAATTTGTTTAATTAATGATCGTACTTTTAAAAAGTGCTATTATACTAAAGGCGTATGGACAACGACGTTGTATGCATTATTCCTCGGTCACTAGACATCGGTATGCTCAGAGGTTCAAACCATGTCGGTGTGTCTATTCCATCTATTAATTAGTATAATTTCATCCGCTAAACACAGAAAATAAGTCGCATGTGACGACTTGCAGTTTCAAATACAATATTTATTTATTTTGCATATCATATTTTACAATATTTATTTATCCGCTAAACACAGAAAATAAGACTTGTTTTCTATATATGTTATATTGTTTACTGCAGAACTGTGTCAAGTGTCAACATGATTTCTATGTTTTGATAGAATTAGGATATTCTCTACTGATAATTAGCGTTATCCGTGCATGCTTAAATCCAAAATCTCTAAAACGTCTCTATACTTTGACCAATGTCTTCAAGTACATACACTCCAAAATATATTGGATATGACACGATTATCACGTTGTTTTAGATCTGTGTATAAAACCAAATTGTGTATATGTACACACAATCCAAATGCTGATAAATTACAAGTTGGCATAGACGACCTACCAGAGACATTGGGAATAAGTTGTAAATCATTTTCTTATAAATCGCACGTCACATAAAAATATCATATATTATAAGTAGATTTAACAGTAATTTTCAAAGCTCGTCGGTAGAAGCTAGAACCATTTCATTGTAAGTAGATTTAACAGTAATATCATAAAATATAAAATAAATTATCTTATGTTTTTGTTTTGCGTGCGTAGATTTGAATGAGAATATATATATATATATATATATATATATATCTAATATAGAAAATGGGAAATGAGCTGAACATGTGATCCAAAATTGACAGATCCGTGAAGTTTTCCTTGTCATGGTCCGCCACACACAGGAGCTCGAATACCGCGCACTTAACTAATCCACGTTTATTCTTACCCTTGTACCCAAACATCTCTGTTTCGACGGTAAACAAACTGTGATCCTCTCTATATTCAGGCGTACGGTTACAAACACCGTCAAATCCGCCACGTCAGAGATTAGGAGCCACCGACATATAACCGTGTTTCACATGGGACCCATATTTCTCCGTTTCACCAAAAAATCACGTCGATTTTTGATATTTATATGGTGATTCCGCTGATCCAATAAATTCCGTTCAGACATAAGAATCGCAATAACTAATAATTATATTGCAATCTTGAAACAATAACCAATCCATATTTTTTTTAATGAAAACATTATATATATATATATATAGTGACGAATCCATAACAAAAATTAGCTGGAGGCATAATTTTATAAATAAATAAAAAAATTTAATTAAGGATAATTTCTTATTTTTACTATTAAATTAAAAAAATTTAATTAAAGTTAACTAAATTATTATTTTTTTAAAAAAAAAGGGATGAGTTTCACTGCATCCACCCCTATATATATATACGTGTGTGTGCATGCATTTGCAGAATATGTAACATACGTACACATTGCATAGGATGCGGCAATGGTAGCCGATCGATTGTGTTAGTAAATAACTTCTGATTACCTGGTTAATAAAACCTATCTGCCTACATAATTCATATATTGTCTCTAATTATTCATTTATAATAATTTTTGAATAATTTAATAATCGATAAATTAATATTATCAATACTAAAACTGGTTTACTTATCTCTTCTTCTTTTTAGTTTGTTTGTTTTGTTATCAGAATCATACGTTTCCCCAAACGCAATAAAATATAAACACTGAAGGATACCTAGTACGGTGTCTATTAGCAATTGGAATTTTCTTGAGCAAGCCTGATCCCCTTTTCTTCATGGAATTTTTATTCTTCCAATAAAATTCATAACTTTACGTGGCTTTATATTCGTACGTTGTTTTCCGTGATAGTTGTCCAAATCCTCGGTACTACATGAGTACAAACATATACAAAAATTGCAAACATATCATCATATCACCATCCTCGTGGCATTTTCTACTTTATTTTTTACGTACATGCAGATTTAAACAGAATATAAGAAAATTTAAAATGAAATATACACAATACAGGTTTTAATATCAAATAAAAGTAGCACTATATTCTGATTTATGAATGGAGTTTTATAAAATACTAATTTTGCCTCACGTAATTACCCCGTGGTTGGCGTGTACAAGTTGGCAACTGGTCGCCTACTAATGCGTTTGATAATAAATGATCGTGATTTTCTTATAATGTCTCTTTTTTAGTTTCTCAAACATTAATACTAGGATAATAAACCAAGTTTAAAATAAGACATACGTAATTTTTTTCTTTAAGAAAAACTCTGATCGTAAGGCAATTATAAGAAAAGTACGCTGAGGCAAACCGGCCTAATATTATCTGAACTCTGAAGAAGCCAAGAAAGGTCTCGTTTTCTTTCGAAAGGAACTTGGCCTAAACCGGCCAATTATTTATTTCTCTCATAAAACTGATCATGTGTTTTTGTCGTTCTTTTTAAACAATCCAAATATACGTATTCTCATCAGATCTGCATGTAAAATACACCATACTTTTTTGTAATTCTTTTCCTTCTTTTTATGATTAGATGGTTCTTGATTGGTATCTTTATATCTCATAAGCTCGGGATCGAAAAACATGTTATATGATCTCGTCTTAAATACTAGTATCCTATTTTATGATCTTTTCGCTTTTAATACTATTTATTTGAAGTTAAAATTTGACGATTATACTAAATTTGTTATAATGGCATATTTAAAGATAATTAAAAATCATATTATTTTTATTTTACTGAAAATAATGATGTTTACATAAGTGCCATTGACGCTATAAAACAAATTATACATCTATCGTAAGAAAATATTTTACTATCGACAAAATTACCTTTAATTTGGGAAAATCTGGTGTGAGACCTAACACAATAAGTAGTATTTTGTACCAGTTCAACAGCGACTTACGGACAATGTAATTATTAAGCATCTTTTAATTTTCTTTAGTTCTAATTTTTGTAACCAAAAAAAAATATTATAGTTTTGCTGTCGAATTACTGAAATTTAATTGAACAGTCAATAAATATATTTTGTTTTTATGCACCGCCAAGGTTTCATGGGAAGAGAGAGAGAAAAAGGTCAACAGTTAAATTTAATTAATAATAAAATACTCAGAGCGTTAGTTAAATAAAGGGTTTAAATAAATTATAGGTAATTAGACATCTACCCATGAGAACACTGGGAAGCTTCGTTCTTTTCCCCTTAAATACAATTGGAAAAATAATAAAAATATACAGAGAAATTTTCGTTATTTATTGAACGCGAGAGTAAAGATTCGACTAATTTTTTTGTTTTCCTCTTTCTTACTAATATTTTTCTCTGTTTGTAATAAAAATGGTAATCGAGCCTGCCAACGAGAGTGTTTCTTAATTGAGATAATTTGTTTTTTTTTTTTAATTATTCAGTTCTCACGAGCTTTGTCGAGATTGGATCCATACAAAATCTACACGACGCTGCTGCTTCACTCTCTCCCACTGTCGAGTTTCGAGTCGTAGATAGAGAGATAGAGAAAGAGAGAGAGAGAAAGAGAGAGAGAGAAAGAGAGCTCTCGAGGAAGAGAAGTAGAAGAAGAAGAAGACAATCTGATTTTGTTTTTTTTTCGTAATTCATCTGTTTTTTTTTTGTGAGGGAAAACTCCAGATTTAATTGTTTGTAAATACAGTGCGTATCTTCTTCTCCAAGAACGCTACTGCAAAGGGATCAACAAAAAGGTGCCTCGTCTTTTCTTCACTCTTTTACTCGTTCGTGTCGGATTTACCTTCTTGCTTTGTTTCACTTTCTTGATTTGATTCGATTGGGTTTTCCTTTTCCCCATGATTTCTGGATTAATCTGGGGGTTGGTGGGTGGGTTTTTGTCCAAAATTTCTGGGTCCTGGTTCGATTTCGATTTCCACGATAGAACAAATCGAAATTCCTGATCTTATCTAAATCAAAATTAAGTTACTCGTGGTATTATCGTCTCTGCTCGGAAATTGTGGATCTGCTGATGTAAATTGGAAGTTTTAGCCTTACTTATTTTGTTTCGGATTCGTATACAACACATGATCTCGACTTGATCTTGGATTATTACATAAATCTTATTTGCCTGAAGCTTAGATTTTGTCTCTCAGCTTCTTTTGTCTGATACATTTGATATTGGGTTTTACAGGGATCTTTAGATTTATAGCAAAAATGTCAATGCCACTGCAACGTGGCATCTCAGGAGTACGAGTCTCTGATAGCAGTGATGATTTGCGAGACTCTCAAATGAAGGACAAAACAGAAAAAGAAGATTTGGCTCGAGGTCGTTCCACAGATAGCTTAACCTTGAGGTTTCCTTTTGCTTTCCTCTTCAGTAACCAATCTTCTTCGAAACATGGCGAAAACGGCTTCCCTGCTGATCCTTATAGCGCAAGGAGTAGGCACAGATTGATGCTGCTGTTTCTTAAGATCAGTTTGGTTCTTATTGTGGTTATTGCTCTAGCTGGATCCTTCTGGTGGACGGTTTCCATTTCGACTTCATCGAGAGGTCATGTATATCACAACTATAGGAGATTACAGGAGCAGCTTGTTTCTGACTTACTGGATATTGGGGAGATTTCTATTGGTCCTAGTAGGTGGAAAGAGTTGGAGTATTGTACTTTAGAATCTGAGAATTATGTTCCTTGCTTTAATGTTTCTGAGAATCTTGCACTTGGTTACTCCAACGGTGATGAGAACGATCGGTTTTGCGTGCCTGGAGCAAGACAGGATTGTTTAGTGTTACCACCGGTGAAATATCGGGTTCCTCTTAGGTGGCCGACTGGTAAAGATGTCATCTGGTATCATAACGTTAAGATTACTGCTCAAGAAGTTTTGACTTCTGGTAGTATTACCAAGAGGTGATCAATTGTTGCTTCTTTTCTTCTCTTGCTAAACTTGGCTGGTTCCATTGCTAACCTTTGCTTCTTCTTTTTTTCTTTTTTCTTTCTTTCTAGGATGATGATGATGGAAGACGATCAGATATCTTTCCGTTCTGCATCTCTTATGTCTGATGAGGTTGAAGACTATTCCCATCAGATTGCTCAAATGATCGGGATTAAGAATGATAACTTTATAGAGGCTGGTGTAAGTCACAGACGCAAACTAGTTGGTCTTTATCTCTCTCTCAGCTCAGCTTCTCAAACGCTATTTTCCTCTTAATTTTATTTCAGGTGAGAACTATCTTGGATATTGGATGTGGTTATGGTAGCTTTGGGGCGCATCTACTCTCCAAACAGCTCTTAACCATGTGCATAGCAAACTATGAAGCATCGGGTAGCCAAGTCCAGCTAACACTTGAGAGGGGTCTCCCTGCGATGATTGGTTCTTTTATATCAAAGCAATTGCCATATCCTTCTCTTTCCTTTGATATGTTGCACTGCTCAAGATGTGGCATTGACTGGGACCAGAAAGGTAATCATTCGATGACACTCAAGAACGATTATTCCCATTTTCCTTTAGCCGAGGAAGGACCTGGCATTAATCTAATGTAGATCCACTGTGCAGACGGGCTACTCCTTGTAGAAATCGACAGGGTTCTGAAGCCCGGAGGTTACTTTGTTTGGACGTCTCCGCTCACAAACGCTCGTAACAAAGAGGATCTAAAAAGATGGAACTTTGTTCATGATTTTGCTGAAAGCATCTGTTGGACTCTTTTATCTCAGCAAGACAAGACAGTTGTCTGGAAAAAGACAATCAAAACCAAATGTTACAGTGCCAGGTCAGTGACACACACACCATTATTCTTTTCGAAAATCTTCATATGAATTAAAAAATATTGCTATTTTTGCAAGTCTTCTTACATGGGTGCTTAAATGTTGTATAAACAGGAAACCTGGGGTGGGCCCTTCTGTGTGTAGCAAAGGGCACGATGTTGAGACTCCTTATTACAGGCCTCTTCAGATGTGTATTGGTGGAACACGTAGCCGGAGGTGGATTCCCATTGAAGGCAGGACAAGATGGCCTAGCCGGTCTAACATGAACAAGACCGAACTTTCACTATACGGTTAGTCTTCTTGCTTCTGAATCCATATTGTCTGCAGTGTTTTGTTTTCTCATTTTTTATTATTCTGGGAGTTTTTGGTTCAGGTATTCACCCCGAGGAGCTTGGAGAAGATGCTGAGAACTGGAAAAGAACAGTAAGAGAATATTGGTCTCTCTTGTCTCCTCTGATATTCTCGGATCATCCCAAGAGACCCGGTGATGAAGATCCGTCGCCTCCTTATAACATGCTTAGGAACGTTTTGGATATGAATGCTCAGTTCGGTGGTCTGAATTCAGCGTTGTTGGAAGCAAGGAAATCGGTCTGGGTCATGAATGTTGTCCCTACAGCTGGACCAAACCACCTCCCCATGATCCTTGACCGTGGCTTTGTCGGCGTTTTGCACGACTGGTGAGTCATAACAAAAAAAAGTCTGTTAGATATTACTTTCGCCATTAGAAGATTTGTTTTCTCAACTTGTCTTTTTTTTTTTCCAGGTGTGAAGCATTCCCGACTTACCCAAGAACATATGATCTGGTACACGCAGACAATCTTTTGACGCTTCAGACAAGTCAGCGCCGAAGCTCATGCTCGCTTATAGAGATATTCACAGAGATTGACCGATTACTGCGTCCAGAGGTACACATTCGTTTACTTACTTTGAGAGAAGAATATTACTTTGGGTAAATAATGAAAAAAAAAACCTTTGGGTGCAGGGATGGGTGATAATCCGTGACACGGCACAGCTGGTGGAAGCGGCTAGAGCTTTGACAACGCAGTTGAAGTGGGAGGCTCGAGTCATAGAGATTGAAAGCAGCAGTGAACAGAGACTCCTCATCTGCCAAAAACCTTTCACTAAGCGACAATCAATCTGAACAAGAAGAAGAAGAAGAAGAAGAAGAAGAAGAAGAAGAAGAACATAGACACAGGTTTTCTCCACCTTTTTTTTATATTTTATTTTTGTTCCAAGTCTCACAGTTTGGAATCAGTCATGGAACTGTGCTGGCTATACGGGGAAGAAGAAGAAAGGAGAAAGAAGATGAAAAATATCCCGCCGGGGACGTAAGTCCGCCGGTGAAATTTCTTTATCTGGTTTCGTGAGTTCCCATTTTACAGAATCTTAGATTTATTTTTTCCTTTGGGGTTACTATTTTTACTACTTTTTTAATTATTATATACAGTGAAAAAATATATGATCAACATTTGTGAAGATGTTTATGAAATAAGTTATAGCTGTTTACACTTCTACAGTGTTCATTTTTCATTCTTCTCACACCAGAAAAAGTATACATTCTTTCACACCAGAAATTAACCAATGGTTGTCAAAAGTAGATTATTTTTGACGATTGAATTGAACCGAATAGAATATATTTGGTTTAGATTCGGTTTACATGTTTCACGCACAGAATTGCGCTCGCCTCCTCTGTCTCTTCTTCGTTTTCTTCTTCTTCACCGAGTGAGTCTCTCGCTGCTTCTACGACGATTCGACTCCAGATATTGATCCTTCCGTTTCCAATGAATCCGTTTGGAGTCCGAGGTATACTTCATTCCTCCACCGTCTCCACCGTCCAGACCCGCCTTCCCCAAAACAATGAATCCTCTCGTGAAAAAAAACTGCCTCCAAGTCGCGTCGATTGTCAGATCTCTGTTCTCTGTCAATTTGATCTCCCGGAGATGAAAAAATTGTAGAGAACCATTGCGAAGAGATGGTGAGCGCCGGATTATATCCCTAGCGATGAGGCATTTCTGAATTTCTGCCGCTCCGGAAAGCACAGAATCTTCATTTTCTGGTAAGCCGTGTAGCAAACTTGGGAACAGAGAATAGAAATTGTTATTTGCAGACACAAATTAGGCCAAGAGAAAGCGATGTAGTATTTCCAAAGAACAGAGATGGCTTTTTGTTTAATTGGTGAACATAAATGGTGCTATGTGATGTAGACATATAGTATTTCCAAAGAACAGAGATGGCTTTTTGAAAAATGGAAGATTCGGACTAAGTAAGCTATTTGGAGAACATAAATGGTGCTATGGTGGATCTGATTGCATTGCACAATTAATAAGATCCATAGAAAAATAAGGGAGATTTCAATGTGATGGTGGTATGTCTGAAACCGAAGATTTTCTCAGATGATGTTGGCTTCTGACTTTGGAGACTCGTCCCTTTCCTTTCTGTTTATCATCCACAGTGTGGCCTCGGTGGTGAACGCTAGGCGAGGCTGATCCCACAGATCTCTTGGTCACTGTTCTTTTGCGTCGGTGGTGCAGATTGTCTCCTCCACCAAACGCAGCTTTCGCGACGCTGTCTTTGACCACTTCCCTTGCTCGTTGTGGCTTGATGAGCTGCTTGTTTAGATAAACTAGCTTTGGGAGCAGGCTGGAGACAGTCTTACGCAGCTGGTCCTCACCAATGTTGCTCTGTATCGGGTTTCCAAGGATGTTCAGAGCCACGAGAGAGTTGTAGTTTGCAACTAGCTGGCCAATTGCTTTGGCGGTGGCGATCTTGTTAAAGCTAAGATCGAGAACGGTGAGTTTCAGCAATCTATGTAAGCCCTCTACATTGCTGATCTTGTTCCCAGCGAGGTATAGTTCTTTGATCAGTGTACAGTTTGATAAGCCTGATGATCATTTAGCTTCAGGGTTAAGACAGAAAGCAAACAAGCATTGTATGTTTTTTTCTGCTTAATGATTGCAATCTTACCTTGTCCGATGCGAGAAATACGGTTGTAACTGAGATCGAGCACTCTTAGTCGTGTCAAATCTCTCAATCCTTCTATTACATTGATCTTATTCTTTGACAGGTCCAACGCGTGGAGGCTCTTTGGAAGCGATGCAGGAGTAATTTGAACTGCAGTGAACAGAACGTTGTCTATTAAACACACCACACAAACTTATAAAACATGTCATTTATGGTTAAATTATCCAGGAGGCAGGAACGTACCTATGAAGTTGTTTGATAAATCAATCGACTTGAGGCTGTTAAAATGTGAGATGCTCGGGACAGCTTTCAAGCCTATGCTCGAGATGTGAGCCACGCTCGAGGATTTACTCAGCGATTGGATTAGGCTGTTTGCGTGAACAATCGCATCTGAGACATTTCTTGAGGGTGATCTCACGGTCGTAGGAGAGGCTATGAAGCTGTGCTTATCCTCATCCTCGTTTACTGGAACTACGGTATCGACATCGAGTCCTCTTACCCACTCATCCACTCGTTTCATCATCGAAGAGGAATCCGCAGAGAAAGCTACCCACTGATTATGACGAGGCCACAAGTCCGAGGATTGGTTGGTGAAACCGCCGCAGATGTTTGGAGATTCTTTAGTGAAGACTTCAAGGCTCGATTGGTCGTGCTCAGCAAAGTCAGACGTGTACCCAGACTGGTGGTTCTTGGTTGAAACGTCTAAAGTCTGTGACTTTAGCGAAACAAGGTGTTTGTGAAGGTTCCTATGGCTCCAGAGGAACAATTTCCACCAGAGCCGCCTGCTCCCCGAGGGAAGTATCTGCATCGAGGAATGTTTCTTGAGCATCACTCTATCTGCACTTCTATGGGACCTCACTGATTTGACCTCGAAGCTCTCTCTCTCGTCATGGAGCTCCCGAGGATCAGAACAATGGAACCTGCTGGTGAACTTGCTGAGATTTGAACAGGATCGTTTGAGCTTAGGAGAAGCCACCCAAGCCGTGGTTCTGCCTAAGCCAGGGTCGCTGACGTGACCGCCTTCGTCATCATCGCCGTTTTCAGAGCAATCTGTGACCTCATTTCTTGTCAGAGACTCAACGGCTCGTTGCTGAACTTGGGATTTGGGAGACTCGCGATTCGTTGAATCGTGCTCATCTTCACCGTCGTATAGCTCGTGCTCGATAGGACTGTCCTTGTGATCAAGGGGCTTGTCATAGCTTGTGTTGTTAGGCTCGTCATTCTCCAGAGGCTTCACTGGCTCTTCGAGTCTGATCTGAAGGATTCTCTGCGTTCTCGGTGGCAGAGGAGGTTTTGGATTCCCCTGTTCCAGACAACAGAAAGTGTTCAACGGATAATTCTCAAACATAGATAACTCGCCGGGAAAAAATAATCACAGTAAAACCACAAACAAACTAAAAGGTCATCAGAGAGAGCCAGAGAACGAAATTCCTCACCTTCTTTTTCTTTCTACCGATCAATCCAGAAAAGCAGTTGAATATCTTCATTTTTTTTGTGGACAGACTCGTTAGGCCTCAAAATTCTCCCAAAGATTTAGAATTAGCCGTAATCTACGGGAAGTCGGGAAAGCAGCAAGACGATGAGTATAGAAGGAGAAATGACGCCGGGAAACGAGGAGGCAGTTCTTGATCCGACCGCCGCCGAATCCGCTGATGTGTCGGCCAGAGTTTCAGAAATTTCGCCGTACTTGTTTTTTTAATTCTCTTTCATCAATACAAGCGACGACAGCCACTGAACCAGGAAAAAAAATAAATAACAGAGAAGAAGAGAAGAAGAGAAGAAGAGAGGAAGAGGAAGTATGAAATGGACGGGTTTTACAGAGCATGCAGATGCAGGAGAGCCACATGTACCTGCAATCTATGGTTTTTTTCGCTTAACTCTTATATGACATAGAAAAGTTGTGTGTACGTAATTAATATTTCATTCTTTACTTTCAATTAAGAAGATAAAAGTTTTATTTTTGTTATTTTTATCTTTGCTAAGATAAATAGAGTATGGGAAGATAAGTACTAGAAAGTCTTATGGAATAACGTACTAAAATGATAAGTTTACTCCTTACATTTTAAATTATAATGTATACTTCAATTTTTTGATTTTGTCAACAAATGTAAATCATTATCATTGTGCATATAAGATTAGCTGACTACCTAATTCCAAATTATATACAAAGGAATCCGCGGCTATAACACGGAGTCCATTATTTCGAGTTATTTTCCATAATAGATGATCCTATCGCATTCAGGAAACACGAGTAATTGGTGACTGGAAATTAATAAAATACTAATAAAAAGAAACTTATACAATCGAATCTCTATAAATTAATACTCGATAAATTAATAATCACTATAAATTAATAAATTTTACTGGTCTCAAGTCGGGTCAATGTAAAAATCTATCAAATTCGATAAGATAATAAGATAATAATTTTTTTTGAAACCCTTATGTAAACATATGGTCCCAACAAAAACATAAATTAATAATGATATAAATTTATGAAAATATATATAAATTTTATTTTTTAAAATATTACTAATATGTTCGTTTTTAGTTAAAGTGAAAATCTCATTGGTTCTTATCTCTCTAATTATTATATCAGTAGCTTTTATTGCAGTTTTACTATATACATTCAAAATTTATGATGATTTTTTGATGTGATAATTGATTTTCTTATATATAAATATTTTTAAATGTATTATAGTGTTATCTTCAATTTTATCATCAATACTGATAGTAGCCATAGTTTTTTTTTATAAATTTTAAACTTATGAACATGTATATTTTTATATGGATAATCTAATATGGAGAAAACTATTTTATTGTGATAGTTATGATTTTTAATCATAATTTATATTATGATATTTGTTAAAATTTTAAAATATAACATTATTCCAAAATAATTTTTAGAAAATTATATACAGAAAACAATTTTTCTTTATAAATTAATAATTAATAATTTATAGATAAATTAATAAAATATCATGGTCCCAACATTATTAATTTATAGAAGTTTTATTGTATGATGTTTTTAGACTATGGTAATGCGTTAAGTTGGTGGTTCTTAACTTTTTTTTTGTTTTTTCCTTTTTTCCCCTCTAACCGCAGGATTGTAGAAAGAAACCTAAACTAGTACCCAAAGTCTATAAAATGCCGATTATTTTAAGGTAATCGTAATGGAAGAATTCAGAACCCAATTATTTTAAAGTAAAATATCAAATTTGAACTAATATAACTGCATATCACTGGATAATAAAAAATATAGTTTATAATTATAGGCATAGCATTGGCTATTCTATTATCTCCTTTTATATAGATAAGTTTAAAAGTATTTCTATATAATTAAATGTTGAAGTTTGAAAGATGTAAAATAAATGCTAGTGGATTTTTGGTGTACATATTTAGTTACCAAGATCCAAAAAAAATAAATGCCACTCAAACTCAATCAATATATAACATAGAAATCTATACTTTATTCTCATAAAATTAAAAGTTAAATAAAAAATCAAATGATTACTACGTGTTGAGCATTGATTTTTTTCTTTTCTTTTTGTGCTAAAACAGATCACTGGTTTTTATTATTCTTAATAAAAGCACTTAAGAAAAGACAAACGGAATTAACCAAAGAAAAAAAAGATATACGATTTAAAAGGCAGAAGAGATTTAAGAGAAGGTGAGCATTAGGTACGATGGTTGCGTCGGGTAGCCGCAAGTAACGGCGTCCACCGAACTCCGCTGCTTTTAGTCCACCCAATCTCCGGTGGTCTGTCTTCGACTAAATACTAGCCGTCGATTTCAGATTTTATGGGTCCCACCATCTTACGCGCATCTGTGTGTTTTGTCTTTGTGATGACGTGATTACATCTCATTGGGTACAAGACTCTATATCCAACTAATGGTCCCTCGTGTCACATGCTTTAAAACACTGGACTCACTCAAAGATCATTCAGAAAACATAAAGGAATCACTCTCGTGTATATGCCAAAATCCCCCAACTTTATTATTTCTCGAAGATAATAATTTTTTTGAAGATTATATTTGGTTATGTTAATACTAAAAAATGCAACCCTACTAACGCTATTATTCATAGCATGTATGACTATATTTTTTTTTTAAATAAAGCTATTGCTTTTCTAGGCTCCCAAATAATATTCATTCTTGCTTTTGGATTTCCTTTCATTTTCTTTTCAAAAATAGTAAAACTTGGCATACATTATCATTATGCATCACACAATCTCCACAAACTTATTAATTCAAGACAAATTCAAACGACTATCGTAAAATATATAATAATATACAAAGGGTTCAAAAACAAAAAACAAATGAATATAGGGACGTAAGCGATAGGAAGTTTAAAAACATGTTGTCCTTGTTTTTCATATACGTGTCGTTACAGTAACGTAAAACATTCTAAAGGAAATATCTAATAATGTTTTGTTATGTTATCTCCACGTTTAAATTTAATCAGATTTTGGAAATATGGTGAAATAATGGGTCCAACGAAATATCGAGGATGTGAGAGATACTTACCAAGTGGTGGCGCTGCGTAGAAGGTGAAGAAGTATGTAGGGACTTCTAATCCTGAGAGATTTATTAAATTTAACGGTTCATAACTTTTTTGAAAAAGTCAATTTGTCGAATGGTATTAGTCTTTCACCACTCTTGTTAGAGATTTAGGGTTAAAGATTTGGGTATTACATTTTTAAATTTTTTTTATTAAACCGTGTGATTGAAGAAGTATGTACCTCTATAAATTTTTTGTTTACTTAAACAGTAGTCCCATTTATATTGATTGAGGTTCTGTATTAATATAATTTTGATTTTTTTTTGTTCTGAAAATGTTAATATAATTATTACATAAAATGCATAAATTAATAAAAAAACCTCGTACCAGTTTGTATATATTCCAAAGTGATACAATATCGTTAAACCGAGAATGCTTGTTTGTCTTGGAACAGCGTCGAGTTTGTTAGTAATCTCTTGTTATTGGGTCGTAGATTTAAAATTTTAAAAGGCCCATCTTGGCGTGCAAGCCCATAGACTTTTAAGATAATCTATCTTCTTATACTTCTGTAGTTTTGTTTATAGAAGCATAGTAATAAAATTGAATTGATCTTACATCCTACTTTACTTGGCTAAGCTTACTTAGACCATCTCCATCAGGGAGATATAGAAGAGTTGTTATGATTTTTAGCTAATAAAAAAAAAAAGAAAAAACTCTGAAAAGCTTACAACTCGTATGCTAAAGTTATTATATAACAACTTCGGTTAAGAGATCATATAACGTGTCCAATTTTCATTAGCTCTGTATTTTAATGGTTTTGGGCTGAAAATCGGAAAAGGTCTGTTAGAGGAAAAAGCCCAGTCGCTTGGTGAGAAATTTTAACATTTTAATAACCTATAAAGAATATGAGGGATGGACTAATAAAAATAGAAAGGTTCTTAACATTTTTTGAAAATGTCAAATTTAATATTAAACAATATTTAACAACTCCTCATAAATACGAGGGATGGAGATGCTCTTACCAAGCTGAAGACATGATGGTATATTCTCACATAGCTGAGTTTTCAATCTGACAATTGATCTTGGTTGTACTTAAGAAGGTGGTTAATTCTTTAAACAAAAAAAGAAGGTGGTTAATTAATTATCATAATATTGGTTTATGTTTTCTTTTCATGCTTTCGTCCGGCCATTGGTTGTGAACAAAATATTACTGTTATTAAACTCATAGAATTACAAGAGGATGTATGTGGCCGATATGATTAGAAAAGTATGTGAGCAAAATCTGACAAAGAAATGATTCTGATTTTCAGGCTGTACTCGGATTCTTTTCCAAAGTAAGACTAAGAACGTTGATATTAAGATTCTGACTTTCAGACAGTTCTGTGAAAAACATGTTCCTATTTTATTTTATTATTGTTCAATAATATTATCAGATTCAAGACTCTTCAAAATCTGACAAAGAAAAATAACCAAAATGGACGAAGCTTTTTTTCTGTCTTTCGCAAGTCGTATTTGGGGTCTTCTAACTATAAAACTATAAATCCAGTTGGATACTCGAATTTAGTTTCCCAACCTACACACTGTCACAAACTTGTGCTCCCATTAAAAATTAACGACGTGCCATTTATTGTTCCTACCAAATAAATAAGATTTGACTCTACCGCTAAATAAATGAAGCCTATTCATAAGGTAACACAACACATAGAATTCCGAAAATTTAACATCTGTTTACATTAACATCTGTTTTTTTTTTCCGAGTATAGAATTCCGAAAATTTAAATAAAATAGCGGTTAGAAAATAAAAATATTATTTAAATCTTGCATCACAAAGCAAGCAACATCATTAAAATGCCTCTCAACATTCGAGTCCGAGGGTGGATGTCAACCACAAGTCAGGCTTAAACGTTACCTTCTTAAACCCATTTGAAATCAATGCATGTGAACATTGGATGTTTGTTTCTCCGAGATTGTAGAATATCGACGGATTTTAAGACTCTTTAATATTTGACGAAGAAAAGACTCCTCCCTATACCAACGTTGACGAAGCTATTATTATTATTATTCATTGGTTTCTGTCTAATATCGCAAGTTGTAAAATTATTGGGTCTTCAAATATTGGTCACCGTCTCATACTCGAATTTAATTCCCAACTTACCTACACACTGTCACACACTTGTGTTCTCTCATTAAAGAATCATCCACGCACCTCTCGATTTCGGATACAAAGATTTTCGTAACATTGCTAACATTTACTATTACTTTTACCAAATAAACAAAATTTGATTGTATAACCAAATTTGATCAAATCAATTATGCTCTTGTAATGATTTTTTTATTACTATCAGAAAAATCTTTTAAAAACATGTACACCTGCAAATTGCAAAACACAAATTAACAGTTTTTGTTTCACACTTTGACACAAGTAAGAATATTGGGTTAATGTGTTGTGTGACTACTGTTACAACTTGAAACCATATTTCATTTTAATCCCCCTCAAATATATTAATAATATTTTTTTCTGCTGATTGGTAATAAATTCCTCAACTAATACCAGAGAACCAGACACAAATGTTGAAAGTACAACACAATACATATTCTACTCATCGTTTATTTTTTTTGGAAACCTCAAATTAAAAATTTCTTCGTTTTAATTTTTTTTTGTAATAATGACAGGTTGCTTCAGCTTCTCTGAAGCAATAGAACGGACTTACAAATCCGGTTTCAAAAGATCTGGGTTAAGACCCGTAACCATCGATTTGAAAGACGGAACCGTGGTCAACTTTTGGGTTTCCAAGAACCGACCCGAATCCAAACCGAATCTCCTCCTCATCCACGGTCTCGGAGCTACTGCCATCTGGCAATGGTACGACGTCGCTCGACGCCTCTCTCCTCATTTCAACCTCTTCATCCCCGACCTCGTTTTCTTCGGCGGATCCTCCACGACCCGACCCGAAAGGTCCGACATTTTTCAGGCCCAGACGCTCATGCGGGCCTTAGAGGCCCAATCAGTGAAACGATTCAGCCTTGTTGGTCTCAGCTACGGCGGATTCGTTGGTTATCGAATGGCGGCGATGTTCGGAGACGCCGTGGAGCGGGTGGTGATTTGCTGCGCCGCCGTTTGCGTGGAGGAGAAAGATATGAGAGACGGCGTTTTTAAGGTGTCGGATATTGATGAAGCTTCGAAGATTCTGGTGCCGGAATCTGTGGAAAAGCTCCGGGAACTTATGGGTTACATCTTCTACAAGCCGTCGCTGCCGAGAATGGTTCCTCCTTGTCTGCTTCATGATTTCATCGAACATGTGAGCAACTTTCTTCTTTTAGCTTTTTCAACCTATAATCTTGCGACAGGTGTCTAACTGTCTTAAGTATCTCAACGTAAGATTAGAAAAAGTTGAATGATGCAAATCTAGCAAGTGCAAAATATAGTTTAAAAACATGGAAAAAAAGATTTGAAAGATTCTAGCTGCTTCAAGATAATATATTTTATATTGTCTACTTTGGAGTTTTTAAATATTTTTTTTTATTCTGGTTGGTTCTTTTTTGTTTGTAGAATTTCGAAATTCATTTTTTTTTTGTTTTTTTTTTCACTAGATCATAGAATGCCCATTTTCCCAGAGTTAAATAAAACTTGATAGTAGTTCTCTGTGTACTTGTAATTGTTGTGCCAGTTAAGAAATAGTAAAACTTTATTCGTACCAATAGAATTAATTGTTCTTCTTTTGTTTGTTAATAAATAAGAATTTTGTTCCTAACCATATCGACGTAACTTTTCTATACTAATAAACAAAATCAAAACGTGAAAAAAAACAGGCCTTGACTAGAGACAACGTCAAGGAGAAGAGAGAGTTGATTAAAGCCATACCTAAAGACAGAATAATCTCAGAGATTCCAAAGCTCACACAGGTTCTCTCTTCTTAATCTCGTTTTCTTATCACTCAGTTTTCCAAATGTACAGGTAATTAATGAATATAAATTTAATTAATGATTGCAGCCAACATTAATAATATGGGGAGAGCATGATCAAGTGTTTCCACTAGAGATGGGGAAGAGACTTGAAAAGCATTTGGGAGATAATGGTAGACTTGTTGTCATCGAGAGGACTGGTCATATCTTCAATTTCGAGAGACCCAAAACTTATCTCAAACTTCTTAAATCTTTTCTTCTGCAGACGAAACAACAGATTCCTGTCACTAATGGAGCCGTTTGATTCTCTTAACCTCTGGTTTTTTATTCCTTATCATGTATCCTTCAAGCTTTAGTTACACACGCGTAATATATATATCAAATTCACCTCCCCATTTCGTTAACTATATACTTAATAGTCATTCTGATTACGATGATTTATGTTCAAATTATCTGAATTATAATTCGTTAAGCAAGAAAAAGATTCTCTTTCAGAGCTTATCAAAATGAAATACTTCACTTGTTTTGGATCATAACATTCTATTCAGCTTATTAAATGTCAAATTATTCTGCATCATTTAAATTTGTAGCCCAGAAGAAACGTTAAAATCTTAAATTCTTTTCTTTGTTGTTTTTAACGTCTTTTTTTTTGAAAAGAGATGATTATCAATGTAGAAAGAAGAGGACATAAATGTACCATAGAAAAGGATAATATTGCAGAGAAGAAAGAAACAACTCTGCAAATTATAAAATCCCTCTCATGATGGCGAATTGATATGTGCCTCCAGAACAAAGCTAACAAGAACGGATCTTGCTGCTGAAAGAAGAGGCATCTTTCTCATATCGAATTTCAAACACACAAGAAAAACAAAAGAAATCCTGTCAACAAATTATCAACAAACACACAACAAATTTTCTTAACCTATCAACAAATTATATTAACTTGAATCAGCAAAATTTGAAACCATAAAAGACAGAAAAATCGGCTTAGAGAACTATAAGAATGGAACAGAAACGATTGTGATGATATATGCACATCTCCATGGAACAGCATTTGATATATATACAGGCGGCCTCCAGCTTCCTGCTTCAAAAAAACCCTAATTTACTTTAGGTTTAACGTTTTGTGGGCGTAATGGGCCAACGTGTAGGCCTATATCATAAAGCCCGGTAAATATATACGTACATTGTTAAGATAAATGCTGAATAATCAATGGTCATTATTCAAGTAAGAAGAGTTAAAAACCACAATGATTGTGGCCTTGTGGGTTTCGGTAAACCGAAATTTCCCTTAATATAGCCACTAGCCAGCATGGTACATGCGAATTAAGAAGAGCAAAAAAAAATCTCAGATTTTAAAAGAAAATTGTTAAAGCCCAAATTTCGGATACACATAATGGGCCATCTTAAAGCCTTTAACTAACATGAGAAGAGAAAGAAGGTGTTTATGGAGCAATTCCCAATTCCATTGAACTCGTCGGGCACAATCACGAAGAACCTATCCCTCTCTTCCACGTGAATCTTCTTCCTCCAATTTGACTTGGGTTTGGTGAATTTCCTCTCAAAGGCTCTGAACAGTTCTTGCCTTGTTGGGAAATTCTCAGCTTTACTCAAGGAAGACTATCATGTCTGTGACTGTAAGAGAAATCATGTCTGCAATTAAAAATCTTTCCCTAGAACCAGAAGCCAAAAGGTTGCAGAAGATCGAACAGGAGATCAAAGACTCATGCTCCTCCTTCGTTACCGAAGTAGAAGCCAAAAGAGCGCTTAAAAACTCTCCCTCGAACCAGAAGCCAAAAAAGGGCACAGGATCGAACCCGAGATCGTGTGGTCACTGGTACGTTCGTTCTAGAGTCTGCATCGTCTGCAAAACCAAGGTGGAGAAACGCGAAGGCCGAGCATTCGATTATCTTGTCCAAGGATTACAGCTAAGCCACGAAGCTGTGGCGTTAACCAAGCGCTTTACAACAAAATCCTATTGTGTCAAAGAGAGGAAGCTTCACCTTGTCCTTGACTTGGACCACACGCTTCTCCACGCCACTAACGTTTCACGTCTCTCCAAAGCAGAGAAGTATCTAATCAGAGAAGCAAGGGAAGTTCTACGGAAGATTGTAGTCGGAGAAGATTCCACCGAATTCTTGACAAAGCTACGGCCTTTTGTTCACGACTTCTTGAAGGAAGCCAACGAGATGTTCACAATGTATGTTTACACGATGGGTACTCGTGATTACGCTAAAGCTCTTTTGGAGCTGATTGATCCGGAGGGAGACTATTTTGAGGGTAGAGTGATAAAAGGAGACGATAGTCCATATGTGAAGACTCTTGATTTGGTTTGGGCTGAGGAGCGTGGAGTGCTCATTGTGGATGATACGGCTAGTGTTTGGACCCATCACAAGAGTAACCTTGTGGAGATTAGCAAGTACAACTATTTCAGAGACGATGGCCAAAAAGATTCAAAGCCTTACTCAGAGGAGAAGGGAGACGAGAGTGAAAGCAACGGTGCATTGGCCAATGTTCTAAAATTACTCAGGGAAGTTCACTGTGAATTCTTCAGAGTCAAGAAAGATCAGTTAGAGTCGCAGGACGTGAGGTTGCTGCTAAAAATAAACAGGACGTGAATCAAGAAAGATAGCTTTCACTTTAAAATAACATCAATCGATCCATTAAACTTACAATCAAATGTTCTTGTAATTTGTGAAGTATTTTATATAATAAATCATTTGGCTTGTCAAACTAGTTTAAATAAATCCTATAAAACTCCTACTCTTGAAAATGCAGATGTAACCAAGAACCAGATCACACTGAACGGGACCAAAAAGAATCATTTATCTTGGTTATCATTTAAACCGGACAACAATGCAAGATATGTCATCTTTACTGTTTCTTTTCAATGCTTCAGTAACTAGTTTCTTTGCCGCTTCCTTTGGATCTCTCAACTTCTTAGCTATGTCAACAGCTTCTTGGTTTGACATTACCTGCTCAATTATGTTTAGCAAAACTCTTTCCCATGAACTACTTGAACAATCTAATTAGTGATCTATCATCGAAGATTTTTACCTTGGAAATACCGTCACTAGCCAGAATAAGAATATCTGTGTGACTATCAACTGTGACATCCTTAATGTCAGGCTCTGTATTCAAGTAAGCTTTGAGGTTTTTGTCTCCAAAGACACGCGACACAGCTAGTAAACCATTCACTCTAGAAACATCTCCTGTTCAAATTCACAAACATCAGAATCATCCTTACTCTCAATCAAATTGTAACAAGAGATTTTTAAAAAAAAAGAGAGAGAGAGAAGCTGTTCTTGACCTGGCCTGTTGGTTACAAATCCACCTTTACTCTCAATCAAATTCCTTTCAGTATCAGTATCGGGATCATGATCTACACTTATCTGCTTTGCTTTACCTCGACGAGACACAATTGCTCGTGAATCGCCAACATTAGCTATCCACAGAGTTTCTCCATTGATCAAAATCGCAGTCACGGCAGTTGAACCGCCACTCCCTAAATCCGAACTATTATCTGATAGAATCGTTTGGTCTGTATTCTCATAAGCTTTTGCAATTGTTCTTCGAGGATCAACCAAGAACTCTCCCTAGAAAATTTTGACAAAAATGTATGTCTTTATCAATCTACCACACACTTATCATACATAAATACGCAAAAAAAAAAAAACAACTTTTTATAGCTTACATCGTTTAGGATATTTGAGAAGAGATGTTTCTGCAAATATGCAGCTACTTCATCACCTTTATGACCATCAAAGATTGCAAATAGCCCCAATTCATTGCCTTTGACATTGATAAACTTAGCGACATGATAATCCTCCATTGAACGCTTCGATTTCCCCTTTACTAAACTAAATCCAAACTTGATTCCTCCTTCATTGTTTTTTCCTTTACCCGAGTGAGATTTTTGTGCTACCACAACCTAACATTAAGAAGACGAAAACAGATTAAAAAAAAAATCTTAAAATCTCCGTAAACCAAGCAAGATCTCGAGGCTACAACATAATAAGCAAATATAAAAATTTCGAAAACACTGTAAGTACCATCATTACTACTGAATTTAAAAAGAAAACGAAATGATTTGCACTTTTCACCTGTGTAGCGGAACGAGAACAGCAGATCCCGGGCATTTGATTGGACGAAATTCTTCGGCGGTTGTGAACGAATTAGCAAATTGCGAAAAATTATATCAAACAAACAATCTGCCTGCGAAATTCACGACTCTGAGTTTAGAAAAAACACCAACAGGAGGATGCATTAAAGTACACGCAGAGACTTTTAAGAAGATGAAGCAAAATTGAAGAGAGGAAAGAGTGGAAGTAAACCTGTAGATCAATTTCGCCAACTCTTTGAGCGAAGAAGCCTTCGTTCTCCTTCGTTAATGTCGTTTTCTTTGCGGAATTTTATATCCACTGAAAAAATAATTCTGGTATAGTAACTAAGTTCATGAATTATTTTTTAATTTCAATCCATATGGCCATACCATCTTAAGGTTATTTTAACTCTTTGCATGCCTTTCTTTTGGAAACTACTTAAACAATTGTCAACATTACACTGGTTTCAAATATGCATCAATTTAATAATATTGTATTTTAATAACCAAATCCATCTACATCATATCTCCATGAAATCTTCCAAAGTATTTTACCATCTATTTATTTTTTTAGTCTTTTGTGTTTTATCTTAAGCAAGTTTATTTCTTTTTTTCTATCACATACCTTTTCTGACTTTAACAACATATTTGACTCTCTTGTGTGTTTTTATCTCAAGCAAATTTATTTCTTTTTCTATCACATACCTTTTCTGACTAATTGAACAAATCTGGCCTGCTCAGTGGTTTGGACGACTGTTTACGCAACAACACGTATTGATCAGTTTTCTATAAAAAAAAAAAAAAACTAGCTATTAAGTAACCATAGGGGTATTCTCGTCCTTTTAGCAAGCTTCAGCCTGCCACCACGACACTTTGTCTTCCACCTCCGTCGTCAGCCGCCACGACACTGCTCCTTCCTCGCGCGTCTCTTGATCGTCGCAGAGATAGACAGAGAGAGAGAAGATGAGGTTGATTGTGCACAACATGATGTCTTGCAACATCAAAGGAGTTGTTAACAACTTTCCTCTGCGGATCGAAGCCGAGAAGGTGATTGAGAAGGAAGTCGATTTCAACCCGGATTTTCTCAGGCACATGTTCGCAAAGATCGAGTGGAAGGCTCTTGTGGATGGTGCTCGTTCTTTAGGTTACACCGAACTTCCGGATCACGCACCAGACACGGCGGCGCTGGAATCCGACGAATCATTTCTCAGGCAATTCCACCACGCTTTGCTCGAGCTCCACCTCGAGGAAGGCTCACTCGTCTGCCCCGAAACCGGTAGAAAGTTTTCTGTCAACAAGGGCATCCCCAATATGCTTCTCCACGAGGACGAAGTTTAATTATTCCTGATCCTGATGTTTTCAGAGATCAATGGATTCCGAAAATTTTAGAAGATTTAAAAATTAGAAGAAAATTTACATTTCATTCCTCTTGCATTGTGTTATGGATGATTCTCTAAGCAATAATGCTCTGCAAATCTATATCTTTTCTCCATTCTTATCATTCTACTTTAAGCACTATCTTCATACACTCGTAGACAAAGTAACTTATTGCAGCCGAAGGCAATACCTGGAGATATGAAACAGAGGAACAGACAATAACATATCAAGCTTTGGAAAAATATCGAAGCTGGTTGAGTTTGGTTGTAATGTGGTATATGGAAGAAATACTATTATGCAAACCTGGAGCAAGCTAGGTAAAAGTCCAGCGTATAAAGCTGGGATCCCTCCTCTCTCAATGATACTGAATCCCATAGCTAAAGCACTGAGCTTGTTTCTACCTGCCTGCATCTGAAGCTGTCGTCTCACTACTTCAAAAGGATAAGTAGCTACTTCAGTACAGACACCTGCTATAGCACCGTACAGGAGAGTTCTGATGGGGCCTAACTCGAGCCGGTCTAGAGCATTGAGTTCTTGTCCCTGCTGCTTCATGTCTTTGAGTCTTTTCCTGCCTTCTGGTGTATGCAGATGGGATGATTTAAGGATGTCGTAAACGCCATAGAAAACCGCACCGGACAGAGCCATGCTTGCTATTGAGGGGACTAGACCCTTGTAGAGAGACAATAAACCTTCGGTTTGGATCATATACTTGAAAGCTCCTGTTATCCCGCCTAAGGTTTCTCCACCCCGAGCCACTAGCTTTGTTCGTAACTATGCAGTATTAGAAGAACACATTTCAATCATATTGTTTCCACATGCATTTTCTTATTTCCCGTCCAAAACTAAATGCTTACTAACACTAGACTTCTATGTCACTTTAATCCTCTAAAGCACAGGACTTTCGAAAACTTACAGTATCGAGTGGCAAGCAGAGTACAGTAGCAGTAATACCAGCAGCAGCTCCAGCAACGAATCTCTCAAAGTTGGTTGCTTCTTCATTCCCAGCAATTTTAAGCAATTGCTTTCTGTACGTATCGTAGGCACAAAAGTTGACGGCTTTGAAAGGAGCCGTTCGGAGAACATTGAGCAAATTACCTTTCCAGAACCCTCTGAAGCCTTGCGTGGTCGCAATTGTCTTAGCGACCACCAACAAATTCCTCTGTTCACCACGAACTGTATACTCTAGCTTTAGTCTCTCAAGTGGGGCTAAGAAAGTTCTGGCATCAACAACAAAATCCCATTTTTAGAACCAAAGCCAAATTGGGGGAAAACACAATCATGGTTTTTGGTTCAGGCATTTCATCAAACGAATTATAGGCGTTACTAATCGAACGATATATACTTGGAAACCATGGCAGCTACGGCACCGGCCCAGAGATGCTTCCGAGTGTTCATAGTCCCGCTTCTTCTCACTCCACTCAAAACTCTTCGTTTTCCATTTCCCTTGCCGCGAATTTCGTCGTTTTCCGCCAGTGCATCCTTACATTCCCGCTCAGATCCGTCTTTACTCAAGCTCACGGACAGGAACAGCAAATCCTTACCGGAGCGGAGGCGGCTTTGCTTTCTCCAGTAACCGGTAAAATGCACAGGCTCGGACTCGGAGGAAACCCATTTGGAGGAGATCGAGTCGAAGAATGAAACGCCTGGAGGTTCGAGAAACAAACCACCGGTTCTGAAGAAAACTTCATTGGATTGGTCGCTAAAGCTGGAAGAAGAAGAAGGATCGTGAGGATAGATATGGAGTCCAGACATTTGGATAATGAAGAAGAAAATTCACTAAATTTTGTAGGTGAGCTTATTCGGGATTCGGCCAATCGAGAGATCTTAGAGCATGATTCTTGCAGAAACCTATATGGGTTTCTTATGCAATTTATTATTATTATTTTTTGTTAAAAAATTCTTGATAAGAAACCTTTAGTTTATGTTGGTTTATTGGTAAAACCAGATATGAGTTTCTTTAAAAAAATATCAAAAGGAAGATGATAAGAAATCCAATCCATTTTGTTTTCCAATTCATTTTCTTACTTTTGCCGACAAAAATATTGTTACTTGGAAGAATTGAAGAATTGCTCTGGTCTTGCAACAAGCTACATACACCAGTTATCGACAATGATTTCGTTGTAGGCGATGCTTGGGTATTTTTTAGCAACTTCTTGGCAAAATTCCAAGAACAAACCATCAGCTAGTTTCGTGATGTTGGCTTTGTGCACTGCTGTAACTTTCTTCCTGTTGTTCAAGTAGGCATACTCGAACGCATACTTTGCAATACGCTCCGAACAGAACTTTGTGATCACTTAGCATAACAATAAGTATCAGAAACATCTTGGATAATACTAGTGGCAATCCCATATAAAAAATAATGATGATCAATGTAAATCTATGAATGTCGACTTCAAGATCATGGACATATCAGATTGTTAAGCTAACTATTCCACTCAAATCACATCAACAGAGTCATGGTTGTGACATTTTATTCAGGAAATGCATCTAAAATCGACTATAGACGCCCAGAGAACTCAACTTAGAGAGCAAAAATTCCCAGCACTTTCTAATTACTGATCAAACTCTACTCAAAAACAATAAGGTAAACACTCAAATCTACTACCAAATCACATCTATAACCAAAAATCCAAGATAAAATTCACCTTAAAGGCTCTCAACGACACCAGGAACAACTTTGTGCTCAAGCCCTGCATATTCACCTTCAGTGTTCTCTCTGATCACAATGACATCAACGTTCTCGTGATGAGAAGCTAAACCAAGCAAATTGAAACAGTTGACCAAAGACGCGAAGAGATCGAGCCATGTAAGTAGCCCAGAAGAAAACGACGGTCATTAAAGCCATGTAGCTTCCAAGGACAATTCCTGTTGCAAAGATTTCTTTGAGTTGCGAAGAATATATAAACATCTAAAACCGAATCATATGCATGCAAAAGAATTGAATCCAAACACCTAAAGCGAAATCCAAAATCCATAATTCCAAATCAATCCCCAAAGAAAATCAAACCTTAAACCTACACCCAAATCAATTTACAAGGGACAAATATCACTTGCAAAGCATAAAAAGAAGATTGGTAAACGAAATTACCTGTCACGAAAGGATTCAGAAGATCGGAATCTTCAGAATTTCTCATCAGTCGGATCAGTCGGTGATGCGCCGCCGCTGTTCAGGAGGAGATTGGAAGACAAGAAGGCGGCGGTGATGCGATTGTACACGGTCGAGGAAGACGCTCGTCGACGATGGACACCACGAGGAGGGATCGAGTAGGGATTGGAGAAGTCGAAAAGTCTTTCTCGACGAAGGAGAAGAAATGTTCGAGACAAAAAAAAATTCCCAAGCCAAAAAATTTCCAATCACAGTCTGCCACGCATCTAGGAAGGATCGATCCTTCAAGTCCCTAAATTAGGATCGATCCTACTATTTAAACCCATTTTTCAATTAAAAAAAATCAATTAATTGACTAGAAATTCATCGAGAAACCCTCCATAATCATGGTCTTAGACCCGGTTGGACCGTTCGTGGGGCCTTCATAATTTGAATTTCTTTTTTTTTTTTGGTCGAAATATGATTTTAAGAGCATCAGCAATGCTAATACCTCATTAAAGGTACTTAAGCAATATAATAATATTAAAGTTATGTTAAGAATCTCAATTTAAAAATTAAGATTTGTTGCCTCTAATGCAAGAATCTGTAATGGATTCTTAAAAAAAAAAATCTTTGAACGCCAACGCCGAGCAGCCAACCGTTGTGTGTCAAGGTGGAGAGAATTCCGACGAAGGAAAGCTGCATGATACTCCTCGAAATCTCTGCTAGAAAGGGCTTATGGGTCGAACCGTCGAAGCAGAAAGATGATGATTATGGGTCGCCGTCGATGGCGTATCGGAAGCCGTGAAAACAGAGCATCAGAGGGAAATTGGATGAGATTGGTCTCGTTTCAGAAGGAATAATTCAATGGGTTTCACGAAATTACAAAGTTTTGGTCAACAACAAAGAGAATTTCTTCATTTTATTATAGCGATGGAGAAGAAGAAAATTTTCTCAGGAAAGAAAGAAAGAAGAAACACAAAAAAAAATTATCTCAAAGTTTCTATCTAATAAAATTATGGCACGTGGAATCAAGTATCGATTCTTATTGGTTTTAATATAAGTATAGACGTAGTTATTTGAAGTGTTTCTAACTGTTGATTTGAATTTTTTGGAGCTAATAGTGTAGTTTTATGTAATATGGTACGAATTGTGTAATTTTATGTAACATATGTGGTCATTGTGTAACATTTCCCAACTTTGACTAGTCAACACTCCTGCAGTGCTGACGTCAGCACATCCGCGTAGCAAATAGCCGTTAGGCGGGCATGCCGCCCGTCGGGAGTCGTCGGTGCCGATGATCCTATAAATACTGGATGGCTTTAGCGCCAACTTCATTTTCCAATAATCTCACACTAGGGCTCCATACGAGAGAGAGCGCGGGAAAACGAGTACGATTTCTTTGTTCGTAAAGTCTCGAAATGCAGAAGATAGGGTTTCCAGCGATGAAGAGCTTCGATCAGATCCGTTCGTTGGCTGGATCGGCGAAGAACTTCTCCTTCTCCTCGCGTCAACCTCAGGATTCCGTCTCTTCCGGAAATTTCTCGAATCTGAAGTTTACTGCAGGTTTTGTTTTTTGTTCGTTTGGTTTGATTTGAGAATTTCGTTCCGATACTTTCTGAGATCGCGCTATTCTGATGATCGCGATATCTGCGTTTCTGTTTTCCAGAAAAATTGGTGAAGGAACAGGCTTCTATGAAATCCGATCTCGAACTGGCGGTATTTCGAATGCTATCCCGCTTTCTTCTTACATTCTGCGTCTATTCGAACTTAAGTTTGATCGATGTGCTTAAGAGGTATGTATGGTGGTGTTGCTACTTGCTAGGATTGTGTGTTTGGTTGCCGTTCTTCTTTTTTAGCTGTTAACCGGAATAAGCAAGAAACGGAGATCTCTTTGCTTAGTTTTGCGAGTCTTTGATTATCCGCGGGAACATCTTATTTTTGGAAAGATTTTGGGACTGATAGATTCGAGTTATTCTTATGCTGTACTGCCAAAATACGTTGGTGTTGTTGCTAGGATTGTGCTTTTGGTTTCGGTTCAACTGTTTAGTTTTAAACCGGAATGAGCAGGAATACGCAGATCTATGGGCTTAGTCTTGCGACTTCGATTTGATTATCCGCGAGACATCTTAATTTTGGAAAGATTTTGACATTGATAGATTCTGATTTATTGTTAATTTCTTATGATATATTGTTAGAAATGCATTTGACCTGAATTTGATAGACAATTCTGATATTTTTCCATGATCCAGAATTCTAAGCTGAAGAAGTCAATGGATCATATAGCTGCTTTAGAAGAAAAACTGCAGAACGCTTTCAATGAGAATGCTAAGCTCAGGGTAATGCAAAAGGAGGATGAAAAGCTCTGGAGAGGGATGGAGTCCAAATTTTCTTCAACGAAGACTCTGTGTGATCAACTTACTGAGACTCTGCAGCACTTGGCTTCCCAGGTTCAAGAAGGTAATAATTACATGCACATTGGTCGTTGAGTTCTTGAAAGTACCTATGGTTTGTTGCTTTAAATGTTTCCTAAACTGCCTCTACAGCTGAGAAGGATAAAGAGTTTTTTGAGTCCAAATTCTCTACTAGTGCGGAAGCAATAGACTCTTTAAAGCAGCAAATGCAAGATCTATCTTTAAGATTGGGTGCTGCTGAAGAAGACATCAAAAGCCGTAAGTTTTTGGTTTGTTTCAGACATGTGTTGTTGATTCCTTTCATGGGAATACCTTTAATTTGAAAAGGATTGAGTTGCTGCAATATTGTTTACCAAACCATTCTATATGGTTCTTTTGTGGGATATTGTTATACATTTAAGTTAACCATGCAGGTGAGAAGGAGCTAAAGGAGCTCAACCTCGAGAAAGAACAGAGAGAAAACTCTTACCTAAATGAACAGTGTAGAACTGCCGATCTCTTAAAGGAGAAAGGTAAATTTCTTGCTCTTTTAGATTCACAATGTTATTCTCAGACGCAGTAGATCACATGTTTTATCTGATTTAATAGCTTAAGAATGTACCCACACACCAAATAGGTTGAAAACTCAATGTTTCTGAAGAATGTTCACTATTCAGATGGAAACAGGATAGAGAGTTCTTAGCTTTGCAGACATAATTCAAAGGAACGCACGCTTGTGTTATTACAAAGTTTCTGTATGTATTGGATCTTAATCACCTCTCTGGACGTCTTGTATCTCAACTTTATGACAAGATTTTTCCCTAGATTACATGATAAGATGGTGTTTAATGTTGCAATAAAGATATACATTACACATATGAAACGAGAAATATTAGTTTTTGATGCTATGTGATGGTATTGGTATTTGCATGGAATCTTCTTATATCCCTTCTTTGTGGCAGATGTTATCATAATGAATTCTGAAGCAGCTATTGCTGAAGCAAAACTCAACATTGAGAATTTAAACTTCCAACTTGGGAAGCTGCGTCTGGAATTAACATCAAAAGAAGATGAAGCCAAATTCCTTGTTGGCGTCAAGGAGAAGTTGGAGCAAGAAAAGATGACAATTCAGATGAGTGCTGATAATCTATCTGAGAAACTGATTAACTCAGACCAGGAGGTCAAGAAGCTCGAGGGCTTTGTCCACTCTTTGGCAATCGAATTGGCTGAATTAGACAAAAAGAACTTGGCCTTCATGGAAAAATTTGATAAGCTAAATGGTTTATATGGCACTCACCTTATGTTGCTCCAAAAGGATAGAGATATTGCTTCTGATCGTGCTCAAAGATTATTCAATCAACTCCAAGGAGAGTTCTTGACTGTGACTTTCCAGAAAGAATCTCTGCAGTCAGCAGGCAATGAGTTATATGAACAAAAAGAGGAACTGAAGAAAGCTAAAGAGTCACTAGTTTCCCAACTTGCCGAAGAACGCTGCTCCGCAAGGCAGGCGATTGAAAAGCTAGAGTCTGAAGCAAAACTTCTAGTTTCAACAAATGCTGAGTCAGAAGCAGTAATCTCAAAGTTGAAAGAGGAAATAGAAGCTTTGGTGGAAAATCTGAGGGCCTCAGAGAATAAGACGGTAGATATATCTTCCATCTCTTTGTGCAGTCTCTATCAAAATTATCAATGCATAGTTGTAATGCTTAATCTATTCTGGTATCTCGCAGCAAGAATTGTTGTTAAAGCTTTCATCATCAGAGATGGAAAGTAAAGAGAACTATGAGAAGCTGCAGGCTGATGCACAGAGAAAAGCTGAAGAAATGGAGATTTTGCAGAAAGAGAGTGAGAGCAATCAGCTGCGTGTAGAATCATTGTCGAAAGAGGTGAACCAGCTCCAAAGCGTTATTGAAGAGAAAGAGCTTCTTATCCATCAATGCAAGGAAAATGAGAAGAAGCTGGACCAGAAAACTGCAGAGGTTTAAGAAGATAGATATTGGACAAAGCTTTATGAGTTTAATCCACCTATTAGTAGTACTCATCACATATGAACTCCATTGCAGGACAAGGAGCTACTGGAAGCTACTGAAACTAAGCTTCTAGACGCGAAGAAGCAATATGACCTGATGCTGGAAAATAAACAGTTGGAATTATCAAGGCACTTGAAGGAGTTATCTCAGAGGAATGACCAGGTATATCTGGATCAATTTCTTCATATATGCTCGAATGGTATCCGGAGGATTTGCTTAGCGCCCTTAATCAAACACACCAAAAATTTGACGACATATGCTTTTCTGATGCTTTTTAGGCAATCAATGAAATCCGGAGGAAATATGATGAGGAGAAGCAGGAAATTATTAATGCAGAAAAGGAAAAGGTCTATGCCGACAAAATATTGTATTGAGATCGACCAAGCAATCGATCACGGTTCTGAGATGCTATTGGTTCTGATTTCAGGTTGAAAAGGTTATCAAAGAGTTATCAACGAAATACGATAAAGAACTCTCAGATTGTAAAGCCGAATCAAAGCAGCAATTGCTGACCATTCAGGAGGACCATGCTTCTCTGGTATAGTAATCTCCACTAAAACCTGATGTATCTGAATATCACCAAGCATAGATAAGCTTATACATGTGTTAAAGTGACTTTTCTAAGATTTCAACCCCTCTGAAGGTTTAGCACCAGAAGATGCAGCTATCTAGATCAAAGTCCCTTTTTCTCTGGATTTTCTGTTTGGAAGTTTAATACTGAGCAGGTTTTAACTAGCAAATAGACTGATAAAGCTGCATGTTCATGCAGATACTCACTATTCGAGAGGAACATGAAAATAGAGAGTTCAATCTCAAAGCCAAGCACGATGAGGAACTGAGACAAGCTCAGATTCAGGCTGAGAATGAATTAAAAGAGGTACCAACAGACATAATTTGATAGTTCGATAGGAATATGAAGCCTCTGGTATTCAAATAATTTATATCTTTACCCAGAGGATAACAACAATCCGGGACGAGCATGATGTTCAGTTGAAAGCATTCAAGTGTCAGTACGAAGTTGATTGCAAGAAGCTGCAAGAAGAATTAGATCTTCAGAGATCAAAAGTTAGTGTATATCAAGATTCATTATAAGATGCACCTGTTAAGGTTCAAAACCTAATGACGTAAATGTGTTACCATCGTTTGCAGGAAGAAAGGCAAAGAGCTTTGTTGCAAATGCAGTGGAGGGTTATGAGTGACAAACCGCCTGAAGAGCAAGAAGTGAGCTCTAGAAAGGTTAAACCTCAACCACGAATCATTTTGATCCACTAAAAGAATGCTTTATCTACTATATATCATCATCAGATTTGAATAAACACAAACATATGTTAATTTCAACAACTTAATCATCTTGTAGGAATATTCAGTCGCATCTGCCAAAGTGAGAGGTTCTCGTCCTGCTGGTAGCAGGAGAAGCCAGCATACAGCAGTGATGATGCATGATGACGATGAACAGGTAGGAAATAAAATGCCATGTTTTTTTTATATCTTGTTTTCTGCTTTGTCAAAGTCTGCACATATAAATATGCATATAAATGAAAATGCAGGATTCCCCTTTTGTGAAGGCAACAGATACACCCGTGACAAAGATATTAAAGAAAGTTGAAAATGTGAATACAAGAAGCTTAATGAGCAGTCCAAAGCATCGTAGCAAGGTAAAACATTTAAAACCCTCTGTTAACTACTTTTACATCAGCTCCCAACCTCATCATTGGTTTTGTTGTTCGACTTGGCAGGTGACTCGTCGTGAATATGAAGTTGAAACGAAAGATGGGAGGACCACAAAACGAAGGAAGACAAGAGGCACGGTCATGTTTGAGGTAACCAATTCTGCGCATTAACCCTCTGATTTGGTTCATTTTAAATTTATAGATATGTTCAGCAGCCTTCTTCTCTGAGTTGGGACTCACCTTTTTTTTAATGGCTACAGGAGCCACGGAGGCGATCGACTCGGTTTACACCCACAGCTAAGACCCCTAGAAGTATCGCTAAGGTAAGATAGATCCCAAAAGTTTGCTAACTATCTGAAATGTATAAACCCCACCCCAAGTAAACTAGTGGTGAAGCAAGGTTGTTTAAATATCACTCAAGTAAAACTAGTATAATTTTGTGGACTGCACTTTCTTTACTAGAAGAATTGTTTAAGAGGTGAGGGAAACATGAGGAAGCATGGTAAAATTTTTTGCTTAGATCACAGTTACGGTGTGTTAAGGCCAAGTCTGTAGAGCGAGACCGTTGCCTAACACATAGAATTGTCTTGTACATGTACAGGTAGCAGGCATAAGCAGTCATCAACGCTCTGCAAATATTGGAGATCTGTTTTCAGAAGGCTCCCTAAATCCTTATGATGATGATCCCTATGCATTTGACTGAGCACTCAGTAGAATCTAGCACAAAGCCTTGCTCCTAAAATCGTTTTCCTTGCTCTTAAGGCTCTCTGCTACGCTATTCAGGAGATAATGATTACAGAAGTTAAATGTTGCTCACACATTTTGTACAGACCTTTCCTATTGCATCAACTTTGTCATTTGTTAATTGGGCGTGTAAGGTTGTGGATGTTGAAGAACTTGCTACTAGTTACAGAAAAACAAAAATAAACCCCATTATTGATGAAATCGTAACGATTTAAAAGCAAACGCTGTTTATGAACAATCATGAAAACCTAATACATAAGAAAATGCGGTGGAACTGGAACCATAGCAAAAGCTGATACAGACATTGATTCCAAAGGGGAAGAGATCAAGGAGATCGGAGAAAGAAGACAAGGAAGAAAGTGGAAAGCAAGAGAACCAAAACGACGAGAAGAACCAGCTCCATCAAGCTGCAAAGCTTAATCCGATTCCTCCTTTTCTTCTCTATCGCAAGCCTTCTCCTCAGATCCTCTAGTTCTCTTCGTGTCTCTCCTTCCTCCTGCTTCCGAAACAACACCAGACGAAATCTTCGAAATTACAGAACTACACTAGCAAATCAATTCCGATCGGAAGTAGAAAACGGAGAAAGAAGTAGGATCTAAAACCTCGCCGGCGGTATCGATGGTGGCTCGGGATGATGCGAGTGAATAGAGGAGCATCGTAGCTCTGGCGCAGCGGATTGCAGTTCGCACTCTGATCGATTCGTCTTTGCTGGTTGTCATCTCCTCCTTCATCTCTCTCTCTCTCTCTCTCTCTCTCTCTCTCTCTCTCTCTCTCTCTCTCTCTCTCTCTCTCTCTCTCTCTCTCTCTCTCTCTCTCTCTCTCAGCTTTGCTCTATTTCGATTTTGAGTTTCGAAACTAGCCCAGATTTAATGGAGCGCGGGATTGGATACCGTCTTACTTTCGCCCCACAAGTGACAGATGTCAATATATGATTAGTTATGCTACATAAAAATAAATCAATTATTTGAAAAAGTAAAATCATTCAGAAAATATGTATGTATTTCAGCGGATCTCGGGGTTTTCCCTCCTAAATCCTAAATGTTCCCTCGCTTATGATTTAGGGGCGCATTTCAATACCTCTTCGCTGTTGGAATTAGTATTTTCGAAAGAATACTTTAAAATCTTTATCGGAATTAGGAAAGGAGTCATGAAAATCGTTTGGGATACTCGCCTCTCCTGTTGTCGCCGGCAAGATGAATCTTCTGATCGTGGCCGTCGCCGGTAGAAGAATATAATCGCTCTACCGCTAGTCTCTAAGTTTCTCCTGGTAAGCTGCCGATTTTATTCTTCCCATAGATTTTTTATTTCCCTAGTAAATTAGTCTGTTTAAGTTACACTGATTTGGTCGGTATTCAAGTTTTAGAGTTGGCAAATAAATCAAAAACGCTGATATCGTTTGTATTCCATTGGAGAAATCCTGATTTGAAGATTTGCTGCTGTTTTATCTTCCGAACGTCAACAATCAGAGTGCACTGGGTTAGTTTTGATCAATAATTTGGCATTTCTTCAGACGGTTTTTAGGGTATGAAACATCAAACTACTCGATTTCTAAGTTTGGAGTTTTGCTTCCCTAATCTCAATAGTACGAATGGATTTGCTGTGTTGTTCTCCGATGTGTTTATTCGCCTTTGTTTAAACTATACACAGGCGATGTACTCCAATTCAGTAGATTATTTCATTAGGCAATCCACTATTCACCGCTAAGGCCCTGTGGTTACTAATTGCTAGATTACACATTTCCTACATAGCCACATTTTCAAAACCTTTTTGAATAAACTAATCTTCATCTACTGTTTTCTTGTAAGGCTGCGTCTTGGTTTTGCTTCCCACCTGTGAACTGTGTAAAGCTTCTCTCCTTCACGACTCCTTGTGGTATAAATATTTCCTATACCTGAATCTGTCTGATCATGTTAGCTTTAGTTCATTAGGTTTCAGCTTTTTTAAATCCTTTCATCTTCCTTAAATCCCTACATTTGTATCTGAAGACTTGTCAATAGCATAAATTGAGCATCGTGGGCTGCTACTGAACCATCAATTTATTCAAATAACTTGGTTTATAACAGCTTAAAAAATAACCCTCTTCTTTTCCTGCGGTGATAATATCGATAGTGACTACACTCAAGTTTTCTTGTCAAACTCTGATGCTATATCATACTTTGAACATAACTATAGTCAGTATCCATAAGTGTTTAAATGCAATTCTAGTAGATATAATTCCGTGTACGTGTTATGTCAAGTGCAATTCAATGCACATACTGATCGGTTGAGAGATCTAAAGCATGAACAAAGAGATTGAATATCCTTCATAGAAGCATAGAATAAAACTTTTGGTACTTATAGTGGTATATACATAACTTTTGTCCTTATCTAGTCTCTGATTCATATTATTCCGTACATAATATCATAGAGCCTAGCACAGGAGCCTAAGCAAATTTGAAGATTTAAACAGTTTTGTAGAGCTGTGATCATGTGGGTGCATGAACTTGCAGTTGGGACAAACAGGAGTTGATGTGCAAAGCATAACCAGCATGTGGCATTTCATGCACACTTTAGTTACCATCTCTTGCTCCTTGTGATCAACATCATCATCACCACCTTCAAAGGCAAGCCATGACAGCGATCTGTTTAATCCTGTCCCAATTGTGCTATTCTTACTCGGGCTCTTCATATTTCTACCCTTTAGTGACACGCTTTCGTTGTGATTTGAGGATTCGTTAACCTTTGTTGTTGTTTTTGAAGGTGAATAAGAAGGTGAAAGGTTCAGCTCAAGGTCTAGGCTCATCTTAGGTCGTCCAGCAATCACCGGATCTTTGGGGTATGTCCTATGATCCTCAGATGTTCTTGAGTTTCCCTAAAAATGTGAGGATCCATGTTTTAGATGCATGCTTATGCATATATCATATTGATACATATATAGAAATTACTTAAATACATGTATGAATATATACCTTAGCCTCGATAGATTTCTGCCAATCCGAAGGTAGAGGAGTGTGTAGATGGAGTTCAAAATCAAAAGTAATTGATCTCAAATTCTCTGATTTTGCTCGTTCATTGAACAGAGTGCTGTGGAGTTTGCCCTGTGATTGATCTTCTTGTTTGCTCTTCTTGAATGAATTATGGAACTCTTCTCCATAGATTGTGAAATCCCTCTTTCTAGAATAGAGGGTTCCTTCTTGTCGAGAAACCATTAGCCTCAGTCTTTGTTTCCACTGAGTGATTTATGCTTTTGAGGAAAGTTTAAACTCTCTTTGATCCTATGAGGAAATGAGCAGATAGACTTAAAAGTATGTGAAGATCGTCTCTATATATATACATGTAGGAAAATCTTCAGGGGAGTTATTGTCTCCACCGGTTCATATGGAGTAATTGAATTAGATACCAATATTAAAAAAAAATGGTTGATAGATTAGTAGTATAAAATTTTATATTTAAGATTTTCTTGGCGATAAAAGTGATGTGTCGACTATTGCATTTTAATATGAATATTTTGATATTTGGAGGAGGAATATAAAAAAGGGAGGGAAGTAATGTGAAGCATGATGTGTGAGTTCCAAGTTGGGTGTGTTCAATAACTCCAAACAGTCTCATTTAAATGCTTAGATGTGAAGTGCTAACCAATTTCTCTTTCTGCTTTTGCCACCATCATCATCATCGTCATCACCATAGCTAGAACCATTAACTACCTCAAGTTCTTAAATAGATAGTTATAAATCTTAAAATAAAAAACAGATTGTTGGTGAAGTCATGTGGATGGATGGATGTATGTATGCACCATGTGTGATGATAAGATGGAAGAATGTGAAGGAACCAGAGTTGGGAAATAGGGAGAGAGGTCAATAAATGGAGAGACAATAAAGAGAATTAAAGATGGGAGAAGGGAAGGTTGATGAATTGATGAATGCCGATGCAACTTTAATACTCACATTAACTCCTACTCCCACTTTTGGATATATAACACAAAATATACACATTACTAACCAACCTCCCTACCACTTTATTAGCACTGTTTTATTTTTATTAGTACAATAAAAAAAAAGGTATTTGAAACAATTTTAAATAATTCAGGATATGGCTCCTACGTTCATATCCCAAGTCGGTTTTATGAAGAAAAAAATGAGGTTTATTGGGTTTTTATTTTAGTATGGTTTTTTGGATGACTCTGGATTAATGAATCCTGCGATGCAAGATTAGTCCCACTCTTTTTAAAAATGTTATTTACCTTAGGAGGTTTTAATTATTTGATCTAATACAACAAATCGATTTAATAAAAAAAAAACAATTTCAAATAATTAAAAAGCTTTCAACGGCCTCATATTCATGTCATGTGATGAGCTAAGCTTCCTCGTTTATAGTTACGGCTCTTTTGGCTAGTTCCACATAAATTCCCAACTTCAATAATAATCTTAATCGATATATTTCTGTGTATATATTTCCTTGTTTTTTTTTTTTTTAATGAGCACCATTTTGATAGAATGAATATACAGAAATTACTCTTTCCTACAGGGTAATTAAAATTCCTCTTTTGGTAATACTTTTTCATTAAGGACTAATGGCACCCCCAAAAAAGAAAAGCAATAGTTAAGTCACATTTGTCAATGTATCCCTTTACTATCAACGACGACTGCGGAATATTGAGACTCGGTCTACTGATTCTTTTTTTGGTCGTTCGGTCTAGTGATGATGAAGAACAACGACAAACAAAGCCGTGATTCTGAAACCAAGAGAAGGATGTCTGAAAAACATGTTTTTTAAAAAAAATTAAGTCACTCTGAGTCCGCACAATGTCTAACTAATTTTTTTTGCTAAACCACAATGTCTAACTAAACCAATACAATAAGTTACAAACACGATGTCTATAGTTCCATATAATTGCGTATCCCAATCATATAAAGATGAATTAAAGATAGCTTCACTTGTATATTTTGGCTAAGGTGGTCATGTGTTTATATGCATGCCAAATTAGGAACCAAAACGTATAAGCCATATTTGTCTTTTAGGGTTCCATACTTTGTTTGTGTTTATTTATGAACTAAACTACTGCATTTACTTTTAGAACAAACATAAGTTTAGCGTGTTTTAATAGACATCAAATATGATATTGTATTGCACAAAACAAAACTCCAATGAATTGATAGATGTCATTCGTGTTTTGCGTATGTACGCATACAATTCTGGTTATACTTCGACTAGTAATAGACTAATAGTATTTATGTTTGAATAGATCGGTCTTTAGCTATTAAACTCATGCATAAATAGAACCTAATTGTCATCAAGATACATCTAAAATACTAAAAACGAAAAAAAAAGGTTACATATTATAAACTTTGAAAGAATGGGAGAACAAGCTTTTAAAGCTCCAACATCCGCTCCCCCATGCATGCAACCACAATAAAGATTCATGTCTCTTCTCTTCAATTTATTTCGTACTATAAACTTTAATTTAATAAAATGATATAGAAATATATATAATATATATATATATAAAGAAATAGAAAAAATGTGTTTGAAAGCTACAACGAAACATTAATAACATAATTGAACTACGTACATGCTTAGATGGAATCATTATTCTGAGTCCCTCAGTTAAGATAATTATTTTCTGAAATAAATTAGTCGTTTTTTCTTCTCTGAAATAAATTAGTTGTTATTTCCTGGTGGAAGAATTAAATATTCAGTACTTGTCTACCCGTTTCCATTAAATAATTGTGAATCGATTATAAATGCAAAATTGAAGTATATGCATTGAAGTATATATCTACTTGTCTATATAACATAAATTTTATCATACATCTATCGAACCATCTGAACTACGAATGCGTGAGCCTTTTAACATATTTGTTTTACCTTCAGCAAAAGTAAAACATTTCAGAAGTTGCCGTATAGATTTAGGCCAGAAATTAATACCTCTCAAAAGTGGAGTTAACTAACTATTCACATTTAATCAATCGAAATAATGTCATGCTTTTGACCAATTACAAAACCTAATGAGTAAGCTACTCAACGACGACCACATTCACTTAAAGAGAATAATCAGATGGTAAAACGCTAATCAATCATCTTCTAACTATAACAAAGAAAAAATATATTAGTTTTACAAAAGTTTCTTTGTTACCATAGTATAGTACTGTCACTGAATATATTTTTAAACATGTTAAAAACAAGATATAATTAATATGCCCGTTTGTACACTCTTAACGTTCAATATTTTGTTTGTGCGGAAGATTTCATGCAATTCAATGGATATTCATACGTGCGCAAGGATCAAAGACCTATACGGACGTCTTTTGAGTTTTGACCCTTTTATGCTATTTTGAGTCGTCTCGACTTTTATACTTATCATCCCGTTAAGTGATAACCAATCGGCTTATGTATAACATTAATGTAAGATAGCCAACAACATATAATAAAAAAAACTTATACGACTAAATAATTTGTTTGAAAACAAAATGCATGTGACGATGAACATTAAATAGGGTATATGTTCTTATTGATTACGGTTGATTTGCCCAAGAATTAGGTTTGAGAGGATGTATTGATAATGTGAATTAAATGCATCAGTACCCATAAATTAATGCAAACATTGTCGAGTTTTAAATAGTCTGCCGAAAAAACATAGATATGTATAAAGTATTTTTGGTTATCCTTATCATCGTTCTTAACATTTTACTTACTGGATTTTAGTAGGAATATTACAGTAGCTAGCTCTTCCACAATATAGAGGGCTACAAAAAAAGATATTTTAGTCAAAATATCTATGCATTGATTTAAATAACACAAGGAAATATTTATATACAGTATATCATTAACGAAAATATATACTGTACAACAAACTTAATTCGAGAAAATTTATTTCTTTACCACAGGCCAAAACTGATTTGTCAACGACTGAAAAACCAATTGAATAGTCTAGAATTAGGCTATGACTGGGCCGGGCCCAGTCATCCAGGTCGGGCTAGATTGATCATAATAAAACAGAAACAAAGCCCACCTAAAACTTAGATTGGTAATGTGTAAAATGATTATATGACGTAATGAGAACGTCTATCATCCAAATTTCTCTTTTGTTTTCGTCATTAAACATAAGGTATCTGATCCTAATTCTCCAATTACCTTCATGTGGTAAAATGGAAGGCATTAGTTGATTTTTTCTTTTTAAAGGAAACGTGATCAAGAGAAAAGTTTACAGGTATATGTGACGCATTATGTGACCACGATGTTAATATGAGCCAATGTACAAACTTTATTGACTGGCTGGTCCATATTTTAACAACTTCTTCACATAAAAATATCAATTCAGCAAGAAGAATGCAATCCTTTCAAGCTTCTTTATTGTTTTCTGGAAACTTTTTTTTGATCCCCAGAAGAGAAGTTGATTATATTTGATTATCAATGTAGAAAGAAGAAGATATAAATGTACCAAAGAAAAGGATAATATTGCAGAGAAGAAAGAAACAACTCTGCAAATTATAAAAATCCCTCTCATGATGGGGAATTGATATGTGCCTCCAGAACAAAGCTAACAAGAACGGATCTTGCTGCTGAAAGAAGAGGCATTTTTCTTCTATTGACTTTCAAATACACAAGCAAAAATAACTCAACTCAGAAAACAGAGTAAAGGCATAATTAACAATTGCATGAGATGATGAGAACCGTCGACATTGGAGCAAAACTACTGGCGATGAATGATTACTTGGAAATTGGAAACAGCATTGATTTGATCTATATATAGGGGCGGCTTGCAGCTTCCTGCTTCAAAAACCCTAATTTTACTTGAAGTTTAACGATTATGGGGCCATAATGGGCTTCTTTAATACTCCTCAAATTCACTCGAATTATTTATAGGGGATACTCCAATCAATCATACAAACTACAGTAACAGTAGTATTATTATTTAGAAGTCAAATCATAGTTCATAACGAATTTATTCAAAGACAAAACCGGGTTAAGAAACCCGATTTTTTACAACATGAAAATCCCATTCCCAATACCCAAAATTAGCAGAGACAAAACAACAACAAAAGAAACAACAGGGCAATACAGAAAAAAACACTGAGCTCTTGGTCTCTGGATCTAGATCATTGTCCAGAGATTATTCATAAGAACAAAGCTTAGGGATGAAAAAGAGAAACAACAACAGATTTTTGAAATTACAGACTCAGCAAACCAGCCAGAATATCCCTCACTTCTTCAATAGATTCCTCGAGAAAATCCTCTTGCAATAAGGATTATTACGCAGAATCGAATGTGGCCTTATGACCTCCACAAGTGAAGCATGAAGTGGACCCTGTTTCAATATCCCCAACATCCTTATCAGTTATATGTAGTGTGTGCATGTATAATTAGTTTTAGGATATGTTGAACAATTCCGGTTTTAATTGGTTTGTTTTCTAGCGAATAACCGACTTTTTGGTACGTAAAGTTGGTACCTTTGTGACGGCAAGAGCGGCTTGGATGACGAAATTAGCGTAAGGGTCTTGAAGAAGCTGATCAAAGTGAGGAACAGAGACGAGCTCACGCACGATCTGCGGACGACTCTCCGGACAATGCATAAGACATCGTTCCACCATGTGGCTACTGAATTTCTGCATCGAAAGCTGAACGTAATGCCCTTTTAACTGAGTCAACATCATCGCTACTGCAGAAGGAATCCTCAGTTCTATAACAAATTGCACTGCGTAGTTCCTGCAAAATCATTGATCTTTCTTGTTTTAGAAGATTCTTCTACATTGGTTTAATTAGCCTGTGTGTGTGTATGTGATAAAGACCCCAAGTGTTGTTGGATAAGTTCTTACCCAAATGGGTCTTGAGCAAGGAGGAGACTGTTTCTAGAGATCTCAGCGATCAGCTTCTCTCGTTGTTGTCTCATCGAATAAGCAATGCATTTTTGAAGCACACAACATCCATGTCGATGTGTTGCTATCTCCGTACAGAACTTTGTCGCCGCATCAAAGATAAACTGCATGTGAAACACACACCAAAAAACAAAAAATTTAGCTAATATGATCAGAAGATCAAAGAGTCAATGAACTAATTTGTTTTTGACCTTGTTATCTTCTGTGCTAAGGCATTGCAAGCAACGTTGGATCACATGGTTTCCATTTAAATCTTTGATCAAGTCAAGAAAACCAGGTCTCAGCGCCGATTTCACCAGAGAAATCTGTTTTCCGGTTCTGAGGGTTTCCACTAATCTCTGAACAACTCGAGTCCTACACAAAACAGAGACGATCAAAAACAGAGCTTTTTCATCTTAACATTATCATATATATGATCACAAGATGTATTTTAATACCCGTAAGCGTTGAGAGATATGCGAATGAGTTGACCAGGCTCAGCAGTAGCAACGAGCACGATCTGCGTCCTCTGTTCTTCGTTACAAACATCCAAAAGCTTCTGCATCAGGTAATTCCCAAAAGGATCCATCATAAGCTCAACGACATGAGCAATAACTTGATTGAATATAATCATGGCGTCAAGTGGAGTTCCTTGATCGAAAACCCTCTGCAAGAATCGACATCCGTGTTGATCTTTAGCCATCAAGTATACATATCCCTGAATGTCACACATGTTAGGCAGACACATCTCTGTATTGCTCCCATGACCATTGCTTCTCTGACTCTGATGATCAAGTCCTAACTCCATGAACAGACTCTCCTCAGAGCTAAATAACTCAGAGCCTTTAGAAGCAGAAGAAGAGAAAGGAGCCTGAGCTCCTTGGCAGAAGAATGGCGACATGGCTGAGATTCCTTCACGATTCAAACCCGATCCGAGAATATCGTGACCGTTGATGTAACCACCATTGCTGCTTGAGTAGCTTGGCCAACCAATTTGCCGAGAGTTGGCTAAAGAATCTGGAACTTGATTCCAAAACATGCTTCTCTTGTCTTCCTTTGGTGTAAGGAAGAATCCACCATCAACTACGAATCCGTTGTTACTCTGTTCATAGCCGAGAGACTCGGATCTTGCGTCTTCTTCAACATCTTGCTTGATTTTCATACGGTAGAGATCTTCGCAGAGACCTAAATCATCACTCTTGTCGTGAAACAAGAGTGAATCATGAGGATGATGATGATAAGCGGCGACCGGAGAGGCGTGATTGTTCTTAGGGATAGTCTCGCTTAACGGAGGAGAAGCGAACGGAGAAGAACTGTCTTCGGAAGAACAGAATCCGTTGGAGAAGGAACTCGACAGAGAATATTCCGACGACGAATTGAAAGAGAATCTGTTGCTGTTTGGGGAATAATCTCCATGAAACATGTTTTGACGAACGAGGTTGAGGTTCGGAGAATGCGACGGTGTTCGCAGAGGAGACGAAGAAGCTTCTCGAAATTCGTCCATCTTCATTATATATACTCTCTGGATTCAAAAACCAACAAAACAAGAGAATGAAGTTTTACTGTTTCTGACGCATAAAAGAAACGGAGGAGATTACGAGATTTATAAACAGAATTTAAAGATCTTACATCCAAAAATTTACAGTAAAATCGTGGTTTACGCCACTAGAAATGAAAGTGTAGAAGAGGATATTATAGAGAGAGAAGAGTAAGTAGAGTGAGTGTGAATTTTTCTGATTTAACTCGAAAAAGACTACTATTCTTTTGGCTACGTTTGTTTTTCTAACAGATTAGGAGGATCAGGTAAATGATTTAGTATTTTTGGTTGTTAAAGAAATAAATTAGATAATGTAAATTTCTCTTTGTTTTTCTATTTATAAATCATAATCAGATTTGATCTAAGACTAAATCAACAATCATAGATCTTTACAAATTATTTTAGGTTTTGAATCGGTAAAATTTTCTTAAATTTCTTAAACTATTTAAAATAAAATCAGTATTAAGTATTCTACTAACTTATGAGTTAAATTCTTAAATAAAGTATGTGTTAACTTTGTTAAAAAAAAAACAAAAGAAAGTGTGTGATAATTATTAAATTAATATATGTAATTATTGAGAGAGAAGTAGAATACAGTGTATGTTATTTTTTTATATAATTCGAAAATATATTTTTTTTTGCTACGTTGGTTTCTCTAACAGAAGATCAATTAAATGATTTAATTAAATGATTTAGAAGTTTTTCTGAAAAAGGAATAAATTAGACAACGTAAATTTCTTTTTTTTTCTATTTATAAGTCATAATCGGATTTGATCTAAGACTAAATCAACAACCATAGATCTAGACTTAGATCTTTACAAATTATTTATAGGTTTTGAATGATAAAACTTTCTTACATTTTTTAAGCTATTTAAAATAAATTAATACATTTCTTAAGTTGTTTAAAATGAAATCAGTATTAAGTATTCTACGAATTTATGAGATAAATTTTTAAATAAAGTATGTGCTAACTTTGTTCAAAAAACACAAGAAAGTGTGTGCTAACTATTAAATTAATATATGCAATGCATACATACATATCTTAGTTGAAGAAACCATAGTGAAACAAAATGCAAAATGTATATGGTTAAAAACAGTATATTTTTATGTTATTAAGAAAAGAAAAATGAGAAGATATATAAAAGCAATACCGATGTCAAATTGAATTGGTTTTCATGAGCACGGCAATTATGGATCGCATATTACTCGTCGGATCCAACTTAGGAAACTACTCCTCTTTCCTATTTTTAGACCTAAAACATCCTTCTTTTCAAAAGAATCAAAGTAGTAAAGCCATCAACTCTTCTCTCCTTATTTTCCTAACAAACACTTTTTCTAGCATTTCTAGTTTCTTTTTGTTGTATTTTGCTTATATTAGTTGTAATTTTTATACAAAAGAAATCAAAATAATAACTTTTCATTCGAGTGTGCTTATAGCTACAACATAATTGAAAAGTTGAGTATGTTTACTCCACATTGCAATACCAATACTTAAAACAAGAGTCATATAATTTTTGTGTCATACTAACTTAATTTATTTTCAAAATAAAATATAGACCCATTTCGCTAGACGACGTTTACTTATCAAATTACTTTGGTTATCTGGTTTTAGGCAGACCCGGAAAAAATAAAATAGTAGCTTTTGCCCCAAGCAACATCCTCTGTTCCGTAGCAGTACTATAATCTCCGAATAGTTTAAGCTCGAACTTGTTTACTACTAAAGAAGATAAATTAGAAAACCTTAATGCATAAAAACACAACTGAATAATATTAATGATTATCACCATAACCAAGTAATTAACGAAACTGCATAATACAAATCACAATCTGAGCTGAAGTGTATGGGATACCACAAGAACAGACACCGATCAATAGCAATCTTAAAGATGTTTCCGGAAAAGAGAGTATTTAAACAAGGGCGATGCTTGTCTCGCCACCTGGCGGTTTACGAACACCACCTAGATAGTCTCTGGACTCTACCTTCCCATCTGCGAATATGTTGTTTCCTCCTATCTCCTTCAGCTTCGCTTGACTCAGATGCTTTTCAACGGAAGATGATGTGGCATCTCCCTTGAATATGTCGTTCCCTGAAAGTTCTGTGAATTTCTTGTCATAAATCTTCTTTGCTGTCTTCACAGATGAGTCTTCATCAGCAGACTGCAGAAACAAGTTCTCAGATTAGAATAGACTACTACATGGAGTATTTGAGTTGCTTAAAGATGTCATGGAGAAAAGGTCTTACGATCTGAGGTTCAGCTCCGAGGTTGAAATTGTCCTTTAAAGCCAGAGCTCGCGTTGTTCCAGATCGAGGTTTTATCTCAGGTGGTGGTGCAAAGATGTTCTGTCCAGTGATCTCTTTGTATTTAGCATCAGAGAGCTGTTTCTTCAGCTTTGAATCTGATTCGCTCTCCATTGTCCCGCTTAGCTCTCGCTGTTTGGCAACCTCAGGTAAAGTAGTCGGCTTTTTAGGAGATAAGTCCCCATCTTCACCAAATGATATATGGCTTATACCACTAAGTGCTTGCTGAAGGTTAATCAAGTGTTTTAGGATTATGAGTAATACATAACAGAACCAATTAAACTCTCTATAAACATGATCTTAATCACCTGATATATTCGGGCACTTGGGGCACTAGAGAGCTCTGATGCGTCATCTTCTTCGTAACGAGAAAAGATCCCACTGCCAGTTATCTCCTTCATTTTATGTTCTGAGCAAGGCTTCCTAAATGAATCATGGGTTAACATTTTCACAAGTTTGACATCAGCTCCAAGACATGTATACATTACATATATATGTGCACAAAAACAACATGAAACTACCTACACAATGCATGATCAAGAACCCATAAAACAAGGCACATCCCAAGATTTCTCTAATATATGGCTGCTACTTTCTCCATGAAAAATGAGGCAAACAGAGTATTTATACTATATTTATCGCCGAAATGTCAGAGATGAATTCAATTCAGCGTCGCAGAAACCAAAAATCTCAGATTTATGCGTACTATTTGGTTTTGAGGTGACAGTACAAATTCTAATGATTGGGTCACTAGCTGTATTTATTAAGAGAAAAAATTGGAAACTTTTCAAAGAAATCAAAACAAAAATCATGGAAAATGAAAATAGGATAGAAGAGGAAAGTTTTAACCTTTTGTTCAAGCTCTCAACTTCTTCATCAGTCACTTGACCTCCAAACACCACTTTGCTAATTCCATCCGATGGCTACCTCACATAAACCCAATCACACAAATTTGAGGAAAACAAACAAACCCAAAAATAAAGATGCCAAGGATTTACCAAATTGCTCAAATCAAAAGAAGAAAACAGAATTTCTCGAAGCGGACACAGTGTACCTGGTGGGAACGCACGGCAGAGCGAGAAGCGAAGGAAGGAGAATCCGACGGTGGAACCTCCGACCAAGTAAGCAGATCTGCGGTTGATGTGTGCGGCTTTCTCACCGGAGTGTTTCTCTCCATGTCAATCTCCTTCACTTCGCAGAAGCAAAACGCTGATGCTTTTTTCACGGCAACGAATCGAAGAAAAGAGAAGAAGAGAAGAAGAAGAAGAGAAGACTCTTTACTCTCTTTTATCAAATTTTTAACACCCTCTCAGCTTCTTTTTTACTATCTACACAGTGATTATCCGATCATATTATTTGACGCTTTTGCCCTTGCTTTCACTCTCACCGTCTCACGGTCAGAAGACTGGAAGCTTCTTCTCTTACGTGTAAGGTATACGATTATAGTAACGAATGGTAAAGGTTAATTAAATTTTATAAACTTCTAACTAAAGAAAATTATATATTAAATAACTATTTTCCTAACTAGCGTTTAGCAGAAATATTCAAATATTTTTCTTGCGTATGGGATTAGGCATGGTGAGGCAGGAGGTAAAGGCAAAATGTGTTGTGGGAAAAAAAGAAGAAAAATAACAAAGCACTAGAGAGAATTAAGGTCAATCATACTCTTTTCTCTGACACAACACCATGTGAAGCCATCAAAACTAATAAAGACTTTTACCAACGTTTTTTAAGCAGTGATCACGTGCTGCCACTTTTATAATTAGCACACAAAATTACAATTTGATTTAAAAAAACCGAATAAAAGGTAATTTCGAATTCAAAAAGCCGTGATTTTATCCTCTCAATTTTTTTAATAAACTGAATGATTATTATCCGCAATCTGTGATCCTGATTAAACGTAACCAACATTAAAATCGCCAAGGATCCGGATAATTAACGATTCTTAAAACAAATGCATCCAATTTTTTAACCAAAAAAAAAAATGCATCCGAATTTCCGAATAAAATGCACTTGTACAATTAGAGGGGACTAAAACTTAAAACTCTTTTACCGAGTCATCCCCTTAATTAATCGGCTTATAAAATACGAAGCTTTTGCACAAAAAGAAAGAAAAAAAAAAGCCCAAGACTTTTTGGGATAAAAGGGCCCAAATCTATTTCATTGATTAGATTGTTGGACTTTATTTCAGTATGTATTATCATCAAAGACTAAAAAGGCTTCTCTTTTCACAAAACTCGATAAATATTAAAGAAATTTAAATTTGTTTCAAATGCCATCAACGGTTTAATGGCTGTAATTAATGCCACAAATTAAAAAAAGTAATCTGTTGTGCTATAAACAAATCTACATGCCATAATATATATAAAATTCCCAATTTACTCTTAATAAAAGTTTTTGTGGCATTTTTGAATTTAGTGAAAAAATAATTGATTTTATTAAAATTAATAATTTAAAACGAAAATTAATTAAAAAAAAATAATTTGTTTTTCATGCTCTTCTTCTTCTTCGTCGGTGGATTCTGAAAACAAGCAAATCTTATTTTCGCCGTTGAATCCTCGCCTCTTCCTTTTCTTCTTCATCTTCTACAATCAGTTTCTTATTTTATCTCCTTTCTCTACCACCATTGTTGAAGTTTTAAAATACAGTTAGGTTTTTATTTACAGATTTGGGGATTTCAAAATTTAGGGATTTAATTTGCCAAAATTGTTTGTTCTTCTATATGCAAATCGGGTTGGTATGTGATGATTAGGTCTTTGCATAGATAATTTTTCGAATTCAGTTGTTAAACCATGGTGATTCTTAGGTAGATTAGAATTAGAATCCGAGTTCATCACCAAATCTGCAGAAAAATGACAACTGGTACAAATGGTACAACTAAGAGATAAGAGGACAATTAGTACAACTGGTATAACTATGAGATAGAAGACAACTGATACAATAGGTATAACTAAGACAACTTAAATAATTGTTGATTGAAAATTATTTTATTATAATTGCGAATCGGGTTGGTAACCCCGTTTTATCTGAAAATTAACATGGATAATTTTTTTAATATAGTTGTTGAATCATAGTGGTTCTTAGGTAAATTATAATTATATCTGAGTTCATCAGCAAATCTGTAGAGAGGGACAACTAGTACAATTATGTACAATTATGTACAACTATGTACAAAAAATTGACAATGCACATAGGTGCACATGTTACCTTGACGGATAACTAGACACTTAGGAAAGTTAATCTAGTCTAGAGGATTTCATTTTTGGCCGAAAATGCTTTCCGGATGGAAATAAACAAGGTATAACTGGACACATATATACAACTATATGTAGTTCTTTTTTGTCGACGCACATGTGTATTTTTATTAATTTTAATAGATTTTAATTATAATTTTAAATTACATAATTATATCAGTTGTACCAGTTGTACCAGTTGTATTTCACACGTGCGTCTACAACAGACAACATAGTTGTACCTAGTTGTCCAGTTGTCCAAAATTTGTAATAGTTGTCCTTTCATCGATTTTGTAGTTTTTTCAGTTGTCCTTCGACAGAAATTATTATATTCTAGCTGTCCACAAAAATTTCGAACATTATATAACAGTCCCAAGGGTTTTACGTTATTGTTTTTCTATTTTTATATTTTTGCATAGACGCTTGCATAAGATTGATAACATTGTCAAACACCCTTTATGATACAAAGAATTGATAATGTTAACAATCTTATGATGGAAAAGAGCCAAAAATATAATTTTGCATCAATTATAATATGAAAATGTTGTAAATGGACTACAATAGTCGAAAATCATGTGGACAACTACAAAGTAATAATTTATATCAAGGGACAACTGGAAAAATTGCTAAAATCCCCAAAGGACAACTATGAAGAATTTTGGACAACTGGACAACTGGATACAACTATATACAAAATTGACGGCGCACGTGGTACTTTGACTGCGCACATGTCTCTTTTTGTCGGCACACGTGCGTCTACAACTGACAACATAGTTGTACCTAGTTGTCCAGTTGTCCAAAATTTGTAATAGTTGTCCTTTGATCGATTTTGTAGTTTTTTCAGTTGTCCTTCGACATAAATTATTATGTTCTAGTTGTCCACAAGAATTTCGATCATTATATAGCAGCCCCAAAGATTTTGCGTTATTATTTTTCTATTTCCTTTATTTTTGCATAGACGCTTGCATAAGATGGATAACATTGCCAAAGACTTCCTTATAACATAAGGGCTGTTTCAAGTGAAACCAAAAATATTTGGTTCTTTGAACAAAACAAAGTTTTATTTTATTATTTCTAGTATATACGTGAAAAGATACAGTTTTTAGGGTATGAGTTATATTGACTTTTAAGTAAATAATATTAGGAATTTATTTTTTAACACTACAATTAAAATATAGTTGTCCTGAGTTGCACCTAGTTGTCCTGGAGAAATTCAAAATACAAATAACTCCAAAATAAATAGTAATGAAAGAAATCAAAGAAATCCAAAATACCAATAACTCCAAAATAAATAGTAATGCAATAAATCAAAGAAATCGAAAATACAAATAACTCCAAAATAAATAGTAATGCAATAAATCAAAGAAATCGAAAATACAAATAACTCCAAAATACTCCTATACAGTCTAAGGCTATCGAGAATGAAAATTCCTCGGCTAAAATGTATTTCCTTAGCTAAAATAAAATCTTTTCGGATAAAATAAACTCAAAAACTTACACAAATTAAGTTTCTATGCTATTTTTGCTCTGAAACCACTTATCTAATTTATTATCCATTTTTGTCTTTCGGCGACGTTTTTTGGAGAATAGAAACCACTTTTTTATTTTTTTTGGTGTAATTCGGCAGTATGACAAAAAATTCTTGTATATTATCCGAAATACTTCACTTAGTTACATTTATGTGTGCAATTCATTCTCCACATAAATTATCTACTCCAAAACTGTTTAGTTTCATATATCGCAATCTTCTTACATACAGTATCTTATCTAGTAATACCGAATAAGTTATCTGCTCCAAATATGAGGTATTAAATGATATAAAATCTATTGAATTGCTTGTGTGGCTGATGCTCATTATCTCTTGAAAATATAGTAAAACAATTCTTAATTAACAATTATTCAAGGTGTCGTCTTAGTTATATCCATTTGTACTAGTTGTCCTCTATCTCATAGTTGTATCAGTTGTACTAGTTATCCTCTTATCTCTTAGTTGTACTATTCATACCAGTTGTCCTCCTCTGCAGATTTGGTGATGAAATCAGGTATAATTATAATTTACCTAAGAATCACTACGAATCAACGATTATATTTAAGAAATTATCCATGAAAATACCCAATCGTCACATAAAATTGGGTTACCAAAATAATAATTTATATTAAGGGACAACTAAAAAAATTCTAAAATCACGAAAGGACAACTATGAAGAATTTTGGACAACTGGACAATTGGGTATAACTATGTACAAAATTGACGGTGCACATGTTACAAAGTGCATATGTTCTTTTTTAGTCGGCACACATGTTTTTTTAATTAATTTTTAATTAATTTTAATTATAATTTTACAGTTACCAAATTGTACTTAGTATTAGTTGTACATAGTTGTACTTAGTTGTCCATAATTGTATTTAATTGTACTATAATTATACTTAGTTGTCCATACTTGTACTTAGTTGTACCATAGAAGTCAGATCATGAAACTTCTATGTTCAGCTCTACACCTGAGCTTTTGCAACTTCTTTTTCTTCATTGGCTGCAGCTATTAGTTCATCAAACTTCTCTGACTTCAAAGACATAACAAATACTCAACAAGACAACAAATTCGATTCTTTATCTCTAATATTCAACAAGACAACAAATTCCTCCATAGAATCGATCTCTCTTTTTGTGAAGAATGTAAGCTGAAAAAAACACAGATTAGCTTCTCGTTTTATAGAACTTAAGCCTCAAGGGAACACAAACGAGTTAGTCTTGATGCACCATCTCTCCACCAAAGCCATGATCGCGTCGTAGACGCTGGAACGCTGGATTTCTGCCACACCACTGCGTTGGACTCAGCCATCGCATTTACCCACTCGATCCAATTTACCAACGGCAAATCCTATCCAGAAAAAGAGAATCTCACCGACGGTTTCTCTGGATCCGACGTCTCTGGCCGAGACATAAACGCATCAAGTGTAAGCTCGAAAACGTCATCAAAGCTTGTCTGGCGGTGGTGTAATTAAGGAGCTGTGCCGTTCAAAGACCTTCGAATCTTCCACCGTCGGGACACATCAGAGCTTGTCTGACTTGGACAATCCATTCATCCTTCTGATCGGAAGAAGCGAACTTGTACGGATCGATTTTTCTTCAAACCGTTTCGCTTTTTTCATCCCATGGAGGAAGAAAACTACCGCTCCTTATGCTTCTTCAAAGTCTCTGACATCGTCTCAAGAGCTTCTTCTGAGAATTGACCAAGTAGCACCTATCCAGAAGCGATGACCAAGACGAAAGAAACCAACGACAAAGGCAACAAAGATCCACACAATACACAAACCAGACTAAACAAAACTAACCCATAGAAGAGTACAGAATCGGAGGAATTCGAACCGGAGATAGATCCTGGAAAGCTAGACGCTGCGAAGCAAAGAAGGGGATCATCAGGTGCAAATCTAATTGATACTCAATTGTTACAACGGCGAGATTACCTCATGCGCAAAATCCCAATTTTTTTGTTGAGATGAAAACCAGACCAAGTTCAGGCACACAAGCTTTCTTCAAATCCAAAACAAAGCTATTAAATTAGTCTCTGCAAATCCAAAATTCATGTATATATATAGAACAATGCTTCATCAATTTTCCTTCATTCAAAAGTCGAAATCACTTCCCTCGTGGCTGGATTTCTGGCAAACCTTAATTTCAAAACCCAGAACAGCTTCACTTCCAAATGCTCTTCGTTGGTGAAACAACAGCACACTCGTCTTTGTATAATTCCCCTTTGCGCCAAAATGCTTCATCGATGAGAGTTGAAAGTATAGATTTTTTTAATTGTAAATTTAAGATGTAATTTGTGTAATTATTTGGGGATAATCGATTTTGAATTAACAAAAAAAGAAGGATAAATTAATAAATGAAAATATCTAAGGAAGTTGGATGGATATCCATGGGTCATTGGGTTTGGGTGGGTTTAATCCTGGTTTTAGTATAAATAAAGAGACAAATAGGAAGAGGGTAGTATTCTCCAGATTTTTCTTTATTAAAAAAAAAATCAAAATTAAATTACAAATTTAACACATGTCATTTTGGCTTTTTTTTTCGAGATTGTGGCATCTTGGCCTCGCGCTCTCACGAATTTTCTGTGATTTCTTTTCTTTAAACAGCGAAGAAGCTTCGTGCTCAATAAGCAGCCACAGAGGCCTAAAAAATGCCGATGACGGTTATCTCCGGTCGATTCTCACCGGCGCTTCTCCCTATTAGCTTATCAATTTCTCGGGTCCTCAAGTATGCAGGTCAAAGACGCGCTGTTTTCTTATCGAGATCAGCTAACGCCTCTTCTGCTTCCGCCTCCGTCGAGACGAATTCGAGTGTACGCTTTCCTTCCTCTCCAACTCTCTCTCTCTATATATATACGCATTTTTAGAAATCAATTCGACTTGTATTGATATTTCAGACGGAATCAGGATTGGATTCTGTTTGGTTTGAAATGTTTTTTTTTTTTTGGTGCTTTACTCTGAGTTCTTTCCGAAACAGCGTGAGTGGGTCTTGTTTGATGATCTCGATTTTCAGATGATGCGATTTGATTGGCGTGCAGGTTGATTCTGTTGTCGAGAAAGAGAAAAACAGGGGAGAGAAGAACATTCTAGCTTGTCCCATCTGTTATAACTCCTTAGCATGGATTAGTCAACCTAATGGATTAGTGTGAGTCTCTCACTCTTCACTGATAGTGGCTTTTATCCAGAAAGTAAGTGATTGCTCAATTTTCTTGAGAGGCAAGTTAAAAAGATTTGTACTTTATTGGCTACAGGGAACCTACTGCCTCTGGTACTCAATTACAATGCAATACCTGTAAAAAGAGTTACTCGGGTAATGAGACGCATCTTGATTTGGCTGTGGCTAGTGGAAGCAATCAATACAGTGAACCAATGCCACTTTCAACCGAGTTATTCAGGTTGATGATATGCCTTAATAGGCTCCTATTCAATGTTAGCCTCTATCCAATTTTATTATAACCGAGATTCTTTTGGCGTTGTTGATTCATAGGACTCCATTAGTCTCATTCCTTTACGAGAGGGGTTGGCGTCAGAATTTCATATGGGGTGGTTTTCCAGGACCAGAGAAAGAGGTGAGATGGAAGAAACTCTCTCCCTCTTTAAAGTTTAAAGGCTTCTTCGTTCCCTGTCATTTATATAGCCAGAGCGAGTTGTAACACTGTTGACATTGTGTTCCACAGTTTGAAATGGCTAAAGACTACCTGAAGCCTGTTTTGGGAGGCAATATCATTGATGCCAGTTGCGGAAGTGGGATGTTCTCGAGATTATTCGCTAGAAGCGAGCTGTTTTCTCTGGTGATAGCCCTTGATTACTCGGAAAATATGCTGCGACAGTGCTACGAATTCTTAAATCAAGAAGAAAACGTTACTAACAAAGAGTTTGTACTCTCAACTTTTTGTTCCATTATTGTCTTAGATCTTGAGTAACCAGATGTGTTGTTTTTCACTGCGCTGTTGCTTTTTCAAGGAAAGTAGTTCTGGTCCGAGCAGACATAGCTAGACTCCCTTTTCTTTCGGGTTCAGTTGACGCCGTCCATGCTGGTGCTGCGTTGCATTGCTGGCCTTCGCCATCATCAGCCGTAAAGCGTTTTTCTTAATTCAAAATTTAGCACAAAAAAGGGCATACAGTATAATGTTTGTTGTCTCTTTGGTTCTTTTAGGTTGCAGAGATAAGTCGTGTTCTGAAACCTGGAGGAGTTTTTGTTGCCACCACGTTCATTTATGATGGTCCCTTCAGTTTTATCCCGTTCTTGAAGAATATTCGTCAGGTGTGTATATGTTACTTCTAAGTCTTAAATACATTTAATTTCTGTTTTGCATTTCCTTCTCGCTTGCTCGTGGTGTGGTCTGTGGCTGATTATGCATTCCGATGATGTAAATGGTAGGAAATAATGAGATATTCAGGTTCTCACATTTTTCTGAGTGAACGTGAGCTCAAAGATATTTGTGGAGCATGTGGACTCGTTGGCTTCACTTGTGTGAGAAACGGGCCATTTATAATGCTCTCTGCCACAAAACCCAGCAGATAAGCTAACCCTCTTATGAAAAGCTTGAATTCTTGAAAATATACACAAGTTTTCTGTTGTTAAAAATTTGGTATATAGTTATAAAACATCATAACAACTCGAAAGAGCATATAATGTAACCTATCTTGTAAAGCCTTTTGCAAATTTTCTTACCTAATAGCTTGTAACTTGGTTTAAACCTGCTTTGCAAAAGGGTCTTCTTGTGAAAACTCGATGTCTCTGTTAGAATCAGAAATGTCACAACGACCAGAGAGATTATGTGTCACTAACACAAAAGTTAAACCCCAATACGCCAATTTTCTTCCGTAAATTGGAAACGAAAAATGTTCAGGAAAAAAATCACAAAACCTGTAAGAAAGTGAAAGAGAAAGCGACAAGAAAGTAGCAGCGGCCAGAAATATGCACCGAGAGCAATAACGTGAGCTGGGTTATGTTGATACTGACAATTTTTTACAATCTTTTTTATGTTTTTTACTTCCTCATAAGTCATAAGCTATAGTACAGTTTTTTTGTTTTTTATTGAGACGAAAAACTGTGGTACAATATTACACAGTTTGTGCCTTTATGGTTTCAATCTCTTCATACTTGGCTTGCGGATTAATTTTGGGCTTATGTGGACCCTAAATCGTATAATTGGTTTTTTTCTTACGACCGAACATGGGCCTATTCTACCAGTTGTTGGTGTTTGAACAAGTCTTGTATTCAGCTGAAAAAAAAATTTAATAATAACAAGTCTTGTATTCCAAGTTCCAACAATTGAAATTCGTGAATAAGCAACGGTCCGCGTTTAGAATAGCGTTTGAGATTAGAGCTAAATCCTAAGTGAAGAAATATCCAAAAAGAGTAAGTCTTCTTCTTTTATTCTTTTTCCCTTCTAAGCCAAGCCATATATTGTAGTCCCAATGTGCCCTTGGAACATGCATCTTTATCTTTCGTATATTTCCCCTCAAATCAATACTTTATCTTATTGTTATATTTTGGAAATTCCAGACCAAATAGCAAATCCATTCCAAAGATCCATCATTTAAAATTCCTAGTAGTATATACAAAATTAAAAAAAAAATGTCAAATAGAAAACGAATTGATCAAATTGACGTCTTCTTCTAAATAATGATTATCTATCTTCTCAATGTTTTATACTTTTTTCGCTAGCAAAAAAGGAAAAAAAAAAACTTTTTTCAACATTACTAAAACCCTATAATTTATCACCGATACCATCTAAGAGCATGTTCAATACTAGATCTTCAAATGGAATGCTTAAACAATATTTAATAATAAATCTAAAATTAAAAGAAAGAAAAACTATTTTGGTTCAGGAAAGAGAAAAAATGTTTTGGTCGTGTGAGAGAGAAAATGTTTTGATTTCACACTTATGATCTTCTAATTATTTGATACTTGTCCACAAGCATCGCATCTTAAAACGCTTAAACAAGCGTCGATTTTTACTTCAATTAATTATTTACATTTATTTTTTTTTAAAAATACCTCAGAATCCATTTTAAGCGTTCCTATTGAACGTGCTCTAAGAGCATGTTCAATGCAGGTGGTTTAGAAGGAGTGCTAAGACAATTTAAAAAAAAAATCTAAATAATACATTAATTTAAGCAGTAACGCTTAAATAAGCGTTTTAAGCATTGGTGCTTGCCAGACACGTGTCAAATAGTGATAGGCTTCAAGGTGTAGAAAAATTTTCTCTCTCTTCTTTCATCTTCATTGCTCAAAATTCTTCGATCAAAATTCTCCGTCACCATGATCGATTCTTCTTTCTCCGTCAACTTTTCTCGCCGCCGAGGGTAAACGACCTTCTTCCTTCACTCTGCATCAATGGTGTCTTCTTCTCTATCCAACTTTTTGCAGCTCGACCTCATCTTCTCTTTGCAGCTCGACCTCATCTTTCTCCGTCGCCGACCATCTTCTTTCACTCTGCATCAATGACGAACCATTCTGAAGTTCTAGAGGCTCTGTCTCGAGCTCTGAGGAAGACGGAAGAATCATATCTTGACACTGCAGATAAGATGCTCGATGAAAATCCTGAACTAGCTTTAATGGGTTATTTGTGTTCTGGTGATGTTGATGGAAGGTGAAGACATTTATGTGATGAATGTTGGAGATTCTATCATTGGAACTTACACAATCAGAATTGCTTAACAAAAATTCTTAACTTCAAATTAATAATTAAATAATACTTAAGCATCCTTTAAAAGTTGCTACCATTGAACTGGTCTAAGGTTCCATTCTAAAATTAATTATATACAGACATTTACATCATTTTTTTTAGCTTCTCTATGTATGAGTAAGAAATGATATTCATTTAGAATATTTTGGATATTTATAAGAAATTATCTCCTTTCCGCATTTTAAATCTTAAACCTAAAGCCACCTTCGTTATTTTTTTTTTCATATGCTATTTTCGTTTACGAGGTCCACACGCCATAGATCTAATCATATCGGTTGCCATGATGCCATCTTTAACATTACTTGACCATGATTTGGTATTTTAGTGTACAAATTCATGCTACGAAGAAAAAACCATGCGTAATAGTTTTATGAGGAAATTTGGAAGAATAAACTAAAAGGAGGTTTTATTTTCAAATGATTTTGTTTTTTTTTTTTTAAGTATAATTCTTTTTTAGTTCAATGACTAACTTATTCTAATTAAGAGTCTATAATTACATTAATATGTAAATTAAAATTTAATAGAAATATACTTAAACGTATGAAAATGAATTATTTTGTTAAAAAAAATTCAATAATTGTTGATTCTAACTATTTTTTATTGTATCTGTTTTTAATTGAAAATCTCACTTATAAAACTTGTAATGATCATGGGGTTGCATATAAAATAATTTATGCACTTTGAGTACAGTAGGGGTTTATCGAGTGACTTTCCTTACTATATATATATTTTTTTTTCTGGTTTAAGCACTTTTATTATAAATGTTCCTTTGGGTATATTAGCTATGGATCTTCTTATTTTCGTTTTTAGTGCATACAATACAAAATATGACTAAAACTATATGATATACTGGAGTAAGAAAACATATATAGTATGACATCTTGGATAGAAGCCAAGGGCTTTTTTTCGATGCCTACCTAATTGGTAGTACATATCGTGGGTCAATCAGACTTATTGACATATCTAATCGAGTAACATATAACGTTGTTTTGGTTTTTTTTTTAAGAAAAAAAACCATATAACGTTGTAAAAAGAAAAATCAACTAATAGAAATAGAAGGATTTATCATTTTCCGGAAAATGTCACTATATATATGATTGTATGCATATATTCTACCTTAACATTACTAAAACAATACTAATAGCTAGTGCCGTCGAAACAAAAACAATAACTATAAGCTTGTACTAGAAAAATTGACTACCTTTTAGTTAATTATCTGTAAATTAGTAATCATGTACTATAATAGGTTAGGTTTTTCTGTAATCGAATTTTTAAATCAAAAGTCTAGACTAGTCGTATGGTCCATATAAAGCAACATGGTAATGAAATAGTATGTTTGTTCTTAGAGGAAAGATAGATACTTCAAAATAAAATGATTCTATTTCAATTATTAATTATAAGTCGTCGTTGGTTTTTGACTACTTTTAGGTATTTTTGTTGAAATATTATGAAAAAGAGAGATTTAAGGGAATCTATTTTACGTGGCTTGTTTTGGGTTTATTGTAACTTTGTTCATATAGCTTTACCCTTCTTCATTTTTAGAACTATCTTTTCCTCATGTAGCACGAGTTTTCTAAGTTGTCGGCAGCAAAACGCAAAACTGCAACAGCACATTCATTTTCAGAAGGAAAAGAAAAACAAGAATACTAAAATACATATATGGAGAGATTATAAAAAGAACAAACAAACGAAATTATAACATACTGCAATTTGCTGACAATATATTTTTTCTGAAAATTTCTATCATGGATATTGAAATGTTGTCGGATTTAATATGTTGAACAAGAAAATTTTGTAAACAAGAAGCTTTAAGTTTTTCCCCAGCTTCTCTTTAGATATGAATTTTTAGTCAAATCGATAAAAAGTTGGAGGTAACCTACTAACCTTGTTGGTGGGAGGAAAAAAATGAAGGAAAAGCGGTCAAAGCCAAATAAAACATACAACAAACATACAACAAACAAAAAAACTTTTAACAAAATAAAATAACAAACAAACAAAGAAAGCTGCCGTATGAGAAAGAAGGTCTCGGACAAAGCCGGCACCGACTCGCACGAACGCACACACGGGACCGTATCACTCACATCGTGTTAAAAACGAAATTTTCAAAAAAATGGTACATCATTATCAAAATAAATTATCACTCCGAACTCATGCACGTACAAGTCCCAGTAAGAAAAGAAAGTTCCCGTTAATACTATTTAACGGTTTAAGCGGAATTTAAGCAGAATCTGTTCATCAATCACTTTAATTGAATTGGTTGTTGTTTAAACAAATAAACAAAATTGAAGTATTTTAAAAAAGCAAACAGTTTGTTGGTTGTTAGCGATTTATTATTGTGGATATCACCCACTCTATTATTGTGAATGCGTTTAAGAAGATAAGCTTAATTATTCCATTAATTACTTTTGTAAAGCACTATTAAACATTTGACCCTTTGTTCTTAACTTTTTTGCTGGTGTGATACAGGCCAATGCCAATATACCATTATCACGAGTTGGTATACAGTCAAAACATACTTCCATATATCCAATATCACAATCTCATAATTATTACGTATTTTCTAGTCAAAATTACTTGTTAATAACACACAAAAATCAGTGGATATCCATATATCACTTATCATACTAACTACATTTAGTTAAACAGTAACATAGCTATCGAGTTTTATGTTTTTATTTGTTGGTCGAAGTGAGTTTTATGCTCTATGGTTATCGTTTATATTGGAAAGTTTAATTTTCATTGCATTAATGATTACCGTAAATGTCGACGAATAATGATAGCAAAAACTATATATATATTTCTCTAGGCTCCAAATATATTTGAACAATCTATTGCATTTTTCGTCTTTATCAATTAAGACAATAAACAATCAACGATGGGGTCAGCCTATTATATTATCCTTATCATTATTTCAATGAACTGTACAAGAATGTCTTAAAGAATCGACCCCATTAAATCTAAATTAAAATCTAATTTTTTGGATTTTAGAAAACAAAAGCAAGATTTTTGTGTTAGAGGAAAAGGCAGACAAATAACAAAAAAAAAAAGTTGGGTATCTTGTAAAGTACTCAACAGTAATTCTTTTGTTAGACTTGTATAAATACATTAAACAGCTTTCATCTTCAACCCAGAAAACTTCCTTTCTCCTCTGTTTCATCGAACTCTTCACAGTGCTTTATCCTCTGCAACGATTTCAAAGCTTTCATTCTTCTTAAAATGGCGAAATCTAAGAAAATCTCAACGGGTCAAAAAATAGGTTGTGAGAGTCTCCTTGGGTGTATTTTCCAGAGCTGGAGTCCTCGCCGGCGAAAACCATCTTTACCGGAAAAAGATCACAAGGCAAAAGATTACTTGCCTCCCAAGTCAACCACCATTACAAACCCTAAAACCCTCCCGAGAAAATCAACCGATTCTTCATCTCAGGCAAAGAAACCAGAGCCACAGAAACCCCAAAAAAAGACGAAATCCGACGAAAGTGACCCAAGAAAATCATCAGATTCCGCCAGAAAATCGATATCGTCAGGAGCGTCGTCGAGAACAGAGAGCAAGAGGTTTTCAGTGAACGGCGTGATGGGAAACATCATCGTGAAACCACAGCCTGCCGCTGAGGTGGCACAAACAAGAAGTCGGTGGGAGGGCAAAAGGGTAAATTACAGACTCGATCCGGAGGCTCTGAAGAGAATGGGAAACGAAGAGTATTGTCGTGGAAGGTTTGAAGAAGCTCTTGTGTTTTACGAGAGAGCCATTTCAGTTGACCCCAAAACGCCGACGTATTGGTCTAACAGATCCGCCGCTCTGATCAGTCTCGGTCGCCTTCTAGAAGCTTCCGATGCTTGCGAGGAAGCGTTAAGACTAAACCCGACTTACGAGAGAGCTCATCAGAGACTCGCTTCCCTCCAACTCAGGTAGAGTCTTAGCTTTCTCCCTCTTTGCATTTTTTTTTTTTTAATTCCGTTTAGTTCTAACCTTATAGTTATTACCTTATACGCTGATTATTATTATTTTAAAACAGATTGGGTGAGGTTGAAAAAGCTTTGAGTCACTATAACCAAGCTGGAAAATACACAGAGACAAAACATATAGAACAAGTTGAAGATGTTATAAAATGCTTAAGGAGGTGCGATGAAGCTCGAAGATCAAAGGAATGGAACGTTGTGTTGAAGGAGACTAGCTTTGCGATATCATATGGAGCCGATTCTTCTCCTCGGGTTAGCTTTTCTTTCTTGCATTCACACGATATAACTTTATAAAGTTCTTTTATATATGGAGTACTAAAAAGAAGCCAAAATACATTTTTTGAAATTTTAAGCAGTTGTGTCGGTTTAGCAAACCGGATATATTATAAAAGGAAAGTTCTTGGTAGTTGCTCTTGTTTAGCCATACAACTAAATCCATAACTTTCAATCTCATAAGGTCTATGCGCTCCAAAGCGAGGCCTTATTGCATCTACAACGACACGAGGAAGCCTACAACGTGTACCAGAAAGGAACAAAACACTTCGATGTCGATTGTTTCATAAAGATTTTTGGTCTATCCATCACTTCTTACCACTTAATGGTCGGAGCTCAGGTCTACATTGCAGCAGGAAGGTCAGTATAATATTTTCACCAAAAAAAAAAAAAAAATTCACCGAATGCCTTGCCGTATATTTCACTTTGTTTCCTTTTTTACAAAGAGAAGATCGAACAACATGCCGTTCCACTTCTTGGGACGGGTACAAAACTACAAAAAAAACTTATTTTCAGCTTCTAAAACGTTAGGAGACTTTGTGTTATATTCTTTATGGACAGATTTGAAGATGCAGTAGCTGCGTCAAGGCAAGCGGCTAGACTGGATCCGAGCAACGAAGAAGTAAACGTGCTGGATAGAAAGGCAAGAGCGGTTGCTGCAGCGAGACTCAGCGGAAATTTGCTCTTCAATGCTTCGAAATTCGAAGTGGCTTGCGTGGTTTACACGGAAGGACTTGAGAAAGATCCTTATAATGCCCTCTTGCTTTGTAACAGAGCTGCCTCTAGATTCAAGCTTGGTTTGTTCGAGAAAGCCATCGAAGATTGCACATTGGCTCTCAGTCTCCAGCCTTCGTACCGGAAAGCGAGGCGGCGCAGGGCGGATTCTAATGCCAAGGTATTCAAAAGCTCAATTTTTAGAACCCGTATAAACCGGCTCGAACCATGACTGAATTTCTATATGAAAATGGTACTGGTTGTTTTTTAAAAAAGATATATAATTAATGTTTGGTTGGTTTATTCTTAGTTGGAGAAATGGCAACAAGCGATTCAAGATTATGAATTGTTGATTACGGAGACACCTGGAGACGAGGAGACTAGAAGAGCCTTGGCTGTGGCAAATGTCCGGTTTAGGAAACTGACCGGTCGAGATGTCCGGTTTAAAGGAATCGACTCGGATTTAGTTGTGGTAAATTGAAATGGGAGGAGATTTGAGTTTAAGTAAGCCGAATTGTATAGTTTTGAGATGTTTTGAAGATTCGATTGTGTCTGCTTGTTTGTTTTGCCTTGTTTTACTAAATTAGGTCTCAAATTTTATTTGAGCGGGCCTTTTTTTGTGTGTTCTTACCATCAAAATTTTGTATCAAACTGATATACTAAAACATCATATCATAAGGGAAAGATCTTATATAATTTCTCTTTTTTAAAGGCTCTGGTCATAGACTAGAAACGACATATCTCATGTAAATGGCCTTGCCCCGAGCTCGAGGGCTTTACGGGATTGTGGGCACAGTTGAGAAAGGCGTTTACTCGAAAACCTATGTGTGATCTAGAGGTTTAAGAAACCAACCATGTGTAATAAAGTGATCGGAAATTAGACAAACCTTTTAATCAAATATATTCACTAGGGTACAGTATGAATTATTATTATTATCAGATTTTTTTTTTTCAGTACTACTTATAATTTTATTATAAAAAATTGTTATAGATTGTTATCCAATAACATATATTTTTGGAAAACTGTTCGACTAATTTTCCAATAGATTAGGGTGAAAATGAATCCTACAATATCGCAAGAAGATTCAAAGATAATGAAGGAGACTTTGTTTATAGAAAATTTGACAATAATCAGAGGTTTGTTTATTGCCATCATTCCTCTACTGATCGTGACGCGCTTCTCCATAGAATTGAGGGAACGCACACATTCTTGGCTGATGTCGGTTATTCGGTTGATATGCGAGGAAGAAGAAAACTAACTTTGTGTGCTATTGATCGCTATATTCAAGGTATGTCACCTTCAGTTTGGTTCTATATCTCAATCCGAAACCAGTAGTTATTATTTGCTTTAGTTTATCCAAGAAGAGAGATGGAGTTATTGTCCATTATAAATCGATGGCGCAAATAGAGATGATTGTTTCCATTTGAATTTAATCATATATATGATTACCAACAATATGATCCATTTATTAATCTCCAGAATTGTTTACAAATATACACACAACATGTGATCAAACATAAAATACCAAAAAAAAAATGTTGATTAAGCATATCTGTTTAAAAATATAAGCCATGTATGTACATATTTGCATTACATTACAAACGTTGTGATGAAACACACGAAAACAAAGAAGGAAAACCGTTGAGATACAAAACAGGGGAATCAAGGAAACTCCAGAAACCAAAAAAAAAAAAAAAGTATCAAAAATTAATTGAAATACTTAATTAGATATATAAAATACGGGGATTAATGGTGAGTAACGGTAGACCTGTAAAATCAGTTTTTCCAGCTTCGACTTCGAGACAGAGGATCTTGAATTCCGCCGACAACCCAAGTTTCCTTAGCGATGTCTGAAGAGAGTCTGTAATACTCAGTATCGTATCTCATCAACACCAATTCCATCTTCTCTTCCTCCATTAGTGATCTCAAATCCTTCTTCTTCTTTTGCTTCTTCTCCGTACTCATCTCTTGATCCTCTGTTTCTTCTTCCTCCTCCTCTTCTTGTTGTTCTTCTCTGTTAGCTTGCTCTGTTTTTGCTTGCATTCTCTCTTCTAACCAACTCTTCGCTGGAGCCGATCTACACCTCATCAGCAAAAGCGCGTTTGGAGGTGGAACCGCCGGTTCTGCGTCTGAGTTTTCAAGATCGTGTTTTTCATCAACGACGCAATTGTTGTTCTTCTTGTGATCATCGTTGTTGCTCTGTTCCTCTTGTAAAACCATATACCATTTAGAGAAAAGTGTCTTCGACTTCTCCTCTTCTTCCTTTTCTTCTTTTTCTTCTCCATCGTCATCATCATCATCATCATCACCTTCCTCCTCGTCGTCGTCGCTAGTGATATCGGCATGTCGGAAATCACCAAAACACCTGAAATCGAATCTGATATTTCTGAGACAAGTCAGGAAACCCATCACGTCTTTCTTCAATCCAAGAAACTTTCCCTCCGATTTATTGCGATGAATCTTCTCGAACTCCGCCATCATCGATTGCCAATTCTTTCCTTTGCTCGGCCGGACTTTGATCTGACCGGCGCAAGTGACTTTAGGCGAAGTGGGTTCGGCTATAACATCACCGCCCATATTCTTACTGCTTGCTTGTTTAGCCCACAAAACAGGACTTCCGTGTCCTCCTCCGCCGCCGCCGGAGAGTCTGCTGAGCTTGCGACGGTGGTGGGGACGACGAGTGTTGGTGTCGGAGGGACGGGACGGGCTACAAATGGGCTTAGGAGTAAGAGCTAAGTGGGCTCTTGAAGGGAAACAAACCAACAAATCTGCAGAGTAACCAGAAGAAGTGGATCCTCTGTTTCCATCTCTTCCTTTGATCATCGCCTTTCCTTCTCTGCTTTTGTTTTATTTTTTTGGCTTTGGTTTTTGGATCGATCTCTCTCAATGGAAGAGTTCAGCTTTTTTATGTCTATATTTATAAAATTCTTCTTTTTTATTTTCTTTTTTAGGCTTTGAAATTCCTGTGCTGACAGCTTGTACATGCTTTTTGCTTTTGAGAGGGGAAAAAAACTTTCTTTTTCATTGAAACAAAAGGTGAAAAAATCGGTGGTGCAATACCAACTGTCTTTGTAAAATGTTGATATTAAAAATGTTGTGAAATTGATGGATAAATATATGAAGAAGAGGAGAAGTGATGGAGTCAAAGGAGTGAAGTGGATTCATTTCAGCTTTATTCCGATCGTAAACAAGAAGCTTCTTGACTAAATCATTTACATTCAATGGTCGTCACCACTACTTCTTCATACATTTGTTTATCATTTCACTTTGAGATTTATGCTTATGTCATCATTCTGATTGTTTGTTTTTATATGGTGAAAGAATTCAAAGACTTATTGTACCAAATGTGACATCAATATTTGGTCACTCTAAAACTCATGTAATAGATAGGTATCACCCTATATTTTACTTGCCTCAAAGAAACTCGATCAGTACCAAAAAAATAAATGCATTGGTCATAACAGAGCAAGAGCCCAAAATATGACGCACCATTAAAGTATATTTGGTTCTCAGTGACCTAGAATCGCCGTGAGGGTGGTAGCGGAGCATAGTTGAGCCGTAGGTGGCTACACACCGGATCCGATCCGAGAAAAATACTCATATTAAAAAACAAGTCGTATATATGCGATTTAAGAAATGTATTCATGCATTACATAATCGTTAGAGATCTGGAATCTATCCCGAATAGAATCTTGTCTAGGAAATGTCAGGTAAGTCGTCCATTGTCGGAATATTTAGGGTTTTTCTTATGTTTTATTTAGATGTGATTATTTTCTCTGATTTATTTTGTTTATGATATTATTCAATTGTTGTATGTATTATACATTTATATAGATGCAAGTAACGGTTTGTTGAACCCCAAACTCTATCAAAGAAACGGATTTGGTAAAGATAATCCCTTTATTAAAAAGAAAAGTTTAATAGTTTATTTCTTAATAAAAAAGGAAAATTTTAAATTATTGGTTTTCTCGACATAAAGTATTTGACTAACTTTTGTTTAATTTAATAACTTGTGTCCGCACCTTGTACGGGCTACAAATATTTAGTAAATAAAATGATATTCTTACATATATTGTTATAAATTTCATCCACAATCTAATTTCAGAGGTTTTTTTCTGGTGTATATTCGCATTATTAAAAGAAAGAATAACATGTGAATGTGACAAGGGTGATGATGGGTTATAGTCGAATGCTCCAATAGATTAAAGTTGGAAAGGTTTCGTGGGCTTTACTTTTGCAAACTCAATATAAACTAATAATGTTATTATATGAATGGAAATAGAAAGACAATAGTATAAAGAAGGGAAAAAAAAGGAAAAGATTGGAAGGGCACGAGGCTTGTTTCTTAATCCAATGGTACTCACAAGGTGTGTGGTCACATTTCCCTTTGTTGTTGTTATCTTCAACCACACATTCATCAATTTTCATTTTCCATCTCCGAGTTTAACTACCTTCTAACTATATCACCAAACAATAGCACCAAATGATGTGAATGTTGTAATATGAAAATGATGTAATGAAGAATTGAAATAGTGTATGTTAAAAGTAATTACGACATTGGACGTGAATTATTTGATATTGTTTCACCATTGAAAAGGATCATTGCGGAGGAAAAAATGTTTGGAAAACCGGAAAAGAAATAGTGGTTCCGCTTCAAACAGCTTTGTTTTTCAAATATTCTGCAATTTCACAGTTCAAATAATCACAATTTTAATGATATTTCAAATTAAACTTCAACTTAACATCAAGTTAAAGTCAATGAAATTTGTATAGAGATTAGAAAACACATACAAAAGAAAGAAAAAAACTTTGAGCAACTCTCTTTAATTACACGTCTAGTTTAAACGGTTTTACTGAGCACTAAGACAAACCATTAGTCGACACTTTTCTTTTTCTACAAAGAGTAGAAACACATTAAATTCACTTAATGATTCTCACACGAAAATTTTCCACAGGTCTCTTAGATAGCACTCTATCTGATATCTCACCACATGTCGCACAAAATCTTTTGCTTTATGGGCTTGTGGCATGATCTATACAAATTTTAATTCTTGAATAGGAGATTTTCCTTTTTCTTTTGTTCTTCTTCTACATTAATATTCAGTTTTCACATATAAAACGAGAAAATGATTTCCTAATTTCCTAAACTTTAGCTCCAAACACAATATTTTGATTTAATGTCATGCTTCTCACACAACAGATATTTTCCTTAACTGAATGTTCGCATGTACAGTTGCGCGACATTTGTCTTCTCCGTTTTGAATGTAGCTCTGGTTCCAGCTTTAATTATAGAATAGTTCCAGCATTTTTCATGAAACTCTTGCTTTAGCCGTCAATTCCTAGCCGAATTAAAATATGAATGTTTTGGCCCTTCGGTAAGAGAATTATTGTTAAGAGCTTAATGAAATTTAACTATTGGTGCAAATTCTTGTATATGGTTTTGAGATTGCTAATACATTTTTACCTTACTACTAGTTCCTATGTTTCAAATGAAGTGTCGTTATTTTCAATGTAAATTTTTGGTATTAAATATCTCATTTAACATCAAGTCTAATGGATGATACTAATAGTTAAGTTGTTTTTAGAGTTGAAATAGAGTTCCTAATAAGTTTTTCTTAATTTTGTGTGGAAAAAACTGTAAATGATATTTAGTGTAAACGTGAAGAGTAACATGTTATCTATTTTTTTTTTGTCAGAAGTAACGTGTTATCTATAACAACATTTTTTGCAAATTAAATTTTTGGCCGATACCGAAATGACTTTATAAAACTCGAATTTTGTCGCTCTAATTCACATGAATGGGTAAATAGGCATGGCTCGATTCCCCGCTTTTACTAGAGACTCCAGTTAATTTTTCTTACCAATAATGCGCTAATTGCGTTCATCTCTTTGAAGTAGTACAGATAAAATTTGCTGGAATGATATTTACGCACTTGGAAACAAATCAAATAAATATAACTAACAGGCCCCCAACTATCAAATAAATTAAAGGTTGAAAAGAAAAGTTAGGTATGTTTTATCATGATAAGTTGCATCAACATAGAGGTAGGCCTTTAGCACTAGAAGAATAAAAAGGCATTTAACAGTTAAGTAGAAATTTCTTTATAAATATATAATGACATATTTTGATTTTTAATTATTTTCCAAATAAATTTATGTAGATGAAGATAGTGTTTGATTTAGTTGTACTCCTGAGAGCGACAATATTGAGAAATCATGTGGGTAGGCCTTTGGCACTAATAACAGCCCCATTCGAAAGGCAATTCTTATTTTACTCCTTTTTCACGAACTTAAGTTTTTTTTTTTTTTTTTCCTTTCTCAAATCACAATGAAACAAACATACTTTTTTATGATAGATGGCATAAGTATGTAATAAATTAACGTAAGCTTAATTGAGACAAACTCCATGAAAAACCGTGACAAAAGAAAGCCTGATAAATATGAAAACTGTATTGCTTTGCAATCAAAGCTTTGGATTCTAGCATCATTCATACCTATAAGCTAGTTGAGAGATTAATGCTCTAATCAAACTGATAGTATTCTGTTTTAATAGTCTTTGTTTAATTTCAAGCACAAGTATTTTCATTGAAATGTAAGCAAGGACCACATTTCGTTTTGTTTAATAATAGAGGATTGAATTATATTTTGACGAACTAACACCTTTAGTTTCTTTCGATCCCCACTCTATAGCCTTTTGCAAATTAATAACCATATTAAGAATTGTATTGGTGACGTAATCAAATAACATCCTTTTGATCATGATAGTGATGATACCACCCAATGGCTACAAAAACGATTGATACAATAAACGATGTGTCCATAATGATATCACTTCAATTCCGTAATGATATCACTTCAATTCTTTATAGATCATTGTTCAAGAAAGTTAGACAAGGATATTGAAAAGTCGAACTACAGTTCATAAACTTTAAACTAGATGTGGTTTAGTTTATCATTTTGCAGGAGAGCGATCTTTACCGGCCGTAATGGGCTTAAACCCGGATCCAATAGGCTTGAATCTCGCTCGACTCTCGTTGCAATTTGCGAAATTATTAATTGCTTGCTTTGATGATACCATAAACCTCGTGATTTGTTAAACGTAAAAAAAGGTATCCAACTTAGTTAAACTATACTGAGACGCATTTAATGTGATAATCAGATTCGATTCGAATTTGACGAAAGTCGTACGCCATAAGTACAGGATTGGCTTTGTACGGAGTGTATGTATACACTATACATATAAAAGGCCTACCAAACGAAAGCCCAAAAAGCCCATTAGGCCTTTTTCAACAAATCTAGAAAGAATTCATCTCTAATACATTTCTCCTACGCTTGAGCAACGCCGTAACCGCTTCACCGTACATACAATCGCCGCCATCTGCGGCGAACGCCTCCGTCGCCAGCTCAGCATCATTGTCATCGGAAGCCACACCAGTGGGTCTTACGACCACGAGCGTCGCTGCTTCTAGACAAATCCCGCTTTTCAGCTTCAGCGACGGCGCGTGTCTCATACTCATCCTCACGCTAGGAACCACCGTACGATCCCGCACGCGCTCAAATCCTTTTTCATCAACACGCGCCTCCGTCTCTCTGTATTCTTTCATCCCCGCCGCGTCCATCACCACCGTACCTTCTCCTTCTCTGTCACGCACGGTCAATTTCTCCATCTCCTTGTGCTCCTTCACCAAATCTCTCATCAGGTAATGGCGTGTCGAAGCCGCCATCAACGCGCTGATCGTCCACACCACGCGCGTCTTCAATCCACAGACGAACTCCGAATCTGACTCCACAACACCGTCGATGGGAGATTCCGTAGCTGAAGTATTGACCGTCGCGGAGCGGAAAGCGACGATGACGCAGGTCTTGAGAGTTTCTCCAAACTCCGCTTTCCACTTAACAGCAGCGCCTTTCTCGAGCTTGACATCGCCGCCGTATAGTTCCACCTCCAGATTCCGGATCCGGTTGAATCCGGCGAGAATTTGGGCCGGAGTTTTCGGGGAGCGGGTCAGGATTTCGGCCGGGTTAGCGGGTCTGGAGAAGATAGGGAGGAATCCGTGGATAGATTTGAACAGAGATCGGAAGAAGCTAGCGATCGGAGAGTCAATCTCGGAGTCGGACTCGGTGGTGCCGAGGATCTGATCTAATTGGAGAAGGAGCGAGTCGGACTGAGTGGCTAGCGAGTTGAATCGTTTCGAGACGGAACGACATCGTATCAGCGTTTTGACGTCACCGACTTTGTTCAAAATGTCGATGACCACAGGATCAGGAATCGCATCAAAAGCGTCCATGATTCTCTTTTCTTTGGTTTGACCAAATTACCCTTTTAAAACCTTCGGGATCTCTTAGAGAGTTCTCTCGCTTTGTTTTTTTGGGTCGTCTTCTCTTCTGCTGTGTGAGTTGAGAGATTTTGGACTTTAAATAAGGAAAAACCCAAAGGCGAAATGATATTTTAATGACCGGCATGTGGGGCCGTTATTGCCGTCGGTATATGATATTTTATAACTAATGAAGAACAATAAGGACGGATTTCTCGAATTTTTGATTGGTGGTTTGATATTTAATGAGGAGACATCAACGATTGAGATGCTCTCTACCCGGCGACAACGTCCTTGATCGACGGTCCAAAGCTACTTTAAGTATTTATTAAATCCCGGTGCCATACCGGGCCAAAAAGATAAATATTTGGATGGATACATAGTTTTTAAAAAAGGGAAAAAAATTGTGAACATATTTCATGACAGATGAATAATCGAGATCATGACTGATATTTCAAGAAATATTACCGGTTTTTTTTCCTTGATATGGCAGCACAAATATGATATACGGTAGTAATTTACATATCAACCACTTAAAAGTTAAAACCCAAAGTCTATATGCTGAAAAATGAACAAGTATTTGATTTCTTACTACACTTTTTGGTTAAATACATGAGTATATCTAATTTGATGATGAAGAGTGTTTTACCTCGACATCCTTTGCAATCAAAGAAGAGATTCCAAATCATTTGGAGGGACCGGACGGTTTGTTAATTCCATAGACTCGGTCCACACAAAAGGTGTCACAAAAACTACATTTGACTATTTCAATTTCATTATTTCAACAATCACTTTTCTTATTTTTATGTTTGTGTTTACATGTAAAACCCAGATTCACCCTAAAAAATCACATTTATAAATACAAAATGTCATTATGTGTTGTAGGCATGCAGCTTAGGAAAAGATAAACATAATGCCGCATATAGACAGAATAAGTACGGAGGTTTCTCCTATTAGCTGTGTCTTTTATATACATATGTATATGTTTATTTATTTCTGAGATTTACAGTTTTATACTAAACACCGGAATTCGTTAAAACGTTTGTATCTTTTTTTTTACCTACAAAAAATCTTGAGATCTTATATTCAAACATTCAGTTCATCTTATAAGATGTTTTCAACATTAATTACAGTTTTCTTATAAATATGTCTATCACTAGGTTCAGTTTGATAGTTGTTTAGGCTATGTTTGACCGTATTAATAAAGAAAATAAAAGTTTGTTAAAGGGTTATCATAAGTATCATTACTATAAAAAAGTTATTACAAAAACATGTATTGTGCAGATTAACAATAGTAATACATATCATTCCCTGACGTGGTATATGTTTAAATTATTTTCAAATATAATTTTCGTTCTATTTATCATTATTTTAATATATAAAAGCTCCATGATGAGATTACGTTGGGGCAGGACAGCAGGTTGTATTAATGTACCTTTTTCTTCCGATTTATTGCAATGAATTTAGGAGTTGTTGTGGCAGATCTTGTCACACGTTCTACCATGGAGATCCATACATCATGCATTATCTAGTGGCTGAGTAGACATGTCTTACTCGTGAGTTATGACTTATGACAATGGTTTATTATAGTGTTGAATCAATTACGGTCATGGAGTTAATATGATAGTAACATCGTAATAAAGGAAATAAATTTACTCCATAAAGTTAGTGGTGTAAATGTATTAAGTGGAAATCTTACATATATGTGTGTTGAAATTATACTATACCATCACTAGATAAGTTACGAATTACACACATGACTTTTAACTATTTTGTTAGTAATGGAAAGAAGTTTATTAAGAACTAGTTCAAACAATGAATCATACCCCATATACGAATTCTCACTATTAGTTCGTATTTTTTGCCATTGTAGGCATTTTGAGTATTGACATAACAAATACTTTAATTTTTACATTGCCCTGAAAGTAGTTGACGTTTTAATATAACTTTCACCATGTTATATAAAGTATTGTACATACTTTCGCAATATAGTTTCTTGAAAGAAAACTAACCAGTTTAGATTGTGGACCAGAAACCGTTATTGAAAATCCCCGTACAAAGTGTAAAGTCAAGATAAACACACGAAGATCGTTGATCGATTAATAAATGCAGTATTTGTCAAATTATTTTCGTTTTAGTTTTTTTTTTTTGAAGAAATAAGAGAGAAACAATGAGAATGAGGATGTTGAAAAAAAAAAGTGAGAAATAGAGATAGAGAGAGAGAGAATCAGTGACGAAAATATTCATTCGCACGGAAAAAATGCCACCTTCCAAAATTTACGCGATCGCCAAAAACGCATCTTTCTTGGAGACGATAATCAAAAGGTACGGTTCAACTTCCAACATTTATCTTTTGTCTCTTTTTTCCTATTGTTGTCACAAGCAACTTGACATTATCTCCAAATAATTTACGCCAATAAATAGTTTCCTTAGTACAATCTGTTAAACTATATTTTTGTTGTGAAAAATAAAATTTGTGAGAGACCTGTCAAAAAAAACATTTCTATGAGAGACCTGTAGAATTTAAAATAAGAGATTCTTTCAACTTAGAGAATAATCCATCGAATTGTAAACCAGAGGTTTTATTGCTATGCCAATGGCAGATGTCTAGATGATGTGTAACTATGAAATGACGAAATTGTGTCTATACTAATTATTTGTTGCATTTTAAAAAAGGAGGAAAGCTTTTATTTTGTTTAATGTCAATTATTTTATCCAATACGATTGATAGAATATTTTCCCCAAAGTAATTGCCCACCCATTTTAGACTTTTAGCATCAGTAATTTACTATACCGATATCAATATGATATATAGAAAATAAATCTGTTAGAGGAATTGTGTCATATATTAGATTTTACAGTTTTATAATTTTATTTGACCCATTAAAATAATGTCATGTTTTCTATATATTAATATTTTATGAATATATTACTCGATAACTGCTTTAAAGTTTAGTAAGACGATAAAAAATTTGATTAATTCTAGTTATAGAAATATATAAGAATAAAAATAATTTATTAGAAGTGGATAGCGATTATTCTAATTTAATTCCCGGGGACAAGTGGACAACTCAGCCGTGACAAAGACTAAACAATATATTTGAAAATGATCTTAATCATTGGCGCATTGTGTATCATTATTGGCTATTTTATTAACCAAAGAAGTTTTTTTATTAGAACCGTACCGCACAGCTACTAATCCTAATTTAAATAAAAAAATCCGGAAATGTGATTTTTATATATCAAGGCCAACTCGCCAGTTTGGAATAGTCAATAGTGATTTAGTTAGCGCTTTTTTTTTTCTTGGGATAAATGGTTTAGTTAGACTTTTCGATAATAATTCTAAGAGAAATGTGAATATGAAAAAAAAAAAAAAAACATAAACAATTACTTAGGCTTTGGACTTTGGAGTTTGGCGTGTAGAATGGAGTATTACGTTGTTGGCAGTTTAGGGACTTTGTTGGCAGTTTTGGGACTTTGTTGGGTTAAAATGGTTCGGCCTAAAATGGGTTTAGTGGATTATCCAATCAAACCCAATTTCATTCCTTCTCATAATCTCACGTAATCTTAGGCAGTATCAATCTCTCTTCGATCTCGCTTTAACGCCGATCATAGACACCGCAGTTGCATGCTCGGTCTCTCGTTGTCTCGTTGCAGCTTTCGCAATTGTCATCAATCTTGTTCGTGAGCTAAATATATAGCTAACTAGCTTTTTCTGCAATTTGGATTTAACGATCTCATCTAATTGAACGTCTTCGTGACGATGATGGGGTTTTCTTTTATAAGCCGATTTTATTAATAGATTCCCAGTGTTATTTTCAAAGAAAATATTGAAAAAAAAATTTTCGAAGAAAGCATCTTACTGGTTGTTCTTTTCTTATTTAAGTGTTTTAGTGAATGTGTTTGAGAAGCTGGGTGGGTCTATTTTAAGCTCTAACCAATGTTATTACTTTTACTAATTACTACCAACAATTTAGAGTGTCTAAACTTGTTTTTCTTTTCCCTCCGGGGTCTGATTTGAATTGGTTTCTTGTTCTGTAACATTTGTTTTTATTTTCCCAATAAGTCTTCTCCTTCTCTAAACTTTTTTGTGATTGGCCCTTGAAAGATATGTTACCAAGGGACTTCCACCACCACCTAATTATGTGTTTGTTTGTTTTCAAAAAGTTAAGAAAGAAAAGAAAAAAAGAAAACTGAACCTACGATCGCTTTTAGGCTTTTTCTCTAGCCATTTGTTTCGTCGATTTCTCTTTTGGACTCCAAACGTTTTGGACTTTAAGGCCCATTAATGCAGTTAATTTAAGCGCACGATCGCATTGAAGTTTTTTTTTGTCAACAATCGCATTAGATTGTAGGGTTGGTTATTCGAATAATGAACAAATCGCTTTATAGCCCGATATGCGTATACCAATAATGATGTTTTTGTTGGGCCATTTTATTCTACGCCAGGCCCGTTAATAATATTTTAAGCCTTATTGAATGAACTTTTTCTTATTGGCATTTTGTAAAATGTTTGCAGTTTGTTTACCAAAAGAAAAGATATAGTAAAATTAGTAGAAAAGTAAACTAAACACTTGATTGATACATGTCAGATGAATAGGAATAACTGAATAACTGGTAATTGTTTGTTGACAGAATTAAACTAGATGTAAAAACATAAAAAAATGGATAAATATTATGAATAGTAAAAAATAATAGATTTATATTTTCAAAATGTAAAAACGTGAACAAATAATATGACATACAAGTACAACACGTAATTTAGTGAAAGATGAAAGAAGTTTTTCCTTGGTGGCTACCAGGACCGTGCCTATGCAGAGAAAAAAAAAACACTCACTTACGGGTCTGCTTTTTTAAAAACAATTGACATATTCAATTAACTAATTAAAACTTAATATAATAATACAATAAAATATTAAGATAATACACATAACAATTTAAACAATTAGAAAAATTATGTTTTTTATTTTCCTTTTCTTTCTTAAAAATCTTTACAACTCATTATTTTTCTTACCAAAATAACCACATATTTAATTGGTATCTGTTAATAGTTAAGTTTTTTTAATATATTTTTTTCATCTAATATTAGATTTAGTTTGATTTGTGATTTAAATTTAATTACAAATAAAAACTCAAATAATTGGTTAATTTATCTACTTTAAGGAAATATAATTCAGAATTTTAGATTGAAATAATTTTAAATTATAGATATTTTTTGTAGTTTTGTGAATTCAAAACCGATAATGGTAATTATTTATGTATTATTGATTTTAAATAATTTAAAATAATTAAAGTTATTATTTATTTTATATGAATCATTTTGATTTTATTGAAATTATGACAATAATAGTTAATTGGGAGCTTTTTTTAATATCGCTTACGGGTCCCGAAACTCTAGGCACGGCTCTAGTGGCTACACACAACTTCTATTAATATTCAGATGAAACATTCATATATTCGTTACCCTATCTATTATTATTTATATATCACTGCACTTTTATTTAAATTGTTAGTTGGAATCTAAGAACATATTTTGAGTACTAGTATAACAATAATAAGTAGAATCATTTATATGATCAAGCAACTAACCCTATAACCCTACTACCTTCTATTAAATATATATTTTTATCCTTTCTAAAGTATCCTATAATGCAATAAGATTATAAAAATGGTGCATAAGAGCATCCACAACGGTGGTTTTAAAGAGGTTTTAAGATTGGGTTCAAAATGTTTTTGGATTTAAAAAAAATGAATAAAGCCCAATAATGATAAAACCGTCTCTATAAACGGTTCATGAGATATGTGGCATTATCCTATTCGTTGCACTTGAGGGAAAATAATCTGTCGACCAAATCTCATACTTAGAAAAAAATGTCCCCGAAAAAACCTTTGTCATGGAGAAAGCTCTCTTCATCTCACATCTCCACCGGATTCGTTCACCGTTAATCGGAGACGATCTTCACGTCGGCTGGAGTTCTGTCTTCTAATCATCTCAGAGGTTTCCCATCGTTGCTAATTCGTTTCATCTCCTCTTCTCCTCATCTCCTCATATTTTGATCGAGGATCGTCGGCTTTCTAATCGTATCGGAGTGTCGTTTGCGAAGAGAAGGTATGTATTCTGATTGCGTGGTTGATGTATCGTCATTAGTTTGAATCAATTTCGTCTGAAATTAGGGATTTTGGAGTTAGGGAAATTATTAGGGTTTTAAAATTTGGGAAAATTTTAGGGGTTTTCTGTGTTTGAATCAATATTTAGGGGTTTTTGTGTGCTGAATTTCTGTGTATGTTTGCGATAATCAATAGGGTAGGGAATTGGGATTTCATCCATATCATATTATGGATGAAATCGGATTTGATGATTAGTGATAGTTTTTTAATTGTAATTTGATTACATTGTGGATCATGTGTGAACGGTTTGGATTTGAGATCTTTTAAAACTTGTGTGGGTTGTTAATGAGTGAATGAGTAGATTGAAGTGTGAATGAGAATATTGTTTGTTAAGGATAGTTTACAATATTGATATGTGAATGAGTTTTCCATATTGATGTGTGAATACTCGATGGTTGGCTTTCTTTGTTATATACAATATCATTTCAGATGCTTGGTTTTGTATGTTTTTAGTCGATGGTAGGCTTTGTTATTAATCGATGCTTGGCTTTGTTAATCATTGATGCTTGGTTTTCTTTGTGGAATATTTGCTAACAATTTAAGTTTCTTTTGCGAGGTCATATGAAGAGGGTTTATAGTTGCACTACATGGATAATGGAGTGAAGGACCGAGAGCAATAATTATTATGAACCTCATAAGGGGTTCACCATTGTATGTATGAAATTATGAGAGTTTCTAATTTTTGTTGGAAGCAAAATTTTAATATTATTAAATAAAATTAGAACCCTTTAATGGGTTCACCATTAAAGATCCTCTAAGTACCTCTACCCAAAGTTTAATTTATTCCCTACGTTTTAAAACCTGAAGGCGGATAATTATTGGGACGAAACTAAATCTGCTCCCCAGTCTAAGATCACTAGATCACATGGTCTGAAATCTTAATCACCCAATTAAATTTAAACTTATCATTTTTTAGTAATTTAAAAATGATGTATAGTACACGAAATTTCTCGAAGCTAAAAGCCTACAAGATGGGAGAAGCAAATAGAGAAGAGAGAGGAGGGGACCATTAGGGTGACAAGTGTATGCTTTGAAACATGAATTATTGCCAAACTAAACGTAATTAAGTAACAATGAGAATCTGATTAATGGTCCCCGTTACCTTTTTAAGATGCGTGTTAGCTTTAATTGGTTCCTTATACTTTCACATAATGGGGTTTAAGCTGCAATTAAGGAATATATATATATATATATAATTAATTAATTAATAGGTAAGAAGCATTTAGCATACAAAGTTTTTTTCATTTTTTCTACAACAACTATTAATGGTTTGTTACCAAAAACAAAACCTATTAGATGGTTGGTACTCCTTCCGTTTCACAAAAAGTGTCGTTCTGACACTATTTTTTTGTTTAAAAAAAGTGTCGTTTTAGAATTCCAATGTAATTTTTAATATAAAATACCATTTTTAACCTCAATAAATTTAGAAAATTAATTATAAATATAATTCCAAGAATCATTTTCTGCAAATTAATAAGATTATAAAAGACTTTTTATCTTATTTCTTAATTTGTGTAAAGAATGTCAGAATGACACTCTTTGTAAAACGGATGGAATATTAATTAAGGGATACTGGATACATCAAACAGTGAACCTGCTTGTCAATCGTCACTGCTCGAAGAAGTAGGATTTAGGAATCCTTTAAAATCACATAAGCATCATGAAACACTAATAAATTTTACATCAACATTTGCAAGCAACAAAAATGTTCTTTATTTATCCAATATTTTGCAGAAATAATTCTTAATCCTTCTCAACTATTGTTAGGAAAGTATTTAGGACTTGTAGATTTTGAATGTATCATATTAGATGTTAATCTGGGCACACACAGATCTAAAGAAGAACACATGAACCCCATTATTCATGTGCATAATTAAGTGACTCACTGAAAGCTGTCACATAGAAAACAGACTATGTTTGCTCTCTTTTTCTTTTCTTATGTATTTCCTTAATTATATATTTTTTCTTCTTTTTTTTTTTGTCACCATCCAAAGCATTCTATTTATGAATATCGTCTTTCACTAATTTTAAATTTATTTGTTTCATTTGTCATTCATTCTTATTGTAATTCAATGTATCTTCTTTGCTATATCTAGCGTCCCATCAAAATCTGGATGAATAGATATTCCACGAAAAGTTTCATGAAAAAAATTCACGTCATCGAATTATTATTGGGCTGAAACCAAGAAGTTAGTAGATACATCTTCTTTTTTGAGAAAGGGTTACAACATATACAGATATACTTCTTGATTCATACAAATGTGTTGTTTATTAGTTACAGTTAGGTGGAGATTTGATATATCTGGGTCTGGGTCTATTTATTTGGTCACTTCTTAAAATATACTCCATAAATTGACAGTCGTAGTAAAAAAATAAAAATGAAGTGAATAGGTAGAAGCTACCATAGAATTAAGTGGCAATAGAGTTGATCCCAATAATTGGAGGAAATTGTACTTAGTTTAGTCTTTCCAGGTCGGGTCACCAATGATGGGGTTTCTTCTTTAAATAATATCTCGATAAGTAATTAATGTGGTAAATATAAGTGAAGAAGATACACACACACTTAACTGCTTTACACGTATCGAGTCATGTTTTCTCGTGGAAAGGAAGCATGTTGGTTGTCCCACTTGAAGTTCAAATATATGATATATCTAACATATTAAAAAGAAAGGTTAGTGTAAAATAACAATAGTATATATAACCCCTTTTATATGTTTATTTTACATAAATTCAACCACTTAAAGTGGATTCCAACTCCTCATTCAACCTAAGTAGTGTGACTTTATAGCGGCTTTCCTTTTCATCACCTACCATTCGAAAAATAACTCACTATTCCATATATATACACACATTACATTTTAATATGATAAATGTCTGTTTCTTTAAATAATGAAAAGTTCCTTTAAAGGAGAAAATAAAAGAGACCTCGCTTTAACAAGATTCCTCCTTCGTCTTCTGCCTTTTTTTCTTAGTCAAGACGGAAAAACATATATATATATACACGCCCAATAACATATCTTTTTTTTTTCCCAATAACATATCTTACACGACATATTAAATTGTAACTAATAATAACAGAAACGTTATACACCAAAATTCGCAGTTTCAGCATATAACCATGCCAATGTGTCATAAAATATAAAATGTAATTTATATATGATATCTTTGTACATTCATGATATTTGTTTGATAGTATGATAACATATTGCAACATGTCAAAAACAAGCTGTCTTTACAAAAGATTAAGTTAAATACATCTTAACAAAAAAGGATAAATGATCAACTCAGAAGTATTTTTCAATAAGCGCATGCACTTGAATCTTACTATTTTATTTTCCACTTGTTGAGATTTCTTAATGGCTTAGCTGCAGTATAAGGTCAAGATCTATCATCTATGTCAATTCTTTGATTATCTTTATTAATAGTGTACTTTTTTGTTTTTAACAGGAATAGTGTACTTTCTTTATTGTAGATTACATAATATAGTTATTACATCCACAATATTAAAAATTTTCAGTGTTGCTTAGAAGCCTGTGACTTTATATCTCAGATATCTGGAGACAGTTAGTTTATTACAAAAGTTCTATTAAACAATTTTTTGTCTTAGTAATTTCCATGTTCTTGTTCTGCATGAAACTTGTAATTAATGTTTTAATCTCCCTGGTGGCCATAAAAATATTTGGTTAAATGTAAAGAGAAATACTTATTTACTACTTCTTATCTTATCACGTTGTCAAGATCGCGCGAGTAACATGTCAATGCTATGCAGATTTCATCTAAAAGTTATGGATAAAGCCTACTGACCCATCCTAGCTATCAAAATCTAACATGAGGCCATCTTGTAATAGCTAAAAATGTGTAAAATTTGCAAATTGCTACTCGGTAACTCGCTATATAAATGCTGCAATAGCTAAAAAAAATATATAGCTTGTTCTGCGAAAACTAATTTATAGTCTTTAGTCAACATGACAATATTATTAAAAGGTTTCAAAGTTTTTGGCTTATGACTTCTTAAGATTAGAGATCATAACATGTTAAGTTAATATTTTTTTTTCTACGTCTCTTTTCTACAACATTGTTAAAAATGGTTTTTTTTTTGTCAGTCTAAATTGTTTTATTTAATTACCTTAGAATGAGTGAATGTGCCCATGTGTGTAATCGGGGCACGGATGACTCTGACAGTACATTTATTCGTTTGTTATGTATGTTATGAGAAATTATATATCCTTATATATATTGATGGCGATGGTAGTGGAAATTGTACTAAAATTTATATAGATGTATTTTGTATATAAACGAATAACGAGATTTTTGGGAGGAGAAAAGGAAAGTATAAGTTGAAACCGGACACGAATTAAGATACGACAAAAGTCGTCCAAATTAATATTCATTTTGTTGGGAATTCATAGCTTCGTCAATTTTCCTTTGTCTTTTCTTCACAGTTCTCGCATCTCAATTCCCAATAGTCCAAAATCCATAACCAATTAATGAACTTTAAGTTTCTATATGTGGATAAAGTTGTTAATGATATGGTCACCCCAATGTTTCTTATTTTCTTCCAATAATTAATCTGTAACTTTTTTTAAAGGGAACTAAACCATCAAATTTTATCTGTATATATAAAAAAATAAGTCTATGGGAAAAAAAAAATACTCACTCTACTTTTTTACCGAAAAATCTCTACTCGTTTATTTAATAAAAAAATATATATATCTATTTATTTACCGAGAATACTTCGTCTTTGTGAACTAATTGCTTCTATCTGATTTTCATATCAAATTTTATTTTCCTACATTATGTTTCGAAATAGAGCTTTTAAGGCTTATGTTTGTGATATAGTATATAGTATATACTAAACAAATGCTAGTTTTTCTCAAATGAAAGTCATTTTTTTCCCACGGTCTGCCATATATCCTGTGGTCGGTTGATACAATTTATATATGACTCAACCTGTACGTATACTTTTTTTTCAGTCAGACTAACCTGCACGTATACTAATATGAATTTTCAGTAAATTATATTTATTTGATTATCTCTGAAAATTATGATCATCAAAGTATCACGGATCCAAAATAATTTTTGGGTCGATATAAAATTCTATATATAAGCTTATATAGTAAGTATATTGACAAAAAAAAAAGTAAGTATATTGCAAAAATTGTATTTATTGTCAAAAAAGAAACTTAAAAATAAATGGTACGTTATTGTCCTAAGTGGTGGTGAAAGAAGAAAAACATATTTCCAAGATAATATTTGGGATTTGAAGTTATTGGGTTTGCGGTAAAGAATCCTTCTGACTGCCCATGATCGTAGTATTTCGTTCTTTTTAGCATCCAAAAAAAAAAAAAAAAACTGACAAGAAGAGCTTTTCCTTCACTGCAAAATAGTACTTGCACTCTTACATAAAACTTTTGTTTTGTTTAAAGCTATTATATTTTAATACTTTTTTCTATCATACATATACATACTTAGTTAGTTCTTATATGCATATGGATTTATGTGATTTTTATTCATCCCTACTTTGCTTTTCTACTTTTACAGGGATTTCTCGGATTCCTCCAAAAAATCCAAAAAATTATCGAATAGGTAGGGCAATGACATTTGGCTGGTTATTTTAATGGGTAATTTTTGCTGAACAATCATAAATATACTGGTTTATATGACCATTTATTTATTACTCCATTAGTTATTATAAACACGTACTACGCAGTACGCACAGTCTAAACATCTGATGTAATGTTTACTCTTTCTTCTCATTATTTTTTCTGGTTCAGGGTATTATGTAATAATGATAATAGACTAATTGAAGCATATTCTTTCTTTGTGATTTTATTCGTGTCACAAGTGTTCTTATTTTAACCAACTAGGAAAACAACAATATAAAGTTAATTATTTGATAATTTTTTAAGAATTAATAATCTTTAACAAATCCAAACTAGTTTAGAATCTATGAAAAACCGAGTATTTTTACTATTTAAGATTTAAATCTCTCAACTTTTGAATATATCATTTAATCACTCACCAAACCACCATGATGAATTGGATCAAAATAAAGTTGTCACCATTTTAGAAACACTGATAAAAACTGTATTATTACGACCTCAATATAAAAAGTACTGGTAAAACTAATAACCCATATTTCTAATATCGTTGCAAAATCGTAGCAAACAACTCGTTTACACTTCCTTCAGTAATGATACAGTCTAAGTTAGAAAAAATGTTGAATTAGTATGTGCTGACTGCTGAGCAACAAGAAGTGAAAAAGAAAAGATCAAATGAGAATAAATAGATATTATAAAAGTATTTTGTTCATTTCTAGATCGTTACACGAAATTTACAATTTTCGGATCGATGTAGAATAAATATAAATACTTCTGGCCTAAACATCCTTTAGATTTACTAATTTAGTTTTCTTAAAAGGGTGTTTATATATGCTACTACTAAATAAATCCTCAAAAATATTGGAAATAAACTCAGGTGTTATTTATGTTGTATGTGTTCACTTTTTTCCCACTGCCTTCCTCTTCCACTCTGCCAAACGCTTCAGAAACTCATTAACCTGTACATTAGAATATTTTATAGTTTAATGAGTTGATTAATAGTCATAAATTTGCAAAAAAAAAAAAATTGATTATAAAAGGGTATGATATATTTACCTGTGAAGGGTCTTGAAGAGAATAAGAGGCATTGGTTTCCTTTGGAACTTTTGAGACAAGAATTCCAAAACCTTGTCCCCTTTCACGTAAAACCTATCGAATTATATGGTTAATTAGCTACTTTAATATGAGTTGAACTCGATCTAGAATAAAAGTATATTTGTTACACACTAAAAAAAAAAAAGTAATTGATGGTACGAAACGTGTTATAGTAGTTGTCACTATACTGTACCTTAAACGCATCTTCGTCGGTACGGTCATCTCCAATGTACACCGGTACAACATCTTCCGAATTTTCGAATCCTATTTTAATCAAATTAAAGATATAAGCATTAACAGATCTAACAAATATTTTTCAAATAATAAAATTTTATATGGGTTCTCTCACCTAATGAATTTAGCAAAAAACTGAGAGCTTGGCCCTTGTCCCATTTGATCGTTGGGCGGATTTCAAGCACCTGGTTTTATACAAATAAATAAATTAATTATGATTATTGTATACTTAATTAGCCTTCTAATGACTAGTAAAAAAAGGGAGAGGAAGATTAATATTACCTTTCTACCTTGGGTTAGTTTTAACTTTGGATAGTCAATTAGAACTGATTTTACTTGTTCGGCTAACGCAGCCCATCTCTGTTTGAAACAAAATGTAAGTAAACAAATTATAAGACACGTTAAGTATTGTTGCTAAAAAAATATCAGTATTTCGTTACCCACAATAATCATCATCATAAAAGAATACTGGTGCTTTAAAATACCCAATATCATCTTTAACAATAGTTAAAAAAAATTATGTTACATTACGAGAAACTAATTTTTTAATAAAAAAGTCTATTTTTTAAGTACTATTTTTGTTTAAGCTCTTTGGGTTAAAAACAAAATTTATTTGGACCATTTTTATTTTTCAAAGAAGAGAAAGTTTTATTTTCATCATTTTTATTCTTACTTTCTCATCAACACGTCGAAAATGTACGGACAGACAAAACTTGTTGTTCTCCACCATTGCCCCAGGGATCCATTTTGTCTTTTCCTGTAAAATCTTAACGACCTGAAATAATATATATACGACAAAGTTAAATATATTTACTGTTTTAACTCGCCGTAATTCGATTAATTAAATAAAAAAATCTCAAAATGCACCTTCTCGATCATCGGTACAAATTCACTAGCAGGTTGAAACAACACTCCTTGATTACTCTGTGATCATTGTACACACACACACAAAAAAAAAAAATCTCAGAGATCAGACAAAATAAAAAAAAATTTTAATCGACTTTTCTGCATTGTTTCCTCACCCCGCCGTAATTAGTTTCGTTTGTCGGACCTTCAATGTCCATGCCGTGGCTTCCAGCGTAGTAAATCTCGTTTAGTTTGACAAAACTACGAACCTGAAAACAATAAATATATCATATATTTGTTCAAAAAAAAAAAACAAATATATCATATATTACTGAAAAAAAACATATATATCATATATTTATCACATAGTTAGCGTCACTATAAACGCTGATTTAAAAAAAAAAAAACTCAAATTTAATAAAATCAAATAGTAAAAATTTGGTAAAAACTTTGATATATATATACATATATATTGGTAAAAACTAAAATGTAATGTACCTTAGTTATGGATCTTCCGGTGACTATAGCAGTCGGGAAGTTTAACGCCACGTCTTTCACAACTTCTCGCATCTGTAAAACAAAAATATACATTACTAAATTCAAAAATAATTAATCCCACAAAAATCTTTAAAGCAATGGCACAAAATAAAAACCTCATGGGTTATGTAAGCTTTGTCGGGATCTTCAACTATAGGAGAAAGAGTGCCATCGTAATCAAGAAACATAACAATCTGTTTCCCTTTTGCAGCATTCACAATCTCATCAAACATAGACAAAGCAGAAGGAAATCGAACCTAAAAAAAACGTACACAAGATCATGATCATCAGATTCCAAAATTCGGAAATGGGTTATTTACAGGTGATAAGATACAAAAAAAATTAACGTACGATCCAAGAAGTTTGATCGTCGTTATCTGAGAAAGAGTCATGAGAAGAGGATCTGAGACGTGTAGGGGAAGAATCACGCATGGAATCGACCCAAGATGCAATCTTTCCAGCACCAAGATTGTTCTTGCTGTTGTTTTTGTCGGCTGCTTCGAGAAGCTTCAAGAACTTTCGACGAGGGAAGGTAAAGTAAGTGGGAGGTGAAGAGAACAAAGCGGAGTTAGAGACAGAGACTGTGATGGTTTTCAAACCCAAGATGGGTTTTCTGTCGGAGACGATGACATTCTGGTTCGTCATTTTTCTCACAAGTGTGTTGTTGAGAAATTAGAGAACAGAGAGATAGAGAGATGTAGAGAGAAAAAGAGAGAGAGAGTGAGGAGGAGTAAATGGGGAAGGAGGGGAAGAGGCATTTATAGAGGGAGAGAGGTGTGGGAAGAAGAAGGAAGAGAGGGTGAAATATGAGACAAAAGAAATTGGAAAAAAACTCCATCGATCATTGGTGGCTCCCTCTGTATCTTTTTGGCCATATTATGCCCTCTCTCTTTCTCTATTTTTTTTTTCAGTCCTTTAATTCCATAGGATCCTTGAAAAAAATTCGTTATTTAATTAGGTTTAATGGAAGTTTTATTTTTTCAATTAAGTAAATTAAAGCACATCTTCTAGATATTAGTGAGTCATTTTGTTGTTGTTGTTGTTGTTATTTAGCAATGTGAATGAAATATATATATGGTTTTTTAAAAAACATATGGGTTCATTTACTTTGAGTTTCTTAAACGTTTGAAAATCTAAGTCAATAATATTTACTAATATAATATCGTAAACAAGTACTTACAGAAATATTACCCTGTTTCAATACAATAGGTTAGCCGGTGGAACTCCAGAAATAATAAGACCATTCAGGGTCTATTTATGGATTTTTATATCTGGATTTTGGATTAGAAAACGTCTAACCTTTTATATAATTGGTCTGTCGCATGAGATGTGAGCTTTTGATGGCTTACAAAAGCGACCGCTTTTATTTAAGAATTCAGATTGTTTAATTATGCGAGCTATGTTACAAATGAGTTTTTGCTGATTAATTACTTTTATATTATTGCTATATTTGAGTGTGGTTTCAATTGAAAATAGAGAGTATTAATTTAGCTTACTAGCTAGTCAGCTATAGTTGAAGTTCGAATGTGTTAATACGCTGCAAAATTTTAATTAGGGCCGGTCCATAGCTATATAGACTCCAACAACAACAAAAAAAAGAGAGGAATTTGATCAAAGGTTGTGGTTAACAATTTGTTGGAATGGGCGTTTTTTTTTTTCAACATCAACTCCATTATAAATTTAAATTCAGTTCAGACTTCAGAGCATACGAACGTAGCGCAGTTGTAGCTAAATTGTCCGCCACACCATTTGTTTACCGATAAATAAACTTAAGAGATACAAAATCAAATAAATAAAGGTCTTAAAAAAATATCCGAATGAATTCCATAAAACTCCGAGAGTTTGAATTACCCGAGATAGCTCCTATCATTTGGAGAGAATCGAATTAAAAAGCTATCTTCTTTAATCAATGAGTGGCCAATAGCAGTTCACAAATACTTGTCTCCAAGCTCCATCTGTTTTACACATTACCATATCCTCTGCAATAGTCAGTACTGTGATCAGCCCCTCTTTGACGATGGTGGGGAGGCGATATTGGTCTTTGGAAAGGTTGTCTTAATATATTTTTTTCTTTCTTATTAATTGAATTTATCAAGTGCTTTTTGTCTTTTGAATATGAACTCTTAAGGTAGAAAATGGTGGTAGGATTAAATGAATCTAATGACTGAAAAATGGCGTGAATTTTTTTATATTATGGAATCACTAACCTCAAGCTTCCAAGATTATTCGAAATTCCTAGAATACACATCAACTATTAATAAATAAGGAATTTGATCAAAAACCATATCTCTGCATGATCTCGGAAAATGATATATTCGGTTCCTATATTATTAGTAAGATTAGGAATCAACAAAAGGTTAAACTTCACCGAAATCCATATCAGCATATTCAAAGACTTTTTCTAGAATTAACCGCTCGGTGCCCACTTCAAAATGTATATATATATATATAGACCCCTCTCCTCAGTCCTCAGTTCTTTAATCAACAAAAGGTTAAACCTCACCAAAATCCATATCAGCATATAAATAAATAAAAAATATGTAAATTTCTATAAAGATGCAGTAAGGAAACTGATCATACAGTAGTATGAAAGTAGATAGTTTGACCCCCACCCAAAAAGTATGAAAGTAGGTAATATGGATTTATTTATGAGTTGATTTATACAGTTTTGAGTAATGCGGGTAAGGATATGGCTACGATGAAGTAAGTTATAAATATTGTTTTTTTTTCGACTAGTTATAAATATTGTTTTCCGGTCTATTGATCACATTATCTAACCAGCTATAACCATAGCACACAGATCCATTGGTTTACAAAATAGAGGAAATATAAATTCTTGTTTTGGGGAATCTTTAAACAGCTTTTAAATTATACCTAAAATAGACCTAACAAAAATCCGGAAAGCAAAAAGAAATAGAGCGAAAATATACTAAAATGGTGAACGCCCACAGAAACAAAGACGAGTACACCCAAATGGGCTATCTAACATTCTGTGGTATTCAATCGAAACTAGTATAGTTTTTGTTATGTAATCAAAATCGCATATAAATCGTACGTGTATCAATTTTCTCTTTTCATTGTTTCCTCATTGCAAATGCATCGTATCGTACGGACGGCTTCACCCATATTATATACTATAAAATTATATACAGATTTTCACGTCGGCTTGTTGTATTGTACTGCTTTTAACTCTTCTAATTGATGTTTGAATATAATTTCATAACTAAAGACGACCACATGGGTCAACATTATTGACTTTCGTTACTTGAGAATCTATAAAGGCCACGAAACTAGAAACCCTTTAGATTTCTTGTTCCGACGGGGACAATCACTTTTGTATTTATTAGTTTGTTTTTAAATTGTTAAATTAAGCCCCATTACCACATTTTATATATTCATTGTATCTTATTTAAGTTAACACAGTCATAAACACATGAGTGGAAGTTTCCAATCTTTTTGTGCTGTTAATTAAGACGTTGTGCGGTTGTGGTTTTAAATTTTTTTTTAAAAAAAAAATCTTTAAATTTGGCGGCCGTTAGAGAAAAGCTAAATTCGGCATGGTTGGGTTCATGAACTAATCACCATTACCCAAAAGTTCATTGCAAATAGTCCCATATACCAAATTATATTCTCCGACTCGATGTAATTTTCGATTTATGTGTGTCGCCTTTCAAATAGACTTCCATATTTGTCTGTGTCTGTCTGAGAGAGAGAAATACATTTTTAAAATAAACCAAAGTAAGTTGAACTAATACTAATCAATAAACATTGCCAAATTGCTAACTTAATTTTTTTTTCTGTCGATGCTAATTAATTACAATTTTTTTGTTGTTGTCTGGAATGTTATAATGTAAAATTTGAACCACGATTCTTTTGGTGAAAAATGAGGATATTTCTATTGACTGTTCCTTAAACATGATTTCAATATATAAACTGTATGGTCGAATATTGCAGGTTTAGTCTGGACATTCCTTCAACCGATCCATCGATCCCCTTCAGAGCATTCAAATGTTAGCTACTATGTCTCTTCCCTTGCCGTCACCTTGGGACATCAAAACATCGCTGTTGAATTCAATTCAGAACAACTCTTCAAGGCAATCAGTCACATCTGATTTAGCTCCCAGAATTTTGGCTATAATATCGGTTTAAGTTCTAGCTTATTTAAATCTATCTCTTTTAAATTTATTTCCAGCAAAGCCAATGTTAAAGTTTAGGTTTTAGCTAAGCGAATTCTTCGTGATGCTGCTCAAAACTATGTTTTTGTTTAATTGAATGAATGAAATAGCTCTTGCAAAAAAAAAAAATGTAACTGTATTGTCTATGGCAGACATCTCAAATGAACTGCTGAACTGCTGGACTTACAATTTGAATTTTAAATGAATGGATTATATTTGCGTTACTATTAAATGACCTAATATTTAGTTAAAAAAAAAGAAGTTGCTATTAAATGGATTTTAATGAACATGTATAAACAAGTACTGGACGCTAAAAGAACTTTAAACAAAAAATTGATAAAAAGAACAAAGCTTTTTGTCCAAGATTTTGAACCAAAATATATCATAACTTACACCGTTCATACAGATGGGACCTATCATATGAGTGGGAAAAAGGGGAAGAAGACAGCTATAAATGAATGGATTATGATTGTATTTAACTATTTGTCATTACAGTAATTTTTCTATAAATGAATACTGTTCAAAATATGATATTTTACTAATTAATTTATAAGATTATCATTTAAAGAGAATTTGTTTTCAAATCCATAATTTCTACTTTTGCTTTCACATTCTTATATATTGATTTAATAAGAAGATTTTACTTTTGTTTCATTCTTTTTGTTTACTAAGACATTAAGTTTTTGGTTAAGTAGATGCATTTTTAGCATTTTTAGATGCAATTCGAATAACATCAAATTTATTTTAAATTAAAGAAGTAGCACTATAATATTTTAGGTTTTTTTTTTTTTGCTCAGGCACATCTTATGCTAGTTTCAATTGCTCTAGGCATGCACAACTCTAAATCCCTTATTTTTTAATTATCTTCTGAACCGGTTTGGAACTGCGTTGTAAAAAAAAATTTATATAATGCATAATGAATTTGGTAATTTGCCTAAACTTTCTAGACATGGGAGATATGTAGAGATTGAGAAATGCCTTTAATTTTTGACTTTTCACAAATAAATCACAACTCGAATTTATTCGTATCAAGAAAATTGGATATTGAGAATGACTAGTTTAATACTTAAAAGTTCATATATAGTTGCACTGATTCTTTTTCTAGAGAAAATATACGAATATCATCGAGCAGAATTAGTTTGTGTAATCAAATCAAAACACGTAATGTGATTCAAATTCACGGTAACATTATTACGGTTATAATTAAATATCATATAAGATGGAATTTTGTTGTTTCTCCCAAAATAATTTGAGTTTTATAAAACATGTGAATGTGTCTTCACCACAGAGCTCCCTGAACTGTGTCTACGTGGCTATCTATAATTTGTCCACTTGCATGAATTTGAAGTTGCTGTTTTTTCTTTCACCAACAAAATTGGAGTTGCTATGTCTTTTGGTTTACATTATTTAGCTTCAAAAAATTAGACCAAATTCTACACAAGTTCTCTTTTTTTTCTGCTTACAAATGAAATACATTTCAAATTTTCTTTGGAGTCTAAAGTTCCAGTAAAAGCACCATTAGATTGTTTTGATAACCAAAAATAATATAACTGTTTTCTCTATATTAGTCAAGATTGTCACATCTTTTGTAATATCATTCTGTAGATGGCTCATTTCCAATGCTAATAATAAAACATTATAAAACAAAACTGAAGATTTGGTCCCTTCGTTGGAGCATAGGGCCACATTTCAACTGTCTTGCCCCAAGAGCTAAAGGATCTTATTTCTCTAATGTTCTTTCTTATTAAGTGATGAATTCAATGTTAGTTCGAGTGGTTATAATTAAATAATATTATCAATTTATTGCTACCGTGCTCTCAATAATATATTAATGTGATTTATTAATATGAAAAATATTTAAAACAAAAATCTTTTTGCCTTTGCTGCTATTAAACAAAACGGAAAATATTTTTTTTTTAAATTGTTAATTTTATGTAATGGGAAGCTTTCTTTATATTAGTTTATTGATCCAAACCAATGCTTCTGCATGAGTTTAAGTGGGTTGCAAGAAATTTATCGAAAACATAAGTGCGGTTATAAGACATAAACAGAATTCAGAAGAAAAACCTTTAAAGGGATTTTTCAACAAAATCGACAATTCTTTTTTTCTTTTGGTCGAGACAACATATCGACAATTCAAAATATGAAGTATACATGCTGAACACCATTGGAATTTCACTATTGCTCCATTTGAGATGTTACCTATATGTTTGCCGCCATCTTCGACTTCGCCGTCCGTTATGAGGCTAATCTTAATACATGCATACAATCAAATCTTTTAAAACAACCAATTTTGTTATTTGTAATAACAAAAGCATCCGTGCATGTATAGGTCGTATACAATTATTTTTCGATTAGCTTTTAAGAACTAATCTCCATGTATCAACTATATGAAGGCCTAGCTATGTGATATAATAGTCAAATTCTATATACATATATAAATATATAGATTTATTTCATAAATTAAGGTGTAAAGGCATGTGAAGACACATGTAATTAGTTTGGTAGGAAATTGATGAAAGATATACTTAACTATTAGCGTTAGGTCTGAATAGTATTGCCAACTTATGTCTTAGACCGACATGAAAACCTTGATTTGGTTTTACTGAATCTAACACTAATTAAACCAATATTATTATTTTTCTGTCACTTGTGCTTTTTTAAAAACATAATAATAGTAAGTATCATGTTAATTTGATATCAACCACCAAATTGGCCCTTAGCTAGTCCAGCACATTCCTGTATATTAAATTTTATCTGTATATCATGTACGATAAATCCTTTTTGTTGTAACTGTAGGTATCCAAGATTTGTTGTAACACGAAAGAGTGTTTTGCGAAATACTTTTTTTTGTTGTCAATGTAGGTACCCAAGATTTGACACGAACAGATATATATGGTTTTAGCTTTGCTTATTCAAATGAGAAAAATGTGATCGGTAATTGTATTTTGAGTTCCTTTTTCGGAGAGGCCAAAAGAAAAAGATTTGCTTATAAATTATATAATTGATTGTTGATAAACCAATTATACTTTATTAGTGTATATGAATAATCTTTTGAAATGGTCGATTTATGAGCTAGTGGATCCATATGTCCATTTTACGGTACACACTAAGCTCTTTGTCATACCCAACTAGTTTTGATCCTTAGTACCAAAGTCTCTCATGTAACGTCAAAATCTTCAACATTTACTTGAATAAGTTACTTTTATTTATGAAAAAGTTATATTAGTGCATTCTTTTGTGTGTTTGGACTCTAGTTTTCTATAAAATAACTTAACTTTCGACGAGTACTCACCGCTTTAAAATGCATGAATTCACATATTTTATTTAACCAAACATAAATAAAACCCTTCCTCAAAGAATACTATGATGTGATAGATAGCTCATTATTTCTTCCTCGTACACATAGAATTGGAGTTTATGTGTCATTGTGTCATCTGTTTTCCAATAGTTAATTTTCGAATTTTTTTTTTAGAAAGCAAGATATTTTTACTTCAAAAATACCTTAATAAGGAAAAACGAAAAGTGAAGCTGAGACTGAGAAACCGATGGAAAAGGACTTGGGACCCACATCGACTTGACTACTAGTCTAATATTGTTTTTTGTGTGCAACTAATAACGTATTTTCGTGTATTTTTATCTTAACTAGATAAATTTATGACTGCGACGTGAAATATCGGGCTGGAGATGATACATCGAAGGACCCACTATAGCCCATAGTGGTAAGCCCACTCAAAGCTTATATTTTATATATTTATCTATTAGAGAAATATAGTTTTTCAGTTTCTACTGCAAAAAAAGATGGACTTTACACGTGAGAAGTTAACGGTTGTTAGGATTAGGATTTACGACGCTGCGACATTTTTTCTGTTTTTTGTATTTTTCCCCAAATGTCTGTCTGTGGACAGTCCAATACAATATTTCATTTTCTATTAATAAGTTTTCGCATTTCAATTTTAAACTGATAGAGCAAACTCAGAAAGCAGCAGCTAGAAGAGCGACGCACAAAAAGAAGTAATGGAAAAACGAACCATATATACATAATACATGATGGATTCCGCCCAGAACAATAAATCCAAAACACACACAAAATAAACCCAGATCTGGTTAATCAAATAAAGCTTAAATAATAAACCTACAAGATGAAATATCTAAGAATCAGAACAATTTCTCGCAATAATAAACTTTCACATAATACAAAGAAGTGATATGTCGCTCCATGACATTTGATTTCAAAATTTTTAAAAAAGACTCGTGCTGGTAGTTTCAATGGTTTTTATGCCTACTTCTTAGATATTTTAAACATGACATTTTAAACTATTAGTGAAACTACAAGCAAGGTTTGAGCATGACATTTTAAACATATAAGATCAATTTCAAATTTGTGATTAAATTTTTTGAATTTTATTATTAGAAACTTCAACATTTTCATTTTCAATAACTCCTCAAACAAACTAAAAAAAAAAAAAAATCTAAATGAGAAATTGATGAAAATATGGCATTGTGCATTGAGTCCAAAACGTGAGATCACATAAAGCCTCTGGAATGGCAATTGGGCAATAAACCGAATAAGTTAAATACAAGATGGGCCTTCAGAAAATACTGATAGGCGTTAATTGGGTTATGAGCCCATTTTCCAATTTTAGAAGTATGAACATAAATAAAAAAATATAAAGCGTTTAAATAAATGAATACTGAAAAGTATACATAAGATACGAATACGACATACCGTATTTCACAACGTATCAAAAAGTGTAGAGTTTGGAAGAAGAGAAAACAAAAAAACAAAAAACAAAGCAAAGAGGTATATCATCGTTGACGTAGCAGGTCAAAGAAATGTCTGATGATTAGCCGTTAATCATATCCTTCTCGCCTTAATCATAGCTTGCTAAACGGAAATTGGAGGTGTGAAATCATCGATCAAAAACTGTAGTGAAAGGGGAGAAAACCCTAGTTTGTGTAGATTTCTTGGGTAATGCCTGGCGTGATGAACAGATTGAGGAATTTGGATGCTTACCCTAAAATCAACGATGATTTTTATAGCCGTTCACTTTCCGGTGGACTCATCACACTGGTCTCTTCCATCTTCATGCTGATTCTCTTCTTCTCCGAGCTTCGTAAGCTTCAATTTCCGAGGATCTTTAACTTTTTGCTTAGCTTTCAATCCAATATTGGATGCTAGCTTTGTCACAGTTTAACAAAGTTCCAATTTTTCTCACTTTAGCTTGTTTTTCTTAGGACTTTATCTTCACCCTGTTACTGAGTCTCAGCTTCGTGTTGATACGTCAAGAGGAGAGAAGCTTCGCATCAATGTAAAAACAAAAAAAAAAAATTGTTCCTTGTTGCTAAACTTGAAATCTTCTTTAGTGATGGGTACTTCTTTCTTTTACTTGATGAGATAACTTACTATTTTTAATCATTTGCAGTTCGATGTTACTTTCCCTGCTCTTGCTTGTTCGATTATTAGCCTTGATTCCATGGATATCAGCGGAGAGCAACACCTCGATGTGGTTTGTGTTTACTGTCTACTCTTGCCATTACGTTTTACAAAGTCATGATGAATTTGTTCGTGAATTGCAGAGGCATGATATAGCTAAAAGAAGGTTAGACTCTTCTGGCAATGTTATAGAGACAAGACAAGATGGAATCGGTCATACAAAGGTTGGCTGCCTTTTTCTCAAGGATTGAAAAAAAATGTGTTTCTCCTCTGTATTTCTTATTATATGATCTTCTCGTTTCCACAGATTGAAAATCCATTACAAAGACATGGTGGCAGGCTAGAGCATAATGAAACATACTGTGGTTCCTGTTATGGAGCTGAAGCGGTAAGCCTTCTTTCCAAAGGTTAAGAAGAATGTACACTTACGTGTAATTTAACTTTGCAATAGAGAGGCTTTAACAATTTTTTTTAGTTGATTGTATACAAACATCTCATTTTGATTTTATTATATGTAGTGAAAATTTTTCTTACCTCTCTTGCTTTTGGTATATTTGGAATCTAATTTCTGTTTCTTAATACTCTGCAGACAGATGAAGAGTGTTGTAATTCATGTGAGGAAGTTGGTGAAGCTTATCGGAAGAAAGGTTGGGCCATGTCAGACCCTGAGATCATTGACCAGGTATGGTAACGTGGCTTTCATGATGTATAGCTTTGCTGGTCTTGTTTGCTGAACTAGCTCAATCTCAGTTGTTTCCGTAGCCTGTATATACTGCGAGTTTAGTCCATCCAGTTGTGTGATATTTACTCGTTTGATCTCAGTGTAAAAGAGAAGGTTTTGTTCAAAGGGTTAAGGACGAGGAAGGAGAAGGTTGTAATATTTATGGTTTCTTGGAAGTTAATAAAGTGGCTGGGAGTTTTCATTTCGTTCCTGGGAAAACCTTCCGTCATTCAGGATTTCATTTACAAGATCTGTTAGCGTTCCAGGGAGACACTTACAATGTGAGCTAAGAACCATTTCCGTTTATGTCTCTTATAGTTTATAGCTTTGTAGTATAATATGCCCACAATAAGTCTGACCTATTGTATCTTCTTGCACAGATAAGCCACAAGGTTAACAGGCTGACCTTCGGAGACTATTTCCCTGGTGTAGTGAATCCTTTAGATAGGTAACCTATTTTCTGTCTGGTGCGATTACTCGATAAACCAAATCATCATATCTTCCTGACCTTTATTCTTGGTTTATCAGTGTTCAGTGGACTCAAGAGACACTGAATGGCATGTACCAATATTTTATCAAGGTTTGCCTTTAGACAGCCATTTCCACATCTAATTGTTTGGGGATTTCCTCTGTATCTTAAGTTCGGTTTACTGATACCTATGGGTAGTAGGAAGAGAGTTATGAGGATATTTCGCTCAAATAATTCATTGAAACGCCTATAATAACTGGCCTAACATTCAGATGCGATGATCATACATTTGATTGATGTTTCTGTTTCTTTAACGTGAGATTGCAGGTTGTACCGACCGAATACACAGATGTTAAAGAGCATATTATTCAGTCAAACCAGGTTAAGAAACTACCTCTCAGACCACACCCTCTGACTTGGCTGTAACTTTCTCTTAAAATCGTCTTGACCTACACGTAATATATCTAAAAACTGGGGTTTCTGGTTTGCTTGGCAGTTCTCTGTGACTGAACATTTCGAGAAAACGGAAGCAGGACACACTCAGTCACTGCCTGGTGTTTTCTTTTTCTATGATCTTTCTCCAATCAAGGTATCTCGGAATTGATAGTGATGAATACGTGTATGTGTTACTATTTTATCATCATTTCTAACATTTTGCTTTTGATTGTTGCAGGTGATTTTTACGGAGCAGCATGTGGAGTTCTTGCACTTCCTCACCAATGTTTGCGCTATAGTAGGAGGTGTGATGATCTCTCTATCTCTTCTCTAATCAATATACTTTTGTAGATGTGATAATCATCAAATCTAACAGTTTTGGTTTATCGTTTGCATACTATTAGGCATTTTCACGGTATCCGGAATCATTGATTCATTCATATATCATGGACAAAGGGCGATAAAGAAAAAGATGGAAATCGGTAAATTCGGCTGAGTTATACAACCCATTGATCGGTAACAAGGAGCAGCTCAAGAAGCTTGGATTTTACAAGTGTTGTATGGTTATCAATTCTGATTAGAGTTGCAGAAACTAGTGCACTTTTTTGGAAGAAAAAAAACTCAAGATTACCACTTTAAATTGTCTATAGTTGGCCCTGTTTCTCTTATTTAATGTGAGTGTCTTGTATTAGATTCAAAATTAATCTCGGGATCTGTTAATTTGTAATTGTCAAATGTTTTGGTTTAAGTTGTCAACAAAATCGTTGAATCGTTCTTCTAAGCTTAAATCCAAACTAATTAATAGAATGGATACAACTAGAAGATTGATAACTAATTTTTTTTCAACATCACACATGAGTGGATAATAATGGTGTTAGCGAATTCAATGCAGTGCTATAGATGCAACAACTTTTATACAAACATGGTTTGAAAAATGCGTGTGAAAGAGAAGAGAAGAGTAGTGTGAACATAATCTCTGGTGGGTTCCTTTGGTGTTGTGTGCCTTTCAAACTTTCCATCTTTATGCTTCCTTTGCGTAATTTGGAATTCTCCTCTCTGTACTACTTGTAATATACTACTAATGCAGACACATATTGATTCCTCTGTAATATATTTGTTTCTTTTTCAAAATGGTATTTTTAAACCAACTTAAAAAAAACCTAATATTCTATTATAGTTTTTGATAAAAGTAATTTATTAAAACTTAAATCAACCAGTTAAATACTTAAATACAGTTTTTATTTTCTTGAAATAAGTTGGTATCTAGTTGTTGTTATAATGTATACTGTTCGAAATCATCTAAGCATTGTATAACTAAAAGAGTAACGTATTCACATTTATATAAGAACAATTAAAGGATTCTGTAAAATTTTATGTTGTTTTCCATTATCTTTTTTCTAAGTGCGTACGAACTAAACATCTAGTATAAAATTGTTTTGAATATTGGATAATAGTACATATTAGTTCAAAAACTTAGAGCTCTATTACATCCATCGGCTCTCTCTTTTCTTGGCCTTTTCCTTTAATTTCTTCGAGTCAGCCATTGGAGAAAATCCATATCTACTTTTCTGAATGTGTGATGAAGATTTTTCTGCCGACTTTGTCTTTTTCTACATCACTACAGTGCCATCAAATAACTGGCTTTCTTGATTCTTTTGATTGCAAAATCCAAAATCTTTGTAATAAGTTTGAATAAGTGAATAAATGATTGAAGATGCTGAAAAGCGGCATGGCCGGCCACATCTACCAACACGCGAACCTTCACCACCATTTGTGAATTATAACGGTCAAGAAAATATATACGAGAACGTGCTAGACATATCTCAAAATTTTGTAACGACGAGATATGGAATAAAGAAACGTGTTTAGGGGGATAAATTGTAAATGAATTACAGCATTCGTAAATTTAACTCCACTTATAAACAAATGGCCAAACACAGAAGAAAAAAACTACTAGCGGAACAAAACCGTTGCGCCACCTATTTTATTATGAAGAAAATCGATATACTTACTTCATTGTGTTAATTCTTGAAAATATTTTGCTATTAAACAGTTTTGTTATGTTTTCATTCGAATATGGACCGACGATATTTAACACTTGTAATGGATCTTTGTAAAGATTAAGACTTTTTATATTAATTAGATGACAATATGCGTTTGAACTCCTATGAATCCGACAAATATGAATATATCACTACAAGAAAGATTGGGTTTTACGTCGGCATATATCGACGTAAAATCGACGTAAATTAACGACGAAAAAAAATTCGTCGTAAAACGATCGTCGTAAAACCAAAATCGTCGTAAAATCGTCGTAAAATTACCAACTCCGGAAAATCGTCGTAAAATCGTCGGAAACTATTCGTCGTAAATGCGACGTAAAATTTCCAACGGAAGTACAACGGAAGTACAACGAAAGAACTCTAACATAAAAACGACGTAAAATCAATGTAAAATTACATCGATTTAACAATGATTAGGAGACGAACAATTTCAATTAAAGGAAACTAATTTTTTAATTGTCGATGTTAAATCGTCGTAAATTTTCGACGTAAATTCGACGTAAACTTATTCGACGTAAATTCGTCGTTAAATATTCGACGTTAAATCGACGTAAATTTACGACGAATTTACGTCGATTTATAAATTAAATATTTAATTCGATTTTAATTTAATTAATGAATTTTGAAAATAATAAAAAATTAAAAATAGAAAAAAAACAATTTTAATTCAAAAATAATTTAAAAATAAAAAAAAAATTAATACAAATTGTTTTTTACAAAAAAACCTAATCTACAATGTGATTTCGTAATCGTCGAGGTTCAGATCGACGTCACGAGGAGGCTCTCCGTCTTGGCCGCCCGTCGCTGCTGGACCGTCGTTTCCCGTTTGCACTACCGGAGCCGAAGACTGACCCTGCGTCTGCTGGTCCAATGGTCCAGTACCGGAAGTACCACCGGTCTCAAAGACCCCTCGTGCTCGCTGTTGCCTTGCTCGGATTGCGGTGGCCAACTGCGGAACCGCTTCCGCAATGATGTCGAAGAGACCGTGCATCTCGGTGAGCTCCTGCTTCTGGGCCACTTGCTCATGCCTGAGAGTGGTGATCTCAGCATTGGCCGTAGCAAGCTCCTGGCGAAGCTGACTCGGATCCTCCTGCGTGCGGAATCCGGAAGCCGAGGCGGCAGGACAGTCTCTAATAGAGCCCATCCCTAAGGTTCGGCCCTTCTTCTTCGGAGCAACCTACAAATGGAAAATAAAAACGTTAATTATTTATTAAGTAATAAATATAATAAATTTTTAAAAAAATTGAAATAGATCATACCTCTTCGAAAATCTGGTCTTGCTCAGCGACGGTCAACGGTACTTGGATAGTACCGTCAGGTGTGGCCTGGGTCTCCCGCTCGGCGATCCGCTGCATAGCGGCATTGTAGATCTCCTCGGACCGAGCGTCGACAAAGCTCCCGTCCCTCTTCCGGTGAGTGGTCTCGAAGAGCTTCGTCATTGGAGGTAGTTATCCTCCGTTCTCCTCGGCCTACGAATTAGTAAACATTAGTGAAAAATATTTAATAAATTATAGCAATAAATAAAATTAAATTAAAATAATAATTACTTACTATCATGAGACGTCTTCCCGCAAAAGATATTTGGCCAGAAGTGTGCGGGGTCACTAACTTCTCACCAGTCACCGGATCGACCCGGTTTCGGACGGCCGAACACTTAGCAGCGGTGGTTTGGGCATGCGGGTCCAGCCAGTACGCCTTCAACCCGTTCCAACAGGTAGTGGACATGGAGCTCGGCTTTGCGTCGTCGCCGTCGGTCTCCCATTTCCGCTTCCAATCGGAAACGGTGTTGACTAGGCGTTTCTGCGCCTTCAGCCGGAAAGCTTCGCGGACCGTCTCGTTGATCCCGATGTCCCAGTTCCACCGTTGCTGCAAAAGAAAACAAAAAATTTAGATAAATAATATAAAAGTAAGATTAATTGAATTTTAATACAATTTAAAATGATATAAATAATATTTAAAAAATATTACCGCAAAGCACTTGTACCAGGTGTCGAACGTCTCTTGCGACACCTTGCTCCAATTGTAGTGTGGCTCCACGAAATGACTCTTAATTGTGTCGGAAACGCTCCGACCGACACAATTATCCAAACTAAACCTATGAAACAAAAAAAAAAACTTATTACATTAATATTTAAGTAAATTAAAACATTTGTTTAAAAAAATATAAAAAACTAAAAAGTTTACTTACCAATAAGAGCCTGGTTCCGCTTTTCCGGGAACCAGACGTCGTAAAGCCCCCTGTCCCGGTAGGGCTAGTAAATCCTCAACCGTAAACTGTTCATACGGATGAGGAGGGGCGGGTACCGGTTCGGCAGCCGGCGGTGGAAGTGGTGGTGGAGGCGATGGTGGAGGCGGTGGTGGAGACGGCTCCGCGGTATTCGGAACCTGGAAGGCTCCGGAAGATGAAGGGACATCGGTCCCGGTGTTTCCCGAGGCAGACGCTCGGGAAGAGTGTCCGTCCGCCATGAAATTGATGTAATGCGTCCTCCGTCGAGTCATCGTCTGCAAAACCGATAAAATTTTATTTTTCAAGTTAATTACAATTAATTTTTAATTACGATCCTAAATCTAAGAATTTCTGATCCTAAATCTAACAAATTCCGAGCCTAAACTAATTCCCGACCTAAACCGTTTGAATTTCTAAACTATTTAATAATAAAATAATTTAAACTAATTAAAAAAAATAATTACCTTTTTTTGCGTCAAAATAATTAAAAAAAATAATTACCTTAAATCGTATAAATCATAAAAATTAAGACGGCTGTGTATCCACAAATCGTCGTAAATTCGTCGTAATATTACGACGAATTTACGACGAATTATACCAAAACTGATGAAATTCAAAAATTGAAACATCCATAAGGACATACAAGCATGTCTATTCATGATAAATGTGGTGTGTATAACTTTCTAGCATGTTTACATAACTTAATGAAGAATTTAGTAAGATGTAAGATAAATCCATACATCTTGTGTAAATGTATATAACACCTTAAGATTATTTGATAAACACATATATGTCAAATTTTGAATTTTTTTTTTTTGTTTAGAAAGTTGTTTTACCTTATGAGATGGTAAGACATTTCATTCTCTTCATCAAAATCCCCCCTAAACCCCAGAAAAGATAGATTATAATATTTTGTGGTTACATTTCGTCGTAATCTCGATAGTATTTTACGACGGATTTACGACGATAACACCCATTCGTCGTAAATTCGTTGTAATAAAACCACATTTTTACAAGTTCCTGAACCTTATACTACAGACCCTTATATAATACATCAGTTTACTTAGGAAAATAAACCCAAAAACCATTCTGTAAGTTGGGAAAGCTAAACCCTATAGGGTTTAGGGTTTGCGTTTTACGACGAATTTACGACGAATTCCAAAAAATCGTCGTAAATTCGTCGTAAAAGTCAACATATGTCCAAGTCAACACTTTAACAAATTTTCATCAACATTTAATTAGTTTTCATTAATTGGCTTTAATTAATGTTACATTGAAACGTTCAAAGCATGCAATTAAATGTCAACATATTTAATTAGTCTTCATCAACATTTTCCTCGGTGTCCTCATCATCATTGTCATCATCATCACTGCTTGTTTGAAATTCGTCAGCACCTTCTTCAGTTTCGTCCCCATGTAGATCTTCAACTTGTCGATTACGTGGATCAATTAAAAGAACATTTTCTTCAACATCAGGTGCTGTAATGTCGACACAATCATCTTGTTGCATTGGCGGGAGATCTACACCATCAATTATACCCCTTGGAGCAACTTTGACAACCGCCAGCCATGAAATTCCCGTATTCCGAACTCGAGGATATGGAACAAAGGTGACTTGTTCTGCTTGAGATGCAAGTATAAAAGGCTCGAACTTATTGTATCGCCGAGATGCGTTTACATCTACCACTCCGAATTTGTTAATTCGCACTCCACGACCTACCGTAGGATCAAACCAATCACATTTGAATAGAACAGTTTTCATTCTGACTAATCCGGGGTATTCCACTTCAATTATCTCTTTGATGATCCCATAAAAGTCTACTTCACCTCGTACACAAACTCCATAGTTTGTAGTTGCCCGGTGTTAAAATGTTTCCAAGATTTCCCGTCAGACGGGTGAGTCATTTTGCCATCTGTTTGTGAATGTTCCGCATGCCATCTCATCGACGCAGCTGTCCGTTCGGATTGATATAGTCTTTTTAACCTATCAGTGATAGGAAGATACCACATTCGTTGGTAAGGAATCTTCTTACGACCAGCAATTTGCGGTCTATATCTTGGCTTTTGGCAGAAACGACATTCTTCAAGCTTCTCATCATCTCTCCAAAAAAGCATACAATTATCAACACAAACATCAATCATCTCAGAAGGCTATCCAAGACTAAAAACCAGCTTCTGAATTTCATAATACGTTTCAGCAGCCAAATTATCATCTGGCAAATACTCTTTAATAAGATCTGCCCAATCGTTCATGCAAACTTCAGATAGATTATGATCAGTTTTTATTGTCATCATCCGAGCTGCCAATGATAATTTTGATAAACCTTCCCTACATCCCTCGTACAGAGGCTGTTTTGCTGCGTTTAACATATCATAAAAGCGTTTCGCATCTGCATTGGGCTCCTCAACAGTATCAGCATGTGTTTCATGAAATGCATCAGTAATCATTTCATGCATCCTATCATGATCTTCACCCTGAACTTGACTACTTTGATAATCATTGGACGCTTCAAAATCCACATGTTCTTGATGATTACTACTACTCCGTGCAGCCATCTGACCACTACTTTGACCATATCCCTCTCCATGCTGATACCAAATAAAGTATTGGGGGCATGAACCCTCTATTCAATTAATGCTGCCAGACAGTGTCAATAAGAATATGTTTCCTATTTTTGCATTTCACACAAGGACAATACATTTTGCCGCTTTCAATTACAGTTTCCAGAAGGCCGGCTTGGTACATGAATATTTCCAATCCGTTTTTGAAGTCTTCAGTCAACGACCCATCACCATTTTTGGGCGTATACATCCACTTTCGTAGATCGTATATAGACATTTCAAAAACAAATATTTGACTTTTTGTTTCTGAAATTTGATAGAAATTTCAACTACTAAAAATTTTACTTAAACATTCAAAGACTCAAAAAATTTGTGTCTTTATATGTTTTTTTGGTTGATGGAATAATGAGAGAAGAAAGGGTATATATAGAATTTTTTGTTTGGTTACCAACATATTACCATTGCATATTTACATCAAATTTACATCGATTTTACGTCAACTACAAGATAGAGGACAATTCGTCGTATTATCGATGTAAATATTACGACAAGATTACGACGAAATAAAATTCGTTCTTTATTCGTCGTAATATCGTCGTAACATTACGACGATTTTACTAGGGTTATTTTTTACGTCGAATTTACGACGAAATTTTTTATCGTCGTAAATACGACGTAATGTCGTCGTAAATTTACGACGACTACAAATCGTCGTAAATAATTCGACGGAAAAGCCCCTCTTTCTTGTAGTGTATGATTAATACGTATGTTTACAAAGATCCATTACAAGTGATAATTATCGTCGGTCCATATTCGAATGAGTAACTACCAAGTCAATATCAACCGGGTTTTAGGGTTACTCTGACGGATCATGCATGAGATATAACTTTGTCTTCAATCAAATAGTTACTTGTAAACACACGTTACTACTAGGAATTATTTTATACAATTAGGGTTAGATATTCTATGCTGGCTAAAATGATCAAATTTACGATTATTTAAATCCATGACAAACCGGACCAAATCAGGTATTTCAAAAATGCATTATTGCTTTTTGATTATACACGGTGCCTTGCTTAACAACAAGAAAACGAGACTCAATAAGTGCTTCAATACGACGTAAAATATTAATTCGTCAAATAGCCAAATAGATAAAAATGCAATAAACAACAACAAAGGGACGACTTCATTAAGATGATAATAATACATAAGAAGAAAAGAAATTACATAAACTGAAAATCTGTGGCATGGTCGAGCATGACAAAAAACCGCAAGCTGGACCGACACAGAGATTGATTATACAAACAGAATATTAACATACGAAATTTACCCACTAATCATAATATAATTAAATACTCTAGTAGCCACTCGCTGCAATTTCCAAAAACTCCATTGCAGGCGGCTTCTAAATTCCCTATTTTACCCTTAATCGGATCAAGAAGAAGACAGAATCGAATCCCAATCGATCTCATACGACGGATACTTCTCCAACGAGAAGGTCTCGTTCCACTGCGGCGGCTCCTCCGTGTCAGCGAAGGTCAGATCCGACAACGGCGATGACCCGGCGGACTCAACGAACGGTGGAGATCCAGCGATCGAATTCGAATTCTCCTCCGTCTTGACTTTCTCCGGTTGATCTGCCGGCGAAACCGTCTCTGTTTTCTTCTGCGTCACCGTCGAGGCACGTTTCTTCGATGGCTTCGTCGATTTGTCCTGTTTCTGAGTCTCCGCCATGCTCTGACAAATAGCTTCGAGCTTAGCGTCGACTGTGGAGTGAAGAGGTTTGTACTCGCCGAATTCGCCTCCGATGTGGGATCCGTTGTGACGTAGGTTAGGGAAGTTAAGCCGGGCGAAATCGCCGCGCAGCTTATACGCCGCCTTATCGTAGGCCAACGCTGCTTCCTCCGCCGTGTCAAAGGTCCCGAGCCAGAGACGAGTTCGGTTCCTCGGCAAACGGATCTCAGCCACCCATTTTCCCCAGTGACGCTGCCTGACACCTCTGTATAACTTCGTCGGCTTCGGCGGAGAAACACCTGATCCGTATGCGAAGCAAGATCCGGCGACTCCAGATTGCTTCATCAGTAACGGCTTTGGGCTGAGAAGATTCGAGAAAGAGTTGATCTGAGAATGGTGGTGCGTGGGAGGAAGAGGAAGAGCATGGTTCTTCTGGATCTGAGACTGGATCTGGTGAATTTGGGAAGAAGATAGGTTATTTAGCCCGATTAATGACCCGGTTTGCTGGAGATCCGACCCGTATGAAAACGGCTGGGTCGTGAACGTCGAACAGTCAACATCCGGGTAATATCCGGGGAAGGTAGAGAGAGGAGGAGGAGGAAGAGAAAACGCAGACGCTGCGGGATGAAGAAACGCAGACGCCGAAGAAGAAGAAGAAGATTCGGAAACGCTTTTGATATAAGGTACAAGCGCTTCCATGAGTTCACCACCACCAAAGGAATTTGATTGTTGAACTGTTCTGCTACTGTACAAATTCATAGCAGCTTCCATCACAAAATAAGAAAGAAAAAGAAATTTGAATCCGAAAAATTCACCTGATTCTTATCAAAAGTAAAGAACAGGGTTTTCCGAGAAAATTCAAGAAAAAAAAGTGGATCAAAAAGGTTTGAAATAGGCAACCTTTGTGTAGATCCAAAAGGAGGGAACAAAAAATTACCCTCGACTAAATCTATGAAAAAAAAGAAGATAAATTCAGAAGAAGTTATGAAAAAATATCTCGTTCTGAAAATACCTTACTTTCAACTAAAAACAAAGCGAAAAAATACAGTTTCATAAGCTTGAATTTCTGTATGAATATGCAATCAAAACCATTCAAACATAAACCAAACCCAGAAACCGATTTATGTTTTTCTTCTTTTTTGAAAGACAGATGTTTAACAGAAAGGGATCGAAGAGCGTGGGAAAACAGATTTGGTGGGGGTTGCAAAGAGAAAATCGAAAATTCAATATCAAATCAGAGAAACAATTGCAATTATAATATAACAAATTTTTTTTTAATTTGGGAGGACACTCAGTTTTTATTTTGTAGTGAATTTACTCTCACCTCACCGATGCTCTAACCTCAGCAGCTTGGCTCCCGTTTATATAGTGGGAGTTGTCTCCTCACACTGTTTTCCATTTTTTATTCATATTATTTTCGTATTTTGCGTTTCTTCTTACTACGATATTTTCCATTTATTAAGCAACTTTTTTCACTTCGAGAAATTAAGTGAGTAACTTGAATTTAAATTAGTCCACCGAAAACTTGTCGTTAAAGTTATCTCTACTTTCTATTAATGGAATGTTTATTCATAATTCATAGATGTATATCAAATTTTGATATTGTACACTTATACATGTTCACGATTGATTTTTTTTTTAAAAGAGTATTCTTTTCATGTTCACGCGATAGATCCACATGAGTAGTAAATAATACTGTCAGGCACAGTAAAATTTAACGCCAGATTTTAGAAAAGAAATAAAAAATCTTGAAACGAACGCTAGATTTTAGCAAAAAAAAAAAAAAAAAAAAAGACCAACGTGAATCGTGATACTTCTTATCTTTTACAAACAACTGAACATTTCTAATTTTTACTAGTTTAAGTTATTTATTTCGATTTAATAAAATCAGAAAAGGGGAAAATTTAGATCAATCATATTTCTGAATTCTGTTAAATAAATTTTTATAATCTGACTACCTGAGCGAGGTAAAACAGTTGTTCACTAACCAGCGAGACGGTAGAGAAATGACATCCGGCTAATGAGTAAACGACGCGTGTGATACATACAGAGAAGTAACTGTCAGGTGTCGTAAGTTCAATACACGTGTCCCCATATCATTCGTGATTTGTGGAGTCAATAGTCACAGCTGATTTTGTTGACCGTTTTCTCTGCTTGTGTTCACACTGCTCAATTGCTTGCTTGTTAGTTTTTTTTTTTTGTCGACTTGCTTGTTAGTTTAACATAATTATATTGGACAAAATATAAGTAAACATAAAAAAGATTATTACCATAAGCAGGACAGCTACAATATTTTGGGTCGCTCCATTACAAAGATTGAATTAATAAAAGTATAAAACTATAAAAGTCGTTGTCTTTTTCATATATTTAGATTTACAGACCCCTCGTAACAGAATTCTGATATTTTACATATTAAATTATTTAGATTTACAGCGCTCTTAAAACATGATGAGTTGAAATTTTTTTTTTTTTTTGAAAGAAGAGTTGAAAAATATTCCAGAAATGCAACATTTGATTATTTTTTGTATTTATTTTAAATATTTTTCAGCTATTATAACAAAAAGGAACAAAACTTAATTGTCCAGCGAAGAAAAAAAAGGAATCTTAAATATAAATATTAAGACTACTATTTAAAATGTATCTAACTTTAGATCAACACATATTTCACATATATTCTATTTTTTCACAATGATTTTTTTTTTTGTAAGTAAATTTTTGTGATGATATTATTTTCCAATATTATCTGGTGTTATATGGACTTCAATATGTTTTGCTGTACTATTTTAATTTAAAAGTAATAATTGGTTTGTGTCGTTGACTAAATTTCATAAGATATAATTAGGAAGATATACATATCACATTACATATATACCGAAGTTTAAACGACTCGTTTATTTGTTTATTTTTGTTTCTCTAATATGCCATGGTATTATATTTTGGTATTGTTTACCTATACGATTTTGATCCTTAGATGATTGCTAAAGGTAGCGGTGAAAGCGGAGCGGATATCCTAGATATTGAGGATATCCGTTATCCGTTCCGCTCCGTCCAGATCATCACTTTTCTGATTCGTATCCACTTTGTAATTATTTGGATATCTACTTTTTGAATATCCGGCAAAAATCCAAATATTTGCCGGATATCTGATCCGCTCTTTAAAAAATATTTTAATAATAATATATTTAAAATAAAAATAAAAAAATTCAAAATTTAGTAAAAAATAACAATATATTTTTTAAAAAGTATATATCTATAATAATAAAATTTAATATCTATAATAATAAAATGTATTAACAATAGTTCAAAAAAATTACATCTATATATAATAATTATACAGTTTATATGAATTATTATCTATATATATACATATATATTTAAACCGGAACGGAGCAGATATCCGTCTGAATTTATTTTAATATTTGTGATTTGCTTCGTTTTTAACGGATATTCAATTTTAGTATTTGTTTTGCTCTGTAAAATAATATACAGATTTTTCGGATCAAATCAAAACGAATAACGGATCAAAGCAAATCTAATAGATATTTTGCCCAGCTTTAGCTAAAGGTACGTAGATGTCAAACTTGATGTACCTTGAATATAGAAGCTTGAAACAAACAAACACAAAAAATAAGATCTTGATAACAAATTTTCATTATGAATTAATTATGTGCCAATTAAATGCTTGATTAGTATTCAAAATCGAGTGGCATTTAAAACGAAAGCATAGAACATGTTTTGGTTTTAGATCTAAACGTGGTAATTATGTATAAAAATTTGCTCTAACAACGGTAGATATATATATGCAACTTTATCAACGTTATATATATAATCATTATGTGAATATAAGAGATAGTAGTGGTGATTTTATAATTACAAAAATTCTGGTAATAATGATAAGGAAGAGATAAGAATAAGATGGTGAGTGACGGCACAGGTCTGCTTCCAAAACAGCTGTGATATTCTTATTAATGGGTCACCTAATTCCTCCTCACCCCTCTGTATTTTATTACGTTCTTGTTAGTGGAGACAAAGAGAGACATTGTTTAGGAACAAAAATTAATCTTGGCTCGGAATCAACTATTTGATAAATTTTTTTTTTAACTATTTGATTATTTAAGAAATAGACTACAAACGAATATGGTTCAAAATTCGAATATCGACGCCATGTAAGAAATAATAGTTGGAATTAAGAAAAATATTCTAAGACGCCGATAGTGACATAGATTTACATCACTGTTTAATATATAAAATTGTTGTTTAGTCGCAAGTAATGATCATGATAATTATAATGGGTAGCTTAGACTTTAGTGGCGATAAATTGTTACAAAAATAATAAGAAGTCTCTAGAGGGTTAGAAATGGATTGGCGGAGAACTCCACCATTATCATTACCATATTTTATCAACATTTTTAAATTCCTCCATTTTTTAAGCTCAAGTCCGAACCTTTCGCCATCTTATCTGGTGGTGTATTTTATTCCGAGCCGCATTTTCCAGATAACTCAAATTTATCGCTATTATCAAAGGTCTAACTTTAATTCAAATGCCCGACCACAAAAAAAAAAAAGATTCCGATTAGCTCGTGCAATGTCCATGGTTAAGTTTCTGAATATATCTATGCAGAAAAAATCGAGTTCAAATTCGATAACCTGCACGGGTGTGGTTAGAAATATTGAGACAAAAACGCAACATCAATTATCATGGAGACAAGGCATAATACAAACCGTTTTTTTCTCATAATACAAACATGCTACTTATTAATATTCCCTCCGTTTTACGAAGAGTGTCGTTTTAAGGTTTTATTTTTGTTTTATAAAGAGTGTCGTTTTATACTTTTGATTTAATGTATTAATTAGAGAAAAAATAATTATTTAATGCATTAATAAAGGGCAAAGTAATATTTTTAATAGTTTTCTTAATAAGTGTGAAAAATGTTGACACTATTTATAAAACAAAGAGAGTATATAACACTTCACTGTATCTTAATAAATGATCTTTTGAAAAAAGCATGCACATATCATTTATTTGCTAAATACCTGAGTTTTACCTCCCCTTTTAGTCAACGAGTTTTACTTATTTCTATGTTATTAGTAAATTATTAATGGAAAAAACAAAGAAATTACCATGAAGAACAAATAAGACTCTAGATAATAAATATAAAATAGAATCGAGAAAATGTGATAGTTCTCTTTGAAATTTTGTTCATCCCTTATTTCTACCACTTGTATTTAAAAATGAGAAACTAGCTAGTGGCGTCTTGACGTCAAAAAAGAAGAAGAAGCTAGTGGCGTCTTGGATATATAAACAAGATTATATTTCCAAAAGTTATTTTGTTTGTTGTATACATAACGAAAACAGTCAGATGTCAAACAAAAAAAATATAACGAGACAGCGAGCATTCAGCAGAGGAGCATGGAATACGCGAGGCGAGGTAGGGGAGGCATGTGGGAAGCACGTGACCATATTGAACACCTAAGTCGTTTGCGGCGACGGCGGAAGAAGCTTCGAGTTCTGACTAAAATTGCGGCGGATCTGCGCGCTAAAGAAAAAAAAAACAAAATTTATGTTTTGTATACAGCTTAGATTCCTAAATACTAATATTAAGCATAAAATGTTAAGCAACCCGCATTACAAAAAAAAAAAACGGAAGCTATTTTGAAGGCTGCTTAAGAAAATAGTTTATGCTAAGGCAATTGAGTCTAGTTACCTAGTTAGTATTAAATTAGGTTTTAGAAATTGTATTAAAAATATGTAGCCTACTCACATGTTAATCAATAACAAAAACCTTAACAGTAATGGTTCAAAAATAATTGATAATTTTGAAAAATGATAGTAACGTGTCCATAACAATCGATGACTTTCAAAATAATTAAAAACCTATAACTAAATTAAAGTCAAATTAGCTAGACCATATATATATGAATATGGAAAATCACGTTTCTTGTTGGGGTTGAATATACACGACTTTTCGTATACTGAAAGAGCAAGATTTTTTTAAAAAAAAAGAAGAGCAAGATTCCGGTAGAAAAACTCACAAAAAGAGCTGGAAATGGCTTTTGTACACAAGTATTTGTTTTTTTTTTGTTGTATACGAAATTTCACATGGGACAATACGAGTGCCATGAGGAATAATTAGCGGAGCATGCCATGAGGAAATGAAATTGTCAACTGCATAGTGCATCCTCTAATTAGCTGTTTATGAGAATTAAAATTGACAGCGTCTTAATTAAGCCACAAAATCCATCCTTTATTTTGACGGCATATGTCCATCTAATCTACAGATTTGTAGTTCATTTAAATCCGACTATGCACTTTCAAATTTTATCAATATATAGCTCTAACATTTTGATTGTTTTAATTTTATTATTTTCAATGGCTTTTATTCAGAATACAAATAACTGGACTCCTCATAAGATTAACGAAAAAGCTGTTACTTGGAAAATTGGAGGATATACCATTCCTTGAATATAATTTTCACAAGTTCACCTTCAGATTTACCTCAACAGTAAACCCAATACTAAAAGTTTCAACGTAACATCTCGGGGTGCTAATTAATGGTCACCAATATGCAAAACCCATAATCGAGGAGGCGCTATTTGACATTTATATAAAATGAATAAGCATTTTTTACTCTTGAAATACTCAGGATACGTCATGATTTATTTACTATTTTATATTTTTATGATAAGAAAATTTAAAATTCGAATCCAGATTATTCTCTCTTTTTATGAAACATATGTTACTCAAATATCTTTTAGTATACTAAATAAAGTTTGATTGGTAATTTCGTACTCTTTGTTTTGTTTGTTTGGTTTAAAAGAAATAACTACCATATTAAATCCATATCTAAAGTTCAATTTGAATACTTTTAATTTTTGGTTTATTCGATTTTAGAACATAATTTATATACTTGATACCAACAAAACTCAGAAGCTATTTCCTGTAACTTCAACTATTTATAACTGTTTATCACTTTTTCTAAACGCTAAAACGCCATACCATTATAGATTAGCAATAGGACCCATAATAAAAGTGTTTTTAAAGGCACTAGTTGTCTGGCATCGCTTCTGAAAAACATTATAAATGCAATAAATATGATATGTTTGTGCTTAATTAGTTAATTATCCCTTAAAAAGAAAAAAATCTATCACGTAATACACGGAATAGCTAAAAAAGATCATCGACCTCGAATTTTTCTAATACACATAATTAATTCAAATAAAAGAAGAAGAAAGAAAAGGGATAAAGGGAAATGGTATCCAATAGGATAAATGGCATGGATTGCGCGTGTCCATCTCATCGTTACGATGAAAAGTTTTTCTATTTTTGAAAAGTTCCTTTTTTTTTTCACGCGGTTTCCGTCACACACTGCCGTTTTGAGACTTTTGAAAACCAACGAACCGTTACATTCTCGCCACGTGTTCGAGATCGATGGCCCATATTGAACTGTCATCTAGCTAGCTGTGTGGTCACCGTGAACTGTAACCAACCTCACTCCACTTATGTCTGCCTCTTCCTCTCTCACTCGCTTTGAAATATCTTTTTGTATTTTCTTCAGATAAAACAATATATCCATCAAATTTTGAAAATTTGATCGGTTCCTATTAACAACCTCAATTAAATATAAGTCAACTTTATTTTTGATGATATGGTTAAAGTTTTTAGTAGTCATTAAGAAATTATGATTATTTCCGGATACAAATAGAAAAGAAAAGAAAGAAAATTAAGTTTTGACTGAATGAAAGATTTAGCAAAAATGAGGGTGTCGTCGTTTTCAGAGCAGTTGGATGTCGTTTTAATGAGGAAGATGAATGGCACATGTGAACTTTAGGTGAATTGTCGCCCTCAGATTTTGTTCAATACCTTTTTTCCTTCCTTGGTTTTATCGTTTTCGCGTGATATTGTGAATTTCGTGACATATGGTCCAATTCCCTCTTTTTTCTTCTTTTTTTAATACTCGTAACTATTAGTACAAGTTTTGTTTTTTTTAACTGGAGATCCAAAATGAGTACTGAATTTTTGGAATCTATTACATTGTTGTTTCAAATAGACATACTTAGCCAATTTGAATTGTAACACCACTATATATTCGGTAAAAACTAAAATATCTCAGAGTTGTTCGTGAGCATTATTGGCAGAAAATTCCTTATAAATTACAAGTACTACTTTTAATATGTGACGCTTGTGATTTGTGAAAGAAAAAGAAAAAAGTTATCGAAGAAATAGAATCCAGTAATATAAATTTTAGAAGGAATGTTTCGTAAAGCTTTAACATTTGATTCAGTGGCTCACACACACATGACACATCCTTAATTTTCTAATCTGAAGAAAACAATCTCCACCATCAGATCATCTAACAAATCTTTATGTCTCTAACCAACCACTTTCAGTTTTAGATCAACTTTTTTGTTTTGTTTGTTTGTTCAAATTGGTTTCCGATGATGCTCTAAAATTCTTACACACAAACACATTAAATCCCCCTAACTAATATTCTTACAATTTAACCTCTCCTCGGTCTCAATACAGACGAAAGTGATCAATCGAATTATTCCACTATCAGATCACCTAACAATCTTTTATGTCTTAAGTAACCACTTTCAGTTTTAGTCTTAGATCAACTTTTTGTTTGTTTGTTTAACTTGGTTTCCGATGATGATCTAAATTCCTTACAATTTAACTCTCCTCAGTGATCAATCGCATTATTTCAGTGGGCTAATTGTACGAAAGCCCAACATCATAGGCCCAGAAACCCAATCTATTTCACCAACAAAACCGTAACCAAAAAAAAAAAAAAGGAAACCGGAATGGATTAAACCAGAATTTCTCAACCTTTCTATGGTATAATTTATTTATCAACTTACACATAGAGACTTCAAAGATACAGATGATTAAAATCCTGTTTGGCTTCTAAACCGATTCATTAGAGCGAAAATTCAGAAAATGGAATCCAAATACAAGTGGTTACGCTTCCTGCTAAACTCCAACAAGCTGCCATAGGTACGATCAGCCACTCCAACGAACAGTGCCTCCGTGTCAGGGCTAAACGAGATTCCCGCTATCTCTCCAAACAAATCAATCTCTTGACACTGAGTATAACCTGCCTCTGTGTCAAACACGTGTACAAAGTCTGCAGGCTCAGCCATGGCTAAGAACCGTCCATCAGACGTGAACCTCAAGGCTCTTATAGCTCCCATGTTTCCTTTCAACACTTTCAGTGACCGAGACAAGTTCCTCACGTCCCAAAGCCTGCAGGTCGTGTCTTGGTTCCCCGTGGCTAAGATCTGACCGTTTGGATGCCACGCTGATGAAAACGAGTAGTCGAGATGGCCTTTGAGTCCGTCCACGGTTTTTCCAGATCCTGCATCGGCTAGTATGCACTCGGGACTGTCTCCAAGAACCGCCACCAACTTACCATCTGGACTCGCCGACACGTTCTACCAAAAGATAATCAAAAGGTGAACACTTTTTGGAAACGAGGAGCATATATAACAATGGATGATTCTCAAGAGATGGTGATTTCGCTTACATTTACGGACCAGTCAAAGGCGAAACTGTTGATGGAAGAGAAGTTTGTAGCGTCTAATATCCGGACCGTGCAGTCATTGTTTGCGGTTATAACCCTTAACGATCCACTACATGGATTCAAGGAAGAAAGGATTTGAGTTTAGAAGAGCTTTTGTTTGTTTGCTTGCAACAGATGTATGTTCTGTTTAGTCTTAATTACCTTGGTGCGTTGTATATGTCAACCGAGTTGGTGATGTCGTTTTCGGCTGATGTTAGTTTTGTGCAGAAAGCAATCCCAGGTTCGTTGATTTTCTGGTGAATTCAAAAAGATCACAGCGAGTGAGAATCCTAAATTGACATATATTAGACAAATTGTAGAAAAAGCCAAAAAGTGTGTTATGTTATATACCTTACAGATAAGCTCTCCTTGGAACCCTCCGGCAACTATCAAGTCGTTTTTAACTGCCATTGTGCTTATTCGAACTCTTGATAGAGACTGTGACAACAAACCAGGCTGCTTCTACAGATTTGAGTTACCACAATGTTAGTTTACTTGAATTCCGAGGAGGTTCAAGAACAAGTAACATAAGAAGGATTTGCTTGCTCACCATTTTTGAAACAATGGGCTTTGCCACGTTAAGTACTTCTTTGCCCCTTTGGAGCAAAGATGACCAATGCATGAGAGAGTAGTTCTTCATGAAATACACATCGTGTTTTGATGTTGCCCATATCAAGTTTCTCAACTGAAACATGGCAACATAAAATACAAGGATTCACATAAGACACAGTAAGTCATTTACAGCCAAAAAAAAAAAGAAGAAGAAACAGAACATGTCGATTCTCACACAAAACACAAAGCAAGAAGGAAAAAAAAATGACCCTTTCAGTAATCAAATGATTGGATGACACAAGTTGGTGTAAAGCCAAATTACAAAATCTGAAATATCTCAATTTTTTTAGAGTTAAGTCGTTCACAAGACGTATGAATCAACAGTGCCAGAAAATAAGACTAAAGTCAGAAGAAAGAATGGTGACAAAGTCATGTAGTAGCAGTTATATGCAAGCTCAACCAAAAGATTCCCTGTAAGAAAGAATGGTGACAAAGTCAGAGAGTCCTCCAAACATTTCCTATCATACCATATTAACAAATGTTTCCCCTTATGGCGCCAGCTGCTCTCCAAACCTGCTTAAGAAAGGTTAAAGCATATACATAGTAACTGTTACTCAAAATGCAGTGAGGTAGTGACACCTTGATCAAATGCTTGCTTTTTTCTTTTCTTTTCTGACTACTCTGTTTGAAGATTATGAGTAATGATCTAACCAAGACACTGAAAGACGGTAATGCAAATAACGGAACAGTCGGTGACTATGATTTTTCTATGCATATGAATGAAAGTCTATGAAGAAGTTGTTAACAAGTAGCCTGGACTAGTTAGATTTCTCAACTCTGCTTTATATCTTGACAAACTTTTGAATTAGCTAGAACCTTGACAGTATTGTACCCGAGTAACAAATCGAACCTAAATTATAAAATTTTCGAGAATTTAGGTACGAGCAGGTTAAATTAAGCACCCGTCAAGATTATCTGCAAAAGAAAAGGACTTTGTGTGAATCAACACCCCAGCTGCAGAGCTGAGGTGGGAACAGTGGACATAAGAAAACAGGAAAAGGCAATTAAGATTCTATGGTCAAAACATAAGTAAACCAAAGAAAATAAACAATAAAAAGAAAAACATGTTATACATCTTCAGAATATGATTTGAATTGCCATTTCATTCAGCGGCAGGTCTCACAAAAAAAAAAAGTTGGGGTTTTTAGACTCGGCGTGAAATACTAAAGCGAGATTGATAGTAGCAGCAAGTCATTAATTTTACTAATTCTATTGAATAAGAGGGCAAAGTATATACTACTGTTTGCAGTTCAAGACTCGATTTTTAATTAGACACACGAGCTGAGTTACACAGTGTATTTATAAATGAAAAATAATTAGTGAAAGAACCAAGATGACTCCAGACTTTGCAAATAACGTAGTTGGGCAATATGTTCTACCTGAAAATGTGCAATTGTGGACTTGACAAGCCTCGTGTTGAACTGGAAGTCGTAAAAAGTTCTCCCTTTCTCTACTTTCAAGCATTCCTGTCAGCAAAAATACCAGAAATCTTAAGAAAGATGCACACTGAAAACACAGAATTTCGATTTTGTATACAAGTTTTGCTCGTGTGTGACAAACCTTATCAAGCTCTTCCCTGGATCGAAAGAGGCTCTCGAAGTTTTTATACTGTTGCAATCTCTTGTCACGGTAATTTTCTCTGCTGTAATTAAGCCTCTCCCAAGGAATCCCTTGGATGTCTTTTCCGTTCCTAGCTTCCAACGCTGACGTGTCAGTCTTCGTCTTGCTCTGACTCTACAAAATAAAACATAAACAGAGGTTTTCTTGTTTGTTTACTTCATCACATCCGTTATAATTTCCTCTCCTCCTAAATTAGACAAGAATATTATTATTACTATACCAGCTCGAAATCAGAGTCCATGAAATCCGAATCAGTTCCACTCCTGTGCTCGAACTCTCCAAAGGAAGGCTCATCGTCTTCGAAATCATACACACCGTGAAAGTCATCGACGAGGTACTCGAGGTCGGAGTTGTCGAAAATATCCATCTTTTAAAACCTGGTGAGAATCGATCGATAACATGTGAATAAAAATCGTAAACACTAGCATTAGAATAATTAGAAATCGAAGCAGTGAAAGGAACGAAGAAGAGGGGAAACAGTGAAACAAACCTGTTCAAAGTTGAGAAGAAGCAACACAAACGATATTCGAAGAGATCGTATATTTGATCGTGATTAAGGCGATTAAATTTCAGGCTTAAAAGAAGATTGTGGAAATGAAATGTTGTGATCGGAAGAGATGAGCTTGTGTGGTGGTTAAGGGAGAAAACGGAGGTCAAGGAGTTAAAAGGGCCTCTGCTTATAACGGTGGAGGAATCAGCTTTGAGAGGGTTCTGGTGGGTCCCTTAAAATTTACACGTGGGACCGGTTGGAGCCGGTCAAACTCAAACACAGCTTGGCGGATTTCAAAAGGGTTGGAATCCGCGGGCATTTTACGTTCAGGTCGGTAGTCTTTGGGACCCACTTGTGTAACCGGTACAGTCGTTACTTGGTCATATAATGACAACGTTAATACTCTCTACGAAATAACATAAATCTTTAATATATGCGACAAATAAGGAAACAAAATATCTATTCTTTTTGGGCTTAACCAAAATATCCCATTCTTGTTTCTTGTGTGCGCTGATTTTTTTGGCGTTTCCTTTTTTTTTTTTCTGTTTCTATTTATCTATCTTCTTAGTAAATGCAAGTTTCATTTTTTGGATGTTTAATCACGTAAAAAACGAATGGATTTTCTTAGGAAAAAAATGAGTGAAGCGGCAGACCATTGTAATAAATTAGAAATTTCGATGACTGGAGTATTAATAACGACAATAGGAAACAAGAGGAAAATTTCAAACATTGTAATAAAATATGTTTGTTGTTAGTGTCACACTTTGGAACGTGGACATATGATTCTACCGACATCTCACTATCACTATGAATGGCAAATTCGTCAAATCAACCGGCATTTTAGTCATTAACCCGGTTACAAGCTTATGACGTCACTAGAACATATACGTTTACACAATCCTTACTCGTCAACCATACATGTCACGTGTCAGATAATAAGGGCCTAGGTTCGTCCACGTGGATGCTAGCCTTTGATTTATCAGAGACCACAGAAGAATAAGAGAACACAAATATTTCCTATTACACTACCAGTGACGACAAAAAAAAAAAGACTACCAGTGAATATTTTACTAGCTTTTACAATGTAGAATTTGAAAGTTTTTGATGAAAATAATTTTCTACAGAGCTCTTATCGCCAGATACTTCGCTGAGAGTCTGAGACAGAAAAATATACTAGTATCTACATAGATTTTAAGCTTTTATTAATTGTTTGAAAACCGACATTTTTGTCCAGTCAAACCTAATTACGTGACCAGAAGAAATTTAATAAGTATAATCACAATTAGGTTTATTGTGATTAGCACGTCGGGACAAATGGCTTGAAATGGCAAAGCTAATGTGATAGAATATATTGTGTTATCCATTTCCACTTCTTGTGGTTGGTTGGGCGTTTTATCTTTTACATTCCTTGACAATTCTTCTAACTCTACTAATTTAATGTTTTAAGATTTACCAAAAATGATTTAATAGGCCTCCTAATGGACTATAGTCTGTAGAAAACATTAGCACTATAAAAATGCTAAATGGCCTAAATCAATGACCAGAAAAAAAAAAGAATCCACATTCATATATTTGAGAAAGCATTGTTGGGCTTTAAAACCATAACAGAAGTTTTTATTTTTGTTTTCTTTCTAAATAGGGCTTTTAGTAAAAAAACCCCTCAACTAATATTTTTTTGTTGGTCAGAGATGCGAATTATAAGGGTAATTACGTCAATTGATTCAGACAATAATAAGCAGACTCTGTCACTCTCATCAGTCTCTGAGTGTTTTTCTCATCTGTTTTTCCGCATTTCGAAGCCATGGCTAAATTGGTTCCTCTCCTTCTCATTCTTTTCTTCTTCTTCTTCTTCCTTCACGGCGTCGATCCATCTCCTCCGCCGCACGCGTGCGACTCTTCGAATCCCAGCACCAAACTCTTCCAGTTCTGCCGCACTGACCTCCCAATTAGCCGGCGAGCGCGTGATCTCGTCTCGAGGCTAACCATTTCCGAGAAGATCTCTCAGCTGGTGAATTCAGCTCCGGGGATTCCCCGTCTTGGAGTTCCGGCGTACGAGTGGTGGTCAGAGGCTTTACACGGCGTAGCCGGCGCCGGTCCTGGAATCCGGTTTAACGGCACGGTTAAAGCGGCCACTAGCTTTCCTCAAGTCATCTTAACCGCCGCTTCCTTCGATTCCTATCAATGGTTCCGCATTGCTCAAGTGCCTCTCTCTCTCTCTCTCTCACACTGTTTTTTTTTTCAATTTAATAATCTGGCTTGCGGTTTTATAATTGTTTAAGTTTAGAAACGTTTTATTGTGTGTGAAATTTAACAAGAATCCAGAATTTCTAAGTAATATCGAAAACTTGAATTATATCCAAAACGCTCGCATTTTAATTATGTTTTTTTTTCCAAACATACCACTAAATTCCGCATTTTTTTTTTCTTTCAAAAACTAAACACAAGCTTTTTGTTCTTGAAATATACCAACTTTAGTAAAAGTTTATAAATCATGTTAATAGGTAAATTGCTAATAGGTCAAACCTGTGGTATGTTTTTCTTTGTGTTAATTTTGGAACTAAATCCTGTTTTGGTAGTGTTTTTGACAATTTCTCTTGTATACAAAATAAGAAAGTTTTTGAATTGAGGTTTCAGGTAATAGGAAAAGAAGCAAGAGGAGTATACAACGCAGGACAAGCGAAAGGCATGACGTTTTGGGCACCAAACATTAACATATTTAGGGATCCACGGTGGGGAAGAGGCCAAGAGACTCCCGGCGAGGATCCGACGGTTACCGGAGCTTACGCGGTGGCTTACGTCAGAGGACTACAAGGTGATTCTTTCGACGGTCGGAAAAAACTCTCCGGTCACCTCCAAGCCTCCGCTTGTTGCAAGCATTTCACGGCTTATGATCTTGACCGTTGGAAAGGTATCACTCGCTACGTCTTCAATGCTCAGGTAAATTAATTTCTCTAATCACTTTTCAACGGTTACCATCTTTTGACTCATCTTTTACATAATGCCGTTTTTATAGTTTTTTAAGTTAATTCTTTGATTGCACTCTTTACGTCTTGTCATGAATATGTGCTAATCTTCATGTCTTTTCATAAATATGTGCGTAGATTATCATTATTTAACAAATCTTCATGTTGAAATTCTGACGTGGAGACTGGTTGGAATAGAGTCAAAATTTGTCTGAAATTAGGAAAATAAAATAAAGCTCAGAAAGTATTCTCTCATTAAAATTAAACTTATTAGTATAAAGTTCTGTTGTACAGTAACAATCGACTCAAAATCTATCCTTTTATATCTCCAACTATTCACAAATTATATTGAAATTTCTATACAATTTATTAATTCTAGCTTGGATAATTATAACAGTAAACATCACAACAGTCTTACAAAATATATGTTAAATAGTATGTCTTTTTTCTTCTTAATCTCATGTTAATTATGATTATTAAATAACATAATTCTTTGACTTAAAAAAAATAATAGGTGAGCTTGGCTGACCTGGCGGAAACGTACCAACCACCGTTCAAGAAATGCATAGAAGAAGGTCGAGCCAGTGGCATCATGTGCGCTTATAACCGAGTCAACGGCATTCCCTCTTGTGCTGACCCTAATCTCTTGACTCGTACCGCTCGTGGTCTCTGGCATTTCCAAGGGTTCGTCTCCTTTCTTGTTGCTTCTTTACCACTTAATTAGCTGATGATTAAAATTTAAAAATTGTCTCTTTTCTTCTTTCAGATACATCACTTCCGATTGTGATGCCGTCTCAATCATCCACGATGCTCAAGGCTACGCTAAATCCCCTGAAGACGCCGTCGCTGACGTCCTCAAAGCCGGCATGGACGTAAACTGCGGATCTTACTTACAAAAACACACCAAATCAGCTCTCCAACAGAAGAAAGTGTCGGAATCAGACATTGACAGAGCTCTAACCAATCTCTTCTCCGTTAGGATTCGTCTCGGTCTCTTTAACGGCGATCCAACCAAACTTACTTACGGAAACATCAGTCCTAACGACGTTTGTTCTCCAGCTCATCAAGCGTTAGCACTCGAAGCAGCTCGCAACGGTATCGTCCTCTTGAAAAACACTTTAAAGCTCCTTCCTTTCTCCAAACGCAGTGTACCGTCGTTAGCTGTGATCGGTCCAAACGCTAACGCCGCTGAAACGCTTCTCGGTAACTACGCTGGACCGCCTTGCAAGAACGTGACTCCTCTTGAGGCCTTGCGCGGTTACGTCAAAACCGCTGTTTATCACAAAGGATGCGACTCCGTGGCTTGCTCAAACGCTGCGGTTGATCAAGCGGTTGCAATCGCGAGGAATGCTGATCGTGTGGTCTTGATCATGGGACTAGACAAGACTCAAGAGAAAGAAGATATGGACCGTGTGGACCTTAGCCTTCCCGGGAAGCAACAGGAGCTTGTAATGACCGTTGCGAAAGCTGCAAAGAAACCAGTTGTTCTTGTTCTGATTTGTGGCGGTCCTGTCGATATCTCGTTTGCAACGAATAATGATAAAATCGGAAGCATTATTTGGGCTGGTTATCCTGGAGAAGCCGGAGGGATTGCTCTTGCTGAGATCATATTCGGAGATCACAACCCCGGTAAACACTTCTCTTCTCTTCTTCCAACAATTAGTGAAAAAGCTTTGATTTTTGCTTTCTTCTAAAGTTAAGATTTTTGTGTGTGTAGGAGGGAGATTACCTGTGACTTGGTATCCTCAGAGCTTTGTGAATGTGAAGATGACAGACATGAGAATGCGGTCGTCATTTGGATATCCGGGAAGGACTTACAGATTTTATAAAGGCCCTAAAGTGTTTGAGTTTGGTCATGGTCTCAGCTACTCAAGTTACTCTTACCTGTTCAAGGCTCTGGCTCAAAGCAATCTCTATTTGAACCAATCCAAAGCTCAAACCAACTCGGAGTCTGTTCGATACGCTCTGGTTTCAGAAATGGGGAGAGAAGGTTGCAATATAGCCAAGACTAAGGTGAGTGTTGTGGTTGAGAATCGAGGGGAGATGGCGGGAAAACATCCCGTGCTGGTGTTTGCGAGGCACGAGAGAGGAGGAGAAGAAGGGAAACGCGCAGAGAAACAGCTCGTCGGGTTTAAGAGCATTGTGCTAAGTAAAGGAGAGAAGGCGGAGATTGAGTTTGAGATTGGTCTATGCGAGCATCTAAGCAGGGCTAATGACGTTGGAGTTATGGTTGTTGAAGAAGGAAAGTATTTCTTAACCGTTGGAGATTCAGAGCTCCCTCTTACGGTTAATGTCTGAAATCTGAAAACATACAAAAGACACTTTCTCTTGAATTGGCTTTTTGGGATTCAAAATGACATGTAATGAACGAGATTTGTGTATCGAATACATATTTTAAAACTGTTCTTGATGATTCTTTTCTCACTAAATAGGGACTCAGAGAGTGAAAGACAAAACAAAAAAAAAGAACTGATTTTTCAGTTTGCTACAGGAACACATTAGGTCAGGGTCTCGTCAAGCTTCTGTCTGTACTTGCCAATCTCTGAAACGAAGAAGCATTATGTCAGCAAACTCAGACAAACAATTGGAGATAAAGATACTAGATAAACAATTAGTTTGGTTTGGTTTGGTTTACCTTAGTATAAGCATAGACACCGGCTTCTGTAGGACCAACCGGGCTTCCTCGTCTCATGAATTTTCTGTCTTTGAAAATGTAGAGTAACGGTAAACCAGTAGATAGCTCTAGACTTGTAACCTGAGAGAAGCAAAACAAACTCTTTCGTCCTAGGAAATCCTCAAAACCAAATGATAAAAAAGACTGAATCTGGACTGCAACCAAATTGGTCTGTTACCTCCTGAGAAGTTAATTTGTCAAGATACATAATGATAGATCGCAAAGAGTTCCCGTGAGCAGCAATCAATACGTTGTTTCCAAATGCGAGCTCTGGTTGAATCTGCATTTGTATTAAAAACGTTCTAAGGAGCTGCATAAAAACGATTACGAATGTAAGAAAAGAGTCTTTCATTCATACATTGTCTTCAAAATAAGCCACAGCTCTCTCAGCGCACATCTCCAAACTCTCGCCTTTAGGAGGAGGAATGTGGTAACTCCTGCGCCATTCGTGAACTTGCTGTGTTCCGTATCTTTCCGCTGTTTCTTTCTTGTTTAAACCCTGTAGCTCTCCATACCTAACTCAAGACAAATAAAGGCCAGAAACTAGATATATGAGTTCTTATGATCTTTCGTACAAAAGAGACACAAGGGAAGCCACATTTGTTGTTTTACATTCTCTCATTTAGCTGCCAAGCCGCTATAACCGGGATAGATTGCTTTCTCGTTTCTTCGCTGAAAACATGACTCCAAGTTTGCGCCTTTTCGCTCTCATCGTGCAAGATGATCGGAACCTAGAGAATTCACACAACAAGTCAAAAAAGAGGAGTTTTTTGAGAAAAACAAAAAAGAAGCAATAATCTTTTCGATCTAGTTGTAACCTTCTTGCAGCGATGCTGAGTCATAGCAAGCATTGCGGTCATTTGAGCACGGATTAGAGATGATGTGAAGATCAAATCTACAGGTATGTTGCTAATTCTCTTCCCGGCTTCAATGGCTTCTGCCACACCTTTCTCTGTCAATGGCACATCAACACAACCCGTGAACAGATTCTTCTCGTTCCATAACGACTCTCCATGCCTAATCAATATAAGAGATGCTTCATCTGAAAAAACATATGTTGAAAACAAAGACCAAAAACTTGATTTAATGTTTCTTCAGCACTCTTTTCTCTTAATATACACACACTCATGATGAGGACCAAGAAGAAAGCAGCATACTTGTTTTTTTCTTGGATTCATGAGGGATGTTGTTGGAAGGAGACAAGACAGTGTCAAGAATGGGAATCTGAGATGCAGTTGCTTTGATCTTGAATCCTTTATGTCTGAATTTCATCGGTACATTCAAAGGCTCCTTGAGAAACTGAGAAGCTTTGAAATCGGAAGGTCTATGAGAGACAATAGACCCGATCGCTTGGTGAGACACAACCGTAGCCATTTCCGGATATTCCTATGCGTAATAAGAAACAACAGGGTTTTAAGTCTAAAACTTTAAGAGTAACCAAGAATACTAAAGTTAGGTGATTTAACTGAAGATCTCAAATTCAATACTTGAGTGAAGAGAAATCATGAACTAGGGGAAAAAAAAAACAAAACGCAAACCACAACATACACTATAGCATCAACAAATTCGATTGAATATGTATACCCAAAAATCGAAAGAAACAAACTGAGATTAAAGAGGAAAAATTGAAAATCAAATGTAGGTCAATTACAGAAACATACCTGTTATGACGACGAAACCGAGGATGGAGAAGCAATAGAACAAAAGATGGTATTACTCGACTACACGTCGATTTCAGTATACCCACCTAAACCTCAGACCAAAAAATTAACGCTTTATATAGGATTTTGACCCCAAAAAAAAAGAAAAACTTTTCGTTACGTGGTGAAGAAATACATACGAAAAGTGAATGACAACACGACGCGAGGGTTGTTGAAGTTGTGGCGTTTGTAGCGATCGATTTCGGAAGAAAGATAAATACAAATTAAAGCGTCGTTTTGGTTGGTATTTGATTAATTAGGGTTTATTTGACTGTTTTTTTCTACGACTTGGAACATTTCTGACGGCGACCAACTGGGATTGACATTTGGCAATATGCTGTTCTGGTTTCTGCCTTTTGGGCCGTTTCTTCACTTCTCGTCTCGTGATTTTTTATTTTTGTATTCAAACTCATACACATGCAAACAAACAAAAAACAGTGTTGAACTGTCGCAAAAAAAAAAAGAACCGAGTAGAACCTAATTATTAGTTACACAAATCAATACAGCTTACATAACTGATTTATGTATTCTGATTTTTGATTCGAACAGTGTTAGGAATCTAAAAGGGAATGCCTAAATTTGCTTTGTCTTTGTTAAAAAAAAAAGGTCATATGGGATGGAGTGTTGAGTTAGGTGATGAATTTTGCTGGTGGAGGTTGGTTAATGTGAATTGAAATTCACTTAATTGTTTCCAACAAATATTGTTAGATCATTATACATACCAAAGTACGGTACCAAACATGAGATAATGTTGTATGCTTGATTTTGCCTAAACTTTTTCGCTACAGTGTTTAAGAAAAAGAAAAAACGGTAGGTGGTGTTTTTTTACTTCTACATCGGAATATATCCAAGCCCATAAAAGTCCATTAAGAGTTTTGTTCGATAACAAAAGTATAATCTCAGAGTTGAGATTGTAGCCCGAACTTGGTGCGACCGAATTCGATTTTTTATTCTCTTGTCTTTCTGGGAAGGGCCGTTCTCGGTGTATATAAGGGATTTCACACACAGTATTTTCGATGTTACAGTTGAAGAGATATTTAATTACAAATATATTAACTCTCGTTAGCAACTTCAGTTTTCTTAGAAGAATTAGTGGAAAAAAAGTTTCACCATCTTTTATTTTAGATGGAGTGTTTTAGTGTAATGTTAAATTCAAATCTCTCCTTTCAAATTTCATTCCACTTTATGTTTTGTATATGTAAATTAATGAAACTTCACTAAGCCAAGATCAGAGACTAAAGAGAAACGAAGAATGAAGAAATCAATAAAAGACACTTCCCAAGCAAGGAAGTGACACAGGCCCATATAAGAAACTTACACAAACAGAGTTCCGAATCACCAGAGTAATCAATCAATCATCTTCTAAAAACAAATACAAATATAAATTTCTTTCATAACCCCGGATTAACATATAAAAAAGATGCACATTAATTAAGATAGAGAGAGAGATTAGAGGGATGGTGTCTAATCTTAAACATCATCTTCATCAACCTGATACTTTTTAATAAGCTCAGAGCAAAAGACATCGCTAACTTCTTTCTCGAAACCCATGTTGTTGGCGTGTCTGATCTGCGAGGCAATGCCATTGTAATGGTTTAAGATGACACGGGATTGCTCGCGTCCTGGGGAGATTTTAGGGCAGCTTGCGTCTGAGCTTTTCACAAGCACAACATCGCACATCTCGTCTTTGTGGTCTTCGTGGACAATGAACTTGTACTTGCCTTCTTTGTCTGATACTGCCACGTCTGTGTAGATCGGTTTCATTGTCTTCCTGTCGTTGCACACTAGCTTCACCGTCGCACCTAAAAGCCAGAAAAAAAAAACACAGCTCTCATCAGAATCAAAAAAAAGCCAAATCATCAGCGTCGTGTATAATTCAAATAATGGTATTTGTAAATCTAAAGCTAGATCTAGAGCAAAATGGAAGTGAGATTCTTAGATCTAACATACTACTAGTCCATTAAGAATCGAGATTCGTCAACACTAAGCGAAGCCCCCCAGATCTATAGAGAAAAATGTAATCCATCCGAATCGACAATCTAACACTAAAGAGAAGGCAACATATAGGGAAAAAAATTGTCAGATCTAAGCAAAAGAGAGAGAGAGAAACCGGGGATGAAGTAGGAGGATTCAGCAGTCTCGAAGCCGAATTTGCAAGTGTCGCAGTAAGTGGAACCTTGCACCACCATAGTATTCTTTCCGATGCTTCTTGGCATCCTTGCCGCCATGGCTATCGCCGGTAAGATACAGAGAACCATCAACATCACCAGTTTCGCCATTTTCGAATACAGAGACAGAGAGAGAGAGTTGCTATGGATTTCTGATCAAAGTGACAAGGAAGGAAGGAACTTTAAGACAGTGGAGGAGCGAATCTAGGAGGGGGAGATGAAAGCGCGTGAGATTTACTATGCGCTCAGGGGCACTTTCGTCAATTTGTTAGTAGTATATGTTAACGTGGCAGTATATGATTGGAACGAAAACGAGTGGACCCCAAACGCTCTTTGCAAAAACAAAAAAAGGCGGTGCGTTTGCGTGATTGCAGCTGGAGGATAGTGGTTACTCTCTCTCTCTCTGTCGGTGCTCACATGGCAAGCAGAAGAAGAAAGCACCAAAGTCCAATGTTTTTTTCGTAAAGGCTAAAACAATAATAATTATAATAATGGAGAGTCCCTAAAAACGACGGTGTCCAAAAAATTATTACTTTAAATAAAAAAGTCCATTATGCTTCCTTGGATCTCTTCTTGGCCCATTAGTTTCACTACTTTTATCTGAGTTATGATTATGTAATGTGGGCATAGCGGATCACTACTTTCCGGCCCATACAATACAACGCTAGCCATCTTTCATCTCTAACGAAATAAAAAGACCCTATCTCGAATTTCATTTTGATCGCGTTTGTGTTTGCATTTATATAGTTACAGTACGTTTATATATAAGATTATCAGCTCGCGTTTGTAATAGTATTTCTTAATTTGGATTATTAGTTATCTATAAGGGTAATGTAATAAAACATATGCTGAGCTCTTTTCAGCAGGGAAAGTTTTCAAAATAAGAATGATGCACTGAAAACAAAATAGAGGAGAAAGGAAAAGGCGACATACTGCGATATTAATGTTTAAATATGAACATCATCATTAATAAGTTTGTTTGAGCATAGTTTATTCAGTCACATGATGATGATATTGATGACTATCTATTCATGTAATGTACATATAGTGGCGAACATCAATTATTTTATCGTACCAAACCAAAACCTTTCTGTTAAACCATTATTTTGATATTCATCACCGTTATGTTTTCACTTTTTTTTTTCTTCTTTCAATATACACAATAGTTTTTTTTTTTCTCCACTGTGTACGTTGGTTCTGGTCATGTGATGTGATTAGTGACACTTTTATTTGATGAGTACGTAGATAGTTGAAATCGTTTCTTTAATTTGTGGAAGAATCGATATAATCTGGTAGAAACCCCATACTATAATGATGGACTTACTATAGGATTAACAGTTCCATAGTTAGTAGAATGAAACGAATGTAATAATCGCACTACATAAAAACGTGTTATCGTTTGACGATCGTGAAATCATAACTGAAATCATCCTACTCTAATAACATCGTTTTGTCCTCTAAAAAAACTATATATAAGATTACACAAGTTCTATACATATTCTATTACTTTGTGTAGTTATACAATTAACTATAGTTCATTTGTAATTATTATACCCAAAACAAAAAAAAACGAGGACTCTATACCTAAGCAAGTGGGAAGGCATGAAAGTATAATATCTAAATAAGATCAAGAATCAAAATAATTGAGATACCAGTATGTTTTGTTTTATTGTATATGCATAAGTCATGATAAACATACGTGAGATATTTGTTGAAGTCCAAATTAAGAATGAAATGAACAATTGATAAACTACTTGACTCTGAAATGAGCTGTTCCCACTTGTCTTTGCTTAATTTGGATGGAACAATTCGATTCGTAGTAGATAAATGGGCCAACACCACTAAAAATTTGTATTATTAATATCAAATATCGATCATATAATAATAAAACCAAGGTTTGGGATAAAGGTGAAAGACTATGCGTGTGTGTAGTTTCAAAATGTTGCCTTAATGCAAACGGAAAGAAGTTTACGGCCGCGTTAAGATGTGACTAAGTTAATATCAAAATTTAAAGATGGCCATTAGTCATTAAGTATGAACTCACTGCTCATATATAAGCACAAACGGGTAACGAGTGTAAATAAAATATAAATATAGCCTTTCTCAAGTGTACTTAATCTTAGTATATTATAGAAGGATTAAGTAAAAAGGATCCATAATATCTATTACACAACTGTATTAGGCATACAAACAAAAATTAATGGAGAGCATATTTGCACGTGTATCCCCACACTTCGGCTAATTTTCTTGAATATAGAAAAGTACTCGTATAAGTAGAACCAAAGAGTAACGGGACAACTTCGCATTTCCTGTCCCCTCCTAGAAAACAAATACCACATACAATAAGACATAGTCTATTTTATTTGATAGGCTATATATATATTTTGAGTTTTTGGCTCATTGGTCACACGATCATTTTGTGAAAACCAGCATCCTTTACTAAAAGCTCAAACTAGAAAACAAAACTTAAACCCTCTATTGAAAAATTCTCTTCTTGAATCAAGTGAATAATTCACAAAGGAATTCATATATAATATTTGATAATGGTTTTCACTTAAACGGAATAAACTAATCGTTTTTATCTTTTCTTTTCCGAAGTAGCTAACTAATTATTAAGTCTTAATTCAAATAAGTAAATAGAGACCATGCGCTTACTCTTATAAGTTACCATCTCTTTGGTCGAGAAAGATGCCAACCATCTTTACTTTACATATCTCGGACTTGTTATAGTTTAGATTGTTAATTAAAACATAATTATTCAGCTTTTGTTTCATAAAACAATAATTAAGGAGCATGGATGCTAGGTTGGAGATATCAAGGAGACGTTGGAATTCAGATGGTTGGCCAAGTTTGATGCGGACACATGCCAATTTGGCCAAGTGGTACTATAATATTGCTCACTTAATACGTTAAAATGTTTAATATCAACTTGCTACTACAAAATTTATTCACAAAGCAATCTATCTGTGTGATACGAACTTTAAATATAATTTGTTAATACGTTCTGTTTTTACTCCATAGTCTCCATTATACAACCACTGTAAAGAATTTTCTCATGGTAGAATTAGAAAATTTGTTCTGAAAAAAGTATTATATATGCACTTTTTTAGTCTAAATATATTTTTGTTGTTGTGCGAAAACCAAACAAAAAAAAAAGAACAAACTTAACGCTTCATATCTTCTTAGTGTTTATCGAGTATGCTGTATGCATCCATCAAAGTATAGGAAGGTAGCGTTAATCATCTCGTTAGAAGAAAAAAGGATAAGAACTAAAACAAATTTAGTTTTTTTGCAAAAGTTTTGAAACAAATGGGGAAACGCACAAAGAAAAATGTAATTGGGATTTAGGAGTCTGTCAAAAATATAACGACCTTTAAATCCAAAAAAAAAAGAATCTATTAATTCTTCCAATTGGTGAACACTGGGACCCATGCTGATTAGGCATGAGATTCCTGACTCAAGCAACATCGTATTGAATTAACCTTGCATATTTAAATATAAATTTACATACAATTAAGAAATTCATAGTCATACACAAAGACGAACACCGTATGTCTGTATTATTGTATATAGGTTTATTTGTAAAATATGTGTGTATAAAAGTACATAAAGGCTACAGCCAGTACAAACTTGTACATCAACTTTAGTTGACCTAAATTGAAAATTTGGTATTAATTCTCCAATAAAAGAAATGATCTTGATTCCAGGTCTGATGTTGATTAAAAAAAAAAAATACATTTGTTCTAACTTCAAAAGAGTGTGTATTCTATATATATTCTTCGTTATCTCCGATGATATTCAGCTTGTGATACAACTTTTGGTGTTAAATATGATAGAAAATTAGTAATGCTAAATGGGAATACTAAATTGCTAATTACGTATTTGTTTTTATCGTTGATTCTAAAAAACTCGATTCAGTCTCCAGAAATGCAACCTCACCCACACAAATTCGCTGCAAATCTTATGATCTTAATTTTTCTCATTAAGTACTTAACAAAAAAAAAAAGAAACATACATTTGATTTTATTCCAAATAGATCAAAACTTGTAAAACTTGAACCCTCGAAAAAAACCCATCTAATTCAACACAAAACACGAGGGGGTGATTAACACGGTTAATTAACGCTCAATGCTTAATATATATTACCCATCATAATCATATACAAACACATAACAAACCCACACATAATATAATTAACTATATAATGTGTGTGAAAATATAGGGATTACACGGCGGCTGCAGCTCTCCCTCCTTTGCCGGGTTTTGCGGTGGCTGCCACCGTCGATTCCTTGGCCGATGCCGATTTGCCTTTCTCTTTCCTCTCGTCTTGTGCCATTTGCTGTTGCCTGCACTCTGAGCTACAAAAGGCCGTATCTCCCCTGCCATTTTAATTACACCAAAATTATCACTTTAATTATAAAACAAATTATCTAATATTATCATAAATCATAGGGAAAACCTTATACCCCTTTAAGTTAATTACTTTTCTTTGCTCCATAAAAAGGATTATAACATAGAAAAAACAAAAACACACACGATTTAAAGTGGTTCACTTTCACTTTCACGAATTTCTCTACGACCAAAATTCAAGAGTTTGCAGGTTTAATTTCTTTCCGATGATATTATTTGTTATATATATACCTATACATATAGATGTCGCGGCCGGGAACAAGAAGGCGTTCACAGAGGGAGCAAGATCTCAAGAAATGTCCAGCGTCGGAGAAATCGCCTGAGTGTCTCCTCAGGTTACCTCTCGGTGAGACCATAGCTAAGAACCGTTGATCTAACAGCCCACGGTGTTGATCGACGGCTGCTATGTTCTGAGCGTTAGAAACATACGAGCCCACCACGGGATTTTGGCTTGGATTCTGCTGATTTGATACCTCTGTTTCGCCGGGAAGGTTGAGATCGAACTTTATCTCCGACAGACTTGTGGTTCTGTTAATCGGTGGTCGTTGTCTCTTTCCAAGCAACATCGTATTATTGTGTGTATATGTCTGCTCCGTTTCTGTTCCTCTTTTTCTTTGTATTTTGCGCTCTGAACAGAGCAAATCTAGAGAGAGAGAGGGAGTGAGGAGGGGGTGAGGAAGGAGAAGGGACAGTGAAGAAGATAAAGAAGAACCATAAACTGAGGACTACATCTGGACCGTTGATTTCTCTGATCTAAATATGTTCGTTTCACGATTATGCCACGTCAGGATTCTGGAATTATTATATATTTTTCTAACAAGAACATTTTGGCATGGGCATTTAATCTGTTTGTACTATGTGGTGGTGGTGTAAGTACAAAACAGTATAAAAACTTCTATGTTGTTATTTCCTCGTTGACAGGATAAAAATGATTTTACTAATTTTCTCCACGGTAAAGTGATATTTTTTTGTAGTGTATGGTGAAACTTGGTAATATACAGTTTGTACCATAAAATAAAATTTGTTTTCGAATCAATGTACTACATTATTAACTGTCAGAGAAATTATTTCTTGTCCCAAAATATATGAAACTTTTGATGTTATCTTGTATTTCAAAAATACCTGTCTGGCCAATAAATCTAAGGGTATGATTAAAAAGAAATTTAGAAAAGTATTTTTTGTTAAGAAAGTGCTTGATTTTCATTAGAGAAATTTATAGAAATTCATATAGGAATTGGCTAGCTAACCCAATCTATTTTTTTTGCAAAAGGTTGTCTTATAGACAAAAGTATGAAAATCAAACAAACCGAAAAATCAAAATGAGAGTTAAAAACTCAAAACTAGTTAAGAGTGCAAGGATTTTTGAATATTATCGATGCATGAACAATATAAGCGTTTTGGCGATTAAATATCTTACATTGCATCTAAAAGACTAAAACTACAGTTTTTGTTTTCACTATCTTACAGTGCATCTAAAATTTCGCAATCATTTGAGAAAGAGTCCATTGGGGCTAAAATGGACCCACTAAATTAACAATAATTAACTTTCTACATCAGCGATAGTTGCCACAAGAATTAATAGTCCATTTCCACCCGGTCATTTTCTTCCCGCAAAATAAAGCCCGAAGAAACAATAACAATTTAAAAAAAAACTTATTTCAATTCTTAAGTAACAATAAAGAAAATATATAGGAAAAAATGCTGAAAAATAAAGAAAATTGAAAGGGAAATGTTTAGTTATTTGGTTCCTAACGTCTGGGTCTGAGCTATATAAAAATGGACCACCTTCTTGACAACAATGTTTAATTCAATTTGCCCTTTGCAATTTTATAGAGCCTTCTCTCGTTTCTCCACTTCACATGCCTCATATTTCTCACCAAATTTCAACATTCATCTTAAATTTAATTGAAGACGATTTAATGCCCAACAATTAAGAGTATTATTTTGGCAATGGGGACGATAGTATTCCTCAAAAGCTCGTGTTTCCTTCAATAAATAATTGGTGATTGAAAATCACAACAGAAGCTTATGCTGATTGGTGCATTGTGACCTCTTTACACAGAAAAACTAGAGATAAAACAGAGTGGCACAATGTACCAAAATGGTCGGTCTCAACGTCGTGAGCCTCGAAGAGATTTTTCATTTTTAAATGACTATTTTTAGGAAGTAAGATCAATATAAATCATTTTTTTGTTCTTTCTACAAAGGTAAAAGGTTACGATGAGAAGTTTAAATGAGAGGATTTGTTTCGAAAACTTAGGTGCAAGTTATTGGGCAGAAATAGTAGTGTAAGAGTTTAACAGAAAACAATATAAGAGGTTTCGAACTATGGCGGAGGTAGGTAGTAGAGAGGGGGTCATTTAACCCCTGTGCATTTCTAAAAAAATTATATTTACATGTATTTTTTATTAGAAAAATAGATAAAATGTTGAAAATTAGCTTAATGACTCTTATAAAATTTGTTCAAATTTTATTGAAAATTATAATTGATCCTTATAAATTTTTTGACTAGCTCCGCTACTGTTTCGAACCATGATCTTTCCACTAAGAATTCCACCATGAGTTGGTTTATGTGATACCATAGACGGTAATAAAAGAAACAAAAATTTCATAATTATTATCTTCAATAGTTTGTTCAGGTCAGATATTTTTTCAAAATTTAAATACAACACACAAAGAGGTCTGCATTCATATGATAGTACTTTGAGATCAATCAAATAAACGGGAAATTACGATTTTATTTATAGATGTGATTGATACTAAGCATATACATATGAGTATGACTAATTGATTAAAATTCCTGTATATTCAAATTATTATTTTGTTATAATGATAGTAAATGACAATGAAGGGGAAGCTATAGCTGACGTGGAAGTTTGGTGCTAATAGAGATGGATTTGGTATGATTGAGAAGACAAGTGGACACAAGTGAGTCAAAAAAGTGAAGAGACGTTAATTTTATTTATTTTTTCTTGACTTTGTGATTCGTTCGTTTTCTGGACACAACAACGAAAAGGTTTTTTTTACAGTAAACCAAACACAAATTTGGTCCCAACTCCAAATATCAATCAATTTCACAAATTGAAAAGTGGGCCATCTTCTCTTTTACTAGTGGGCTTCAATATCTGGTCCACACACTTCATTATTTTTGTTTGTCGGGGAACTTCTATTTCATAATTCGCTTTCATTATTATTTTGACGATGTTTGTTAATTAACGATAATATAATATACAATGATTCGAATCAATCAGGACATTTGAAACAGAGATTTTTTACGTTAAGAAGACCGTATTGTAATATATCAGCATATACCTTTTTACTTCAGAATCTGAAGCTAACTCTAGTTATTGTAAGTCCATGAATGATATATAAAAAAAAAGATCCACAAACCAATAATAAAACAAGAATTTATTTTAAATTTAGATTCAGTGATAACCATTTTTCCTTTATTGGTTCTATGACGGTGTAGATCCTGAGTTGAAAGTATGTGGTAAATACGAAATATTTTTGATTTGTTTGGGGTTTAATTAATAACAATAATTTATTTTCCGATACAAAACTTGGCAAAAACGGAGGACAAGACCTCTTCAGAGACATCTTGGCCACTGATCTGAGCAAGAGCCAACGCAGCTTCTCTCAGCTCAATCGTCCAGAAATCAATCGGAATCTCATCTTTGATCGCTTCTCTCAGCCTCACGAGCGCCTGTTTCGTCCGCACGAGCTGCTCGCATTGTCTCTGATACAACACCAAAAATGGGGGATTAAATGCAACATTCAAAAGTTAATGGACAGAAACAGAATTAATGGTAGAAAATTGAGACATACATGATTCACGGTCCATTGATGTCCTCCAGTGGGGACACGATCAAGACCAAGAATCTCCAATATTGCTTCTTCAAGCTCTTCAATTCCTTGACCAGTAACAGCAGATGTAAACACAGATTTATGGAAAACTTTTGCTCTCTTCCTCTTCTCATCTTCTAATTGATCAAAACAATCAGGAAGAGCACAGTCGATTTTGTTCATCACCAGAATCATAGGCTGTTTCAATTACCAAAATCAGAATACAAATTACCTTGTCCGAAGAAGAAGAAGGAGAAGAAGAAGAAGTGAATATCAAATAAATTACCTTGTCTGATTGGATCTTACGTAGAAGCTCAGTGTCTTCTTTAGTCCAGCCCTCGAGAGCACTCACTGCCATGATTATGACATCAGCAACCTTAGCAGCTGTTTCTGATCTCTCAACTCCTGCACGTTTTATCAAACTCTCTCTCAAGTTAAGAGCTTTGGCAATTTTTGGACACGAAATTCCGATTTTAAATCGTTGAATAATATTAAACTAACCGATTTTCTCGACAATGTCACAGGTTTCTCTGATACCAGCAGTGTCGAGAAGTGTGACAGGCACGCCACGGAGTGTAACATTAGCTTCCACTACGTCTCGAGTAGTTCCCGCAACTTCTGTAACAATGGCTCTCTCACTCTGCACGCTAAAATTAAATCACCAGCGGATATTTGAATAATTAGTGTAGTTTATATAGAAGAAAACAAAAGGAGAAGAGAATAAGGATCATTCTGTTCCATACTTTGCTCCAGGCATTTAAAAGACTTGATTTCCCAACGTTCGGACGCCCAACAATAGCTATCTGTAACGTTTTAGTAAATGAAAAATGAAATACAATACACTTAGAAAAGCTTCAAGCATGAACAAGAAGAAGGATATTTGTTCTTAAAATTATACCTGCAACCCGCTCTGAAGAAGTTTGTCATAGTTCGCTGTATCTAATGCACTTTCAACGTCTTCAGACATGCTGTTTATTTTGCTAATAACCAAGTCTATATCCAATGGCGGCATCTCGTCCTCGAAATCTAAACGAGCTTCGATTTCAGTGAGGATCTCAATGCATTGCGCTCTTAATGATTTGACCAAAGATGAAAACCCTCCCTGAAGAAAAAAGAGTAGAGAAGAGCACTTGTAGTTGCTTAACAATGATCATGTATAATCAATACCCAATAGGCTAATATTTAGATCATAATGAGGGTAAAATATATACCTGAATCCCTTCTAAAGCAGCATCAGCAGCAGCAGAAGACTTGGCCGAGATGAGTTTCTCAACATTTTCAGCTTGCGTAAGGTCTAAACGCCCATTTAGAAAGGCACGAAGTGTAAACTCTCCTGAAATAATTAACCAAAGAAACCAATAAACAAATCTGTAATCCAAGGATGGATACAAAAAGGTAATGAAGGAATTTGAGTCACGGACCTGGTTCTGCTAATCTTGCTCCAGCTTCAACACATGTCCTCAAAACGCGGCGCAGACAAACTTCGCTCCCGTGACATTGGAGCTCAACTACATCTTCTCGAGTATATGACCGAGGAGCCAACATGGGAACGGCTAAAACCTAACAAGCAGTCACAGTTGAAAATCCATCTCTAACCAAACGTGCACGTTACAGTAGAAACGTCAAATAAAATTCTGATCTTTTTCCCCAGTTTAAATTGTGATCTAAGCAAAAGCCAGTAATTTGATTGCGAAGAAATGAAAACAAGAAAAAGTGTGAACTTGAATTGAAATTTGATAACTTTTTTCTACCTCGTCAACAACATTGCCTTTTGAATCAACGACAACTCCATATTCCACGAAATGACTCGTGGGCCGCCATGAATATGAATCTGCAGAACAATCGCTCGTCTTCTTCATCCTTTTCTTAGCAGAACGAAAGACTCGTCGTGCAACTTCCACAGCCTTAGGCCCAGACAACCGCACGATTCCCACCGCACCAGGTGGGCCACCGATCGGCGTCACTATCGCCACTATCGTGCTTGAGCTCTGAAACCGATCGACGTTATCGAATGCATCATCTACCTTGCTTAGAAGACCCATCACACGCTCGTCTCCTTTGAAAACGATAGGATTCTTCTCTGCAACAATCAGAAAGAAACAATCACATTAGCAATAGAGTAAATGAGAAACCTTCGGAATCATTTCTTTGGCTCTTGACCTGATGACGCAGCTCGTGGTTTAAGAAGAGGGGTTTTAGCAGAGGAAGAGAATAAGAGAACGAAGAGATTCTTAGAGGCGGGTATCGAGTTTCTACTGCCTCGGGTGAAGATAGGCGTGGATTTTCGGAGAAGATGAACACCGACGGAGCGGAAGGAGAGGAGAAGCTCCATTGACGGCGGAAAACGCACCGAACACAAACGTTTACGGATAACGCCGGAGCCGGTAAACAGAGAGAGATAAAACCCAAACGCAGCGTTTTTGGTTCTTCACAAAGAAATGGGTTTCGTGGATTTGGGCTTGCTTCTGATAAAGCCCAATAGTTAAATAATCTTATATATAAAAGACTTGTAAAAATGCATTGGATTTTTCTAAGCTCATATCCAATTCGTCGAAAAAAAAAAAAACCCATATCCAACTCCCCAATTAGTATGATATTGTCCGCTTTGGGCCCAACTGGCAAAGTCGGTACGGATTTGTTTTTGGGCTCCTTCCCAAAAGGCTTCATACTAATTAGAGTTGGACATTATTTATATACTAGACCATATTGGTCTAAACTTCTGATGTGGGACTTTTTGATTGATTCCCAACAATCTCCCCCTCAAGCCAAAGACCCTATAACTCTTGATCTTCAACCTACAGCGATATTTAGTATCATCTTGTACTTCTTAATCGCAAGGTCACTTTTGAAGGTTTCTCTCCCACACCGAACATTCACTTTTTCTTAACCTGCCTCTGGATACCATTTATTGGGTTTTTCTAAGCCCATGTCCAACTCTCTAATTAGTATGATATTGTCTGTTTTGGGCCCAATTGGCAAAGCCCGCACGGATTTGTTTTTGGGCTCCTTCCCAAAAGGCCTCATACTAATTAGAATTGAACATTATTTATATACTAGACCATATTGGTCTAAACTTCCGATGTGGGATTTTTGGATTGATTCCTAACACATCATTTTCACGGTATTTGTGCATTTCGCTTAGTAGAAAAATAAGGAATCTTATCATTTACAGTGTTAAGGCTTTTTAACAACTCTTAAATGAACTTGGCTTTGTTTCTAGTTCAGGTACATATCAATGCCTTGGTCCAAGATAAAATAATTAGCCAACCAACCCGATTGACTTATTGGATAAAAAATGAAATTAAAAATATGATTGATTAGTGCTAAGGTTATGGTCTATATGATCATCTTCATCTTTTTTTTTTGTCAGCATATGGATAAGATCAATTTATACTACAAATATTCATCAATACATTTTAAATTCCAACTTGTCACATTATTGAGTTCCGTTTGTTTTAATAAACTTATTCCAGATGTATAAAATCTCCAGTCCACACGTTGGAAATCCTTGATCACATAATTGTTAACAAATTTTGGGTTTATTTAAAATTGATTTGATGATATTAAGAGTTTCGATTTGAAATGGTATTGATTGCAAGCAAATTCAGTATATTTACGTATCACATAAATAGACACAACAAGGTTAGCCAAAAAATAAGAACAACAAGATGCTAAGGTGGGACCCAGAGGTCAACTTTACACTTGACTTCTTGTAAAACATAAAGAAAAAGGAACCAAAAGATGCACAATTGAAAGCTAAAGCCACTCTCTGAGCTCCACTGTACAACACAAACACAGAGCATCTTATTTTTCTTCGTCAGTATCTTCATCTTCTTTCTTGTAAATTTTATCAGACCTCGTCGGAGAGTTTTGGACAGCAAGATTCGACGGCATCAGCCACCGTGAGAAAGATGTTGTCGTGTCCTAACATGTCAGCAAAATGCGATAAGTGTAGCTTGCCTATCACCAACGGTCCAGGATTCGCCAGAATTAGCTGTTTATATACAAGAAAGAAAAAAAAAAGAGTCAATTTCATAACTCTATAAAAAGGTAACATCTTCAACTAAATTCACTTCGATTTGCTAATTACTTATATATGAATTAGTGTCTATATATAATATGTACCTGAATGTCTCTTTTCTGGAGAGACTTGTATAAGTCTTCTAAGGCGTGGATACCGCTTGTATCGATGTCAGTAACAGCTGAAGACAATCGTACTCGTTAATCTTTGTTTATAAGGCAAAACAATTAGTGATAATAATTAAGAAGGGATTAGGAGTAACGTTTAACTTACGTGACATTTCGATGATGAGAAACTGAATCCTTGGCAGGCTTGCTGCTTTCACCTTCTCTTCCTCTTCTAGTAACCATCTCTGGATCCTGCAAATTTTAAGAGACTCCGAATTATATAACCTTGTAAACCACGTAGTAGTTCTTGGTTAGGGTTAAAGTGTTGTATATAGGGTTTACCTTTCTCTGACGTAATTTGAGTTGGAGAAGTAAATCGCAGAGTCAACACGAATCATAAGAACCCCTGGAACCATAGTGGCTTCAGGATACTGTTGGATGTTCCGGTAAACCGAAGTTCTCGGAATATTTCCAAGAATGGCGGTTCTAGGTCTTGTTACTTGCAAGAGAATCTTAGCAAACGATATAGAGACCTGTCCACACACACACAAAAAAAAAAAATCAATAATTAAGATTAAAAGGGAAGTAGAATCATCACGATTAACTGTAGATATGGTTTAGTTTTATTGAGACGTACGGCGATGAGAAGTCCAATCTCAACGGAGACAAAGATGACGCCAAAGAAAGCTCCCATACAAGCAACAAAATCGAGCTTATCGACTTTGAAGATCAAAACCGCAGCTTGGATATCGACCAAAGGAATCACAGCGTTGATGATGATAGCTGCGAGGATCGCGTTTGGAGTGTACTTAAAGAGAGGAGTGAGGAATAGCAATGTCAAGAGAACGACGATTGACATTATGATGTTTGAAACCGCCGTATGACAACCAGCCATGAAATTGACTGCCGATCTTGAGAACGATCCTGTGGCTACATAGCAAGAAGACATCGATCCAACAACGTTCATTACACCTAATGCTACCATCTCTTTGTTACCGTCGATTTGGTAGTCTTTCATTGCAGCAAAGGTTCTTCCAATTGCTACAGCTTCCTGTGAAAAAAGATTGGAATATTAGGGTTTTGATGAGGAAGTTTTAATTAGTCGTTGGTTTGGAACTCACTGTTAAGGCAACCATGCCGGAAACTACACCGATTTTAATTCCTTTAGCAAGGTAATCACCGGAGAAGTATATTTGACCAAAAGAGGAAGGGTTGATGCCTTTGTCAAGATGTTTCACCTTCAATCATCAAAAAGGGAAAGAGATTATAACACAACTTCGAATTACTTGGGACGCAAGTAACTGCTTAGAATAGGTTGATTGAGTTCTTACGATTTGAACTCCTTGTTTGTCCGCTCGGGTTATGTATACGAAGAAGGTGGAAATGATAACGGATATCAGTGGCGCAACTGCTGGAACCCAAAACAGTTTCTTGTTCTTTTTCCCCTGTTCCATCAGAATATTTCAGATTGAGATCAAAGCAAGAAGAATAGGCTGCTTGAAATTTCAATAACAGAGTTAATTACTTACGATAAATTTAGAGGTTAAAAGGAAGGTCAAGAAGGATGCACCAATGACTATCGTCTGCCAATTCCACTGAATAGCCAAATTGATATGGTTTAGCCAACAATGGAGTAAGCAAGAAACAAAGTGTTTGGATCATAGAAAGCAAAAAGGAAGGATTCTTACGCCGTGATTAGCTGAGCTGAAGACGGAATCTAGAACAGCGATGATATCAGTTTTCTTGGTGAATTTCTTGATCCCTAGGAACCCTTTGAGCTGCTGAAGAGCGATTGTAATGGCTGCACCACCCATGAATCCAACCACAGCCGCGTGGGAAAGGAAATCAATCAAGAACCCTAATCTGAGATCGATTCAATAAAACTGTGAGAACCTTGACGATCATCAAACAAGATGATATTTTCGATGAAGAAAAGATCAATTACCTGAAGAAACCGAGGGCTGCTTCGGTGACGCCGGCAAAAAACGTGGCGGTGAAGGCAAGACGGAGATATTCATCAGGATTTGTGTTTGGGTCGACCTCAGCTCGAAGCAAAGTACCTAGCAACAGAGATACCACAGCAACGGGTCCAATTGCTATATCCCTTGAACTCCCCATACAAGCATACACCAATGGAGGAACAAAACTCGAATCTGTAAAAGCATTTTCAACCATATTTATATATTATGAATTATCCCATGCTTTCCAAACTAGGGCAAATGTGATTAATCAGAGATAAGTCAAAACCAAACTTACATAAACCGTATTTAGGGTCCAGATTCGCGAGTTTAGCGTATCCAATATCCTGGAATCATCATAGAATATGCGTAAGAAACAAGGAGGGATATATATCTTGTGACACAAGTAACAGATTAATTGAGATTAGGTTTTTTCACCTGAGGAATACATAGACTGGCAATTGTTAAACCGGCAATGAGATCGCCACGAAACTTCTTGAAATTATAGGTACGTCCCCAATCGAAAACTGGGAAGACGGATTGGAGACCGAGCATGAACTGCTTGGACTTAGGCTGGTCCTTAAAATGTCGAAGAGGATCATCGTGGAAAAACGTTTCTTTGAAAGTGTACATAAAATCATGGAACATGTTTGGCTTCGGTGGGACCCCTACTTTATGCCGATGGGGCGACGAATTGGTCGGAGTATCTCCACCGTCCGTCGCCGGACTTACATCTCCGTCCACGGGATGAGCTCTCGCCGACATAGCTATGTATCTGCAAACATAACAAGAGACTAGTTAGGTTAAGTTGGTTTACAATTTTTAAAGTTCGGTTTGGAAATTTGTGAACCGAGGAATAAGGATCGAACCACGAGAAAGATAGACAGCTGGAAAAGTGAATAAAGTGGATATTTTGTTTTGTGTGATTTTGGATCAACATTGATGACGCTTATTTATAATGAAATGTTTAGGATTATTTAATTACGAGTAGAGTGTCATCCTATAAATTGATGAACCTGGTTCGCTAAGAGACCAAGTACATTACGAAAAGTCTAAATGGATTTCATAATATTTATTTGTGTCAATTGACATAAAATTTAAACAAATTAAGTCAATGGTTTTGTGCGCAAAAACTGCAAACAATCTTGCCAGCAGGAGAGAACGTTGACCAGAATGGAAAAGAGTATCACAGTATTGAAAAAAAGAGACTCTGTAGTTAATTAATAGGAGCATTTGCTTTCCGGATTTTCTCATCGTTTGCTTGAACAGAAATTTTAGGAACAAGACCTAAAAAACATAGAAAACGAACCTAACTGAACTCTGGACATAAATTTAGAAAGAAGACCTAAAAAAGAGAAAAAAAACCTAACTCGTATGTTAATTTTTGGCGGTTCTAACGGAGAGACACTTATGGGTTCTTTATCTATTTTTTAATATTAAATTGGGTTTAAAATTTTTGATTATAAACTCTTAATCTAGTAGCGTCCAATGGAGTTTTTTTTAAAAACGTTTCTATCATCTGGAAATTTACCGACTCTTCTCCTCCACATCCGATTCTTCTCCGTCCACCATTCCCGCTCATCGGAGACTCGAAATCAGTTCTTGCTGGTGGCGCGTCAGGTCGTCGACGGAGGCCTCGGTAAGTTTGAAGACGAGGGAAGGTTTGAAATCGCTGACCCAGAGAATGAGTTTAGCGTAGGAGCTGAACCACGGTGGGCAGAAGAAAGTGAACACGTCGTCCGCAACGGAAACGAGGGCGGATTTTTCTTGGTAGTATTAAAGACAGTGAGAAAGGAATTGGGTCACCAGAGATTGTTGTTCTTTCATAGTGATATGTTAGTTTTGTCCAATGAAGAAGTGCATGTAAGCTCTTCGAAGAAATGTCGAAACAAAACAGAAAATGGGGTTTTGGCCCAAAAAATTTTAGTCTTTCATCGAGTAACACGTGGCAAAATATACCGTTTCTTATCGTCGCCAGATAAGAAACGTTTTCACAAAATTTTTCACTTTTTCGTTAACTTTAATATTAAAATAACATTAGAGATTTACCTAAATACCCCGAGAATGATGGTCTAATGTGGACTCAACATCTCGTCCAAACTCAAACTGTGTAGCTTTATATCAATTTTGTAATTATCTTGTTTATTAGCTAGAATTCGAGAGAAAGCATATAAATCAGATAGCTACTTGAGAATCATTTAAGTTATTATCTGGACAAAAACTTGCGTGCAATGTGATGGGAAGTGGCTGGATTATATTGCAAAAATATTGGCTGCTCTTCTAATTTTTCCACCAAGAAAATTCAAAGTAAGTGGCGTTTACAGTTCATATGAAACTATTTTAACCATCAAGCTAACTTCTATCAGAAAGTCTGAAAAGTTTTGTTTTTAAATCAACCTTTGTGTTTCTCTTTCTTCTCAAATTAATTATATTCTGTTAACCAAAAAAAAAAGATTTTGGCAGTAGTTAGACTGGAACCAGAAAAATACTGCATGTTTATGAATTTGGGATCCATGCAACAACAATTACGCATGGTTGAAAGTTGAAACTGTGAGTTAATTGATTTAAAAAAAACATTCTACTTACAGTCCAGCCCCATACGGTAAACACTTTCCTAGTGCTACATTATTGTATATAGTCAATTATAATATTATGTCATTGTCCTGATATCACACACAAAAAAAAAACTATTGAAAAAGGAATTGATCAACCTATAATTAGACTTTAACAATAAAAAGGGTACATGATTAAACATATACGCACGTGTATTCTATGAATGAGCAATTTTAAATAAATAAATAAAAGATAAATAATTAGTGGGTAAAGTAACTAGATGCATAACCATTGATAGTTGGAAGGTGAAACCACTTACCTGGAAAAGAAGAAGAAGAAATTCGATCTCGTCTTTTTAACCTTTTCCTCCAAAGATCTTTCACGTGATTTGATTATTTCTTTATGAAAATATAAAGAAAGATTTAAGAATTAAATGAAAGTACACGATAGACACAGTTACAACCTCCCCTTTTGAAGATTTGGAACGCCAGATCGTTCACTATTCTTTTCCATTTTTTTTTTAAAAAACAGTAAAACCAGCAAACCCGAATCTTGTCCAGGTTCACTGAATTTCTCTCAAAATATCAAAAAGAACTAAAAAAACCCAAGTCTACAGAAATAGGTAAATTTTCCCCAGAAAAGAGAATGTTTGAATAGGAAACTATAAGGAATTAGCAGAAGAAGAGAAACTTATTTCGCAAAAATGAAGAGAAAAAATTGATCTGTGGTTTTGAATAATCTCGTTTAATAAGTAAAAATAAACTGAGATAAAGTCGTGATTATCGTTTTAATTGAAATAAACTTTCAATATAAGAGATAAAAAGTCGTGATTTTGAAATAATTTTTCCAGGGAAATAAAAAATATAAGGTGATAATGACAGAAGTTACGGAAACTAGAAAGAACCCCGAAGCGGTTAGATCGAAGTTGTATTTAACGAAAATGCCACTGGCTCCAAATCGAGAAAAAACGAAAAGGTCAAAAGAAAGGAGCGTTTTTTGGGGGAAGGAGCTGACTTTTTAAAGAAAATAGCGGGCCCCGCGCAAGTAAACTTGAACGTGGACTGTTATATGGCTAGGTTCTTCCTCGGTGCATTTAGCCATTGACTTCGTGTTCATGACGCGCGCTTGTGCTTTGCTGGCTACATGCTATTGGTTCTTCGTGTTGGTTCATGGTCAGCCACATACTAATAATATACTACACTCCTGTAGTAGTTTTTTTTTCCTTAACAAAGTTTTTATTGTTTTTAGTTTGAATTTTACAAGAGTGTTCGCTTTTTTCTTCTTTAAAAAAAAAAAAAAATTTCAGCTTGATTTGTATTTGTTACCAATCTACCACACCCACACACAAATATGGTAGGTAACCATTTTTGCTTGTCTATAATAATTTCCCGAGCTTAGGCCTGAGTCTATTACAATTTCTCAAGCATATACCTGATGGATCAAATTGAGAAATCGATGTAAAAAAGGCCTTGGGATGTAAAACCTACTACTTTGGTGTCATGTCTGCTAATAATCTAATCGTTGATTTGCCGACCAGGAAAAATTTGATACTTTGTTGCCTCGTAACATTTTAAGAAACCGAACGTTTCACGTGATTCGGGAGGCATATGATGATAACTACAAGTTTTTTTTAGATAAGTAATAATCTACAGATAAGCAATATTTAAATTTCCAGGTGCCGCCCAAAAATATATTAGTAACCAACTGTCCAGACAAATATTTCTATTCATGAATTAATATCATATATATGTGTGTGTTTGTATGTGTAATCAGTTACGATTATGTTTGACAAAAATATAATATTATGCATTGGTTGGTTAGAACTTTTAATTTTTAAACAAAACATTATTGAGTAGTTTATACGATTAGTATAAGGACTTAAACGAACGTGTTTGTTAGATGATATCGATACCAAATATATAGACTTTATGAATGTAAATTATCAAAATATATTCTAAATTATTTTTAACGAGTTTTTTTTTTAAATAAATAACGATATAACTTATGGACTAAAATGTGTTATGCATCAGGGTAGCTTTAATTAAAAATTTAAAGAATTACAGAGTTATATATGTAGACGAATATGGAAACAATATTAAACACCGTTTTGGAACTTAAATCATTGTTTATATACTAATTCTACTTTTCATGGTCTCAATTATTATGTCTAACAACCTAAAATCTTGAACTATTATTTGAATTCAGGAAGTTAAACATGTATTAAGTTCAAATTTTATATGTTTTTAAAACGCTCTAAACACTATCTTTCGTTGGTTAGGGACTTATTCATTTATGTTCACGTTTTTTATGCATTAAATAATATAAAATCCTAAACTAGGTAACTAATAAAGTTTGAATAATGAATAAAAAATAATCAGTAATTTTCTAACAATCATAAACTAGTCATTCATAAAAAAATTTGAAACCTTAGAATGACTACTCACATATTATCAAAGTTGACAAGTAAATATGTATGAGAAAAAACACACTAAACTGCAACAAATTAATAGAAATGAGTTTAGAAATCTTCTCCGAAACACAGTACAAATAGAGTTTCACCTCCCCAGAGATATAACGGGACCAAGTATGTAGAAAAAATAAAAGATAACCTTAACAAATAGTTTAAATAATATATAAACAAGATTTACGATCAGATTTAAGTCAAATCGGAAAGATTTCAAGATAAATCAGTAAAGTTCGATACGAATTACTAGTTTAATCCTTTAAAGAAATATTAAGCTTGAAACAAATCGATGGAAAATTCTCTAAACCAACGTTTTGCGCCGTTATACAGTAGAAAGTACTATATTTACAGACGACTGCATCTAAACCAATCTAACCTTTTTAATCACACGTTGTTAGTATATTATTAATAAATCTTTAAATATGTATATATTATATATTATATTCTTTTTTCTTAGCATTATTTTCAGAAAAGTTCGTAAGGCACAGTTGATGGTCTCCCTTAAGCGTAGGACGCGGCCACACGTATTATATGCCTTTTAGATAAAGGCGTCATATATAATGGAATATATATCTCGGTGGATAAACTTGTTCGGTTCAGAACAGTTCTTAATAGTTTTTTTTTTTTATTCACCTCCCGAAGGAGATAACATTTGGAACTACAATGTCAAAATAGCACAAGGTGAAAATAACCGACAATACAGACAATACAAATAAACAGAGGTGAAGCAAGTTCTTAATAGTTTGTATAAACTTTTAATCTAATATTCTAGCTGTAAACATTGCTAAATCGATCCAGAGGGATTAGACGCATTCCCAGTTGTTATTAGCTCGGAAGATACTCAGCCGAACCATTTCAACCCTTAGTTCACTATTTGAAAAAAAAAAATACAACAGAGCTCATGAAGTTTACAACGTTTACAGACAAAATTTAAATGTGGTAATTGGTTGGAGATATCTTCTCAATGTTCATTTTTGAATTAGAGCCGAAATTTTGTTGTAATTTTTTTAATTCTTGACCCTTTTTTTGTAAAGTGTGTTCTTTGTCATTTTTGTAAAACTTGTTATTGGCCTTCTCAATGAAATTGAAAAAAAAAAATGAAATATGCATTTTAACGAAAATTTTGAATACACATCATATAGGTGACAAATTGAACAACTACAACACCCAAAATAAAAATAAAAATTCATGTTAAGTCAAATGCTTAGAATCTAGCAAATTTAATTATTTTGGCTGCACCCATGCATATAAAAATATCAGTGGCTTCATCCTCTACGTACGGTACCACTACAAGATTTGCATAACAATTGCAAAGTCCATTATTATACAACTCTGTTCTACTTTTGTTTTTTATGAAAAACCCAATGCATCCGTCGCAAAAAAATGATGCCGTCGTTTTAAAAAAACCATATTTCTCATGAGAAATATTGATTGGCAATTTACACAGAGGATTTGACATTAAACATATGATCATATGTTGACATTATTGATTGGCAAACTTTCACAGAAAAAGAAATGGCATTGGTTTTTTTTTAAAGAAGAAATGGCATTGTTGAGATCGTTTGGACAAAGAATTCTACGTACGAGTCTATGACTATGACCTTACAATACCAAGTTTGGAGGATTCTGGTGGATGATAAAGAGTGGACAAGTGAATAAGAGTGGTTCTTTTTTTTTTGTTGGTCAAGAATAATAGTGGTTCATAGTGAAAAGATGTAGAAACAATTAAACATATACGAGCCATGCTTGGATCATAGCCGTATGATGAATATATTCCATTGGTTCTGATTATGGTAACCAAAATGACGAGATAATGTGGATCGAACAAGCCCAAAGACCACATCTCCTCCGTTCAATTTTATATTCTTCCATATAAAGATTAGGAAAAAGAAACGAACAATATATATAAATATTCAAATTAAAAATTTCATTGGCATTTCTTTTTCATCTTCTTTTTTCAAAGGAAACCTTGGTGTAATGCCTTCTTTCTCCATCAAACCAATAAACCATTTTTGTTTTATTCGTTTCTCCACTTAAAATATTCGTTTTGGATCAGAATTCCTATATATGTTAACTATCAAATGAGTATGTTCCAAGTTAGCAAAAAAAAAAAAAAAATTATTGAATGCGTTCTAATGTAAAACTTTTGGATATTGATTGTTTGTTATCTTCTGGAAATTCCTAAAAGTATATACTGATTTTTTTTTGCCAGAAAATTAAATTTCAAAAATAGATGCAATTATCTGATGTCCACCACTATTGGCATGCTACAATTATGATAATTCATGTGGTCTCACATATCATTTCCAATAATTAATAAATAAAATAGTTCCTGATTTTATAAACTTTGGTTATGTATTAGGTCTTTTTTTAAGCACTAATAATACTGCTCATTTTTAGTTTTCATTTCACATTAGCCTAATGGTATCAGTAACACACTTTTACCCCTCACATATCTGAACCAGAGGTTGTAGATGATTTTATGAAGGGTTAGCCGGTAGGCTATCAACTTCAGTTATTAAATCTAATGGCATATAATCTTGAATGGTTTTATTATTATTATTATTATTCAGTCATCAATGTGTTTGCCATAACAAAAATGGGCACAGCAAGATAGTACTTATCTTTCATAGACCTAATATATTTGATATTATTTACGACCGTGATATATTCTGACAAAGTTATCATTTATTAGCAACATGCCCTCTTGTTGGCATCTCCATTTTTTTATATGTTACACATGAAATACAGTCGGATAACAACATTTGAATTAAACTCACATGCCATACGTATTATACATATTCGCTAAATAAAAAACTATTCACCAATAATTAAGTATTCTTAAAATTCACAAGACGATTAAATTTCTCCGTCATGAGAAACGTCCGTGACTAAATATATATGACTAAGCCATTGAGGTGGGGCGAACCAAAGCTCGACGAGGACAAGGACTCTTTCTTCGGTTGCTTCTCATAATATATGAGCACGGTCAAGACGACATTGCAAAAGACAAAAGTAATTTGTTTTCTGGAAGATTTTCCAACACTCTAAAAAAAAAAAGATAACGTTACTAGTCGAAGAGCCAAAAAAAATTGTGGGAGGTGAAATCTGGTCAAATGAAGATTTAAATCTTAATCTAATTTTGGTGAGTTTAGAAGTGGTTTAAAGATGAGAGGTAAGATCTCTATAATGGTTCTAGAACTCTGAGTGGTAAGAAATGTGTTATCTGATTATCTCCGACAAATTAAGGGGTCAGATCATCTGATTTAGCGTGAGATTGTTAGATGTACGCGTGGATCGTCCGTTCTTCATCCATTCTTTCACCGAAAAAATGAAAGAAATATTTATAGATAAATACTTGACCCGGATCCATAATCTGGAATTTTGTAAAGACACTTATAATTCGGTGCCATCTTGGTCAGAAAAGTGTCATTTGCCGTTTGCGTTGTGACATTTTTCATACGACTGTATTAGATGCATTGTTGGTTTTGAGTGGCCATATTGTGGTTTGCTTGTCAAAAAATCCAAAAGTAACTCAAAAACTCGGATCATCGATTTCTATTTTTTTTGTTCGGGGGAGAGTTAATATTTCAATTACTTTTTTTTTGGGTTAACGTAATATTTTTTCTACGTGCACTATTGTAATTCCGAAGTTTTCACCACATATCACGACCGGATTAGTTGCTGGAAAATCACCCAACACTACTATATAGTGTCACTAATAAAATAAGGGATTACAATTCGATATTCTACAATTTTTTAGTATGGTAAGGTATTTTTAGATATACACTGTTATTTTTGTTTAATATATAAAGTTACAATTATTAGTCAATGCAGATGAAGCACATAACATGGAAAGTCCAGATGGCACCGAATTATAAGTATATATAGAAGGAAACACAAAGTTAGTTCTCTATCACACACTTCAAAAGCCCACAAAGATAACAACAAAAAAATGGGAATAGAGATGCAGAACCACCAGAGCCACCAGGCGGAAGGCGCCCCGGAGGAAGAGCCGATGTCGCGGTGGCTGATAGATACGCCGGAGCCACCAACCATATGCCAAGAGCTTATTGGGTACGTAAGAACAAAGGTGTTGTCCAAGAAGAGGAACAAAACGAAGAAGAAACCATCAAACCCGGTTTACTCTTGTCTTAAATCGGTTTTCCCTATACTTACTTGGGGAAGACAATACAAACTCAACATGTTCAAGAAAGATTTAATGGCTGGTCTTACCCTCGCTAGTCTTTGCATTCCTCAGGTAATTTTTACTCACAAAATTATAATCGATCGATATATATACTATGTCATTGTGTCAATATAATCAAAGTTGGTTTTTTTTTTCTTTATAACTTTCCTTTATAAGTACAATATTTCGATTTCATTTGCAGAGTATAGGATATGCTAATTTGGCTGGACTTGATCCAGAGTACGGTCTATGTAAGTCCAAATTTTTCTAACTTAAATTTGCACAGTTCCTTACATTTTTGCTGTGAATTTGATTAAATTATTTTTTTTAAAATAAAATAAACAAAAACAGATACAAGTGTAGTACCACCTCTGATATATTCGACAATGGGAAGTTCGAGAGAGTTAGCCATTGGTCCTGTGGCTGTAGTTTCACTTCTGCTCTCGTCACTGATTCGTGAACTTCAAGATCCGATCACGGACCCAATTGCTTACCGAAATATTGTCTTCACGGTCACGTTTTTCGCTGGCATGTTTCAAGCTATCTTTGGACTCTTCAGGCAAGTATTGCATAGAGATTCGTTATAATTTCATTTAATTAATGTTCTCTTCAAAAATATTATAATTTGGGACCAACGTCAACGATAAAGGTGTATTCATCTAATAAAGATATTATGTATATCAGGTTAGGGTTTCTTGTGGATTTTCTGTCACACGCTGCACTTGTCGGTTTCATGGCTGGTGCTGCCATTGTTATTGGTTTGCAGCAACTCAAAGGTTTATTTGGTTTATCTCATTTTACCAACAAAACCGATGTAGTTTCGGTTTTATCTTCGGTTTTCAACTCGCTTCATCATCCGGTAAGCACCGGTTAATTTGTTTTATTTTTTTTTCCCCAATAAAAATCTAATGGAAATTGAAATATCAAGTTTCTAGCTTTCATTAAAAAATTACTTTTGCAGTGGCAACCTCTGAACTTTGTCATCGGTAGCTCATTCCTTATCTTCATCCTCCTAGCGAGATTTATCGTAAGTGATATATGTGATATATAATTATATATACTACATTTATTTATCCACATCAGGATTTTTTTATTGATTTATAAAAAATTTCAGGGGAAAAGAAACAAAAAATTGTTCTGGATTCCGGCAATCGCACCGCTAATAGCAGTGATATTAGCAACACTAATCGTGTACTTAACCAATGCGGAGACACGAGGGGTTAAGATCGTTAAAAACATTAAACCAGGGTTGAACCGACCTTCGGTTAATGAATTACAATTTAATAGTCCACATCTCGGTCAAATCGCCAAAATTGGTCTTATTTCTGCAATCATCGCTCTCACGGTTAGTAATAGCAGTCTATATATATAATATATATATATAATATATATATATATCTAGTCAACTCTAACCACTGATTAATTTGGATAACATTGATTAAATGAAGTTAAATAATACAGGAAGCAATAGCAGTGGGGAGATCTTTTGCGACGATCAAAGGATATCGTCTAGATGGAAACAAAGAGATGATGGCTATGGGGTTTAGCAACATCGCTGGCTCTCTAACGTCTTGCTACGTAGCTACCGGTAAAAATGTTATTTTTCAATTAAACCCGGTTCATATAAATCCCAAACCAAAATTAACCGGTAAAATGTAAGAAACCATAATATTTCAATTCAAAACCAATTTTATTCATATTATGGTGGAATTTGTGGTGATAGGATCATTTTCGAGGACGGCGGTGAATTTCAGTGCAGGCTGCGAGACGGTGGTGTCGAACATTGTAATGGCGATTACGGTAATGATCTCTCTTGAGGTTTTGACAAGGTTTCTCTACTTTACACCGACGGCGATTCTCGCCTCCATCATTCTCTCGGCGCTTCCTGGCCTTATCGATATCTCCGGCGCTCTTCACATTTGGAAACTCGATAAGCTCGATTTTCTCGTCCTCCTCTCCGCCTTCTTCGGCGTCCTTTTTGTCTCTGTCGAGATCGGTCTTCTTCTTGCCGTGAGTCTTTCTTTCTCCTTCACTGCTTTTTCATGTTTCTTGATTATTTAATTTTTAAAACTCTTATCCGTAAATTTAAAAACGCCGGCGATTTGTTTTACTACACGAATTCTAGTTAAAATGTCGTTATTAAAAAATTAATTAAAAATGTCGTTGCCATTCAGATTAATTGATTGGTGCATGAGGAGTCCGAGTCAGCTAGCTATAAGCTCTATATCCAGACATGTAATTAAATATATAGGTCCAAAAGAGTCAACATCTCATATGTATGAAGAAGATATAACCAAATAATTTTGTTATTATGAAGCTACTAGGCCGACAAAATTTGCTGTGCATAGACCCTGAAAGACAAAACATCAATAATGTTTTCAATCAAGTGGTAATATTTTTAGTACATATTAATTCAAGAACACATGTTTCTTGGGTCAAACAAAAATATGAAGTCAAGTTTTAGATGAACAAGGGAAAGTACCTTTGATAATTGACTGAGACATCAATTCTTATTGTGGAGTCCCTGCAAGTATGCAAACCATCCTTTCGCCAACCCTATAATTTTGATCCACTTTATCAGTTTTTCTAGTGTTCCAATAATTTTAACTGTTAAATCAATCGGTGAAGCATAATCTTTTTTTATTATTATATTTGCATATGTGTAGGTGGGAATATCGTTTGCCAGAATAATGCTGAGTTCGATAAGACCAAACATTGAGGCTTTAGGGAGGTTGTCAAGAACAGATATCTTTGGTGACATAAATCAGTACCCAATGGCTAGTAAGACTCAAGGATTATTGACTCTTAGAATCAGCTCTCCTTTGCTATGCTTTGCCAATGCCAATTTTATTCGAGACCGGTTAGTTTCTATTTTCATTAATCGAGTTCTTTTTTTTGTGTGTGTGTGTGTTCCAATTATTAATTACTCTTACGAAACTCTAGAATTTGACAGTTTTTTTTTTCCGTTTTTGTAATGCAGAATACTGAATACAGTTGGAGAAGTAAAAGAAGAGGATGATGAACAAGAAGTTAAAGTGGAAACGGTTCTTCAAGTAGTAATTCTCGACATGTCTTGTAAGTATGGTCTACGTTTTATGATATTTTGGGGGGGGGGGGAAATAATAGAAAATGATACTTTAACTATATAGTATGTAACAAAATATTCAACTTTCTGATCTGTCTCTTCTTTGTTTTCTCCACGTCCCAAAATGAATGTGAAGGCGTGATGGGCGTAGATACATCAGGAATAGTGGCACTTGAAGAATTACATCAAGAACTGGCTTCTAATAACATCAGGGTAAATATTTATTTTCCCGAATAGAATTTGCAACCTGTGCTCAAATGTTTTTTTACTTTTTCACCAATAATATATTTAGGTTTATTGGTGATTCAAACGTAACAATATTTTTATACGCTTGTGCGTGTAGTTAGTGATCGCTAGTCCGAGATGGAGGGTACTTCACAAATTGAAGCGATCAACATTGGAGGAGAAAATGAAAAAAGAAAATATATTTATGACAGTAGGAGAAGCTGTAGAGGTTTATGTAAGAGCAAGTTCTACGTCGCACGATTTGTGTTGATATTTAAAAACATCGAAAAAACAAACCAATATGTAAAAATTTGTATTTAACAAAAAATAATGTAAGATTGGTAACGTATATGTATGCTAATTAAAATATATATAATGGTGTATTTTAATCCCATTTTGTATACTTGGCTTTAACTGACATCTGTAATAATTTATACTCCTAAACACGTAACTGTAAATTATTACAACATGCAATAAACGGTTAATACAAGCAGAACGCAAGTGGTGTAGAAAAAATGGTGAATTGGAATCAGAACGTACCTTGCGGAATCTAATCTCTGCAAATCAGATAACGATCACCTGTAATAATTAAGCACATATATCTTGAGATAACGTGTTTAACGGTCAGAAATCAGAATAATATATATAGCCGTTGAAGAAAAAGCGAATATTTGACAGATCTTCATTGATTTTCCTATACGGAGATCACATATGAATAATATGCCCATGCATGATTAACCTATGAGTAACGCGATGATCAGCAGGCGAGCGAACAATATATGAAGCCTGATAAAAAAACGGTTTACTTTGTTTTGTATAGCTTTTATTTCGTGTTGTTTTGTATACCGGAGTTGCGACCAATTACTGCCTAATTTGATTTCATATACTCCTATGTGAATTTTCCGTGGCAAAAAATACAAATCATTCTTAATTCGCTCAAAGAAGAAAAACCCATCAATCTCTCCCATACATTTCCAACCGAATCTCTTTCTTATACCTAACCTCTCCTTCTTTCATGCTTTCTCTTTTCTCTCGTCCATACATTTTTCATACATATACGCGCATTAGTCTCCAATGATCAGATTTTTGCATTCCCAACCAAAAAAAAAAAAAGAAGAGAAGAATCTTTGAATTTGTTGGTTGCATTGATCGGATTAGCTAGAGAGACATGGGTCGAGTGAAATTGGAGATAAAGCGAATAGAGAACAACACGAATCGACAAGTTACGTTCTCTAAACGACGAAATGGTTTGATAAAGAAAGCTTATGAATTGTCCATTCTTTGTGACATCGATATTGCTCTCCTCATGTTCTCTCCTTCCGATCGTCTTAGCCTCTTTTCCGGCAAAACAAGGTTTCTTATCATTGTTTTTACACCCTTTTTTCGGTTAAGTAATAAATAAATATTAAAATATATGATTTGCGTGAAACTTTGGTCAGGATCGAAGACGTTTTCACAAGATATATCAATCTTCCTGACCAAGAACGAGAGAAGTAAGCTGAGGAATCTCCTTTGATTCTTTTTTAACATTTCTCTTTTTTATTGTCTTATTTATTTTGTTTCTTTGGTTTTATTTCAGTGCTCTATCAAATCCCGATCAGAGCCGACGCCCGTACGTAACTTCGGTTCTTCCTATTATTCCTCTTAACATATAATCATATATTAATGATTATACATGATCTAATTTTGGTTTCCATGTTTTGACCACTTTATTCCAGAGATTTCCAGAGCAAAGAGGTAAGTTATTTAGACTAATTAAGCATAATGTGTGTGTATACTTTTTCAATTAACGAGAGTGGAAAATCTGACTTTATATGATATAATTAACTTTTATTTCTTTTATGACATGAAATGTACGTAGCTCCGATCCGGTCTAATGTAGGAAAAGGATAATACTTATATAATGAATGCAATGTTAATAGTTTTATATTATTAAATCTAACAGTTTTTTTTGTCACGTGACAGTATCTACTGCGGACTTTGCAGCAACTCAAGACTGAGAATGATATTGCTCTTCAACTCACCAAGTCTCAATTTCTTTCTCTTTTCTTTCTTTATAATCATTTGTCACATTACTTTTTCAAAAATATGAGAGTTTGATTTTCTTTATTTTTCTTATTGGATGGTTTTTAAAAGCCCTGCAGCTATCAACTCAGACGTCGAGGTGATTCTTCTAATTATTATGTCTTTTCTTAAACTAAAAATTTATTACTTGTATTTTTTTTTTGCTAACTTATTATTTTTTAAAATTATTACGTATATTTCCTTCCCCTCATAACATCATTTTTTCTTCTTGTCATTTTCAATCTAAAAATCTAAGGAACTTGAGCAAGAAGTTTATAAGTTACAACAACAGCTTCATATGGCAGAGGAAGAATTAAGGTCTTTGTTTCTTACTTTTGTAACGGGAAACAAAATTTTGATATGATACGATACATGTAAATGCATGTCGAAGTTACTGACTAATTGCTATATGCAAATATACGATTAGGAAATACGAACCAGATCCAATCAGGTTTACAACAATGGAAGAGTACGAAACTTGTGAGAAGCAGCTCATGGACACCTTAACACGTGTCACTCAACGACGGGTCAATAACTTAAACAACTTCTTAATTTTAATCATCATAATGATATTAGCAGCTAAATAACATTTAAAATAAATCGATTTTTTTTTCCTTTTGAGACGCAGGAACACATTTTGAGTGACCAAATATCTTCATTCGAAGCATCTGCTATACAACAGCAAAATCTGGGTGGGCCTTATGTGAACGTTGGAGGCTGGCTGGCTGAAAACGGGCCTAATCAAGCCCATATGTTCGACTCATCAGCCCATTCAGCAATGTATGAAACGTTGTTGCAAGGAAGTAGCTCAAGCTCGAACCAAAACAACACCATGGGTGAATGCCACATGACAAATCCTAATGGTGACATGTACCAAGAATGGGCCCAAGCTTATACGTCTCCTACGGGTCTCAATCCCACACCCATGTTTCCTCCTATGCAGCATCAGGTTCTCAACTTTCTCCTTTTTTTTCTTATTAAAAAAAACAAAATACATAAATAATAAATTGTCCAATTTTTAAATTTGTTATTGTAATTTTTTCGGGGAATGAATAAATGCCAGCATGGAGTGGTAGGTCCCAATATGGAGGAAAGTGAAATACCGGTAATGACGAGGGAGGCACAAGCAGACCATGAAGTCTCCGACTATGATATCAGAATGCCTCAGCTCAGTAGCCAATAACCAACCTCCAGTACCATACTTACATGCATTCACTAAATTTTATCATCTACTCTGAGTATTATCTTAGAACACACACAAGTGGAGCTCAAAAAGCGTATATATGGAAAGTACAAACTCTTCCAAAGATATTGTAACGAGCTTTTTTCGTTATTTTATATAAAGTAACTTTTTGTCAACTTTTTTGTTGATACTTACCCAAAAAAAAAATGTAGCTTTTCTTCTCAAAATGTAAGTTTATAATAAGAAAATAATGAATATGAGTGTCAAAAAATATATGATGCCAATGAGTATATATCTAATTTTAAGAGCCAGTCGACATTTTATGTTTGTAATATAATCAATAATTTAAAATCTATGTTTGGTCTATTTATCTTTTTATTTAAGAAAAAAAAAAGATAACTTTTATCAGAAAAGAAGAAGCAGATAGCCAATTATATTAGAGGTATAATTGTAGTATACTGTAGCTTATAGGATATTTCCATATTTTTGTTAGATAAAATACAAATATCTCTAAATTTTTTACGATCACAAATTTGGATTAGGTTTTTCTTACGTTCTCTCATATCATATATAAAAGATATCGTTCTCCTAATCAAGATAATCAATAAACATGTCCTTTCATGGTGATATTCTCGATGATGAAGCGTTGATGTTGAGTTCTTTGTCTCTTTTCGAATCGTCTGAATCATGTAATCCTGATAATTTTTTTTTTCTGTTTTTCTGATTAAATTATCTAATATTTATTGTGATTTGTTAATGGTCAAAGTGTTGGATATGCGACAGCAGCAACGAGGCCACCGTTACGGTCATCTTTCGATTAGGTACATTATAAAAAAATTTATATTTAATTTTAATTTATTTGCTAAATTTACTTATCATCTTTTATCTGAATAAATTTGAGAACCCATGTTAAACAACCAATACCATAATTCTTAGAATTTGGATCAAAATATGGTGGCGAATTCAGAGCAGATTAGTCCTATAACACCCAACAATCGCATCTCAGATCGGTACTACTAGTCAAACGTAGAACTATGCATAGATATAACATTGATCTAGATTTTCCATAAGAATCTTATTTTCATCAAATGTAGATCACAAACCCATCTGACGTATCAGACTTATAGATATGTCCCATCTACTTCTTATGTTACCTCGTATGGTCTGCCTCCATCGGTCTTAGCCAATCGGCCAAGAGAACCTCGCAATTTAAGGATTGTTAACAATTCAGCTAGGTAAGATCATCTCTCCTTTCCATATATAATGAAGCAAATCAAATTTTTTTTATCTATAATAGTTATAATTGAAATTAACGATGTTTTACCCTCCCAAACAAAAAAAAAAACATAATTTCAAGATGTTACCTGTAATTTTTTTTGTTTCCAATTCTATTTCTAGTACAAAATAATAATAAATTATAATTGATGATTTACTGTTAGTCAAAATAATCCAAACACTGTATGCTTCTCTTAATCTATATATACGTTTTAGAAAATATTATATTGGGTTTGTGCAGGACATTACCTTAAGTACTGTTCCAAAACGTAATATTTCATCCATACCCATACCTCAAATGTCCTCGAGTTTTATAACCAAATCGGGATCTATTCGATTATCACATGAGAAAAACTACTTTTCATGTTTATTTTTCGTCTTCTGCGTTTTAATTAAACTCCAAATCTATATTTTTTGGACTTCTCTATAGGCATTATGGCAGTATCCAAAGATCGGTTTATCAGTCTTCATTGAGTTTTTGGTTCTCCAACCTTAACACTCAGACCCGTAGACGTCCATACACAAACTCAATCATACCTCCACAGGTACAATTTATTTCATACAATGAATGATATTTTTAAAATTGATTTGAAACTAAACTTTAATAACTATTGACCTCCAAATAGAAAATTCGAGGTCAGATCAACTAGGCAGTCATCAAATTATCCTTAACATATTCAAATGCAAATAAACAACAACAATGTATATATATCACTCTAATTTGCATCAGCAATTCAATAACAATATATTCGCTAAAAATATACAATTAGTGAACTGGAGGAGGAAAACAGAATATACAATGATAATCTATATATATATATATATACACATATATATACATATTGATAACATGAACGTTACAGAGTGGAGTTTTGGGATCTGGGCGACGAAGTTACCAAAATCGGTTTGAATTTGAAGAATCATCATCTTCTACTCAACGCAGAGTACAGGTTCTTGAAACACAACTAAAATTTATTCTTTAAAATAGAAAATTCATGGAAGAGAAAGATAACAAAAGTTCATTAAATAACACAGAGGAATATATCAGCAAACGGAAATGTTGGTTCAACTGCAGTCACTCTTGCTGGAGAGAGGTTTGATTTTCTTTTTCCATTGACTATCCACATATATAGATATTGGTAATTTTGTATTTGTGCGAGTTTTTCAGTCTGAAATATTTAAGTAATCATATGTTATCTAGATACAAAAAATTTCGTAGGAACATAACAAATACATATGTTTTTTCAGGCTACCAAATGAGATGTACGATCCAATTTACGAAAGCCTCGGTCTTTGTATTGATCCGTACTTGAGAAAGTTTTTTCAAATGAGAAACGGTAATTAACTGGTTAATTATGAGTCTGAGTTGATTTATTGATTAATTTATGAACTTAAATTGGTTTATATTGACTTTTTATGAATTTTGACAAGAATTAATATCACATTTTACTAATTCAGTATTTGCTCGTTTTAATCTATATAGGTCGTTGATCTATCCTGAAAGCTTGAATAAGTGAAAGGTTTCTTTGTTAAATCGTGCATGGTCATGGTCTCTCCTTTCTTTTTTCTCTAAGGACGTCCTTAATTATCTCTTGTGGTGGTAACGTCAAGTGTTCGTTTTGTTAAACAGGTTGATACATTATGACATTGTAAACTTGTCTTATACAATCGAAGATTTGTTTTCCTTCTTAAAGTTTTTTTCTCATATATCGCTTTCTGATCATTGATTCATATGCCAATTTTCAAATCCGTTATAAATTGGTGGAAAAATAGTCGATAATATTTCTAATATTTCTACAAATATATCAGTATAAAAATCGGCGAGAATTTAACATGTCTATTTGTAGATCTAGCAGCCCGTATTCTTTTCTTTTTTTTCCACACTAGTCGTTTTTGATTCGTCCATTGTTTCTGTTACAAACAGGACAATGTGATTATGTGAAGTATTCCTATGACTCTAGCTAAACACACATGTTATTCAAATTCGGAAAACAATCAAAATCTCTCCTTATGCTTTGTTTGATCACAGTGTCTATTGTCTAATGTTTTTTTTTTAAAAAATTTACTGGTTCTATTATGGTTCTAACAAAGAATATTTCTCAAAATTTCGTTAATCAATAGTTTTTTTTTAACTTTATTATTAAACAATAGTTGAGAATTATTTTTCGTTAAGGAAAAAGAGCCAAAGCGCGGTAGTTTAAGTTTAGACCCTGGCCGTTTTATTGTTGTCAACAACATGCATCGCAAGAGTAGAATTTTACACGTTGCGATTCACTCAACAAACATCATTTTGAATGTTGGTTTGGACTTGAATCACTCCCTTGGAACAGCAGATCATAACTACCAAACAAACAAAAAAATCTCAGTTACAACTTAAGATAATATCTATATAAACAAATTGGGTTGAGTTACAACGTTAACGACCTTAGCCAATTGGTTTGATGGGCTGAATTAGTTATGATATGGGCTAATTTGGGTTCAGCATCAGGCCTCCAGCTCTCGACGACGTCGCAGGACTTGTTCAACAAATGTTTCTGCGAATATCAATTACTCAATTATTAATATCCTCTTCTTATATTATGTAGTTAAAGTAGTAGAGGTGTAGTGTGTGTTCGTTACCCTTCTCTGTACGACACGTGTCAGAGTATTGAGTAGATGAGTTTCACATGCTTCGACCTCCTCTACAGATGTAAACCTCACTGGATCTGGTTCGAATTTCCTTTGTATCACAAGAATATCAGTGTTTAAGCAACCTGTTTTCCTTTTATACATAGGAAATTAAAGTAAAATACCTTAGTTCCTCCTCTGAAATCCGAAGCTGCTGTTGTAATCTACAAACTTCTTGCTCAAGTTCCTGTAAATTTGCAAATATAACTTAGCAAAAAAAAAATTGCAAATATAATTAGACATAATTTCTGATGAATTTTTTTAAAAAAAGATTTTAGCAAACCGAGAAAATTGGGAAAATTACCTCGACATCGGAGTGAATAGCTTTAGGGCTTTTCCAGAGTCATGAAATACAATATCAGTTTGCAGATTTTGATTTTAGGAAAGTGTCAACATTAAGTCATTACTGTATACATATCATTATAGTTCATATATGAACTATGAAGAGGTTTATTTATAAGGACAAATAGAAAGAAACCGAGGTTCGTTGATTTGGAGGGCCATGTCGTCCTCAGTTTTTAGTTGTTCAAGAGTCCTTAACAAATCCTGTCAGAAGTAGGTAATCATGATTATTTTTTTTTTTTTAAAGTACTTAGATTCAATACTAAACTTTGTAACTAGATAGATCATCATATAATTGTAAAGAGCTGATGGACCCGATAAACTTTGTTTGGTCTCACCTCTTTGTTTTGGATGCCTCTGCAAAACAGATAAGAAAGGTTAGTATCAAAATATAGATAACATACTGTTAAGTTGAAGCAAGATACTCACAGGCGTTTACTTTGATCGGGCAGAACTATAGCGCTGAAATTTAGAAATATTACAAAAAAAAACCATGTGAATACATATATAACTTAATAAACCAAGTAGATTAATGCAAAGGAAGCTACATACTTCTCTCTTTCTTGATCAGGAAGATTGATGTACCTCGCGAAAACGTCCTCAATCCTGAGATTAGCTCAAAATTAAGATAATGGAGATACAAATTTGACCATGCATGAACATACTTAAGTTGTAGAGAGCGAATGAAGGATAAAAGAAGCTATGCGCTATTAAGTAGCATAGGTTTTGTGCTTATCACGATAAAAACGAGATTGTTTGAGAAAAGAAAATGAAGATAAGTATGATTGAATGGGACCCATAGTGGTCGTTGCATGCAGTGTATGCAGTATACACGATCGAAACATGACGTGTTGCTGACATAGAGTGCCGTGTATTCGGCCTCAATGCTTTCATATTACTACTAGGCTATTAAGTATATGGCCATATCGGTATAAATTTTGACATGATGAGAGTTTATCTTAAACTATATAAAATAACTCATTTTGTGTGTTCTAATTTTAAATTAAGACGACAACGGATATCAACCTTTAAAATACACAACAAACTTTTTTTTTTATAACAATAGCAATTTTTATCAAAAACCAAACTTTTTTTTTTTTGGTTTAAAAAACCCAACTTAAACGACTAAACAAAAGTAAACAATAAGAAGTTAGTCAAACTTCGTTAGAAAAAACTAAACTTAAACTAAACAAAAGTAGTTATTTCGTTCGTTATAAATGACATAATATTATACTTTTTTACCTTTCTATTATCAGTTTCATCAGAAACTTATTGCATTGGATCAAAGTAATTTTTATCTATTTTTAGATGAGGCTCGATCTAAAGCTTGAGTAATACATGCAAGAACGTGTCGTCGTTCGGTTGCACTTCAAAATTCAAATAGATTCGAAAGTTCAAAAGCGATGTAGAATAAATGAGAAAAAAAGTCAATATTACTATTACCAAAAAAAATAAAGATATAGGCTTCCACTGCCCAAAACAGAAAAAGGGAGAAAAATAATATATGGCTTAAAATGATAGGGGCAAACGGGCAGTATACTGTATACGTAAACGTGATTACATTTTTTATTAAGTTGAAAAACCCGTAGAGAGAGATGATTCTAGAAGTGCGTGGAATGTTCTAGAAGAAAATGGAAATACCTTGTTTGACCGGAAAAGAGACAGAGGCGATCGGAGGGGGAGAACATGAGGAGAGCAATATCAATATCGCAAAGTGTTGACAATTCGTAAGCTTTTTTTATTAGACCCTTTTTACGTTTTGAGAACGTAATTTGTCGGTTCGTGCTCTTCTCTATCCGCTTTAGCTCCAACTTAGCCCGACCCATATCTCCAGTTAATGGACACTGCAAATAATCAGACACGATCTATAAGAAGTTGGTACGAGTGATTTTATTTGAGTTGAACGGCTGTGCGTGTGTATGAGCCGACGAAATTAAAAACGTTTTTATGTTTTCTGTGTTTATATAAGAGATGGAGGGAGAGAGAGAGAAGAGAGCGAGTTACAAATGAAGTGGATAGATTTTTGTTCTTAATTTGGACGAATCGGTGCCATACGGCTAGCTAGGTACATCGCCTTACATTTATACCGCATTTTATTTAATACTTTAAGATTTCATATTAGTCTTACTTTATGAGCGCACACGCAAATACACGCTTATATATGTATTAATAAATCTGTACTCTATGCATCCAAGTCCAAGATATAATATTTTCTCTAGCCTGCCACTAATTATAAATATGATCATCACTGATCTATATAAAAAAAGATGAATCTATTTATTATAGGAGGTCAATAAACTCAGAAGGAAGCTTGTTATATATATATATATATATATATATATATATATATATATATATATTTCTGCCTTTTGATGAAGGAACTTCAGAAGGGGCAAAGTATTTAGGGTTCGTATGGAAAAAATTCTCGGATGTTACTATGTTAGAATTGTACATGACGACCACCTAATGTCACTATCTCAGACTTGTATCGGTTGTTGTATTTTACGCGAGATCCTCAACACGAAGTTTACTCTATAATCTATATATGTATGACAGTATGAGATCCTCAACACGAAGTTTACTCGGTGTAATTTATACATTTGGACCGATCGGATTATATATATGCCGGTTTGGAGAGTATCTAATACCGTAATCAAATTAAACACAACAATCGTGTTCCACCTGTATTTCATTATTTTGTAATTTACCTTTAAACCTCGGGTTGATTCACGTGAGTTATCTTGAGTATAAGTAGTAGCTTGAATGTGCTGTTAACAGAAAAAAATAACAAAATAAAAAGTAGTAGTAGTTAGCTATAGGGTGAAAACGTTGTGATGTTGGCTTTGGTTGGAAGTGGAATGAAAAAGATGGGCTCTTACGAAGAAAGCCTCAATAAATTCTGATTTTAGTGGAAAAGTGGCAAAAACCAAAACGATAATTCTTGTTGTCGCAGTTGCTCAGTCAGACAGATTAATCAGTTCGGTCCGGTTTTACTAGAATTTGATTCATACTCTGTATCCGACCAGCTGGAGTTCGTTTTTTACTGCACCAGCAAACAAAAAATTGTTGAAACTTGAAACATGAACGAACTATGTTTCAAATTCAATTACCCTATTTGTTTCTGTTTGTTATTTAAAAATTTATTATATAAAGAGTGAGTTGTGTCTCACAAGTTTAGTTTAAAAATTTTGACACACCAGCTCTTCTCCTTATGACAAATCAGCTTTCAATTTATTATGAAAAAAATTTTAACACCAATATTAATTTTATTTTTAATCCCAGAAATCAAAAAAGAAAAAAATATCCATTTTTTGTCATTAACACTCATTATTATCTCATTAATCTCATTCCTAGAAGTTAGAAAGACGAAATAAGATGGTTATCACGGTGATAGTTTTTAAATTTGGTTATCACGGTAATAGTTTTTTATAAAGATAGTAAACTTCATCTAATAAAATAACTTGGTAAAACTGAGATGATTAATTTGTTGTGAATTATTTACTATCTTTATAATTGTAATCTCTTAACGAAATAGAGATATGAGTTATTTACTAACTAAAAAATTATTTACGAACTAAAATAGAGATTAAAAAATAAACTATTTAAAGCTTTATTAAAATTTTTTTGGCTAATTATATGATTATGTTTAAACATAACCAGTTGAAATGATTGATAAACCTTTTGTATTTTTAAAGTTGAAAATGTTACAACTACAATCACAGATGTAACTATGTAAGTAACCATTTTGGAAACAAATTTTAATACAATTAAAATTTACAGTTATCTTACTATATTTTCATGTATTGTATAGTCTTTTCAGAAGAATTTTATAATTGTAGGATTTGAAATTTTAATATATTTTTAATTCAAATGTTTCTTCGTCTAAAGTCATTGATTTGAGCTTATTATATGCTAATTTTCAGTACCTAAATTTTCTACTTCTACAGAAATCATCCCAACAAGTGAAAAGATGTCAAGAAAATAGAAATGTGCGACCAAAGCCTAGAAAATATTTTAAAATCATGCAAATCTTCTTACCAGATAGCATATTGTAATGGAACTATAGAATCATAAGACGTCATTTTGAGAAAACTTGGGCTGATGGTTTTTGAATCTGAACTCAACTGCATCAATAAGACTGATGCTGCGCTTATTAAAAGTGTGAAATTGTGATTCAAAACCAGGTGGAGATGCTTAAAGTTGACATGTTTCTGATTCCCACAAGAGTATTGGTGGCTCTTTAGGCAAAAAAATCAAGGATGGAGAGTTCCATTTGTTGTTTAGAGGAGACAATGCTAATGTTATCTGTTACTTGATACTCAAGTTGGTAAGGTTCCACTCTTTTATCGTTTGTAAAGACTGCCCCAAAGTAGACGGCAATGCGTACTAAATTGAAGGTTGTTCCATCTTTTTTTCCGGGAATAACAGAGTAGAATTTGCGATGATATCACCACACCAACTGTAGTTTCTGTATAGTTCAATGCACAAAATCAGAAGGATACAAAGAGTTGCTTGTGTTTATACATATGTGGTGAAGATTGTGTGGTCTATGGAAAAATTGCTTCTAGAAAAATTAAAAGAGAAAACTGTAGCATATACTAGCTATTAATAAGGTACTTCGTTATCTCCATTCTTATAATTCTTTTTTGCTGCATTTTTAAAAATTTGTGTAAAGAGAAAAATAGAAGAAGTAAAAGGCAAAGAGAAAGTCAAAACTTACAGATAATACACCAAGGAGATGGCTAACAAAAAGAATAAGAAAGCGAAGGATATTGCTCTCTCCTCTAGGATGTACAAGAAGTTTTTTTGTATAGGTTTTGATTTTTTAAAGAAACAAATAATTAAAGAATTTAAGTTTTTATAATTATAATTAGAGTAAACGAAAAGTGTTTTACATTAAAAAAAAATCAAGTAAAAGAGAATAAAAAAACTATTATGGAAAGTTTACAAAAATATTGAATAAACAAAAACACTCAGAAAAGAGAATAAAAAGTTATAACAAATCACTTATCGAATAACTAATCCTCTATCTCGAATTAGGTTATATTTGTTAAAATATATTTCCTACCAATCAAAAATTAACTCCTAAACACTAAATATATATGAAATTTATATTATTATATTAAACATAACTTAAAAAATTTAAATAATATACAAATCCGCGTGTACATGCGGATCTTCATCTAATAAAAACAAAAAAACTATTTTTCATGCCATCTGACCAAAAAACTCTTGAAAATAAGGGAACGAGTAAATAATTCAATTCGTTCGAAAAATCAAGGGTATAATTGGAAATTCAGAAAATCGAAATAGCAAAACCCTAGAAAAATGACAGAAGAATATAAAATGGTCACTACGCGGCGATTTTTCCTTTTGGTCATTCGTGCTCCTCTTCCTCTCGAGTTCTCTCCGCCGCACAGATCCAAGATATTTTGATCTCTGCCTCATCGCCGGCGAAAATGGTGACGGCCAAGAAAACGGTGCGTTGCGTTATCTCTCATAAAAGTTTTATTCTTTTCCGTCATCATAAGTATCGTATTTCGATCTCAATGTATTCCACCCAACGATTTCTAAGATATGCTTCTGGGTTTATGCATAATCGCAGAAGAAGTCTCACGAGGGTATCAACAGCAGGTTGGCTCTTGTGATGAAGAGTGGTAAATACACTCTTGGCTACAAGTCTGTCCTCAAGTCCCTTCGCGGCTCGAAAGGTAATTTCGTCGAACAGTTGGTGTGCATATCAAAGTGCTTTTAGCTTTAAAGCTTATTCTGGTTTTGCTTTATTGGTGGCAGGAAAACTAATTCTCATCTCCTCCAATTGCCCACCGTTGAGAAGATCGGAGATTGAGTACTACGCTATGCTCGCCAAAGTTGGTGTCCACCACTACAATGGAAGTAAGTTCCTTTCTTCTTCTGAACAATCATCCTTGACCCGTTGTTGGTATCTTGGTTTCATTTAGTTTCGTAAGTGAGAATGTATATTCCAAAGTAGATAAATGGACCATTCAGCTGATGATGATAATATGATCCTAAGTAGAGGAAACTAGAATGTTTGTCGACTTGAAAGTTTTGATCTTTTGCAAGTTCACGACCCGGTTGAATTGCTATTGGTGTCTCTTTTAATGTGTTGTGTTTATTACAAATTACGAAAGTCACATCCTTGCATAGTTTAAAGATTTGATTTCAATGTATTGGTACAATCCATACTCTAGGATTTCGGTTTGTACTGCAGATGATAGTCTGGTTTTTACTCTTATACACAACTTGATCTTACCTCTTTGATATACCCGAGAGAGCGTGTATAATCCTTTTATCTGCTGATGTTTTGAAACTGTGGAAGGAAGTTGATGAATATCTATACTGTTCATCATAGTTTCAAGAAGCACCAGCTTCAGGGCTCATTTGTTGTATCATTTTTGCTTGACTGTGTTTTTCATCTCTTTAGATAACGTTGATTTGGGAACAGCTTGTGGAAAGTACTTCCGTGTTTCATGTCTGAGCATCGTTGATCCTGGTAAAAGAACAAATCTCTTACTAATACGTACTCACCAACTTTAGTATATATTGTTGGTTCTTCCGATCATTCCTAACAATTTTGTCTTTTGACTGGTTTCAGGTGATTCTGACATTATCAAGTCAATTCCTGGTGATCAGTAATACAATTTTCGATTTAAATTTCCCCCGACTTTTATCCTTTTTTGTATTGGAGTGTCTACAATTTTATGAGCAAAAGACATAGTGTTTCGTTTTTTTTTGTTAAGTTTTCTTATATTAAAAGGACTGGATAAGAAATTTTTGAAAGCAGCAAATCAACTGGAAAGTGCACGCATTTTCTCAGCATTCTAAATTTCTAATGCTTCTGAATGAAACCAAAAGAGAGTTTCGAACTTTGCCATTTACTGGCTGAAATGGAATGCCACTTGCCCAAATCATGAAATATAAATCTTTTCATAACCAAGAATATTCGTTGTTATCGGATTCATAATCATTGGTCAGTGACTGATCTGTGTCATGATTTGCTTTAGTCATTGCAATTGTATATTGACTGACTCATGTTTCATTTCTTAATCAAGAAACTTAATCGTGAAATGAAGTTCTGGTACTTATCAAATATGATATGTTACTACCACAAGAGAGAGAGCAAGTTAAACAGAGAGAGAGCAAGTACCAAAGTGCTTAATTACTTGAACTAGACATCGAAGATGAAGCTTCCAAAAAGTTTGGGGATCTTACTTGGCTGCTTCTTCCTCTTCTTCTTCGGTATCGAGCTCGAGACCTTCTGCTGCTAATAACTGAGTGATGAGCTTTTTCTTATCCTCCTCTGCTTTCTTTCGCATCAGATCTCTTTTCTTCAATACCAGCGTGTGTCGCTTTAAAGTGCTGTTATATAACTCTCTCGATGCTTTCTTCTCCTTCTCCAGTATCTTTCTCTCTTCTTCAGGATCCACCTTCCCAGATTTATAACAGAGCAAAAGAAAATTACTACTTTGGAAGAACAAGCTCAAAAAGACTATTTATTGGTACCTTAGAACGAGAAAGACGACGAGCACGCAGGTTTATCTCAAGCTGTTGTTGCTCAGCCCAAGCTGCAATCGCCATGTCGCCTCTCTGATCGAATGCTTTACGCTTTTTCATCAACCATTCCATCCAAGCTTGTGACGCCTACACAAACCCAACATCTCATCCTTTACAAAAAAATCAGAGGGAAAAAGAAAACTCCAAGTTGAGATTTTTATATAAATACCTTCATTGGGTTCACTCGGTTATCCATATCATATTGTCTTCTCTTCTCCGTGTCCATGAGCAGCTCATATGCAGCCTGAATCTTGATGAATCTACCTTCTGCTGTCTCTCCTTCTTCAAGAGTCCCTTTTCCATCATAAACTACAGCCAAAACACAATTCATGCAATAAACAAGAATCAAATACAGAGTTACAACTTCGTGAGAACAAAGTGACTCCTTATATAATGGATCTAACTTAATAGAGAAATGAATATATATGTATATATATCTGTTGTGGCTACACATACAAGTAAACAGACGCTTTTGCCTACAAATACTCCAGGTCTTACGTTCTCATAAACCTCACAGACACTTAAGATCCCAAGTGTCTGAAATGTAGTTCAAAACGGAAATGGAAACAATCACACATATTAACTTTGGTTTGGCTCTAAAGTTCCAGAAAATTACCATCAGGATGATAGAACTTGGCTAATCGTCTATATGCCAGCTTAATCTGCTCTTCCTCTGCATCTCGATCCAGCTCTGTACACAGAATCAAACAGCATAGAACCATATCTTAGAAAGTATAAAGACAGGATACTTAAAAACAAAAGACTTGATCAATTCTTCTGACACAAGTCACAATCTCCAAGCAGTAGAATCTTATTCCCAGAACCACTAATTGCCACAAAGCTCTCACGAAACAGGATCCCAATTTATCAACAACCACGTCGAAGGAAAGACTGTAGATTGCAATATATTGGTATCGAATAATTATCAATTTTAAGCTAAATCTTGAAACCTACCAACGAAATGAAACTGTAGATACAAAAAAGCCCCAAAATTGGAAGAAGAAGTTTACCGAGAGTATCGTACGGAGACTTCTCTTCGCTCCAATTCGATGCTGCCCTGACAAGAGTCTTCCTCTGACTAACACGAAACCAAGGATTCGTATCTTTAGACCTAAACGGAAATGGATTCGACACGCGAGTTCTATAGCCGACGTTTTGAATCGAAACCCTAACGATTGATCGAGTTTGGTTTCTACTACAACACACGATCGAAGAGAATACCATGTGCGGTCTACAGATAGCTCTCAGGCCGCTCATAGCTTCAATTTACGACCCAGAAACCGATGAATTTCGCAGACCCAGAAATCAGAATTCATATAAATCGAATTCCCCTTCTTGGCTTGTTATAAACATGAACAAATCGCTTCGCCAAGGTAAATTTTGTTGATTCCCCACAAAACTCCGGAAATGAAGTCCTTGAAAAATCCAACTCAACACGAGACTTTCTTTGCTCTTTTCTTTTCTTCGATTGATTTTTCTCATTTTCCTCAGAAAATTACAAATTCCCGGGAAATTTTGTGGACGATTGAAGCACAACAAACCTAAATTACAATCATACCCCTGAACAATACCTTTTTTTTTTTTTTTTTTAACAGACCCCTGAACAATACTTTATAATACTGTATAGAATCCGTTACACATACATATGATCACATTGCTCAGATTTCAAACATATTTATACTAGACTAATGAGCAGAGACTTATTTTGTATCTAATATATATTACAAAGTTTCCACCCAAAATTTACACCTTCTTGTTTAAAAAATATATGGAGAGAGATACTTCATAAAGTTCTAATCAAGAGAATCACTCTACTTAGCAAAGATCCTTTAACACCATTCCAAGCTTTTGCGATGAGTCTGCTTTAAACTTGGACTCTGTTTCTTGTTTCCCACTTTAAGTGGGTTCTCGTGGACGAGCTGACCAAAGAGAGCTAAGAGCACGAAGCCTATGAAGATACTCTCCCAAAGCAAGCAAACCTCGAGCCGCTTGTCTTGTCGTCAAGATCTTCGCCATTTGCTGCAAAGTTTGCTGCCTCAGATGATCCGCCTGTTCATCAAAATAACAGATTCTTGAATCTTGAAATATAAGAAAGACACAAACTTTCCTTCCTTTGTTTGACTCAAAATTTTTGTACTCACTTGATTCACAAATCCTTCTAATGCTTGGAGATTCTCTATCGCTGCAGCCATGTGAGGAGGCGGGTAATCCGTGGACTCAATGACAGCATCAATCACGATGCTTTCTGCTAAACTCTGTTGAAGTTTATCAATCCCTTGAGACAGAGCATCCTCTGCTTGTTGAGATGATTGTTGTAGGTTTCTCACTTCCAAGATTTGCTGATCTGTCAATGGCTGAAGATACGGCATCACAACCTACAAATCAAAAAGAAGAAAGAAGAGAGAAATAAATTTTACATTTTTGACAAATAGTGTTTTCTATTGGAAGAAAGTTGGGATTTTTTTTTTTGAGAGTTTTTATACGTTTAAAAGCTCAGATGGACGGAATCCTCCGATCCATTGGAAGAATCTTTCAGTTGAAGTTCGCCACATGCCAGATATCAAGTAGAAAACATCAGCTTTCGCTGCATCAGATTTCATTCGAAAGAGATTCGCGTAATGATTCAAGCAACTCTCTACAAGCATCTTGAGCTCTATGTCGCTTATATGAGCTTGAAGAGCTGTTCTGATTTCGCTTACTCTCCTGCTTTGTTCTTCAAGCCAATGTGAATATTCCATCTCAAACGCAGCAATCCCTGTGTTAATCATGCTCCTCCCAGAGGTTCCTAAATAGCTAGACTCTGACGAGTTGCGTCTGCATAATCCCTTTTTTTTAAAAGACAATCAGTCAATTTTATGCAATCAACACATTGATTTCGATAAAAAAAAAAAAAAAAAATACCAAGAAAAACAAAACATTTACTCTCTTTTCACATAGCTCACCTGCTGCTTAGCCTTTTCGAGTTCTTGCTCTAACTGCGATAACTTTAACCGACTTTCTTCCAACTGTTGAACATAAGCCTAAAGAAACAGAACAGACTTCACTTATTAGTAATCTAAGTTAGTTATATGAGATTCACTAGTTAAAGGGATTGGCTTTACCTTCTTTCTCAAACGACTCTTGCGAGCAGCTTCTCGGTTCTGCGCTAAACGCCGTTTCATCTATTGGCATATACGGGAAAAGAATATCAATCATTATCATCCTTTAATATCTTTATGTACTTTCTAAGCAAGAAAAGAAACGTCATTAAGTAGCTTTTGTTTGGTCTAAACCTTATCATGAATCCTGCCATCATCATCCTGATGATCATTACTAGAAGGTTCTGCTTCGATCTGGTTATGCGAAGTAACGTAGTTTCCCTGCGCGTAATTCAAACCATTAGCTTAACAAGCTAACATCCTTTCAAAATAAGTCTAGAGAGAAAGATCTAAGACCTTGATGTTGTTGTGCTCATGATCATCTATTCTAGCATCCACTTGAATAATTGAGGAAGAAGCAGTATTGGGACTATGATCACTGATGTCTGATTTGAAAACATTTCCCCAAGAGACAAGTTGTTGAAATGGCTCGTAGATTCCCATGTCTCGTAAGGATGCAAGTTGAGTTGGAGAACTCATCATCTCTCTGTTCTCAACATATCAAACAATTCTATATTAACTTCATAAACTCTTAATCCACAAGAAGAATTCAAAGGAGAAGGAAAGAAACTGGTCTTACCTTCAACTGTAGATCCCAATAGCTTGCAACCAAATTTACATTTGCTCACTGATACAAACCATAAACAGAATTAAATTCTTCATCAAACTTATAAAAAAGATTGGAGCTTTAATGAAACACTAGAAAATCCAAAGTCTCCAAGATTCCAACTTTTCAAGGGTAAAAACAGAGAAGGTTATAAAATTATAAAACCAGAATAAGAAACAGAAAAAAAGAGGAAAATTGAAACATACCTGAATCGAGAAGCAGAGGAATTCATGACGAAGTTGAGATATGAAGAGTTAGAAAATACTTTTGAAATGCATTTCTGGGGAATCTCTCGATCAAACAGAGATATTTTTCATTCCGACCACAGAAAATCAAATGGAAGGAGAAGTGTTTCGAGTTCCTTTGGACACTTACAGTCCAAACAAAATCTTAAAGGTCAAGCGTTCCCATCATGGAAAGAGATGATAAAAAGGATTTTTTTTTTCTGTTTTCCTTTTCTCTTTCCTTTATTTGTGTCCATCAGCACTAGAATAATGAATAGTAACCATGTTACAGAAATAGTAATAATAATCGATTTATTATTAATAAAGAAAAATATTAATAATCAGTGTAAAGTTTAAGGACAAAACGCTGGGGCAAAAATAAAATAAAAAAGATGGTTCTTTCACAAAGCCGAAGGGTGACCTTATCGTGCGCATGCATCTCTCAAGTACGCACGACATGAAGTCATCAACCGGAAACTCTTGGAGAAGCTCAATACCCTCCGGTGTCGACACGTGGCTATTGGCTCGGTCAGTCCAATTATTCGGTCCTTTGGTGAGTTTATTGCATCGTTTCTGCATTCCATAATTAGAAAGTGTCTTATGTTTAGGCTTTTAGCGATCACATAATAATTAGTTTTGAATTTTAAAATACTTTTTCTCAAAATTCATCTCATATGATTCATTTAATCTAAACATTAATTTCAAAAATAAAATTGACATTATACAACTTCTTAAACCGTAAAAAAATCTTAAGTATATTAAATTTAGTAATAAAAAAACACATTCATATAGTTATATCGAATTATATATTGCCAAAGCGGCCAAGTTCTCTTCCATAATTTTCGAAACTATTTTCACATCTTTTTGGTTAACCTATTTTCACATCTTTTTGTACATGCATGCTAACCAAAAGAATCAATGTCCTTTTCCCTAGAAAATTAGGTTCATCTAGGTGGAACAAATATGTAGGATTTTCTTTTTTTCTTCTAGTTTTATTTTGTTAATGTTTTCTTTTCTTTTTCTTTTAGAACTTTGGGTGTATTTTGGGGTGGTCCATAAGGTTATGCAGTGGCATCTTTTTGCTTAGTCTTCTTCCCTGACTTAGTGACAAATAATTGGAGCTTTAATGGCCTACCAAACACAAAAGATAACATTTTTAAATCTCATTTATTTTTAAATTATGGTTCGTCATTAGTTTGGCACCACTTGTGTAATAAAATCTGTGTTCGACACAGACAAGCATGTCTGTTTAATTTTTTTATTTAGCTTTATTTCCTGTCCTGGTTTTACTTTAATAAAGAGTCCACCCTTAAATATTTTTCAATCCATATAATATGATAAATGTGAATCGGTGCGGTGATTGATACGCAAATTAAAAAGTAATAGAAAAAACAATATTGTGTATTCATGTCAGAAAATCAATTGGTTCGCGAAAGACCATATACATTTTGGCTTAATTCATTCAGTAGTGTATCGAAGTTTTTTCAAACCCTTTTCTATCATCGAGAGTCATTTTTGTATTACCGAGAGACTATAGTCGGATAAAGAACCTACACATATAACTATTTTCTAAAAAAGAAACATAGAAATTCTAATTTCAGATATAGGATAAATTATAGACTAGATAACGGAATATAATTATAGTTTATAATAATGTGAACTTTTTTTAGTAAGCAAGTGTACCTCAGATTACCAGCATATCATTTACAGTTGTCGAGAAAGTAAAACCATTATTTATATAGGTTATATATGTATACAGTATACACACATTTATGCATGCATTATTGATATCATTGTTACGTGTTATAGTTGAGGAAGAAAAAGATAGTATGATCACAAAAGTTACGTAGACACAATTCTACTTTGATTCATCACGAAGACACCGATTTTCCACTAAATTCATTATCTTCTTTCTCTCTTTTTCGTTTATGACCACAAAAGTTACGCATTTTATTGCTTTTTCCGTTATCTTCGATCTGTACTTTTTCCCCTCTCTGATTTCTTACATTCTTCTCAAGTACACTGGAAATTTCTATCTTTTATAATTTCTATCCTTTATTTTTTATTTTAATTTATCTTTTACCAAAAAAAATCGAAGACCATACGTACGGCTTATAGTTTTATGTTTACGCATTTCATGGTTTAGGTTTTAAGCGTAGGAGAAAGAATCAAAGATATATTGTATATTACTGAGCAAATCAACATTGCGAATCTATCATGCCCTGAGATTCTTGTGGACGAATGATCATCAAAGGTTAAAAAAAAAAAGATTCGAATATTAGTAAGATTCCTTCACGAAGAATACTTCGTAAATATATAGTTTTTGGGGTCGAAATATAGACAGATAGTATATAGTTATATACTCATTCCTTTTATATAAACCGCATGTCGTTCAAAGATTCGAACTTCAACTGAAGACTGATTCTCCTTCTTCGCATACCAAAACAACTGAGATTAGATTCTTTTCTGCTGGTTAAATAAATATAAGATATTTATATTTAATTAACCAAATGTTTTCGTTAAACATTACGTATATCCAGTATTTTATGAAATTCTTTTTTACATGAAATTGATAGATAATTTTATCATATACATGTCCATTTTATGACCTAAAAAGGTATTAAGCTTGAAATGAAAACTCTCATATTAAAGTTAGAACATTATTCTCTTTTTTAAAAAACTTATACACAAGAACAATCAAGTATAGTAAGAAAGAGCAAATTTGTTAAAAATTAGTATCATGTATGTTAATAAACAAAAGAACGCATATACGGTAAGAGAAGCACTTACAAAGAAAAAAAAGAATAAGAAATAGTTTATAAATATATTTTCTCGACAACTAAGAAAACTTTAAAAGCAAAGGAGGTGCATAACTGCATATAATTGCTTTTGTTCCCATTGTGTGGTATGAAAAAGGGTCTGATTTTTTCTGTTGAGTGACTGAAAAAGAGAAGTATATAATTGTTATGGTGGTTTCCTTTCATTTCATTTTAAAGGCCAAACAAGCCAGAGGATATTCTCAAGCCCAAACATGACCTTCATTGGTTGTATCAACAACACCGCAACGCAGAAGAGTGACTCTTTCACAATATTTGATCCACCGAGTTCTAAGAAAAAAAAAGAATGAAGCATTGCTAATTAGCTGTTACTGTATACTACCAAATATATATATACGTGTATATGTTACATAATTACAGCAATCAAGAATAAGATTAAAAGAAAACAAAAAATCACCATTTATGATTGTTCGTTCCAGGGTGTGCCTAGGATTGAAGAGTTGGCACAAATTTTATCATTATGAATGTAAAAAGCAGATATTGTCTAGCTTGAGATGATCAATACTTCTTGGGATGGTTAAAAATCATAGGCTGATGTGAAGAACGAGGATGCTCAACCAAATTCCATTCCCCAATAAAGTTTTTATCCTTTTGCACATCAGGAAACTCCACCATATAGCTGGGATCTCGATTTGGAACATTATAATAGCTATTGTTCCACTACAAGACAGATAGCAAAGATCAGAACTTGCTCCAATATGTTACTAATTCTTTTGAAGCTAAGGTTGTTAGTTAGATAAATCCTAAACTTTAGTGAACTCGGGAACCAAAACTCATACCGAAGTTGGCTGCGTATGCGAGCTGTTCAGCAAGGTGCTCGAACTTGAGGAGTTCAAATTCCACACCGATTTGTTCGGCTCGTGTCTTTGATTGTTGGAACTGTAAACGTCAGAGATGTAAGTATGAAGTCTATACATTTGGATACAAGTTCAAATATGTAGTCATAGACTCATAGGAAAACATTCGAGGCTTTTACCTTGACAAACCAATAGAAAGCGCAGATTGAACTTCCTTGAGTGAAGATAATGTGGCCAGCAATTTCGCAAATGTTTCAAAAGTCGAGCCTCCAGAAGGAACTTCCATAGACAAGGAACTGTAGCCATACACAGTTAAGTGAGCCACGCTTTGCTTGAGATGTGCAATTCCTCTCTGCAGATTTCTGAATGTTTCGACAGAATGAGGAGAGGCAGATGAAAGGTTGATGACGTCAAGGTCATGATAATCTTCTTCTACACTTCCGTCCGATTTCAGTGAAGTCACACCAAAATTGGTTGTATCTCTACCCGTCCATGAACTCTTCCCTTCAAAGGAGTAGTAATCATGGGATGGTACAAAAAGGGGATACTCATCGCTTCCAAACATAAAAAAAAAAAAAAAAGGATTGTTAGAATCTCTAAATCTAATGTAGAAACAAACAATCACTTTCATGTGAATGGTTTACTTTGGAGAAGACGGATGAGAGTTCCAATAAGAATCTCGTTGCCATATTCTTGAACAAGAACCCTGAGACAAAATAATTCAAATTATTTATTCTTGTCAATCAATCAATTTCCAGATGAGATATCTCCCGAATATGTTTCTTATGAAAACAATTGCATGCAAGTGATTGTGGGTGTGTGTGTGTAATATTCCAACATTGAGGCAACTGTTTAGCATAAAAAAGAGTTAAGGATGTGTTGGCATCTACCCCAAAACCCAAGTTGTGGAGTGCAGGCACTGCGAGCTTATGGACAACAAGATTCAGAAGTTGCACCATGTACCTGATCCAACAACCAACCAGGGGAATGTTAATTTATCAAACTTCCAAATAAAATATAATGCAGGAGCATACGATGCATTAAGGAGATTGACCTCCATATTTCTTAAACTATAACTGTGCCACAAAATGACATTTTAAAGACAAGGACGTGTTACCCTAAAGAGGCTGCGAGCTCTTTTGGCGGAACAGAGAGTGGGTTGAGACCTTGTGGTAAGAGAGCATTGCAGATTTGATCATACTGTCCACTACACCCATCTTTGTTACGGCCTTCTAATTTCACCTGAACAGAGTTAGATTTAGTACGACCATCTTACAAAATGTGTTTGATAACACAGCAGTCTGGAGAGAGTCCACAACTGCCTCAAGAAGAAAAAGTAGCATTTTATCATCTTTTAGGTAAAGAATTCTATATGTTGTGTGAAATCTGTATTTTAATAACTTTATAGATGCCTGCCAATTAGGGAGCTTAATTTGTCTTCAAAGGTTGACAAAAACAAAAACAAAAACTATCTAGATAAGAACCTCAAATCTGATCTCCTTACCCTGGATAGAGGGAATAATTTGCAAATCTGTTTCATAACCAGAGCCTGTTTATAAAGGCGTTCTGACGTAAGCTCGATCTGTAACCCACAAATGTTGGCTTGTGTTTATACATATGACAATGGATAAAAAGAATTGAGAAACAGAAATGACTATATGAGTTCTAGAAAAGGAGTGGTTCAAGCATGGAAATTAAAGAATTATGAGATGTAGATCTTACATATACCAAGTAGTGGTTGCCAATAGTATCTGAATAGTGGTTCTCCAATTGTCCAACACGGCTCTTCTCCAACTGCAGAGGTGGGAGAGAGATGAGACCGTTTATATTAGCCGTGGAAAAATCAGCTTCATACAATTTCTTATAAGAGAAAAGGAAGACAATGAAAAAAATATCACATTACCGCAAAGTTAGTTGATTCGATAATGCCATATCTCTCTTTCAGATTATGAGATAGTCTCCTAAATGTGCTTTTGCCTGCATCATAAAGTAGATATTTAGACTTGGTAGTTTGAAGGAGGTACCAAAGAAATAATTCTTCAGAATGAGTATGTTCACACTTTGATGTAATTTCTCCACTTCTAGCTGGAGCTTCTCCCGCAACCTAGCAAGCTTCTCATTCTGAAGCTCCACCCAACAATGTTGACTAATCGCTTTCTCCTGGTCAATAGTGAAGTAAACGAGCATCAGACATCATTTTTTGCAGAAAAAAGCAACTTCAGATCAGAGACTTAAACTATTATATGAGCGTATAACCAAACCTTTGTGACAAGCAAGCCACTTAATCTCAAGTATGAAATCTCCCGACGGCTCTTCAACGAGTCCAACATGATTTTGTATTCATTTAACCTGCACAAAGTGCCAAACAACAGCATAATCTACTTTTACTGTAAGTTACACTTAACTATCCAACCAAGCAGGAGACTGAAAAAAAAAGGTTCACACGAAATGGAAGATATTACTCGGAGATCATGTAAAAATGTCAGACACTGATTAAAAAAAAAAAAAAAACATACCTGCGATTAACACAAGCTACGCAGATTGAAGCACGAAATAAAGTGTGGCAAACAGCACATTTACTGGATTTATCCATCGATCCTTCGTTTACGCTAACGTAAAATCCACAAAAATTCCTAGGTTTCCTCGACAAATCCGACGCAATCAATCTGTTAATTCGACAATAGTTCTCTAATCAGACACTAATATGAACCAAAACTGAAATTCGAGTTTGTAGCTACACAAAGAATGACTTGAATAGGGGCATCGAGCATAAGAAAGTTAGACAGAGAGAATTACCTGCGAATAAAAACGACCGGAGAGAACTGGGCGGTCGATTTGATTAGAAAAAGAATCCGCCGTCGCCGGAGAAACGTAGCGTCCGGTGTACGTTTGAGGATGAAGCGGGAAGATTTGAGAAGAGAGGAAAGAGGAATAAATTTGAAGGTTAGCGTCATTGCGTCTGTGGGGCTTCTTTACGAGAGGAAGGAAGGAGAAAGGAAGAGAGTCGCGAGACTTTTTTTTTTTTTGTTTTTTTTTTTGGGGAGGAATTCAATTACGTGCACATCACCTCCTCGTCTTTTCTTATTTTCTACGTTTTTTACATATTTGGTCCTTTTCATTTTGCTTTTCACACTGGATCCTTTTTTGCCTTTTTGCCTTTTTGGTCCATCTCTTTCCTTGTATACATACTGTACTTCTGCTCTATAACTCTTTTCTTTTCTACCAACAGTCCATAACTCTCTTCCGTTTATACATTTGGTCATCAAGTTTTACATTTTACTTTTAGTCCCTTTTTTTACTTCTTACTTTTGACCTATAACTCTTTTCCTTTTAGGCATATATAACTCTTACTTTTGGCCTATCACGCTTAAAATTTGTGCATTCATTTGAAATTCGAGAGTACTTTGTAATCCTCACTTATAAAATCTTGTGAAGTATGTAAATATTCAAGAAAAATGTGAAGTATGTAAATTTGTTATAAAATAATACAAGAAATCATCAAGTTTGATAATTTAACTTTATCCCCCAAAGAATTAATTCAATATGTCAACTTGCTACAAGAGATATTAAGGTAATATTGTTGTCGTTTGCTTTTTCTTTTACTTTCGTTATATTGAAAATATTTTTTGGTCATTTGTTTAAAAGTTGCAATTATGTTTTGTATATTATGAGTGATTTAAGTATTTTAAAAAACAAAAGCTCTGCAACAATCAGAAAAGAGGAAAAAAAATTTACGAACAGCTAAAAAAGGTAGAGCAGATGCTGTAAAATATAGTAAAGCCAGTAAAACTAACTGTTTTAGCTTTAAGCTGTTTGTACTCTGAAGGTGAAGGCCATAACATTATGATCCTACACCAATGTTAAATGTATTTTAAATGCATTTTGATTGGCTGCAAAATAAATCTTTAGACAATGTGACCCTTCTTCCAGTCACCCTCATAGATTTATTTTAGTTTATTATCATACTTTTGAGAATCCACCAATTTTCTTTCTTTTCTTTAACCCACTATCTTTTGCTTTTAAAAGAAATGTCCTATATCTTTTATTTTACTTTCAATATGTAACTTTAAATACAAAATGTTTGTGACTTGTCGTGACATATATGAGGAGTTCATAATAGTTAATTTATACTGCATAGCGCCGAAATTACATTTGAATATGTGTTGTTAATGAGCCTTGTATATACATCGTGAGTCCGAGATCAAATTCAAGAATGTTCGTATGTGAATTGTATTGTAGACCAGTATGAACACACGTAAATCATAAGTGTCATTGATGAACACTATTAGATGTTTTTTATTACATCCTTTATATATATCCTGGTGGATATATATAGTTTTCAGTACCTAAAATGGTTGAAACAATAGGAAAATAACATTTTTTGGCACACACATCACACATGTTTAGCTTGGTTTGGTATAAAACTCATCAACTAGCTACGGTATTTAGGGAAATTCAGTGCTGTTTTATCTAACGACGTTCCATTCTACATATATATGTTTTGCTAATATTTTAAGTTATACTTACAACGTTTACCAACTATTTATGAAATTACACAATAAAGAAAATGAAAAAAAAAAAGAGAGAGAGAGAAGAAACTAGAAAAAGCGTACGTCGGAAAAAAAGGATACATGAAAACTGAAAATAAAACAAAATAAAGAAAAGAAAGATAAGAAAATAAGAGAAAACTTTCACTCAATCGTCATGGGATCCGAAACTTTGGCAGAGGTTTTCTTCATTCCCGGCTTTCCAACAAACCACCGTCCGAATCTTCTAGAACCACTCTGTTTCACAGGCGTATTCATGGCTCCTCCGACGATCTTGTCGTCTCCGTCGCCGGAAACCGCCGGTTTCCCCGGTTGCTTCATACTCTCTTTGTGAAACTTCCTGACCGTGTAAACCTCTGCAATAGCTAGCGACATCTTTGATTAGTTTAGAAGAAAATTTGATTATCCGGAAGGAGAGAAAATAAATTCTAGATTGGGAAAGATGAGTGTTGTTGCATTTTCGGGGGAGATGTTTGGGGTGTTATTTATAGATAAATATAAGGGAAAATATAACTGGTGGGGTCCAATTTTACTGAATTTTATTGCGTTTGTTTGCCACGTATACTTTCTCTGTTCTGTAAAATACGTATCTACTGTTGTGTAGTATACTATTATAGTACGTTTTATATATCATTGAAGTTTGTAACAAATTTAGTTTGTTGCGGATCGCAGTACAAGTACAAGTGTACAGCTTTATAAAAATAGTATATTAGTAATTTTAGTATGACCTGAGTTTAGAACGGCAACGCAAAAAAAAATATATACTATTTTTGAAACGAGCTTTGTTATTGTGACTTGTTTGCGTTGTCGTTTTTAATTCATGAGATTTATTTATACCATACAAAATAAAAGGGTCCTGAGCGCTTGCGATCAGGTTGTGATGTCCAGAGCAAGTCCTCATAATGTTCATAGAAGACAATAATACTATTAAACGTCAAGCAATCATATATGTATATATAGCGACATTCTGAATCTAGATTATGTTAGAAGGTGAAATTTTTAAAAACTTGTAAATTAATATCAAATCTAAATTAAACATGGTTAATGACGATAAAACTAGTGTGAGTTGGGAAGATAATGACTTGGACGTCAGCTATATATTTGGTCAGGACAGAGAAGACAATCACTATCTAGTTAAATAGTAACTTCTCTGTTAAGGGGGTTATAATTAAAAACTTAATCTATATTTTAATTGAATATGGACATCTGGCTGTCATGAAATAGAATTTTTGTTGGCAAACACAAATATTTTAATCCTAAATTTGCGAATTACTAGTATGACAAACACTTCGTTCTATAATCCGGCCATCAATTAAATGCTATTCAGAAGTTACGTTAGTTTAGAATGTTTACTCTGGACTGGTTTTTTTTTTAGATCATGGTCAAACAATTTTTTTGCTAAAGGGATTTTAATTATCAAACAAACAAAAAATATTTGATCGTAGTAAAGTATGATGGCTGTTACAAAGTATACAAACAATTGATAAATAAATATCGAGATTCGAGTAATAATCCACGAATATATTGGAGAAGGCCTGAGAGGAATCTGACTCGGCCGCCATTTTAACTTCCAAAATGACAATCGAATCGACCACAGTATCCATAAACGTGTCCCTATTAACAAGCCAAGAAGTCGAGAACATAAGTATTAAGTATTTAAGTTTGCCAATTTTATATTCGATTTGATTTTTTCGCTCGATTTGCTATTGCTGGTAGTGGACTTCACAGTCATCAACTATAATAACCTTTCTTACCTTTTTGTTTTGTTTTTATTTGTCTGGGCTCTGTTTTTTTTTTTTTTTTAAGTCACGTTTTGTTTTAACTGTTGTTCCTCTTTTGGATAAATCAGACCATTTTTTGTCTCGCAATCAAAAATTTAAGAGGTGATATCAGATAATGTTCGATATATTCCCCTGATTCGTTTTTACTTTGTTTGTTATATATATATTTTTTTATCTCTTTCTCATAGATCCGATATTCATCTTTCCGAATAAAACATCAAATTTCGATCTCCATGTGATATTCACCACGTGGTTCAAGGGACCGCTATCTATTACTAACTCGAAAGCCACGAAAAACAAATAAAATCATTTGATCATTTCCACGATGATAAGGAAACAATATGCAAAATAGTTTTTTTTTTAATATAATGAGCATGCAAAATAGTTACATTCCAATACAAACAAAAATACGGTTACAAACTTGCATAATGCAGCGTTTTGTTATGATATTATAATTTGAATGTTGTCTTTGGAAATATCAATCCGTTTTAAATGAATATAGAATATCAAGGTTCTTTATCAAAAAGATAAAATACCAATGTCTGAATGCACTATTTAATAATGATATGATTTCATTAATTAGTTCATTCGGACCTTAATACGAATATGCAATTAATAGTTGAACATATGTTATTATTTATTTGTTTAAAATGATCTAGATATCCACGGTAGGGAGCGCTTCTTCGTTTTTTTGTTTAGTATAAGATATGCAACATAAGTTCAATGGCGAGGGAATATTGACATTTAAATTGTTAGTGTGGAATAAAACGAGGAGGCTACCTGCCTGGCTGCGCTAGGATCTATTGCATTTTTTTAATACATACATAAAACATCATTCTTTAGAATTGTTTAAAGTCAAAACATAATCGTCCAGATTCATTACCCCCATGGCTGCCTGTGAAACGGGCAGCATCACACTAATCAACTTCCATTTTTAATCTCACCGCAATCAGTATATTAAATTGATCAAAAGTAAGAAACTTTAGTATATATATTTGGCAGCCATGTTAATTTATGTATGGATTGGATTTGGATGAATTGATTTAGGGGGTAGGAAGAATTTGAGACAAAACTAGAATTCAGATGTGTCAAACTACTAAACCCTAAACCCAACTACTAATTACTTTCTGAGTGATCTATATCGAAATTAATCATTCTAAAGATTTTAAATATCTGATATGGGGCCACTTTGTGTTCAATCGAATAGTGCTAACCTTGTGTCATCTAATCAGGTTTGGTTATGTTATCATTCTACGCAAGGAAGAACACTAAGTTAATCCGCTGCACAAAAATGAATGATTTAAAAGATATATTTCTTAATACGCACTGTTTTTTCAGATGACATTTTTTATCTTTGATAATTCTGCAAGACAACTTTAATAGAGACATGGCCCAGATAGAATTAATGTACATCACTTTGTATTTTAAAACGGAATATTTAATTCCCGTATGGATTGAGTGGTTGTGTACTTAATTACGATTTTTTCCTGTCTGTCAAGTGGATTATTTTTTGTTTTAATAAACAAACGGGTATTTTTATAACTAAACAGATTAAGTTTAGTCATAAGTCATTATGTCGTAACGATGAAGCGCCACATTCTCTTTATTTATTCAGTAATTTCCTAGATCCACCTCCAATGATAGCCGATTTTAACTCGAGTGCTCGTAAACAAGTAATGTAGTATAAAAGAGTGATCGTATGAAGTAGAACACTATACCTTAGTTATCCAATAATTTCACAAGCTTGTACTTATAGTGGTAGTCTGGTAGAACTCTTTTAACAAAAAAAAAAAGAAAATGTTCTATTAAAAAAAAAAGTTCTTAAGATTAAGTTAAGATTGTTTTTGTTAGAGTGTCATATAATCAGGTTTGGTTATGTCATCATTCTACGCAAGAAGACTAAGTTAATCCGCTGCACAAAAATTCTTATAAATCTTAACTTAATCTTAAGAAACTATTTTTTTTTAAAACAAAAAAAAAGAAACCAAACACATTAAAGAATATACAATATAATAATATATGTTTTATAAGTGGTTATAAAGATAGTAAAATAATTGATAAAAACTTTGGTAACCATGTTATAAAATACAGTAATACTCTTCAAAAAACCATATTCCTCACCCACTAAGTGAAAGTGTGACCCATTCTACATCTTAAGGTGGTGTGTCCCTTTCTAATCGATTTCTGAGAAAGAAAAAAAAAACTTACCCTACAACCTTCCAAAATGCATGTGCTCATTGAATTAGATGTGTAGGAGAAGCACCTTTGGCTTTTTTTGTTTTGTTTTGTTTATATAACATTTCTGAGATAAATGCTTCAAGAAAACATTGTAGCCTTTCATTGGAGATTTTTGATGAAGATTGGTGATCCCAAGATCACATCAGAGAAACGTTGGAGCAAGGGTTACTATGCAAATATACATCTCTATGAATGTTGAAATTGTCCATGAATCTTTGCTTGTTTTATATATTTTAAAGAGAGAAAAGATTGTGATAACATAGTACTTCTAATCATCAAATAAACTCCTGCTTCCATTTCGTTCTTATGAACACTTTTGTATAAAACACCAGTCTTCAGAACCACAACCACATTTTTATTAAGATATTTTTTTTAATAAACAATGAAGGAGGAAGTAAAAAATCCAAAATCAAAATGATATAAGAGGATATTTGAATTATGTAATGGAGATTCTATGTTTCCATGCGTATTCCACCAATCATCCTTGGAACTTCTAGACGGAGCTACATTGTTGAAGCCATGGAAAGCTGTTCCATAATGAATCCAAATAGCCTATCTTATGTAAAAAGATAAAAAAAGATCTCTAATACAGTTACAAAATGCAGCATGCACAACGGTTCTTCACTGAAGGTTCATTCTGCAGTTTCTCTGAACAATAATAGAACAAAATAAAAAAACCAAAACCAAAACTTTTTAATACACACAACAATACTTGAGAATTCAAGAGGAAATGTATTGGAAGTACCGTTTTTTTGGCCTAAGGTAGGAGGACGAAGAACAACATGCATCGTAGTTACTATTCCAGGAAGTTCACCAATCGCTAGTGATCTTGCTTCAGAAAGTGTTCTGTTATTCTCCAGTATTTTGCCACCATTGATGAGTTTGATCTCATTTATCAACTTTGGAGCATTTTCATTCTCTGTCCAAAAAGAAAAAAAAAAACAGCACTTCAAACACAATGGAGCAAGGTTTCATTTTTAATGTTTTCAGATATTTTTTTTTTAATAGCAAAACTATGAGAAACATTAAAAACAAAGTTGAACAATCAAAATTTAGTAAAGAAAGCATTTTAACCTTTAGGCCATTGAGCAATTATTTTCTCCTTGAGAGACGCAACAGTCATGTATTGACTGTATTTGCTCGGCCCAATGTCGGTGCCATCTGCGAGTCTGAATTTCAGTTCTATCCGATCTTCATCTCCCATTTTCTAATCTCCCCCACAAAACTTATCAAAATAAAATCTCTACCAAAAATTTCACCTTCTCTCTCTCAAACCGGTTTGGTTATCAACCGAACAGAGGAATTGTAAATTTTATTACCATGAATATAGAAAGAAAGTGGAAAAGATCCAAAGAAGAAGAAGATAAATCAGAGTTCAGAGAGTTCCGTTGAAAGGCCGTCTTTGAGCAACAGTGTGAGAGGAAAGAAAAAAAAAACACTAATTTGGGTCTCTTTCTCAACTGAGATTCTTCTTATAACTACCTGTCCTGATTCTGAAGTTATTAGTCTTCTCTATTTATTTACATTTTTGCCCCTATACAAATCTAAGGTTTATATTTTGTTCTCTTGACTGATAATCCGATTTTTACACACATAAAACTCCAAAATACAGGTGATCGTAAACATAAAAGGTTAATAAAATTTGCAATGAAAATGTAAAACAGCACTTAAAATGAAATAAACTATTTGAAACTGAAGGAGTAAAATGTAGATACAATAAATTCTCTACTTATGCATTATACAAAAAAAAACACATATGTAACAACTATATATATGCTATATATTTGTGTAACTTTAAGAGATATATACCAAATTATTTATATACCAATGGAAAGGGACAAATTTGGAATTCTATATGAACTATATATAACTTTGTTTTCCACATAAACATACTCTATTTTCCATCCAAATGGTTAGAAAATGGCAGCCACCAACTTTATACAAGGCTGGCAAAACTATAGTGAACCACTAATTATGAAATATGAATAAGTTTGGATATGATGATCTTCGTTTTGGGGATGATTTCAAGGCAAATGTTGACCAGTTGTAGACTTCTAGTTCCATTTAACATCCTAAAATTGAAAGGACCATGTAGATATGAGATTAAAAACAGCATTTTGCATAAAATACTACAGTTACTGTTTTTCTTGTTAATTCTTTTTTGCATAATGTTAAATTACTAGCTTTCTGATAAGTGATAACTTGTCCTCTAGACGGCAACCAAACCAAACGTCGCAAAAACTAACGGATATACTGCTGAATAAATAATACATGTGGGATTCGTTGCGTGCATTCCACAAACACAATACATTCTTTGCTTGAAAAGTTAATGGCCTTAGAGCATCTCCAACCATTCCATTGGAGATGGCCTTAGTGACAATTCACTGAATATTTTTTGTTATACAGCTTCAAGCCTACAATGCACTGAATCTATTTAAAGAAAGATAAATACAGAATCAATGCGGTGAAAAAACAATAATAATTCTCTTTAAAAAAAAAAACAACTCTAGCATATGCCAATACCTTGTTTATTTGACTTACCCAAGTTCAATATCCATCATCATTCGGACAGGTTTTTATTTTATTTTATCTAAGCATGGAGAAAGATGTTTTTTGAACATTACTAGATCCAAATTTGAATCCCACTTAATTTGTTTTTCTTTTCCTTTATCAGAATAAACCACAAATCTGCATTTAATAACTAACTATTATAAAAGATTACGTCCGAACAGATTAAACTGCGAGATTTAAAATGCCGTTAAAAGAAGTGAGAAATAATTACGACAAAATAAATATTATGGGTGGTAAACCAAATCCAAACCGGATTATTAAAACAGTTGACGATCGGTTTGCTCTCAGAAGCATTTTCCCGCCACTTAAGAAAACCACTTTCTAGAAACTATAAAACAAACACATCGTCTCCCTCTCGGATCCCTAATTTCTCGCTCCCCTTTTCGATGGAGATTCCTACGAAGCCAAAGACTCAGATCGATGAAATCTCTCACAATCTCTCGTTTTCTACTTCCATCGCCGGCGATCCAAGCTGGGATAAATTCCCCTTCTTCCGTCACCGATCACGGCAGATCACGCGCGACACTTGGCTTGTCTCCGTCTTCGTGCTTCTTCAAATCGTCATCTTCGCTGTAACTATGGGCGTCAACGACTGCTCCCGGAACTCTAACGGCCACTGCGCCGCCAAATTGCTCGGCCGATTCTCTTTTCAGCCTCTCTCCGAGAATCCTATGCTCGGCCCCTCCGCTTCTACGTGAGTAGCTCTCTGCCTCTCTCGGCGAATTTAGCTTCCGTTATTAGGTCTCTGCTAGTATCTGTTTCTGGAATCGACCTCTAATTGAATGAAGAAGATCCTTACGAGTTTAATTTTAGAGCCTTTGTCTCTTCTTCCTCTGCTTGCGGATTCATTTTGCTTGTGCTTATGTTTCGTATCAGTGATAATAGCTTATCGGAATTTGTTGGTTTGAATAAGACTAGTTTCGTAGGTCTTCTCCATTATCAGCAATGAGTTTCAGCTGATTCATTGTGTCTCAATCATTGATAGCAGCGGCAAGTTCTTATTTCCAATTCTGTGTTGTTCTGGAGTGTTCATTTGTTGTGTCGATCTTGGTGCTACATTAAGTTACTTAATAGAAGTTCTGATTCTGCTGAGAGCTATAGGTTTAAGCAAAATGAGGGAAACAGGTGCTGTTTTGTAGCTTCTAGACGACTAAATACAAGTTATGTACTTGTTGTATTCTTGTGAGTTTGCAGATTCGAACACATGGGAGGTCTTTTCTGGAATGCTCTGGTGGAGAAGCATGAGATTTGGCGTGTTCTGACATCTCCGTGGCTGCACAGCGGATTGTTTCATCTTTTCATAAATCTTGGGAGTTTGATTTTCGTAGGGATATACATGGAGCAGCGATATGGACCATGTAAATTAGACTGCTTCACTTTGGTTGTTTCACTTGATCTGATTTCGATGGAACTTCTCACCTTTATAATCAGTTTTTCTTATGTTTTTGCTTTGGTATCTTTTAGTGAGGATTGCAGTAATATACTTCCTCTCTGGCATTGTGGGGAGTCTGTTTGCTGTTTTGTTTGTTCGAAACATACCATCAATCTGTTCTGGTGCTGCTTTCTTTGGGTTGATTGGAGCTATGCTTTCTGCACTTGCAAGGAACTGGAATCTATATACCTGCAAGGTCAAGGAATTCTTGCGTTTATTTTGTGTCCCTGGTTATCTTCTTCTCATACCTTTGCTGACTTTGTTTGTGTCTTTTGGTTTCTTGCTTGCTACAGATCTCAGCCTTAGTGATAATATTCATTATCTCCACTGTCAATTTCCTGATAGGCTTTCTCCCTTACATAGACAACTTTGCAAATATTGGCGGTTTCATATCAGGATTCCTTCTTGGATTTGTGCTATTATTCACCCCACAACTGAGACAGGACCCTCCACCTCACAAGGGAAAATTGTTTGAAGATGATATGAAAAGTTCCACAAGGCTTAAGGAAATGTTTGATAGACCGGTATTAAGGATTGTGTGCCTGGTCTTGTTTTGTGCAATGTAAGAATTTTCCCTTTATCTCTTCTTGATCTAGCTTTATCTCTCTGCGTTTTTCGTGACATGAAAAAGCTTATCAATCTATGTTTTTTTATAGATTTGTCGGGGTTCTAATAGCAGCGAGCTGGGGCATCAATCTTAACCGTCATTGTAATTGGTGTCGCTATGTTGACTGTGTGCCAACCAGAAAATGGAGCTGCAGCGACATGACTACTTCGTGCGAGGTATATCATCTAAACCTTAGGCTTTGTTGTGAGCCTGTTTCTAAAATTCAAGTCTTTAAATCATAATTCGGTTAGTGATACAACACTGTAAAATATAGGCAATGGTGAGTGATGCTCAACTAACACTGACCTGCATGGCCAATGGAAAGTTCCGGATATTTCCTTACACCAACATCTCACAAGCCAGGACACAAGACCTCTGCACACTCGTCTGTTCTTAAACATGACAAGGTTTTCAACTCATTTATACTCCAAAACTTCAGATAATTGCATATAATACCAAAACTCATCTATAGCCAAGTCTTAACACTTTTTTTTTTTGTGCATAGCCTTAATGGATAAGAGGGTAGGACTTGTAATGAGACGATTGTCTTGGTTCTTGATACTATGAATGTGAATACTAAAGTCTACCAAGTTTGGTCACATAGGAGGACCCAGTAGCCGCATTAGTTCTTCCTCACATAAACTTTACACAATCCACATCATATCTACGCACACATGACACACCAAGTATGCATAAAAATATTCAGCTTCTTTTTACTTGCTGTGTATTTTTCTTTTTATATGCTTTTAAGAAGAGTGATGATGAGGAAATGTAGGTGTGGCTTTTGTGGGTTTAGTAGAATGAGAAGAAAAGGGCCGACCTTGACACAGATAGAGAGATAGGGCGACTAGAATTGATTATTATTACATGAGGTCAAAAAAAAAAAAAAAAAATTGATTATTATTACTATTAAGGGGAATTTCGAACAAAAAATAAAAATTTGATTTTGAAAAAACTAGAAATGAGAATTTTACTCATCATATTAAAAACAGACGTAATAGCAGAAGAAGCCCCATGCCGTGGTCCTAAATCTCATAGGCCTATTCAACAGACAACAGCCTACATCTCTCTATTGGTTTAATTACTCCTTAATCGCATTTTATAAACACAAAGTCATGCTTTTTGTTTCCTCTATCCAAATCTTCCTTCTTCGGGTCACTCGATTTCTGCCAGATTCACTTTTAATTTCAGCCATCGCTAGTTTGTGACTTCGTTTCATCGTTCCAATTTCTGTGAATTAATCTGGACACTTTTGTAACTCGTTTTGGCTTCAATTAAGTACTTTGGTGTAAAAAAAAAATTAAAAAAAAAAGGAAAACGAAGGACCCACTCTGTTTTGTAATCCGTTGACTTTATAACTTTATCCGGTTAAGACGGATATGAAGCCCGAATTGGAGCTGATGGTCGTTGGGGAATTTGGTTTGGCAGCTTTTTTTAAAATGTGTCCTTTATTTTGGAGTTAACCCATAAACCGACACACAATTTTTTGGGTTCTTCTTATTTCAGATTTTTAGCATTTGCACAAAGTAAAACAAGCAATATTCGTGTTGTTGAAATAAATTTCTGAAAAAAAAAAAAAAACAACTCCTCAATCGTCCTTTTCTTTTAGTTCTTCTTACCATATTAATCAATCCTCAATATCGAGAATTGGACCACATCAACATGTTATAAAAAACTACAATTTAATGTGCATCAATGACATACACGAAAGTGGAATATTACAACCACAAATCTCTACCATTTAACGTTCAAATAGCATATACCTTTGCATCCTAATTTCAGCTCAACACTTTTACATTTACATTATAAAAGATATACTATATCTTTAGTGGCGGCTCTTGGCCTTCTAAATAATTAGATGATTGGGGATCAGAGGGTTTTTTTTTTCTGGTGATCAAAGAGTGTTTTATCTGCTGTTACCTATTGCCTTTTCTAGTTTTCTTTCAACCTTACTTCATTTGTTTCTCTGTTAAAAGTTACTTTTGACCTTGATTAATAGCGACCATAGCTTCTGGTTAGGTAAAACGGGTATAATACAATAAAGGTTTTCGGATTTTTATTTTCTCAGTCGAGTACTTTTAACAAAGTAGACGAGTGTACAAAAAACTTTAACGTCTTACATTTTACTATTCTCTTATTCAAAAGAATATTCTTTGACTTCAATTTTATCAAAAAAGTTACTGCTACTGGTAGCAATAAATCTAAAGACTAAAACGAAAGTAATCAATAAATATATAAACATTATCAACCAGAATTAAATGGGACAACGAAGTGAAGAAAAAATTAGAAGACCCACTTCAAAATGGTAGACAGAAAGAGAAGAGAGTATGGACCAAAAACAGTTGTTTCTTTATCTTAAGCCATTACTGAGAAAACGAAACATTCTCTCTCGCAAATCTACCTATAAATTACTTTCTAAGGCTGGGTCAGTGGGTATACGCTTGTATATAGTAAACATGTATATTATTACATTGTCATTTGACCAAAACATTTATAACTTTTTTAAAAATTATTTTTTACTAAAGAAAAACTCTTCTTACCAATATACACCATCTTCTAAAATTTTCCTGAACTCTTTTTTGAATTGTATTTTGACATATTAGTGTTTAGATAAATTGGTGAATACTATTCCTTTGGTCTGTTTTTTTTTTTTGTTTTCATTGAAAAACGAACATAAGAATAATTTTTAGAAGTATGTCTTTGACGTCTACCCCTGAAAGCTCTTTGTATATTTTAATGATAAAATAAGTAGAGAGGATAACATAGACAGAATTGCGGAAAATTAAAGTAGAGAATATTAAAAAAAATGTGAATCGGAATGGAAATTATTGAGTCGCCCGACGCTTCCATTAGATTTGATGGTCCCCTCTCTTAACAGACCTCGCCAGTCGCCACTCAGGGTTTTAATATACACTTGTGTCGTCGTCTACACATCCATCCACAAAATACTTGCATTATATCATATATATATATATATATATATATATATCTAAAACATTTTGCATGCTTTCATGTGTAAATCTACACAATATGGACTCACTGACTGTGGACTCTTTCATTGATTCGAATAGAACATTTATCTTACTGTAGTCCGTAATGCGAGATTGATTGATTATTTGGTATTTTATTTTTTTGGGGTCGATTCCCTACATCAGCATAATTTTCTTTTAATATACAGGGTATATATTAGATTTATATACATTTATAATTTGTTTAAAGATTTAGCCCATATGGTTTTACTTTCACGAAATGGAGGTGTTTATTTTATATCAACCTAAACCAGAAGAATCATAATTGCATACAGATGATAATATTGATATTTATCGGTGGTTTATTGTGTACGAATGGAATAAATAGAAAAAGAGTTCCGATTTTTTTTAAAAATACAAATGAGTATAGAATACGCGCCGGCTTGATAACGGGAATAAAGCAACATATATTCCCTTTTGCAATTAATTAATTTTATCCGATCTACTTAATTAATTACTTTTATTAAATGTTCCATTAATTCGTCGTCAATCTATATGTTATAAGTTTCTTTCCTTGGTATCCGCCGTTACATGGGTCCGAAATGTCACTTTGTAGGTACGAACTTGATTTCATTCCTTGTATACTTTAATTACACTACGTTTTTAATAATATGGATGAATCTAATTGTTATCCATCCAGTAGGATGAACTAAATATCGATACAAATCATCATACAATCAAGTTTATCTGGTTATTTCATTTCGTTGGATTGTAATAAGCAGTAGACAGTAGTTAATGAATATATTCTGAAGTAAACTTTATAGGGATGTACACTATTATGTTTACCATTTACCAGAAAATAATATATTATTGTATTTGTATCAGATAATGTCGGTAGAAGTTTGGTTTTGGTGAAGCATAAGTTGGTGTTAGAAAGTAGAAATCCTTGTAGAAAACGCTAAATCGTGTATACTAATCTAATCCGATCATTAATGTATTGAAAGATGATCATTGTTATTTATTTCTTACTATTAATTTCAATTTATTACAAAAATTATTCGGACAAAAAAGATCCATCTAACGCTAAGCAAAAAGAAAGAAAGAAAAGATATGAGCAACTTTTGGAAAACAAACTATTATTTCAGTTTAATTTATGTATCAGAAAATAGATGACATTTATTTGGATTCCATAGAAATTCATGTACTATGTATTTTCTTCTTTCCCCTGAAAAAAGAAACTTATGCCTTTTGAAAAAAAAAAATACTATATTGCCAAATTTCAACTTTTTTATTTTGGTTCTGAAAACTATTTCTTTCCATAACATCTAGAGGTATAGAAAAAAGGGGGAAAAAATCGATATATTAGTATTTACTAATACTAATGATCATTTCCTCCTCTATAGGAAACAACCATCATTGCTCCAAACAATCACTATCAGCCTTAGAAAATCTCTGATTCTTCTTCTTCTTCCTTTCTCTCACTTTCCTTTTTCCATCTATACAAACACCCAATCTCTATATAACCAACCTTTAAATTCTCTTCTTGCTAATTTTCCCTCCGGAGAATCTTTACTAAACGCAAACAAAAATCAAATTATCTTTCTTGGGTTCTCTGTTTCGTTAATAATAATGGATCCGTCTTGTACAAACTCAGTAAACGGATTCTACTCGTTTCTAAACAGATCAATGGAAGATCTCGAAAGGGTTTATCTCTCTAACAACTTCATGTCCGTACAGTTCCTACAGAGAGTGATCTGTCTTCTCAGAACCTCTCACTCCCATCTCACACTTCTCGTCCAAAAACTTAATCTACCTGTCGGTGACAAGTGGCTCGACGACTACATGGACGAAACCTCCAAGCTCTGGGACGTTTGCCACGTCATCAAATCCTCTCTCTCCTCCATGGAAACCTTCTGCTCCGCCGCGATTTCCATCGCCTCTACGCTCGACGGCCACCACCACCACCGTCAGATTTCCCGGCAGGTATAAAAAGATCGAATCTTTTCTTTTTTTTCGCTTATTATCGAAGAAAGTTTGTATTTTGACTGTTTTTTTTTTGAAACGGAGACAGGTGATACGAGCGATATCTGGATGTCGGAGAGAAGCGGTGGGGTTAGAGGAAGAAAACAGAGCTTTAATGGAGAATCGGATCCAAAGGTTTCCTTTTTTATCGGAGCAAATTACGACGACGGCGGCGATGGAGTCATCGAAGATACAGAACGGATTCAGCGGTTTCCGAGGAGTAATGAACACAATGAAGAACATAAACTCGCGGCTTCTCATGATCTTAATGCAAGGCCTTATTTATTGTATCCCCGGAGAGACAACGGCGACGGTGACGATGACGGCGACGGCGTTGGTGAGGTTGAAGCAGAGAGTGGCGGCGGAAATGGAGAGGACAGGGATCAAGAAAGGGGTAATGATGTATGAGTTTAGGAGGAGCAAAACGGCGATGGAGGAGCTCAAGGCGGAGCTGGAACGGCGGTGGTGCGGCGGAGGAGGAGAGAGGGAGGAGGAGGCGGCGGAGGCGGCGGCGGAGAAAGGGTTAAGAGAGAGAGTGGAGAACGTGAAAGTGAATATTGGGAATTTGAGGAATGGATCAGAGAGTATTGTTGCTCAGATTGATGATTTCTTTGATGAGATTGTTGATGGAAGGAAAATGCTTTTGGATTTCTGTAGCCACAGGTAATATAAATTCAGTATGTTTTAGAGTTCTAGATGAATCAGATTGTTAATCTGCTCTGCTCTGTTTTTATTTTTGTAATAATATCTATAAAATACCGGTGTTAATATTAACCTTTTTGGGGTTAATATGACGCTTACAAACATAATTCAAGCTGTTTTGTTAAAGTTTAAATTTGAGAAAGAAAAAAACCATTATAAGTAGAGAACATATGTTGGGCAATGGCGATTCCATATGAATATTCAAACGAAGAGACTTGTTGTACAGTTGCACAATGCACATAATATGACAGATAGATGATACTTTAGATGTTGACAAAAAAAAAAGATGAAACTTTAGATGATTCAATTTTTTTCTAGGTTGGGTTGCTTTTGAGTAGGAATTGACTGCAAAAATAGATGTTGTCTATACGGAAGGGAGTTGCAGAAGGAAGGAAGAGAAGGGAAATAAAACGAAAACAGCTAATGATTAAAAACTGACTGATTCCTTTGATTTGACTTGGTGCAGAGCAAGAAAAGCATCTCGTGCTCTTCTTTTCAATGATTAGTTTTTATTTTTATTTTGTGAATTATGTGGATTCTTTTCTGGTTTTAGAATATCAGCAATTTTGTAAATTTTCTTCTATTATTTCTTGTCTTCAGTTCGATACGTTTGATCGGGGCTTAACCATATTTGTCTCGCTTGTTCTAGTTCAATCTACTTGTGACCTACCGTCTAGTTTTTGTTTGTTTTTTTTCAACTTTACCTACCGTCTATTTGAATGTTACAATTTTAAAGCCCATATCATACTATTCAGATAATCTTCTTTGTTTGTCTTGCTGTCTTACAAAAATATTTTAAACTTTTTAATACAGATTGCCGTTCATTTAATTCTTAGTTGAACTTTTATCGCTTTCGTCGTATGTGTTTGCAGCAGATTTAACTGAGATCTACAAAAACTAAATTCGAGGATGTAGTATATCAACTTACATATGAACAACAAAAGGAGAGGGAGAGGGGTCAGCATCATCAAACTTCAATTTAACAGAAGCGAAAAAAAAAAAAATTAAAAGAACAAAAAAGAAACCTATTTGGAAAGTCACACCAGAAATTTTCAGGCTTTGTTTCTTCCGCAGAGGACACCACTCCTCTCACTCATATTGTTCTTTCACACTTTTTACTGCTTTTGTACCATACAAATTTCACCCAATTTCCAGGATAAATATAGTGTTTTACAGCTACTAATACAATTTTTTTTAAAAATAAAAAATCATAAATCGAATAATTACATTTTGAAGATTTGTCGTCCTTTTCTTACACAACTGTATGTTTTTTTAAAAAAAATTCCAGAGACTATGATTGAAGTCAGAACCAATTTCCTTTTTTATTTTTTTGTATGTTGGTCAGCATGAATTATTTGTGTTTCCCCAACACATCACCGGATTCAGAGATGTTATTATTATTAATATTCCCTTTTTCTTTTCCTAGCACATTCAACTTTGCCTTGACAGCTAATTTTCCAAGAATAGATGTTTTTAAAATGTCATACTATTACCACTTATGGAAATTAAAATTAAGAAGACATACTCCACTCTCCCAGGTCTGTATGTCTAATGTACACAGGGAACATAGATAAGAGTATACGAGATGTTGTTCATCTAATTTCTACCAAATTTACAGAATCAATGAGTATTGTGACAGACAGCGACACTCAGCTGTATGTGTCACTTTGGTTCCTAAAATCTTCAATGTCTCTTTTGCATCGTTCATCGGCCCATAAATTCTTAATCAAACCAACCTAATTCAAATATATCTGTCTTGATTGATTTGCTAAAATCAAACCAACCCTAACTTATTGACAAACAACTAGGTGTGCTACTACAGCCTATAGATAAATCAGTTACACGAAGATTAATGATTCAGAAAAGTGTAGGGACCTTGAGCTTTCTTTTAGAGACAGAGCAGCATTATTATTATTATTATTAATATTGTTAAATTAAAAAGCAGCAACAAAGGACAGTTAAATTCTCTATCTGGTTGGCGCCGTTAACTTAGATGCATCATCAGGTCCGTACCAGTAGGGAATTTAATCAATGCGTAGATTTATTTACTCCATAACAGTCTTGATTAAAAATGATTTCAATGTTAAAAAAAAAAAATCCGATAGACATTACCCCCGCGGTAAAATAGTAAACGATTAGAGTAGAGAGCGAGATGTTCATCAAAATGTGTCTGAGAAAGTTGGTGAAAGAAAGAGATTTGCACGTGGCAAAGAAAAAAAAACCAGGAGAAAGTCAATGCAGATACTTATATTAGTACTAGTAACTCAAACGACTTTGGGAGATTCCAGCAAGCAAGATCCATTCACTCTAAAACCTGTGAACAACACACCAAATCATTCCAAAATTAGTCTGCAGCATTATAGTAGATGGATGATAAAGTAGCTTCAAGCTCTTTGTAGATCATCAATGTGAAGTCAAACTACGACTGGACTGTATACAGTAATGCAATTCCATGTGTAATGTTCAGAGAATGTCAGCGAATTTTATAATGAATTTGAGACCAAAAAGTGGGGTAACATAGTAGAGATACTTAATAGCAGCAGTAAATCAAAGCATACCAAGTACAGAGAAAGGACACGGGTTGTAATAATAACAATTATTATGATTTTCTCAATAACATAAGATGAAAAATAAGCTTTGAAAAGTTAATGCGAGTGATGTTTACTCTCAAATTTCCAACTACCACAGACTAAAGAGATAGATAGAGATAGTTAGTTTTCACAAGTATCATAGGTTGGTTCTATCAGAAAGTCATACCTGTGCCTCCTAGTCTACTAAATAATTTCATGTTCAAAGCATGAGAAATAAGATTGTGCAAAATGGTGAAAAGCCTAATCAGTTTGAAAAATAAAAACGCCATGATTCAATAGATCAATGAACCTGTGATAGATCAAAAATACCTCTGCACTGCAGCTTTTTGGAATCTTTAGGCACCTGGGCTTTCTTCACATGCCTTGAGGACCATGCGTCAAGGACAATTGTGTCTCATTCAGAACTTCATTGTCACTGGACTCCTTGCTGCCATCCTCTTCGTACAAGCCAGACTCAGCAAGACCACTCTCGGAAGGCTCCTGCACGTTAATGATCTTGCCAAACAGCTGAAACGAGTTAGTTCTTGCTGAAGTGGGGCCTCGGTTCCCAACTGGGTCATTTCCAGAGGAAAGATTAGTGGTATTGCTATTAGGCGATAAGTCTTCTGATGGCGGACTGCCAAAATTCATCTCAGTCGAAACTTTTCCCAACCCAGGAAGCGGACTAAAGAAGTTATTGTTGCATAACTGGGGAGGATTTTCTCCAATGAATCCGGTTGGATTGAAAGACCCAAATTCATAATGCCTGGCTCCCTGCATGCCAGCAGGAAATGTAGTATACGGGAACATATAGGGACTTGGATCCCCAGCTGGTGCCACACTGGACAACAGTCCTCTTTGGGAGTACAAGTGATCTCCTTCTTCTCCACTCAATAACCCACCTGCGCTATGGGGAAACTTCAACCTCTTCGTTGGAGGGAAAGCGGCATGAAGTTGGCTTGAGTTTGCAACAATTTCCACTTGCCAAGGATTCACCCTCTTCACGTTTTGCAGAATCTCAGGTTCATCCCATGTGATCTGCTCTCAAGTTCAAAGCAAAGAACTGATCAGAGGAAGCATAATGTACTGATCAAAGAAACGAGTATCTCAAGATAAAGCTATTTTAACAAAAGCAATCTACATCATGCCACTGGAATGTTGAATGCAACAAAGCCGATACTAAGACCAGTATATTCCTAAGTCTATTCCATGATAAATTTGTGGAAGAAGAAACTTAAACGATACCGCACTCATTTTCATGTACAGTATTATCTGATCCTGTTTTCAATCAAACTATTCACAGCAATCCAGCAACTGGAATCTCACATTCTCCAAACCCCCATTTCCATTTGAATAACCAGAACGAGGCTTTAAATCTACTCATGAAACGGCTGATAGTTCCATAGAGATCTAGCATCGATTCTGTATTCGTCCCAGCAGCAAAAAAAAAACCATAGAAATATTCAAGGGAATAGACCGTGCAAAACATTGTATACCTGAAGTTGTTTCCATGGAGAACCACGCCACGGACCGGTTTCCTGAAACGTGGAGGAGACGATGCCCTGAAACCAGGTGATCCGGGAAGAGTCCTCGGTCTCCATGGCCATCTTCACTCTTGTACCAGGAGTCCAAAAAATGGCCATGGAGGCTTCAACATCTTCTGCCCTCACCACGAAATCGGACCATCCAGCAGTAGGATAATAGACTACCTCGAACGGGAGACCTTGTGCAGCTTTGTTAATCGCCTCCGCGACGGCTTCAGTCGTCAGCTTCCCTCTCCCAGTCCTCCTAAATCCCTTCTTCACACTCGGATCCTCATCCTTAGCTGCGACTACGCTGCTCTGGTAGTAACTGGAGAACTCATCCCCGCCGGCGCCGGCGCCGGCGCCGCCGTAGAAGCTTGTTCCGCCGCTGTTTGAGATAGGAGCTCGCCTCACACCAATAAACAACGCGTCTGGTGATTTCCTCATAAAAACGACGGAATCTCCAGCGATAAGTTTCTTGCTGTTGACGAACTTGCTCCAGCCGGTTGTTAATAGGTGGCGCCTCGGTGTACCTCGGTAGATATGGCGGAAATCCCAGAGGACGCCGTGTATATCGGTGATGAAGAGCTTCTGGACCGGAGGATCCGCCTGGAAATCGAGGGAAGGGAAGACTGAGTCGGCACAGTAACGAGGGACGGAGAATCCGCCGCCATTGTTAGCATCAGACGGCGTGAGAATCTTGGCGAATGTAACCACCTTGTTCTCCTCATCCTCACTCTCGTATCTCCCGAATCTGGAGAAATTAGGGGGCATAAACTGGTCGGGAGCAATCGGTTGGAGGAAGAGGTGTGCGAAGACCTCGTCGGTGATCGGATCGGCGAGCAACTCGATGGAGGAGACGATACAGGGAACTGGAGAGGTAGAGGAAGGGAAAGAAGAGATGACCGATGATGCGCAGCAGTGCTCGACATGTCCTTGCGGGAAGTAGTAAACCCTAGAGTAGAGGGTGGGGATCTGAACAGAGGCGCCTGCACAAGCGCGCCAGATCCTTGGGTCGACTTCACGGAGGACGTCGGCGTTTGCCGACGGCGGTGACATAGGCTAAGGTCGTTTTTCACAGCAGAGAGAGGTCAGCGAAGAAGAAGAAGGAGAAGAGGTAGGTACTGTTAGGTGTTAGAGAGAGAAAGAGAAACACCGTATGTCTGAGAGAGAGAATTGAAACGGGCACGGAACGGAATCAAAAGCGGAGGGGATAGAGAGAAGATAAGAGGAGAGAGAGAGATTACCGATTTACTGTTACGCTGCTACGGGATTTTGCTTGATTTTGTTCGAATTTACAGTTTCTGCCACACGACAACAAACTTTATTCGGTAACCTGCTCTTTTACACCGTCCGATCTAGCGCGTGCATCTCACTCTCATCCTTTTTTTCTCTCTTTTCGGTTCCATTTAATATTTTTTCTCCTCATATTTAGGTTCACTTAATGATGTTCCCTTTTTCTTTTCTTTTTTTGCGTAAACAAAAATTAAATTATGTCCTACTCTGACTTGGTACTTTTTTTTTTTTTTTGTGTTCTACAACTACAATCAATTTTTTTTCTTCTAAAAAAACCGAATTATTAAGGAGGAATTCTTTGTTTTAAAAGAAAATATTATATTAAATTTTCTGCAGTGTCAAGAGGAATTGAAAAAGGGAATACATAAATACTTCTGTAGATTTTTAAAACGATTGGAAAGAAATTTAATAATGCATATGATATATGCTCTTTACTATACTCAAGACCTTAACACTTTGAATTATCTTTTCCACCAACACATAAAATTCGCCAAAGTTACTTTTCTTAAGCCAAAAAAGATTAAAATAGTCTAGTTAGATTTAGGAAGAATATAATTGATTGAAAACATAATAGAAAGACACAAATATTGTGTCTTATAGTAAAACCCTTTTCATGTTTTCAGGAGATAGATGTATTAACAATTCACAATGTCGATTTTCTCACATTAGATAAAAGAATTATTACCTTGTTTTTGTCAAAGACCAATATTACTTTGTCAAATTACTTGTTTATTTAACCTGTTGTTTTTATTTTGTTTTGTTTTCTTAAAGAATAGAAGTTTTGTTTTCTTTACAAAAATTTCAAAGTAAATCAAAGTGGATCAGTTCCAAGACTATCAGTTTCAATTAGCAAGCTGGCTTTAATGTTTAATATTTTTCAATTTAACAACCCGATAATTTCAAAAATAATAATATCTAAGCATTCTAAATTTTTAACTAATAATGTAGATGGCAAAATAACGCGTATTTTATGGCGAATTGAAAAACATAAGATGTTCCATTGAGAATGTTTATTGTGGTTTTAGTTTTTCATTGATTTTCTTTAAAATTTGTTAGATTTATTTCTCAACAAAAAATTACGTAACGAAAAATAGGAAAAATATTTGCATTTAGAGAAAAAAAGGAGCCTACTATTTGCAAGATCAAAGAAGGAGAATTTTTTTATATTATATAATTTGATATCTACTTACGAGATTTGATGATCTGAGAACAAAGCTGCAATATAATATTTTGTAGACTGATTTCTACAAGATTGATATACAAATTTTTTTTTTAACAAAAAGAAAAGAGATACAGTTTTTCACTCAGAACTTGAATGGTGACCATTAAGCGGTGCGATTTTTGAGAAAATTTGGATTCTACTTATTTGTTACCATTCAATCATTTTGACCAAACTATTGTGCATTTTTTTATCATTTAACTTTTGATTAAAATATTAATATAATATATCAATTTTGTGAAGGAAAAGTGAAATACACAGTGTACAGTAATTACACACCTCTTTTGTTGTGTATTGTTGTATTTTGTGTGTTTTTCAATTATTTTTTAAATGAAAAAATTTAGATATATTAATTTTGTTGAGATATTCAATTCTATTCAAAAAATATTAAGAATGTTTGTTGTGGTTTTAGTTTTTAATAGTGCGTATCTGTTCAAAATAGCGTGTATCTATAGGGCATTGAAAAACATACAGATGGCCCATTGAGAATGTTTGTTGTGGTTTTAGTTTTTAATTGATTTTCTTTAAAATTTGTTAGATTTATTCCTCAACAAAAAATTACGTAACGAATAAAGAAGGAAAAAAGTTTGCATTTAGAACAAAAAAGGAATCTAGTATTTGCAAGATCAAAGAAGAAGAATTTTTTTATATTATATAATGTGATATCTACTTACGAGATTTGATACCTCACAACAGAATTGCAATCTAAAATTTTGTAGACTGATTTTTACAAGATTGATATAAAGATTTTTTCTTTAACAAAAAAAGAAGATATACAGTTAAACTTCTATAAATTAATAATATTAGAATTGTAATATTTTATTAATTTATCGATATAAAAATCAGTCCAAAAATTTAATTTAAAAGTTAAGAAATGTATTAATTTATCAAGGTATTAATTTATCAAGTAATAATTTATAAATTTTATATTGTACAAATTTTTCACTCAATAAAAAGTATGTAAATCCCGAAAATTATTAAAAAGGATTTCATTTTTTATTCCGTTGGCGCGTGGGAAAAGCAGATGGGTGGCCAGTTAAGAATGTTTGTTCGTGATTTTTAATAATTTTTAATGTCATTTATTTTCAACGGCAGATAAAGAAGAGTGTAATTTTTAGATTTTTTTAAAATGAGCGCTATTTATTACGCTCCGTTCAAACGGGCCTGTTTCTGTTTACGCATGTTTCGAATTTTTTCATTTTAATATACGGCCCACTATCACATCAAGGTTACAAATTTAAATACTACTCCGTGACAATGACAAATGACAATTATACCGAGAAGTCAATGACCGTGAAACCGTCTCAACCAGACTCAAAATATTTCCCTAAGTCATCTTCTTTTAGAATACGAGTAGCGCGAAGCCGCCAACATATCTTACAACTTTTTTTGTTTTTGTTTTTTTGGAAAAGTGAAATGTACAAATCATATAATGTTGAAAAAAAAAAAAAAAGTTTTCATGTCATGAGAACAAAACTCGACTACTTTTCATTAATATCTGTCAAATCAATGTAACGTCAGTAATCCTCCTACGGTTAGTAAACACATAAAGATAAACAGTACGATTGGTTCTTGTTTGGACAAAAACAATGAAAATAATCACACACAGCTTATAACACCACAAACTCATTTTTATAGATTCCTTGAATAGCAACAAGTACGAGCAACCATTTGTAGATTATTGTTCCATTATTGTATGCAAAAGAAAATGCTTACTGAAAACAGACGAAAAACAGACGAAAAACTGACACAAAACCCATTAAAAAGAAACAGCCAAAGAGCCAAAAGAAGTCTCAATCCTCCTCTTCCGACTCAGACTCGGCGCTCTGGAGCCAGTCGACAAAAGGCTGCACCTTTTTCCAAACCGGCGAGCTTTTGTCAACTCCGGTCAGACCCTTTTGGTACCATTCCAAAACAAACTCTTCCTCAATGATGTCTTGATCGTACAATGCTTTAAGAACCAGAGCCACCTCTTTGACCGCTTCTTCGTTTCCATTCTTTCCGCAGAATGATTCGATCGAATTGAGAAGATGCATCTGTGATCCATCCTCTTGCGTTGCAGCCACCAAGTAGTTCTTCTTCTTCGTCACTTCCTTTGCAAATCCTTTGCCCACACCATCAAAGAGAGCACTGAAGAGTGCGTCCATGACGTCTTGACGAGGATCCGAGCGAGAGGAGATGAAAGTTTTGAGATCGCTTATCGGTGAACCTTTCTTCAGATACTCTTTCATTTCTTGAAAGAGCTTCTTCTCCTCCTGCGGTTTCTCAGTTTCTCCGTTGGCTAGGCTTTTGGGAACCTTTTTCTCTTCTTCTTCTCTAGCAGTGAGCATCACCAACTCTGCAGTCGCAGCACTCAACTGTTCTTTCATTCTTTTCTCAGCGGCTTCTCGGGAAGTATCGGTTTGCCACTGGATATCATCATCGTCTTCATCATCGTCCACCTCCTGCGCAATCTCATCATGCTTCGGGCTGATATCCTCATCAGAAGTATGATTCTTGGACGTCTTAGAAGAAGAAGCATCCTTCCCGTTGGTAGAAGCTTTCTTCTTAGCTTCCTTCTTCAGCTTTCTCTGCTCCTCATCGGCTGCTTCACCTTCTTTGAGCCTCTCCTTCTCAGCCCTTCTCATTGCCTTCTTGTCCTTTGAGCCCTTCTTCGCCTCCGGTGGGTTCTTCAGAATGAATGTAGTCAGTTTATCCCTCATGTCAACCTCAGAGATAAACCCGCAAGCAGCACACTTGAGATTCACCATCTGCGTCTTTGTGATAATAATCTCAGTCTCAGGGTTGCCACATCCATAGCACTGGACATACTTCTTAATGAAAACCTCCAGAAGCGAGGCAAGCTTGGGGGTGGTGTGGGCTCCGTTCACAAGCGATGTCCCCGTCTTCTCGTCAAATTTGGACTGAGCACCGAGCTCACAGCCAAAGTACTTGGTCGTGTAAGAAGGAGGCCTCCCCAAGGCTTTGGCAATCTCAACATTGTTGATAATGTTGGTCTTGATGCCATTGCCTTTGCCTTCAGTCTTGGTAAGCATCTTTGGCATCTTGTACCTGTAAAAGGCATCGTTACGGTTGGATTCACCAATGTTCTGCAGAGCCATCCTTGAGAGATCTTGTCAGACGGGGAAAAAAGAACCAATGGCTTTTTGTGAACCGGGAAACTGAGCGACAATCTTCAAAGGAGTCTCCGGTTTGAAGATGCGTGAGCCTAGAGTTATGGAAGAACTTGTAGTTCTTAATTCTGGAAGTAGGACAGTATCTTCCAAGCAACCAGATCGACAGCAAAACGGGGAAATCTTGTCAGACATAAAAGAAGCTTCAAATATCCGATTCTGTCTCCACTTGCAGGTGACGAAAAACTGCAAAACCCAATCTCCTGTAAGCAAAACTCTGAAAGGAACAAAGAAGCAAAAGAGTTAGACAATATATTTTGAGGAATGAATTATGTAACATTCAAAAGCACCACACAACATCAATAAACGAAATCCGATAAATCAGAGCATTACAGTTACAAACAAACGCAACAGGACGAGAAAAAATAGACAAGGAGACAAGGATCAATCAAAAGTCGAAGGCGAAAATTCCGATCTGTGTCAAATCTCAGTCAAATAAGGTTCATAATCATATCATTAGTTTCGATCGTTTAGCTCACCAGAAACAAAATATAATCAGATAACTGGAAAATTCGAAGCTTAAGAAAACGAACCAGATCCCTCTAACAACACCAATAGACAAACAAAAATCACACGAGATTGAAACAACAACAAAAACAAATATCGAAGAAATCTATCGCCCAAAAAAGCAAAATCCCTAATACGCCTGGAAAAAAAAAGGTTCAAGGATCTGGAGAAATACCTCTTTCTATTAGACGAGGAGGAAATCGAAGACACAAGAAGCGATTGATACGGAATAAAGAGTTCGTCGTTGAGAGGCGTTTGATTATATAGGAAGAGAGTTGTTGGAGATATTAGGGTTAACTTGGGAATAGAAAAGGAAAAATACCCAAATTTTATTTTACAGTATTTCGACTTTTCCGTTTCGAAAGTATTTTCCTTCTCCTCGAGTAATTCATTTAATTTCCCATCTGTTTCAGGATTAAGGATGAAAGGCCGCCAGCGATGTTTCTGCTTCAATCTTTGATTGGCCACATGTTTACACGTGTTGTTTTTTCTTGTACCTTTTATCTTTTGTATTTGGGTTAATGTTGGGCTTTAATTTGTTTTCAGTTGGGTTTTGGATGCTAATCACCACTTGTAATGCCCATGTTTTTGGACTTTCGTTTATAAAATGAATAGATGACAAAAGAAAGACCCAATAGGAATGGCTTGCTTTATTTATTTAATTTTCTTTCGACTGTAACTTATTTTTTATATTTTCCGATTCAGAAGTATATTTCTTTCTCCTAATAACATATTTTTCGTTACATTGTAGAAAAAATGTCTGGTAATATCTTAGAAATAAATTATGTTTTAGTCTTTTAGACCATGGGTTACTCAACAAATACACTTTAATAAGTCCGAAAAAAATACACTTTAATATTAGTAGATATTATAAAAAAAATAAATAGTTTCTATAATACATATAAAAAAAAATTATCAAGGTACCTTCTCGGTAATTATCAAACCCAAATACCATTTAAGAGTTGTAGTTCAAATCAACTCTCTTCTCTATTCAACAATTTTGATATTAATCTTATCATTTAACCAAAAAAACCATTTATTGTTATAAACAAATGGATTTCTAGTAACCGGTCCACTAACCATCAGGTTAATGTCTTATGGCTCATTAGGATTTATGATGCATTAGTTATGTAATATATATATACACTGCTTATGGAAATAATAAGACCAGAGTTTTTTCCCTTAATACGTTATCAGCACGAAGCTCAACTTCAAACGATCATACTCTCAAAATACAAGGAGTTAGAAGGCGATCTACATATCATTTTGAAGCCCTGGAAGAGAAGAATCTAGTGGTGAAAACCGCTCCTCAATCCGACACCAGACGCGCCCTCAAGACTCAAAACAATCGGCACTGTCCCACCTTCGCGGGTTATTCTTTCCAAGCGGTGGTTCCTCCATTGTAGCAGCTGTTCGTCCTCCCTTCTGACCATCATTCTCAGAAGTTTCCAGTAGATATCTGTGGTCTTTAGCTCCCAAATCATAAGCCGGTCAGAAATCCATTTGGCGAAAAAGTATTATCTAAACCCTAATGCTTTGTTCAAACCCTATACCGATCGGTCCTAGCATCATCTAAACCAAACACTAAAATTCCTTGCAAACCGAAACCTAAATCTTTGCAAAACCCTAGATCTAAAATCGTTTTGGTTTGTCTATCGTTAAACCGAGATCGATCGGTTTAAATCCTAAACCGATCGGTTATTTATCTTAGATCCGATCCTTGAAAACCCTAAAACCGGTCCATGCAAGCTCCTAAATCCTAAACCAATCGACCCCTTAAACTCTAAACCAATCGATCCACCTAAACCGTTTATAAACCGATAAATTCTAATCCTAAATCGATAGGGTTTAAGTTTAAACCGATCGGTTTTTCCTAATAAAAATTAAACCCTAGCAAATCCGTTTAGTTTAATCCCTTAACCGATTAATAACCCTAATAACCGGTTTCCAAAATTAAATCTAATTTAACCGGTTTTGTTGTTTAATCGATCAATCCGATCGGTTTAAGCTTAATCGGTTAATTTCAAATTAGTTTATCTATTAGAGCTAAATTTGGAAACCCTAGTAAACCGGCTAGGTTATAAACCCTAAGGTTCGATTTTAGAGTTCCCTTATATAGCAAGTTTCCTAAAATAGCAAGTTTCCTGAAATGGAAAGTTTTCCCAAGAATACCTTAAATCCCTTATTCCAATGATCATAGTCTCATACTATTGATTATTTAACATAAATTATTATATGTTTCAGATGTCAAATATTCAGAAGGTCGAATATGAGGCACTCACTGTCTCCGGAGATAACTACCTCAAATGGGCCATTGACACCAAGATCTACCTCAACTCAAAAAGTCTGGGTGAATGCATCCAAGATCCCAACACCGCGACTCAAACAGAACGGTACTCGGCGATATTTATTATCCGCCATCACCTCGCTGAGTCTCTCAAGCAACAATACCTCACTCTTGAGGATCCACTCGAACTTTGGGTGGCACTGAAAAAGCGATATGACCATCAGAAAACGGTCATACTGCCCCAAGCCAAGTTCGATTGGAAGAACCTACGGTTCGAAGATTTCAAATCCGTCGAAGAATTCAATTCCGAACTCTTTCGGATAGTTGCACTCATAAGACTATGTGGCGAGCAGGTCACTGATAAGGATATGCTAGAGAAAACATTCTCTACTTTTGGCACTCCCAATGTTGTTCTCCAACAACAATACCGTGCCATGAATCATAGCACCTATGAGGATTTGATATCTTGCTTACTGCTTGCTGAGAAGAACAATCAGCTTCTGTTTAGGAACAGTGCCATGCGGCCTCCAGGATCAGCCCCATTGCCAAAAGGAACCAGAAAAGAGTCCAACTTCGTCCAACGTAACAGATCCTCAGATCGTGGACGTGGACGTGGAAATGGACATGGACTGCGCGGCAGAGGACGCGATAGACCGAACCAAGATAACCGACCTAGCCTCAGTTTTGGTCGGGGTAAGGGTCGTGGTATCAACAAACCGACCCAAAGAGGCAGTTCATCTAGACCAACTCCTTGCTCAAGATGCGGAATGACTAATCATTGGGTCAAGATCTGCCGTACTCCCAAATATCTTGCTGAGCTCTACTAGAAGTATGGGAAAGATAATCATGAGGCTAACCTGGTTCATCAAGTCAATGAAGATGACTCAAAGGATGATAAGATTGATGGCATGGATTATGAGCTCTCCGACCTCCTTGATTGATCTCAAAAATCTGAATTTGTTTTTCATTATTCCTTAAACTTTTATCTTTTGTTTTTGGGATTTATTGTCTTTACTTTGGATTTTTAAGACCTTTTTGCTTTTACATTTTAATTTATGGAGTAATGTTTTATTTACATCTCATTTTTGCATGTTATTGAATTATAATTCTTGTTTAATGAAGATATGCAAGACAATATGGATATCATTGTGGATAGTGGATCGAGCCACACCATTCTAAAAGACAAGAATTACTTCATAAATTTAGTAATCAAAACCGCAAACATTAGCACTATAGCGGGTAGTTCGAGCCTAATAGAGGGCTATGGCCAAGCTAATGTGCTGTTATCAAATGGCACATATCTAGACATCTCTGATGCCTTATACTCACCCAGTTCTAAGAGAAACCTATTGAGTTTCAAAGACATAAGATTGAATGGTTTTCATATCGAAACTCAGGATGAAGGGAACAAAGAGTTTTTAATTATCACTAAAATGATAAATGGCCATAAACAAGTTTTTGAAACTATACCCGCCGTATCTACTGGCATTTACCATGCTAAAGTCAGTATGATTGAGGCTAATGCTGCTATCAAAGCACGGTTTTTAGATTACACTATTTGGCATGATCGCCTGGGTCATCCCGGTGCGAACATGATGCGTAAATTAGTCCAGAATTCTAAAGGGCACAGCCTTAAACCAAATGGTATTTTCCCTCAGCACCTCAAGTGCACAGCTTGCTCACAAGGGAAACTGATTACCCGACTTTCACCAGTCAAAGTGTCTAAAGAGACCTTGAACTTTCTGGAAAGAATCCAAGGAGACATATGTGGACCAATTCACCCACCTTGTGGGACATTCAGATATTTCATGGTCCTCATTGACGCATCGACCCGGTGGTCACATGTCTGTCTGCTCTCTTCTAGGAACCAGGCTTTTGCTAGGTTATTGGCCCAAATCATCAGATTACGAGCCCATTTTCCAGACTTCCCATTAAAGACTATACGTCTTGATAATGCTGGTGAATTCACTTCCCAAGCGTTTAATGAATATTGTATGTCCATGGGGGTAAGTGTTGAACATCCCGTTCCACATGTCCATACACAAAATGGATTAGCTGAATCCTTCATTAAACGAATTCAATGGGTTGCTAGACCATTACTCATGAGGTCACAACTCCCGGTCTCAGCTTGGGGACACGCAGTCTTACATGCGGCTGAACTAATACGCATACGACCATCTAGTGAGCACAAATATTCACCATCCCAATTGCTAACGGGTCATGAGCCAGACGTCTCCCATATTAAAACGTTTGGGTGTTCAGTCTATGTACCCATTGCACCACCATAGAGGACTAAAATGGGACCTCAAAGGAGGATGGGAATATATGTTGGTTTTGATTCTCCCACCATCATAAAATATCTCGAGCCAACTACAGGAGATCTGTTCAAAGCCAGATATGCAGATTGCCGATTTGATGAATCGGTATATCCTAGATTATGTGGTGAGACAGACAAGCTGGTAAAAGAACTTTCATGGAATCAAACATCCACACAATGGCAAGATCCTCGGACTCTAGAATGTGATTCAGAGGTCCAAAGAATTATACATTTATAAAAGCTAGCTAATCAATTGCCAGATTCCTTTGCTGACCCGAACAAAGTTACCAAATCGTACATACCAGCTTGTAATGCACCAGTACGAATAGATGTCCCCTCAGGGAAAAGTCAAGTTGCTACAGAGTCTGACGCACGTAAGAAACGTGGCAGACCACCAGGTTCCAAAGATAAGAATCCCCGGAAATCAAAGAAAGGTGCAATGATTGAAACCGGGATTCAAGAGAACACGGATACAGCCTCAGCTGATACTTACCCTATCGAACCATCTCAAGAGGTTTGGGACGCCAAAACTCAAGGTTCTGAAGGGATTGATAATAATGAGATCTCAATCAATTATATCATATTCGGTTCTCTATGGAACAGAAAAGATGTCGACATCAATGAAACTTTTGCATACAAAGTAGCACTTGAGATTGCGCACACGCAAGATGATCTAGAACCCACGTCTATAATTGAGTGCACTCGTAGATCAGATTGGCTGAAATGGAAAGAAGCTATAAACGTGGAGTTGAATAG